ACATGTTTTCGCTTGCACTGACCGGGCAACCAGCTTTAGTATCAGTCCGCCAATACATTAATCGGTTCTAGGGCTTAAATTCCTTACTATTTTTGTAAATATCAAGAAGTTTATACTATTCAATTATTTTAAAAGTTTAATATTAACTTTTTTAGTCATTTTAACAATTATTGAACATAATTGAAGGTAAAGTGACTAGTTTAATGCGCGGCATCCAGCCTCTTAACACAGCAAACAGGCGTCAGTCTCTCTCTGTTTTCACTGGAGGTAACATCTTGCTTGAGACTCTCTTCAACTAAACGCTTTTTTTCTGTGTTTCCAAGCAAATTATTGGTCATTTTGAAAATTATTTTACATATTGACAATATATAGTGCAGTGCAGTGTTATTTTAAAGAAAATATTCTTTATTTACAGCTAGTTTAACTTTGAAAAATACGTGTTGCCATTGTTTGAATCCAGCATGGGGCCTAAGAGATCAAGAAAAGTGATTTCAATCCAAATGAAGCAGGAAATAATAAAAAAACACGAACAAGGTATTAAATCAAATGCGCTATGCAAAGAATATGGCATGTCGGCATCAACTGTGTCGACAATTCTTGCACAAAAAGACAAATTTAAGGAAGTGAACGTGAGAGACAAATCTACAAGAGTGTTTAAAAGTAGATCCCTAATCGTAGAAACTGAGAGGTTACTTATCATCTGGATTAGGGAAAAACAGATGAAAGGTGATTCAGTTTCTGGTGATTTCATTTGTGAAAGAGCCAGGGAGATTTATGAACATTTAAAGACAGATCAACCTAGTTCTTCAGGAACAGAATTTGAAGATTTTCGGGCTAGCAAAGGCTGGTTCAAAAAATTTAAGAAAAGAAGTGACATTTTAAGTGTTGTTAGGCATGGTGAAGCTGCTAGTGCTGATAAAGAAGGGGCAGCAAAGTTTTTAATTGAATTTAAAAAACTGATGGAAGAAGAAAATTATCTTCCACAGCAAGTGTTCAATGTTGACGAAACTGGGCTGTTCTGGAAAAAGATGCCCAAAAGAACATTCATCACCAAGGATGAAGCCTCTTTACCTGGGCATAAACCCATGAAAGACCGTCTCACTCTATTGCTTGGTGCCAATGCTTCAGGGGATTTCCGACTGAAGCCTATGCTTGTCTACCACTCTGAAAACCCCAGGGTGTTCAAGCAACAGAAAGTGGTAAGAACAATGCTTGGAGTTTATTGGAAGTCCAACCGTAAGGCATGGGTGACAAGACAGTTCTTTAATGAATGGGCTATTGATGTGTTTTGCCCCTCTGTCAAGAGCTACCTAACCACCAATAAACTTCCTTTAAAGGCTCTTCTCCTCATGGATAATGCTCCTGGTCATGACCCTGACCTTGCCAGAAATTTGGAGTATAAATTTGACTTTGTGAAAGTGTTGTTTTTGCCTCCAAACACTACATCACTCATACAGCCAATGGACCAGAATGTGATCAGCAACTTCAAGAAGTTGTACATGAAGAAAATGTTTAGGAGGTGTCATCAGGCAACTTCCATTGATCCTGAACTAACACTGAAACAGTTCTGGAAGACACAATTCAACGTCCTGGAGGCTGTAAAATTGATTGTGTCATCATGGCAAGAAGTCTCCAATAGAACCCTCAATTCTTCATGGAAAGCACTGTGGCCATCAGTAGTCCATGATTTTGAGGGATTTGAGGATGACACAGAGTTGGACCAGGAGATTGTGTCCATTGGTCAGTCATTGGGTCTTGAAGTGGAGGAGAAGGATGTGGAAGAGCTTGTGATGTCTCATGAGGAGGAACTTACTCCTAATGACTTGAAGGAACTGGATGAGATGTTACGGGTAGAGGCTGACAGTGGTGAGGAGGAAATTGAAAGTGATGACCATATGTCAGCTACACAGTTGAAAGATGTGATTTACCACTGGGAGAAGTTCAGGGAACTGGCTTCAAAGCACCCAGAAGTGGAAAAAACTGAACTAGCTTTGTGTCATGTTGAGGACTCAGTGGTCTCCTTCTTTAAACATAAGTTAATGGTGAGGAGGACAGATGCCCCACAGACCACAATTGACACTTTCTTCAGTAAAAGGCAGAGGGAACAAGATGCTAGCCCTCAGCCTTCCACTTCAAGAAGGAGAGAGGATGTTCATGGTGGAGAATCTGTCAGTCCAGAGGTTCCTGACATTTTCATGGAAGGTGACTCACCTTCCAAGAAGCAGTAAAATGCTTCTCCTCCACCTCCACTTCCTTCTCTTCTCCCTTCTCCTCCTGCACCTCCCACTTCAAATGCACATCATCACCATCATCCAGGAGCCTTCTACATACACACCTCAAAGTAAGTAAATTTTTCCGCCATTTTTGTTGAAGTTAGGAAATTTTCGGTGAGCTGGAACCAATTACCCAAAAACCCATTGAAACAATGGTTTCGGTTAACGAACGTTTCGGTTAACGAACGACCTTCTGGAACGGATTGAGTTCGTTAACCGAGGGGCCACTGTATATGTATATGTATATATATATGTATATGTATATGTATATATATATGTATATGTATATATATATATATATATATATATATATATATATATATATATATATATATATATATATATATATATATATATATATATATATATATATATATATATATTATATATATATATATATATATATATGCTGATAGCCAAAAGGAAAGAAGAAAACACGAAGTTCCCAAGCGCTTTCGTGTAATTCACATCTTCAGGGGTGAGTACAGACTAAGGAGAAGTACAAAACAAGGTGTATATATATACAGAGGAGGGCGAGATCAATTCCACAATGGTCAGGTATTAGGTAATGACCCTACTAATCTTCAAAAAGCACCGCAGCAGTCGGTAGTCAGGTCAGAGGGTAAGCTGACCCAACCTTCTCACCTGGTTACAAATCTTCTTATTTACGAAATTATCCAGTTTGTACATACCATTACTCAAATTCATGTTGCCGGGTTCGGTATGTTTAATGAGACTAGATTCTATAATTAAATTGACAGTAGGAACATTATAGAATCTAGTCTCATCTAGTCTCATTGAACATACCCCCCCCCCTAACTGGACCCTTCTCCCAGTAGGGGAGATTAACTTAGTACACTTGAGCACACACACACACACAGGAATCAAGACAACAAGCATCCAGTGAGGGTCTTGTTGTGCAACTCCATGAAGGTGAATTAAAAGATCAGCTGTTGAGGAGCTTATCGCTTGGCAACACTGGTGCATGTTACCACTCCTTTCCACTCCTTCTCTCTAATCATCCACACCATTCTGCTTTCTCACTCCATATTTTAAAATTTTATTTAATGTAATGCTGTAGGGATACAACTTTGTTCATTTATACTTATACTTATCACAATCTCCCAAAAAAATACTTTAGGTTTCGATTTTATTCAAGACATCTTCAGGTCATGAGACCCACTAATCCCCCAGCCAAGAAAGGGTGACCACTAATCCCCCACCCTACCACCACCTGACATTGAGTCAGGCTCAGGTCCCCCCCCAAAAAAAAAAAAAAAAAAAAATTAACTTTCATCTTTATTCAAGACATTTTTAGAAAATGTTCTCGATTTTCAACCTTGGAAAAATTTTTCCCAAAGCCGTATTTTTTGTTAAATTCCGGCTTTGGGAATGATTTTTCAAGCCAATTTCAATTCCGGCTATCGGAGATTTCCGGGTTTGAGGGATTCTGGCTAATGGAGATATTACTATGTACAGTACCTCAAATCATATCGAGTCTAACAAAGAAAAACACTTGTACACAACTATCTTTATTTATATTTTAATTATGACTTTCTTTGGTTACTAAAATAACTATTCACCATACCTGTACTTTCCCTCTAAGTTACTTCTACAACTATCAGACACTTTGCCACTGATCAGCTCAATCACTCAATCTATCTCTATATGGGTCTGCCTCTCACCTTCTATCTTTAATGGTACTTTTATAACTCTCTTCACTGACTTTGTCAACTGTTCAACATGTTCAAATTACAGTACATCAAGTCTTTCATCCACATGTGTGCCTCCAATGGCTTCCACACTTGACACATGTTCATTTAATTTTTAATTGTATTAATTGTCTTCTTTCCTGTAAAACTAAATATTAAGCTCATTTTTGCTGCTCACTTGTGTGCACTTTGCAATAAGTCTTAACCCTTAATCAGCAGCTAAAGATTCCCCCTCCATATTGTACAAGCATACATGAAACTTTCATAGATGAAGGCCACTGTCCATTTAGCTAACTTCCACCAAAGAAGGTCACCGTTTAATTTTTTTTTAAATAAGTATATCAAATCAAATTATCATTAATAAATAAAGATATAGGAATGTGCAACTTACTTATCCAGGAAGTAATTAGTACCATGTAACACTCTCCATATGTTGTCCGCCACCAAGAAGGTGAAACATTCAAGTCCATCCATATTCTTACGTTCTGCACTGTTCCACTTCTCCCACATTTGCATCACCTAAAGCAAATGACATTAACAAGAGAAAAAATAAACAACACGTGCAATAATGAGTAAAGAGAATTTTCACATTACATTTGATTAATCATCATCACTAGACCAATACAATAATGAGGTATGCCTAAATTGCAAGTATAGTTTTAAGCACAGACTTGTAAGCTGCATCACTTATCCATTAAAACTGAAAATGTTTTACATTAAAAAGTACAGTTTTTTACTTGGGAAATCAGTTAGTAGTGTAAATGTTAATTGGAAAATGAAGTCAGCACTTGAATTCATTACAGTCCATAAGATAATAAAAAAAGATATAAATTAGCAGATTGATAACAAAACTTTGTAGAGAATTTTTTTTTTTGGACACCTTTATTTATTTTAATTAATAGTTTCTAAATACAGTATATCATCAGGAACAGAGGTGACTTACCCTAACATTAATGCTGCCATAAGTAACCTTCATGTAGTCGAAGACAAAGTGGCCACCTGCGTAAGTCTGGAATGCTTTTATGATACCCTTCATGAAATTAACGATATCTTCAGTTACTTGTGTGACTCTCGGAGTTTGTTCTTGAATCTGTTTGTCCATAAATTTTTAAAGAAATTAAATATGAAATGAAAAAAAAAAAAACAGAGAAATCTTGCTTAAATTACCACCACTGTCTCAGTATGTCAACAATAACAATAGTTCAGTCTTTCATAATTTGGAGACTTGTCTTTAAATGTTTTACAAAGTTTATATAATATGACAACTGAAATCTGAGCATCAGAGATATTCCAGGTTATATAACAATAGTAACAGGCAAACTCCTAAGAAGCTCATACAACAGTAGCTTCCTCCTCACACAGTTTCGGTGTGAATAAGTTCCCTAGATTCTGTGTCAAAGTAATGGCCAGAAATTATGACATGACTCAAGGCGTAGAAGACTATAGGCCGCAGTGGTTCCCAACCATTTTTTGCTGCGACCCTAAATTTCCCAACAACACGGTGTCGTGACCCTCAGGCATATAATATATTATATAGCTTGAATGCTAAGCAAAAATTTGTTTGATTATGATAAGTACTATATTTTTAAAATTGTCTGAGGGCCCCAAGTGACCCGAGTGAGGGCACCCCACGACCCTGAATTGGGTCTCGACCTGAGGTTGGGAACCGCTGCTGTAGGGAATCATTCAATTGCAACAACATGTAAATCAGGCCCAAAGGAGTTCATTTTATACACAAAAATTAATACTGTAACACAAAAAGAATATAAATCATTACTTGATTTTCAAGGTATACAGTAAACTGGAAAGTGGTTAAAGGAGGGAAACTGTTGATTTAGGAAATACAGTACAGTAAAGCCTCGAATAACGACGGTAATGCTTCCTCCAATATTGCAGTGTAAGGTGAGTCACTGTATCATGAATCATTAATTACCATTAAAATAAAGCAATAATAAGAATATGAGTTCCCCAGTGTGACCTTTTCAAATCTTTTGTGTGGCTTTTTACCCTCTTTTCCCCCAAAACAAAACAATTAATGAAAAATGCAAACTATATTCTTTAAATAATGTTTATGAATGCACCTTATACAATATAAATAAGATCACACAAGAGAAGATGGGACACCATTGTTGTTGTCAGTGTTTACACCCATAATGTCAGTTATCCATCTGAAACTGAAGAAAATAAGACCCTGGTTACTGCTATAGTAAAATTACTGTAAAAAATATGTATGTTTTAATTAAGTTATTTATTGTACAGTAGAAGAAACCATTGATGTTAAAGAAAAAAAAAGAGTGATAGTGGAACGTCAATGAATACTTGTGCACTCAAGGAAACTGCATCATTTATTGTATTAGGAATATGTAAAAAAATTCATTATTGTTTATTCCTGAATATGTATTTGGTTGAATTAATATTTATATACGCAAAGTGAACAATGCAATTCATTAATAAAACGTAGAATATTAAAACACACAAGAGGAGAGGAGATGGCATTGCTTTCGTTTATGTTTACAACACCCGTGACAAATGATGATGGTTCTACGTAAGAAAATGAAAAGATAAGACCCTGGTTGTTGCTGTAGTAAAATTAATGTAAAAAAATTAATATGAATGTACAGCCACTCCTCGACTTACTATGGGGTTAGGGACCCAAATCCAGGTCGTAAGCCGAATTGGTCGTAAGTCGAAAATGCAAAGATAATACGTACATAGAAAATCTAAAATGTGTGTCTCTTTTTCTTCTCGGCACCACAAAACTCTCACTTTTACGCTTGCCAGCCATTTTAAAGGGAAGTACAAACAAAATTTTTGTCAGTACACAGCACAAACAGCACAATCACTAACATCGGGACACGAAAATACGTAATTTGACAAATATTTGGTACGACTGAGGCAGTCGTATGTCCGGGTGGTCGTACGTCGAGTAGGTCGTAATTCGAGGAGTAGCTGTATTAAGCAATGTTGTACATTGACACCGTTATTGACGGCGGCAACTTTTTGTTAAACGCTGATGCCATAAATTTTTTGGGCAGGTGACGCAGTTAACTTTTCACCCGAGCGGAGCGTCAAGTGTCAATTTGTTCGTCAACTTCTAAAATTTTAGATTTTTCCAAGTTTGATTTTCAATTATCTTGCTATAAAGACGACCGACAAGGCCACGAGGGAGTTGTTCATCAAATACAACACCACCATCCCCTCTAGTGCTGCCGTGTAGCGTATGTTCTCCATGGGCAAGGACGTCTTGAGGCCCAAGCGCAGCAGAATGTGCGACAAGCATTTTGAAATGCTAGTATTCTTGCAGGGAAACAAATGAATAATTAAATTTATATAATATAAATCATAATAAATGATTAAAATGAATGAATATTTTTTTATTTTGCATATGTTACTCCCATACACAGGAGAATATGCATTTTGGGGCTGCATTTGTACGCCACTGAAAACTCATTGACGCTAGGTGTTGACGCTGACGCTAAAGGCGTCAAATTTCTCGGCCGTTTACGCCGACGCTGGCGGAGCCACTTTTTTTGTTAACGCATAAAACACTGGTATTAAGTAATGTTATTTAATGTTAATAAATGGAACAAGAGAAGTAGCTAACCACTAATGGTAACTAATGGTAAAGAAAAAATGAAATAGATTGGGAATGCCATCGTATGTAAGTGCGTACATGTGAAAACATTGTCATTTCTCTACATAAGAATATGAAAGCAACACTTATTACTGCTCATATATGTTTTAAATAATACTTACTAATGTAAAATAAAAATTCTATTCACCAATGGTGGTCTAAAACATAAGGACAGCCAATGAATATTGAGCGAGTTTTTACTCAAATGATTTCATCAATCAGGTTCAACTCTGGCTGAAGCTGAAGCTTTCCATAAAGATATCATAGCTGTTGCTGAAACTGTTACTGAACTTAAAATTGTTGCTGAAGCTGCTTATGATGCTGAAGTTGATGGTTTAAGCCTTTGAATAATAAAGCTGTCGAAAGAACCTTTCACAGCTGATTTCTTTTCTCATTATACATCTTTATGTAAAGGTTATATGTGTTTTACACGTACATACTTGTTAATCTTAATGCTTTGTTCTCTTAATGGATACACTTCAGAAAATATGTTCAATACTTGCTCCATATAATATCCACAGACCTCTCACCTTTTTCATATTGTTTTAACACATCTAGTTTCTTGGCTAAGCTTATACACTTTTTTTTTAAGCTTTTGAACCAGCACTACCATCACTTGTTCTCTTGCTCATGTTGAATAGGGATGCAAAAACTGCCTTAAGAAACCTGAGAATGTTTTTCTCCTTTTCCTGTTCAGATGCGTCAAAACAAAAGGCCCGCCAGCTGCGACTGTAAATTGAATTGGGTACTAAATTAACCAGAGTCTTAAATATGAATCGTTGTTAGTAGAACTGCCTTTATGGGAGGCTTTTCTGTACTGTCATCCCTATTCCTGCCCATCTTTCCCAGCCGTACAACATACACAGAAAAGCAGAATCAGTAATCTCCTCGATAACCAGAATGTCAATTCCCCCAGAACACTCCAATAACTGGAAAGGAAATTGGGTTGGAAAATTTCCGGGAAAACTCTCTCCATTCCGGGTCTACAAATGAGTTTCTGAGGATGAAAATCATGTGCATTTTCCGGAAAAATTATGACAAAATCTCTCGAAACCTCTCCGTTCTAGTCCTGGGAACGAATTTTCTGGGAGTTCCAAGAGATTACAACATGCTCCAACACAACCCCATGTGCCAGAAGCATGGGTGGCCTAGCTGCTTGGAACAATTAGTTCATATTATGCTGCTATTGTATATGGTTGTTCCCTCGCTTGCGGCTGTTTTTGCATACAATTTGTGTTGTGCAGTACTGTACATTACTGTACCAGAACACAATCAGCCAAGAATACAGTGTGAAGACGAAAAAAGTGATTACAGTTACGTTAACAGTACTGTACATTCACTATGTGGGAAACACGAGCACACCTTAGTTTTTGTCTTCATTCAAGACTTCTTCAGGTCATGAGACACACTAATCCTCCACTGCAAATGAGAGAAGAGTTTATCTACAATTGGTGACCAGACATTGCATCAGGTCAGTAACAGGAGACCCATCTCTATCACAAGTGTTAAGACGTAAAAAGTGTTTACAGTTAACATATACTGTATTGTACAATCAGCAGAGTGGAAAGTGTATGCCTACTGGAAATAATAATGGATGCCCCTCGTGATCGAGCATGGCTGGCCATAAGGTGCAGAGCTATCGCCAACACAACAACCACACCCTAAGTTAACGAGCTGCATGACCCAGTGTCAAGGAACAATCCAAGAAGACCGGACAACTCGCCAACTGCACTGGCTAACCATTACCCCAAAACACAGTCTGCAAATCGATTAACATCCATGTCCCCAATTTCTGCTGCGGAGAACAGAGGCAAATGGCGTAAAGAAACTTGCTCATAGTTTCACCTTGCCCAGGGAACGAACCCGGATCCACTCACTTGCAAGGCGAGTATGCTGACCATTACACCACAGGTCGCCAAGACGATAGCATCTGCTGGTGAGTATATACAGTATATTAGGGTCGGGATATATAGCTACTATATATCAGGCAGGAAACATTTCAAATTTATCGCGACTACCAAAATTATCGACATTTTCCAATATATAGCGATAAATTGATTTACTGTCGACTCACAACTTATGCAAGGTTATGTTCCTGGGACCTCACATAAAGCCAAAAACAGTATAAAGTCAGAAACACTCATTAAATACCCCTAAATTGCCCAAAAATATGAGTTGAAAAACTGTACAGTACATTACTTAAATGTACTCTACAAAACTAAAATGTTTATCTCTTGTGCAAAATAAATGATGTCTATATTCAAATTATTCGCTGTCTTGCAAGGATTCCAGCAATGCAATTTATATTCTGCTAACTTTAGACTGGGCCATTTTATGTCAAGTTTAGTCACTTTTATTGGCCTCCAGAACCTAACCCTATTTTCCCCATTGATTACATGTTATTATATATCACAATTTAGTATATAGCGAACATCCTTGGACCCTACTATCCCCTTTGAAGATATTGGAAGCATTATGTATTGTCTAATGGTAGACCCTTCTGCCACACAGCTCTGTGTCTGTCTGTGCGAAATATGTAGTTTAGACTCAGGGAAAACTTTCCCAAGTACAGAGTGGAAAATTCCAGCCTTGGCTGTGACACACAGCTCCATTTACCCGGTATACCTCCATTCATACCACTGATCGGCACATTACCCGCTTGGACGATCGGTCACGTCTTTGTTACACACTGTTGGCAAGTACTGCTCATGCACTGGGTTCTGAATGTATCTGAACCTGCTCCAGTGTTGGTCAAGTCTGGTCTTGAAAACGTTCACACTTGGTGCCGTCGCAACACTCTCTGGCAGATTGTTCCAAGAGTTCATAAAGCTCACTCCGAAAAAGTTTGCCCTCACAGTTTTCTGGACTTGAGGCTTCTTCAACCTTGAGCTGTGACCCCTTGTGGAGTGAGCGTCCGCCAGCTCCAGGTAAGGACACTCGACTGAGTAGTGCCCCTTGTGATGTTTATAGACCTCTATTAGGTCCTACCTTGCCCGTCTGTAATATGAGCTAGGCAATTGCAGGCGCTATAATCTCTCAGGACAGCTGAGGTGCCGAAGTGCTGGCACCAGTCTGGTGGCCCTCCTTTCGACATTTTCAATCAACTGCTGGATATTTCCAGGTTTGAGAGAGTCGTCTCATTACACAGAAATCTCTCATACCCTGAAGAGCTCTACACCAATTATTCTGGCTAACAGGGATATTACTTTGCACATACTGCAATAAAAAACAAACATATATATATTTATAATAAGGAAAAACATTCACCATACTTTACTTACAAATTGGGTTATTCTTTCAGTCTCAATTTCATTTTGTACAACTGGAATTGCTGCTGTTCTTTGTATCTGGGTCAAGAGATTCATGAGAGCCAGTAACCATGACCGCCAACTCTCTTGTGCTTGTAGCGCTAGTTGGGTAACTCCACCTGTAAATGTTTAAACTTATGTCAAAAGATAAACATACAGTCAACCCTCGCTTTACGCGGTCCCACTTTACGCGTTTCCACGTTTACGCGGTACCCTGCCGAACACGGAATGCTCACTTTCCGCAGTGTGTGTACCCTTTTACGCGGAGAGCGGCGCAAGCAGGGTGCGCTCAAGGTCGCCCAGTCATCAAAACATTACCGAGTTCTTCACCAGCCACCCACCACAGCCGACCCAAGATAGTGATAATGATTGTGAGGATATGGACTTATATGGACTTTGAGGGGTTTGACAAAGAGGCCCTGCAAGCCTCTGTGGTGGATAGTGATACAATTGATACAAGTGATACAGGTGAGGGCCAATAATCTGCCCTCTGCCTCGGAACCAACCCCCCATCCCCATGTGCCCAGCCATCTTTTCTACTAATGTAAGTGTTAAAAAACCTAATATTATTGATATTTCTCTTAATTATTAATTGTGTGTGCATACCATCATAAAATCAAGAAGTTATTTTTACTACAACGTAGGTATTGTGTCGGGAAAAAGTGGAGTTTGGGGGTCGGCCCGGTCTCTATTTCAATTAATCCCATATGTTATGTTGTTCACTTTACGCGTTTCTCACTTTACGCGGGCGGCCGTGGGTTCAATTGACCGCGTAAAATGAGGGTTCACTGTATAAAGCTGAGGGTAATAAAGTGAATAGGGTAGATATTTATTAGGCAAACTTTTTCAGTGTACAATACTGTACTGTAGTTATTATGTATTAGGAAGATAGAGAAACGTTCAGTGAGGGTTAACGTAATTTCTCTGCTGAAATTCTATGTTCAATAACAGCTACAACTGTAGAAAAAACTTACAGAAAATGTTAATACCGGTAATCAATTTAGTCTTGCCGTTTGTAGCATAAATCTTTACACTCAAGTGAATAGGGATCATAACTACCCAGTATGCATATAGCAAATATTAATAAAAAATTCTGATTATAGAATTCAAAATACATGTAATTTATATGAAGCTGCATGCCAAATTTACTTTCAATCTGTGAAGCCTTTTCATAGGGTCTGAAGGAAACTTTACATACCTACTAGTAGTGATGACACTAAAAACAGCAAAAACATCAAGAATTCATAAAATAAACTTCAGATTCTCAAGTGGAACTCACAAGTCCACTCATCTGGAGTCTCCTGACAAATATTAACTCAACATAATTTCTTTTGAATTTCTATTAACAATTTTCTATCACTATACAGTATACACCATACATATTTATTGTTTCCAAAAACATAACAATGAAATATATGAATTAACTATAAACACATGAACATAATACATATGACCATGATAAGTGCTGAATTCATTCAAAGTGTAATGTAAGATTATTATTCTCACCCATAACAACACTCCAGCAGTTCTGTATCCACCCAAACACCACAACACTGGCTTGAGTGAAGTGGCTATAATATGCCTCAGTCTGCAGGAACTCTTTCACAACTGGCCACATACTGATGATGCCCTTCAATTTAAAAGGTAATGATTAGTAATGAAAACAAGTACTACAGAGGTGAATATATAAACAATTATACCACTGCCACCATCATTACAAGATCTGAAAGGTAACCCTTGATAACTCACAATTCGATATAACATGGAATGGCAGTAAAATACAGTATTCAACTGTAAATTATTTTTTAATTACCCACGGTAACTAGCCTATGAGCAGTGAGTAGTCATAACTATACATGTGACAGTGTTTTTCCACTGTGCGACAGCACCTTGACCGCATGGGTCAGCAATTAAGTAGCCGGCTTCTGGCAGTTTGTACCAGTCTCTCACCCACGTCAAACGTGCGTTCACAAAGCTTGTAACACATACGCTTCATCCCTTATTAACGATCACCGCTCGTGCGATAATTACGGTGATATCTTAGTTATTGCGCAATACAGAAGTTTATTTCTTAATAAATGGAGAAAAGATCTTGGGTTTGAAAATTTAACCCATAAACATCTATGTATGCTACGTCTAGTGTACCTTTAATACTGTTATGCCGAGGCATAATTTCGTACAGGATATTGTCATCTTGTATACTGGATGTTTTGATTCTATTCTGTCCCATGCAGCAGTTATTTTTGGTAAACTTAATAGAATTTTCATGTATATATTGATGATATTGATGTATTAATTATGTAAGAATATTATAGAATGCATTGCATCATTCAAGTTCTGATTTACCTCTTATTTTAAGCCTAGATCATTCTAGAATTCTCCAAGCGGGTTTCGAGCCGACCCTCCTCGTCCGGACATTGCTAGAATGTTCTAGGTGTCTGATGAACCATATATAAGCTGGCGTGGGCTGCCTAGGGGAGTGAGTTGCTCGCCTCTGTCCCTAGTATAAAGACTAATAAGCCTAGCAGAACAACTGAAGACAATTGTTGTGCAAGTATTGTGGAATTGTTGTGATTAATATAAAGTGAGAAGACTAAGGAATTGTAAACTGGTAGTGTGATAACTATATATTTGAAGTGTGGAGTCAAGCTGTGAAGACATTACCTAGTGAACAGTTTTGTGAAGAATTACTGTTTATTAAGGAAGACTACAGTGAACAAGTGTGTTTCTGTGACCTGGTGGAAATCTATCTGCCTGTTGTCTGTCTGTTCACTGATACCGATCGTCGGGGAATTACCGGAGACTGGCGGGACAGACAGTGGTAATTCGACGACTCTTGCAATATATCTACTGCTCTGTACATACGACCCTAGCCGCTGGTAACCAGTGGTGGAAGATGGGTAAGCAGTGAAAGGAGGAAGGTCGTAACATTACTGACTACAGAATCTTCATCAGTGATTATAGCAGGTAAATGGAACGTAACACCAGCATCACTCTCTAGCTCAGCCTCTTTATCATTTGTCCATACTAGTTTGAGAAAATAAAAATAAAATCACTACACTACAGTACTCTAATGTGGCTTAGTAATAAAGAAAATAAAACAAAACAATAAAAAAGAAAACTAAAGAACATGGTGTGTATGTGTGGGAGGTAAACGTTTGTGTGTGGAGGCAGTGAGCCATAAGTGTAACTGTCTCTCTCCCTTCCCTGATGTGAGTCACCTGACTGGCTGAGCGGCTTAACTGTGTCATGTCACCCAGAGCAGCTATTCTTTGTACATTAAATATATACTGTACCAATAAATGTGAGGAATAAATAAAATTAATTCTAATAAATAAAAAAAAAATGATGTAAGTCTAACTGAAATTACAAGTTGAAAAGTAACCACTCTGAGTGCTAGCTTTGGTTCCCCCTCTTTCTCTCTCACTGGTTCAATGAATACCTCCCAGGTATTTTCTGCTAAAGTTGGTGCTGTAAGTGCTTACTGTGTATACTGTACTTTACCTCTGACACCTACCACATGGCACCAGAAGCTTGAATTATCTTCATCCTTCACCTGCAGTGCTGGTAGGTACTGTCGTAATTTTTTGCAAGTTTTATGATTTTGGTGGGTTATTTTGGTCAAAAATTTGGGTATTGGAGTGGGACAAAAGACAGGGAGGAAAGTGCCGAGATAACTTGAATGGTTAGAGCCCCATATATTCCGAGTTATCAAGGGTTTACTAATATATAAACAATTATACCCCAGCCACCATCATTACAGTATTGTATCTGGTACTGTGAGTTTGAGAGTAACCATCACCTAAGTTGACACGAGAACATTGCTACTATTAAACTTTTTTACCACTAACATCACTCCCATACATTGACATCACAAGTGCACGTCCAACCATTAGTCAAATGTTATTCTGAACTCCATTACCTCTCTCATCAATGCTATTGACTCCAGCTTGTCTGAAATATGCTTCCAACACTGGTTTAGGAACAGTGGTCCAATCTCTTCACCATAACTGCAGTTAAAAAAAAGACATTATAAATTCAAAAGTCATCATTAACCAAAGAGAAGTTTTATAACACGGACAGGCTACACACACTCTACATGGCACTCCAAGCTTACCAACTTAATTGTATTATGTATGGAGAATCGTTGACAGTTACCATATTTTACAGCAAATAACACACACAGCCATTTTAATAGGGAGTATTTAGGAAGAAACTTGAGTGTATATTTTCCTCCTGTATCCATAGTTTTCTTAAGACAATGTGTACAGTACCAGAAATGTGAGAAATAAATACAAATAATACCAATAAATAACAACAAAGAGGATAACGGTGGCAGTGCGTGTGATGGAGGGTGGGGGAGGGGGTTTGAGAATTGCAATTAAATGCCAGGTAGAGACGTGTCCTCCTAATATTACGTATTTAAGTAATTCTTAGATGTTTTAATTGCCTGTATGTTGGCTAGACATTGCATTATGGATTGAACAAAAATATTGTATTACCAAACCAGTAAATAAAAGCCAAATGAAAGTTTAAAACAGTTACCATTAACATATACAGTACTGTACATCTGTACACCATGTTTACCATAATAACAGCACCACTACCTCCACCTTCCCTAACAATGCTCCCCCCCACCACCCACTGCCCAGCCATCCTCCTGCTCCCCCACTAAGCCAGCTAACTCATGTACAAAGAAATGTACATTACTTTTATGTGTTTGCCCTTAGGACAATTATGTCTTTTACCTTTATCACAATATGTATGTAGGATGGTGTGTGCATGTATATCAGTAAAAATAAATGAAGAAAGTTACGTATATCTACCCGAAAATACGAGTTGAAAAACAACAGCTTGGCCCAGTAGCCTGGTGATGAGTCTAACCTGGCTACAAGGCTGCCAGTGATGTTAACAGATGTAAATGTGAAAAGAAAGTTATCTGTTAATCTTCATTTGTATCAAGTATTAGTAGATGGAAAAATAAATGTGTCAGGTATGGAATTAATAGATTGTTATGCTTGTAGCAGTTCAGAAATGGTTACTGCTTAGCTGCCTCTGAAGAGTTGGGTGTCTGCTGTATAGACATTATTCGTCTCAGGATATCGTCATCAGTACAGTAGTTAAAATGGAGCTTTTTATATTTACAATGATTATTTTTAATTAATTAAAAATAGTAATAACAATGTTTAAGTAAGCAATAACATATTTTTTAATCTGGTATTGGGTTAGGTAGAATTAAGCCTACTGGAGACAGCAACGGTGGGGGGGGGGGGGATTCATTAGCTTGCGGGAGACTGCAACTTCACATATAGGCCGCAGACTGACGTTTTTTTTAGACATTTTTCAGACAAAAAAGTGGATCTTATATGCTGTAAAATACGGTAAACATACTCATCTGTACACAATACTGTACCACAGTATTTTAAGTGATCACCGTGTGTATTGCTCAAGGGAATATCCACAATTAAAGATTAAATTAATAAACAAGTCATAAAAATAACTAAATAATATAATCAAACCTAATATGAAGTACCGAGTAATTAAATTGCTCGAGCACAAAGTCAGAAAACATCTTCAAATATCCGAGGCAATGAGCATAGCAACGTACCTGATGAGGACCTGCAGCAAGGAGTCGAGGGTTGGCTGAATAGTTTCTTGGATAGCATAGAGATAGCCTTGTAGTGTACCAATAACAGTGTCTAGCAAACTCTTCATCTTCTTCATCAAGTTCATAAACTCAGCTTCCAAATATTCACTCAGCCTAAAATGATGCAAACTTTAAAACAAACAATAATAATGTTTTTTTCGGTGGGGAGGGAGGGGATTATGTTTGTTTCTTTTAATCTTTTGCCCAACACAAGCCCAAAAATTTTATTAACCACATGCGTACAGAATACCGTCTCTGCTGAATAAGATTGTCTGGTGTTAGCCAAATAAAATATGAATAGTGGTGTCCCTGTAGTGAAGGCATTAATATGAACTACAGTATTGGTGTTATGCATGAGCGAGTACAAACAGACACTGCCCTTTCTTTCTTTCTCTATTTGCTATGAAGAGTAAATGGATAACAACAAATAGGGAGCTTGTGTTTACTCTTGGTTTCAGTCACCCTTTATTACAGTGGGAAAGGGCCTGAGAGACTTAAGTTTGCACTATGAGTGAGATGTGTGCCCAAGGAATGTGATATAGTTCCCAGGTGTAGATGAGGCCACCACCTTCACCAACTCTGAAAGTTAATGGAACCTCAAGCACTGGTGTGGCTGACATCTCAGAGAACCTACAGCAACACTTTAACACTTAAATTTACACAACAATGGGAATGCCATGGGTTAGTTTTATGCATACATTCCAAGAACTTAATTTGAGTAGAACATGTACATAACAGTCTGTGCATATAAAAACCAGATTAAATAATTTAATCTCTCTCTCTCTCTCTCTCTCTCTCTCTCTCTCTCTCTCTCTCTCTCTCTCTCTCTCTCTCTCTCTCTCTCTCTCTCTCTCTCTCTCTCTCTCTCTCTCTCTCTCTCTCTCTCTCTCTCTCTCTCTCTCTCTCTCTCTCTCTCTCTCTCTCTCTCTCTCTCTCTCTCTCTCTCTCTCTCTCTCTCTCTCTCTCTCTCTCTCTCTCTCTCTCTCTCTCTCTCTCTCTCTCTCTCTCTCTCTCTCTCTCTCTCTCTCTCTCTCTCTCTCTCTCTCTCTCTCTCTCTCTCTCTCTCTCTCTCTCTCTCTCTCTCTCTCTCTCTCTCTCTCTCTCTCTCTCTCTCTATATATATATATATACATGCCAAGTTCTTTGTCAAGGCTGTGATAATGAAGATCTGATGAGAGTATGGACAGAGTAATATAATTAGACAGGTCAAGTAAATAAATACAGTACTTTTCCTTCATTCCTTGAGCTATGTAGCTTCTTGGTTAGTGTTTAGGTTTATCTTTTATTCTTGCAAACTTCCTCCTGCCTTAGTTCACTCTTACTACCGTTACAGCCCCATAAACCATATCTGTCAATCACCTACATCAGTGTTTCCTCTTACCTTTAGTACATCATTCACACCATCCTTCAGTCTCCCTTACGGTCTTGCCATTTCCTTCCTACCATTTTGGGCACAGCATTAAAATATTCTTTAATAAAAGCTTTTCATCAATTGTAAAAGGGAAATTCCTTAAAATAATTTCACTTACTCTATTAACCAAGCAGATACCACATTGTAAAGACCAGTGAACTGGGTCTGCACCTTCTCCCACATCTGTTGTATAACATCCGTCCACCATGAAGCCAAAGGAATAATAAATGTATTGATCTGACCCTCCAGATAATCCCATTCCTCTTTCATAAGTTCCATTAGTTGATTTAGATGAAGGCTTAAATAGTCACCAAAACTCTCCAGGTACACCAGAGATTGTTTGGACCTGAAAATAAGAGAGAAGTGGGTTGGATTACTTGTCTGCTGTCAATGTATAAATTCATTTTACTAATATAAGGAAAAGTCATGATTAAGCATGTTTATCTTAGTTCTCTCTATTCAACATCAATTAAAACAGGTATACAAGATAATATACTGATTATATAACATAACTCACAATATCAATAACATTTTACTTACACACTGATGGTAAAGGTGTACACAGCATGAAGAGCCGGCTGGAGTGACTCGATCCATAAGGAGTTGATATCTTCATTGATGTTGATGATGGCTGAGTTGAATTCATTGACGAAGTAATTAACATTACTTGTTTCTCTGTCCCATATTGTCTGAACAGTTTCACTGTTAACAAAGACTTCTAGAACAGCTGGAGCTTCCAGTAAAATCCACTGTTTGCACATTGATGACACTGAGGTCAGGTCATGCCACCAAATATTCAGGATCTTATCTCCAGGTGAGGTCAAGTGGTGTAAGAAGCTGCTATCACTGTAGTCAAGAGACGGGTCAAACTCAAAGATGAACTGGAGTATGTCTGGTGTAATAAGCTTCAGGCCAACAGCACCATCTTGGCTCCACTCCCCAAATCGTTTATGATCTAAAACTGTCCCAAGTTCAACTGGATTATGCAACCCAATTCTCAGCCTCCCTTCTTCATAAGCTTCCTGATCTTTCTGTCCAATATCCAGATACACAAGTAGTTCGGGTAAATGTTTGTTTATTGTCGTTCCAAATTTCCAAAATTCTCCACAGTCGCTTGGGTTTCCTTGAATGTTAAACGTGGCCGAATTATCCCAAGAATGAACGTCCCCCTCGTAACTGTAGCCCCACTTTGCTTGAGACGAGAAAATATTTGCAGAAAAGTCATAGCCACTATTAGTTGTATTTACAGCAGTCAAGATATTCAAGTCTTCCCATATCTCCTTAGTTAAACTCCAATATTTAAACCTGTAATCTCCCCTGGTGAACACTGATCTTAAGACCAGAGCATCCATGGTCAGAGCAAATTCAGAGAAAGGCTGCGAGATGTTGACTTTTATGTTGTGTTCTCCATCTTGTGTAACAGGTTGTATGTCAAGCATCATTACAATATTCCTCTCTGGAGAGTTTCCATCTACAAGTTCTGCTGAACCATGTAATGGTGAGTTTTGGTCTTGCTTTATGTCACATTCAAGGTAAATGTCTTTAACATCAGGATGACTGAAAACTGCTTTTAAGTAATGCCTCATTTGTCCAAAGAAAGAATTGTCATTATAGTTCACCTTGAAGGTAATTGGTGGCATTTCAGGATCTTGTTCATTCCATGTGAAGCTTGACAACATTTCTAACTCTCTTGAATTTGATGTTGCATTAGTTTTATAGTGCACAGTTTGAGCTGGCAGCAGCACATAGATGTCACCTGTGTGTACAGTACTGAAGAAACCTGGTTCTCTCTGGAACAAGCTTTTATAACCCATTTTTTTATTGTTTAATTCAAATATTAAACTTTCATTGTAATGGAAAGAGTTTACTGAAAATGTTCCCTCCACATAAAAGTGATTTTCTAAGGCTACAATTTGCATAGAGAAATGATGGCCACCTTCCAAGACTTCATGGTGCATATGGACCCCAGCAACTACCCAAGTATTATCTGATGCAAAATTTAATAACACTTGGAAATCCTCAAGTTTTTCAGTAAACTCTGCATTAAGAGTAAGAGAGCTTGGGTAGATCATTGGAAGAGTAAATGCAAACACTTTATCTGGACCCCAAGCTAAATGTGCCTTGAGGAGCTCATATTGGTCAATCTTCACAACCAAGAAACTTCTTTTAAGACCTTCAAGTTGATACTCAATATGAAATGAGTGATTTTCTAACAATTCTTTTGATTTTATGTCAATATGGATATATGCTCTATCTTTCATGGAAGTTAAAAACTCTCTTATTTCTGCTCTTATACTAAACTCATTCACCTGCAAAAGGACTACCTGTGATGATCCTATCGCCCTCCTTTGATTTTGTAATGCAAATTTAAATCCAACCTTTCCCATGCGTGCCTCTATGACGGATATTCCACGTCCTCCTTGCATAATGTATAATAAAGATATTATATCATATTTTTCAAAGGGTAGATAAAGACCCAACACAACTTGGCTGTCAAGTAAAGTTGTGAAAGTTATACTCATTTCAATTCCCACTTTACCTCCAGGATATTCTAACATCACTTGCAAGTGCTGTCCATTACTCTTAAATTTTGGGGTAACCAATCTGAATTTTTCAAAGTCTTTAAATGATGTAAGAAGTACAACTTCAACACTTTTTCCAAAAGTATCATCATCTTCAATGATGATATGGAATGAAACTTCAACATCATCCCATGCATGTACTAGGGATACAAATGGTATCTGGTTGGAATCATCAGCAGGCCAGTGAACAGAAACTGTGAAAAATTCTAAGTATTTGAAAGGAGATGTTAGGATAATATCAAAATCTCCATTGTGAACCTCATGATGAATCTCAAAATCAATTAGTTCATAAAAATATTTTAAATTAAACTTACAAATCCTTTTTCTTACATCAGCTTCAACAAAGAATGAATGTTGTGACCAGTTTAAGCTAATACGCTGGGTGTCAAGCCAAGACTTACTGTTTGTCACTTCCAAAACAATTTGCTCATTTTGTAACAAGAAACTATTGAGCCTCACATATATATCTCTCACTTCATAATAATCCGTATAACGCAGTTCTAAATTATTATTTAGCTCTGGAATAATACTATATATATCAAAATCAAAATCAATTCTATTAACTTCTGAGTATAAGACAAGTGACATTGTAAAAATATTTTCCTGGTTTTGTTTCACAATGATGTAAGAATTAATATGTTGAAGGTTTTCATTCTCAAATCTGGCATCTAAAAAGATCTCCTGGTTATCTACAATTACTTTACCTTCATAATTCATATTTGAAAGTTTAAAGTCAGTGTTGACTTTCCCTGTAAAAGTCACTTCCTCAAACGGTAAAAACGAAGACCTGCTTGTCAGCTTTAAGATATAGTTAGTGATATCTAAATGTAAATTAATGCTGTGTTCTTCATCTAAAACACTGAGGATGACACTCACAGAGATGTCCTTCTCCCACTCAACACTGCCTTCTATGGAGTAATCTCCAATCCAGTTGGAGGTTAATTGGAATTTACTATCAATCTTATGTTCATTTACATTATACTGGAAGTGGCCACTCAAATCTACCTTTCTCCTACCATAAGAAAAGTTAAAATTCATTATTCCATACAATTTTTGCTGAAGTGAATAATCAAAATTAAGTTTTAACGAACCATCTCTCAAAAATGGAGAATTTAGTTCCACTTGAATCCTGAGCTTCACAAAACTGGTATCATCAGACCAGGTGACCAGAAAAGAGTGCTCTTTGGATAAATCTGGGAAGGAAAACGACAAATTTAAAGAATTTTGAGTGAGAATGACCAGGAAACCTGCAGACCATTCAGAAGACTTAACTAGCAAGACTCTATTAGATGACCACATGTAGGGAAACAAGGTCTCATATGCCAACACAAATCGCTCTTCCTCTCCCTGGGTCACACTCAACTCTAGCTTTCCTTCTTCATAAAACACATTGATTAATGGGATGATACATTTAATGTGATATGGAGCGAGAATTTGATTACTTCCCAATTCAAGATTCACAATTAAGCGATGTTCTATCACACTGGCCCTCAAGCTTAAGTTATAATGCAAAAAATGTTTGTTTCTAGATTTTAATAATAATGCCAAGGAAGCATCAAGGGACTCCACCTGAGCACCGTACTTGGCTGTAACATTAAAGTTCAACAAATTTAGATTCCACTGTGGGGACTCAAGCCTTAAAGTCAGATGTGTTTCTCCATCATGAGGATTCATGACTTTTATTTCCATATGAGAGTCAATGATAACAGCCTGAATGGTCCAAGTATTCATGTACTCTACACTGAGAGACACCCATTTCCTATCAGATACAACTTCAAACAGAGACTTGAATGCATAACTCTGCTGATCTACATCATAACTAAAAGTGATGATAAAAGGAGAAGCTGCCTGTGAAAACATGATGGACCCCTCTGTATTCATCTCCATCCACTGATTCTTTGCTTCCAGTGTCCATTTCAAGTCTCCTAAAATTGGAATATCAGCTGTAAAATCACATCCATTTATGGAATACATACCCTCAACAACATTTGTTATGCCATTTACTAAGAGCATAGCTGAAAAACCTTGAGATTCAAGATTAAATATAGTCTTTAGACTTTTCAAGAGCACAAAAGGAGTCTGAATTTCTATTAGAAATTTTAGTTCACCATTTTCATACAAACTTTCAATTTTAGCAAGACAAATTACATCATCATCCACACTATATTTGGTCACAAACTGCAATTCTGTTGAAAAAAGATTGAAAGAAGTCACTATCTTCCTCTTGTCCCACTGGATGACACCCGAGTACTTCTGTTGCTCATCAGTTTCCAAGGATGCCATAAATAAGACCACTCTAAGTGGCTCCCATGGAGTCAATAATTTAAATTCCACTTTCATGTCTTCAGCCTGAATATGTAATGCCACAGTTTGTGATTCTGGCCAAGTCAAGTCAATCTGACCAGTATAATGATCATTTGTAATCCCTGCAGATACTGTTAGTGAAAGATTTTCATAGCCATTAATTGGTGTCTCAACAAAACATACTATTGAATATGTGGGAGAAAATTGGTAGTCACATAAAACTGTCCACACCTCCTTATTCAACATGAAGGCTGCTTTTATGTGACCAGGCTTGAGCATGAACGAAAAAGTTTGCTTTTCTAGTATTGGGTAAGAAGTCATTAAAGTCCACTTGAGGTCAATTTCATCATCCTTGAGCTTGAAAATGGCAGTAGCATTGACCTGCTGAGACCACTCCATGAAGACAGTACAAGAGAGATCAACATCACCATTTTTGTGAGAGAAATCCCCATCATAGCCAATGAGGAACTGAGGCACAGAGGTTAATGGTGTAGTAGTAATAATAGTCATCTTTGTTTGGTCTCCAGTGCGCATCCCTGTCACATTCACCTGCAGCTGCTCTCTCCACTCAAAATTAACAAAAGCTAAATCCATTACAGACTTCATCTTCCCTTGTAAGAATTTTTTTAAATCATACATAGCTTCCAAAATGATGGGATTACTGGGGTCTTCTGAAGTGTGAAAGACAATTTTAAAACTAGATTCTCTTTTCCGTAAATTTGCTCCCCCAGTCAAGTTGTATTCCTTATTCCCAATTGTAACTCGAGCTTTAAGTTGATTGTTCCTCGCACGAAAATAAGTTAAATGAATGGTCACTGGTTGCATTAAGGAGCTTTTTAGAGAAATATTTAACCGATGATTATGTCTCCTGGTAGTATAATTTGCTTCTATAGTAATTGGTTCAATGTTGAATCCATTGAAGTAAAGGCCAAAATGATGCCCCTTTTTTACTGATTTATGAAGAGTAGATAAGTTGAATTGCCAATAGTCGTTCAGTATGAGCTGCACATTAGTTTGGTAATAATTGACATTAACAACAAAGACTTGTTCCAGTTTGTATTTCACGTCGACCTGAAACTGGAACACGTTTAATAAAAAGCTAATATTCAATATTTCATTTCCATTTATCTTCCCAGACATATTTCCTTTACATGTTTTTTCTAGTTTTTCAAACCCTATGTCAACAGAACTGTTACTTCCATAGACATTCACAAAACTGAAGAATTTCAGTGCAAATTTTCCTTCACTTATCATTAAATTTGATTTTAGGTTTAAAATGTGATGATTTGCATGTATAACAATGGCAGCCTGAATATCTTTATAATCTGATAAGTCATACATGAAGTCAACATTAAGTTTGGATGTTTTATCCGATGTTGACCTCAACTGGAAATCAAAATGGGCAGAGTTGCTAGTATAATCCAGACTCATCTCAAGAACACCTGAGTATTTTCCAGCTGTATACAAGGCCTTAAAACTCATTGGACTTTCAGCAAAGGACCAGTTTATCTCTGCCTTCATTGGCCTGATGAATGGTGATGTCAACGATGCCAATATTGATCCAACTTTGTAATCGGATAAAAATTCAAAACTTGACTTAAGGGTCGTCTCCTCAATTCTTGCCACAAAGTTAGCTGTATATGATTCCATGAAGTTACTTTTAAGACTGAAAGTGAAGTCTGAAATCCCCTGGATGGGGATTTCACCATTTAGCTCAAATGTTGCCAATTTACTACTGAAATTTGCACTCCATTGAATCTTGAATGTATCAAGACCATACTGATAGTATGCGGCTAATGTTGGTGTTCTAAGGTCATACTCCGCTTGAAGATGATGAGTCAAGGTGAAGGGAGATTCAAAGAGAAAGTTCACTTTAATACTATCCCAAGGTGGTGATCCATCAGGCTCAATATCAACTGCAGCTTTAAATTTCAAAGCTCCTTGTTGCTTAATGTCAATATTTACTTCAGTTATATATGCCTGATCTTTCCTTCCAATGTTCCAAGACCCATCTACACCTCCAAAACCTTTAACGTTAGTCTTAATCTCAAGATTTCCCGACATAGCAGGGATCAGTTTTCCACTAAAAGTCAATTTTGTCATCGCTGTCCAGTTATCAAACTGTCCATCTATCTTTAGAGAATCCTGTAATTCATAACTGATTCTGTAAATTTTATTAACAGACTCAGGCTTTAAATTCATACTAAAACTGATGTTTCCATTTCTTAAGTATTCTCCAGTTCTAATTTCAGTTACAAATGCCAGCTCAGAACTGTTGTATGTTAAGTGAAACTCACTTTCCTGGGATAGTTCAAGAGGAAAGTCAACAGCCAAGCTGTATTCTCCTAAACCAAAATAAGTTAAGAAAGAAATCAATGATATGGCAATATTCCTTTCTGAATTCTGCCACGTTCCCTGTAATCCGACACGACCCTGAGGAGTATTAAGAACAGCTGATCCTAGACTTTCTAATAAGTTGTATGCCAAAAGAATTGACAATTCATGTGACTCAAACTGTGGACAAGTGAAGGTAATTTCAGTGAGCTGCTTTCTCCAAGCCCGATGATGATTGTGTCTGACTTCAATGGTATATGTCTCATTAGATGACTTAACAATAAACTTTGCTTGGTCAAAGATTTCAGATATGTACTTCACTGGATGGATCAGTTCAAATTCAAAACTTTCAAAGATTTTAAATGGTGTTGAGAAGGAAAGCTGCAGTTTCAATTCATCCATTGTTTTATATGTGAAACAATTAAGCTGGAATTCAGTGTCATCTTGGACACTCTGTACCTCAAGTGTCCTGTTCATCCCTTGAGTTTCATGAATGAATTTCATATAATAGTTGTGGAAGGTGTGAAGACTGGAGGACATATTAGCTATGACTGATAAAAGGTTGTTATTCTTTTGAAGTGTCACCTCACCTTCAGCATCACCATTTGTAGTCAACAGCTTAAAGGTTCCTTCTTTGATTTCTTCTGTTAAGTCATAAGCAACTGAAAGATCAGCACCATCAAAGGTCGAGTCTGTCACCAAGTGCATTCTCATGCTTCCAGAATCCTTCGTCATGTTGAACTCACTCATTAATTTCACATTCAAAGGAAAACCAAACAACGAATTTGAAAATGTGACATTAATCCCTTTCCCTCCTGGTTGGAAGTCATAGTCAGCTTCCAGGGAGATGGACTGATCCTTAGTCTGAAGTCTGCAGAGGAAGAAAGATGTATTGGATGAAGTTTCTCCAAATTGTCCCAAGAGTGACACACCAAGTGATATCTGTGGGTAAACTTCACTTTCGAGCTTAATGTCAATTTTGTCATGCTGCACGTGGTATGTACCATTAAACTTGAAAAGCAATCCATAGTCATGAGTACTTAAGTCAATATATAAGCTGTAGGGATATCTATCGAAGTTGTATTTCAAATTAAAGTCAAATATAACCTCTTCTGTGCACTGTAACTGGATGTGAATGTTTAGCATGGAGGAAAGAAAATATTCATCCAATGTACCTGTCAAATTGAAGCACCCCTGTGGAACCTGCAAGATTATTACCAGGCCAAAGTGTTCATCCTTTTCTACATTAACTGTTAAATTAAAAGTTTCCATCACAGAAAATGGTGTTTTAAAATGAAGGTAAGACTCTGGGAGGGTAACTTTTAAGCTTCCTGAAAGCCAATCCTTTTCCTCATCCACATCAATTGTCAAATCAGTTGTAAAACCTTCTGGTATGACAACAAAATCAAAAAGAATATTGGTTCTGAAAGTCACAACAATGTTATTCTCTATTTTTATACTAATTCGGTTGGGATTATTTGAAGATTGTGAACTGTATCTGAGAGTTCCAAGGAAATTATCTTCATTAACATGTAAGTTTGCAGTTATAGCCAAGTCACGTTTCTGTTGAATAACTAGCTGCCCAGTAATCTTGGAAATACTGGGTTCATCTGAATTCAGGTTAATAATGATTAGCTGCTTGACTCTTCTTATTATCCAGTTGAGATTGCCTTCAATGTATTGGAATTTTGATCCATCCTTATTAATTCTCTGAACACTGACATGTAAAGTCTTCCTTGAAAGGCGAAAGGAGAGTTCATACTTGTGGGAGTCACCGGGCATAACATAACCCTTGAAGTTTCCATACTTGTTATCGTAACTCATATACAGAGACCACTGGGGGGTGACATGATCAGTATAAAGTGTGAACTTTACTTGGACTTCTTTTTCCTGGGTTGCAGACATCATAAATCTTATTTCTTTCCTATCAAAAGTTTCCTCTTTGAAAATTACTTCATACAGTGTTCCGTATTCCAACCTAAACTCAGGACGATGCGCAAAAGAACCATTTAAATTTGCTTTGTATACCCACTCCTTACTATTTACCAATCCATTCACGTGGCCTTTCCAAGAAAAATGGTTGTTGATTTTAACGTCAACTTCCAGGTTACCCCCCAAATTCTCAAAGCCTTCAAGATCAGACTTTAATTCTAAACTGCCCTTAAAATCATAATTGTGAATGTTAGCCAGGTCGGCAGTCAACCTTAAGTGGCCATTTTTTAAAGTGCTACTTTTCTCACTATAGACTTCCAAGGAAAACAGAGCATCAACTTTGGGATAAGCATCTTCAAATGTGATCTTGAATCTAAAAAGGTCCATCTCATTTCTTGCAAAACTGAAATGCAAATTCGGTAAGTTGCCATCATTTCTCTTTTCATATAGCAGTTGAGAATGAAATTTGCTTTCTGAATCACCTGCCATTACTTTGAAAATGTTACCATCAAGGAAGGCTGACGTCAGGGTGAAGTAATAGTCATTCCATACACCCTCTACTTTCCCAGTATAATTAGAGTCCACATTCAACAGAGACTTAAATTGCACACCCAAATCTGTGATATTGGCTTTGGCACTGAAATCATAAAATACAAATTCCTGATTGAACCATCCCTGGTTGAACTTCAAATGACTTTTACCTTGTACAAAAATGTCATAGCCATAGGTAACTTGCACACTTGCCAAATACTCAGAATCTAAACTGTGCTTCCACTTTATCTCTGAGAGCTCAAAGAAAGAAGAAGTCACCTGTAGTACAAGATCTGATTGGTACCAGCTAGCAAGGTCAGTTGATATAACCATCAATGTGAGTACTGATGTGTCACCACGGGTTAAATCAAGCTTGTAGTCAGTTACAGTATTAGTTTCCTCTACTATTAACTTGCCTTTATACTCTTCAGTCCAAGGAGATGTGAAGGTAAAAGTTGAGTTTATAGATGATAAGTCACTTTCAGCATTTAGTGAGACCTGAGTTCCTATAATTCCTTCAACACTTGGTAAGGTGATCTGCAGTGAACTCGACCACTCTAGCAAGTGATGCAACTCCAGTGTGTGTTCCACTATAAAAGTCATGTCATTCAAGGACCCTGTTATTTCAGTTACATAAGGAACTGATTCCCCTTCATGTGATAAACTCAAGTCAAAGTTATAACCATGGATGTTGAGGAGAGAGATTAGTCCTTTTATATTAGTTGGGACAAAGTTTTTATCCCAAACTGTATCTATGTCCTGCCTAATTGTCATAGTGTTCACAGAACCCTCTAGTGTCTGCTTCAAGCCACTCATTGAAAAGTTGTAAGCAAGATCCAATGTAATCTGAAGGTCACTGTGTGTGAGATAGAAGTGGGCCTTTGTGTCTTCAGGCAATGAATAGTTAGCACTAAATTCAGCTTCCCAAGATGATATGGCATCCCAAGATGACTGGAAAGCACAATTTACATTTAAAATATTTTCTAAAATATGATCAACTGTCACATTCATAAGTAAAGGTTCAGTCCATGAGCTGTTAAATTCAGCCAGACCATGAAGCTTCTGTGCACTCAAAGATGACTCCTTAGTTCCCAAAAATGATAAACACATCTTTTCTTCCATTCCTGCTTCAATTTCAAAGCCAAGATGATCCTTTGTAATATTATAGTTCCCATACAACTGGAAAGGGCTTGTTAACACTGGAAACTGGAAACTTATCTCAACATCAAGTGATTCCTCTTGGTCAGAAAACACAAAAGTGGTGTTTACATCAACTTGCCAAGTACTGTGATCTAGTATTGCCAGACTTGCTCCAGTTAGTGAGTGGTGACTTTCTTGATTGTGATATATATGGAAGTAGGAGTCACAAGTCCCTCCATCTTCATATGTCAACTTGGCCTCAAAGTTGGTTGGATCACCTAGCCGGGCTTCCCCACGTATCTGCACGAATACCAAAATTTTATTACCTTAGTTCAGTCATCCCAATAGTAAATTAACTGCCTTCACTTTTATGATTTCTTTCTGATATTAAAATTAAAGAAAATATAAATCTAATAAAGTCCATGACAGAACATAATATAAATACTTCAAAATCAATGTAAAATTTTGAAGTTGCAAGATATCTCACTGTAAAAGTTTTTCTATATATATAAAAGAAAGAAAGAAAGAAAGAAAGAAACAAAAGAAAGAAAGAAAGAAAGAAAGAAAGAAAGAAAGAAAGAAAGAAAGAAAGAAAGAGAGAAAGAGAGAGAAAGAAAGAAAGAAAGAAAGTGAGTGCGTGTGTGTGTAAAAATATATTACCTTAAATTCATCCAATTCAATCTCAGCAAAGTTTAGTTTGGAGGGGTCACTAAGTTTTTCAAAACTTAACCCAATATTTTGCAACTGAGAGAATGGTGTTGTTAAGGTCAAATTGAAGCTGGTTGCATCATCTTCAAACCAACCCTCACGATGCATGTGTTTCATGTGACCTTCAATGGCACCATCACCCCAGCCATATGAAACCTGAAATGAAAGCATTCACAGCAGTCATAATAGGTCGTTACTTTCTTTACACTGAGTCTGATGTCTGATTAGAGGCAGTATGGAAGGCAGAGTACATATTAAGAGGCAGTGTGGATAATGCAGAGTGAGTAATGAGGGACAATGTGGATAATGAGGGACAGTGTGGATAAGGTAGAGTGAATAATGAGGCACAATGTGGATAATGCAGAGTGAATAATGAGGCACAATGTGGATAATGCAGAGTGAATAATGAGGCACAATGTGGATAATGCAGAGTGAATAATGAGGCACAATGTGGATAATGCAGAGTTAATAACAAGCCTTCGGTTAACATGGAACTGTGGCAACACCAGCAACCATTAGGACAAGAGATGGTTGTATCCACTCAGATGTTGCACCTCAAACACTGCTTGAAGTTCATATTAATATCTTGCATCTTATATATAAAAAAAGATCACTTCATATATCAAAGGCAAAAGTTGCGCTACAGATACATTTACAAAATCTACTCAAGGCACATATCTAAGTCCAATGAAGGAGTGAGTAACATATGATCACAAATTGCCTTGTAGTTTATACAGATTATGGGATCATTTATCTGGCATTCCTATATCTAAAAAACACTATGTTCTGGAACAAATTATTTAAAATGAGCACCAAAACTAATTCCCGAGCCAAGCAGGAAAATTTCCAACTTGTCCCAACCTGTGAGCTATATGTTATGTAGCGGTTATTTTTTTTCACTCCAGAATGCGACGTCTAGCTTTATACCTAGGTATGTCAATGCCTAGTAATAACTCGCCAGGCCAACATACAGGCAATTAAAACATCTAATAATTACTTATTACGTAATATTAGGAGGACAAGTCGCTACCTGGCATTTAATTGCAATTCCCAAAACCCCCTTCCGCACCTTGCATCACACGCATTGATACCGTCACCTTCTTGCCTGGCGAATCAGCTGTAAATACGCACAAAGAAGGCTCCGCTAATTTGTGTATTTATACATCGTAGCATGGTGAGGAAATCGAGTGACTTTATTTTGTTTATGTCTCAGATATTGTTTTGGGGGCAGATCTGGTCAAGCATGGCGACCACGGCTCATCTTCTATCTAGGAAGACAGTAGATCTTTAGTGACTAATATCCTCTGCTTTCAAGTCACTTAGTTTTGAATGACGTTTTTTGCCAGAGTTAAGTTTTTCTTTTCATAATTCTATTTTATTCATGTCCTCAATAGCGGGTTCAGCCTTTCCAGGCAAACTTTAGCGAGGCTGCTAGTCTTAGTGACCCTTTCCGACGCTGACCTTCCAGTCTGACTAACAATCTAGAGTTATGATGGGATGGACCTTGTATCCTCAGTATGGGTTATTTGAGAACCATTCAGGGTGGAATTCTCAACCCAATACATCTTGCTAGAGTAATGGTGAACGATGTTAGCCAATGGAGCGCTATGGTAGCAGCTCAGCACTGTCAACCCTTCCGGGTGACTTGATGCTCACTCAGGCATTATCGCTCAAGCTAATTAATTGAAGCGATGATGTCTGTGCACCCTGATTGGCAACAAATAGAGAACTTGGTGATCCCTCAAAACATAAGTGCTCTAAAATGAAGTTAGCTTGATCAAGACACAAAGTTCATTGAGCTGAGGGATACTTGAGGTAAGAGAAGGGAGAGGTGTATGATATAGTGAGTTAGTTGCTTATGGTTGTCACACTGGTGACTTATATAACAATAAGGAGATATTAAATGAAATAATTTACCATAAATTGTGGCGTATAAGTCGACCTTAAGAATTTTAGTAAAAAATTCAGGTTTAGGCCTATACTCGCCATATAAGTCGACCCCCCAAGGCCCAAACATAGGCAAAAGTGTGTAATAAGGCCATGCCACTTCCGTCAAGACACTTAACGTAATACCTTTCAATATTTGAAAAAATATATTATATAGTCCATACAAAAAGTGAAGTGGTCAGCAGGATCTACTTAGGACAGCAAGCAACCGCTAAAAATCTTCAGTAAGTTATCTTCGTAAGAACTCTGGTAAACACCAAGTCAAAATCAGCACCTGTAGTAATTGTTTAAACAGCATACCAGTATAGCACCTTGATATTACAGTACTGCTATAAACAGTATGATAGTAGAGCATTATGGTACACCTGGCTTACGATCCGCCATCTGCATCAGCTGTTGTAAACAAACTGCCAGTGGCGCCACCAACACCACGCGGCCAGCTGCGAAACTATGGGTCAATTACACTGTCGGCAGCACAGCAGACTTTGAAGGATTTTAAAATGTGATCATACATGCTTCTATTGTCAATAAAATACAACTTTGAATTAAATTAATCTTGAAGTTAAAGTTTTAACTGTTTATCTTAGAGTTAAGGTTTTAATTACGGTGTCATTGTGTGTATATTCAATAAACTGCCATTATGTATCATTAAACTGTCATTACCCCTGTAGTGAATGAGAACTCACAATCTATAGCGCTATCATAAAATTGCGCAGATGGCACCCATATTGTAGTACCGGGTAGTTGTCTGGCTGGCCGCCTGGGTTTAATGGCATTCTGATCCATTGTTTACTGTCCATCAGCTGTTGGAAATGGCGTGTGGTGTTGTGTTCGTTTAATTATACTGGAATTTACTATTTTATTATTATCTCTTAAGATAAATATGTTTACCAAACATGAACTTCAGTAGGAAATATTAGAGGCAGGCCACGGGAGTTACGGTAAGTGATGCACAGCGAGTGCTAGGCAGGCTGTTCCACTTGTTTACCACTATATGTAGTACAGCTTCACATTTTATACTCAGCGTATAAGTCGACCCCTGGTTTTGGAGAGATTTTTTCGAGCTTAAGATGTCGTCTTATGCACCGCAATTTACGGTACTAAAATATCACAATTACGAGTCATATTGATTATGTTTGGGAGAAAATGTAATCTCCCTTGTATTATTATGATGATACAATGTGACTCATGGTGTTCCTCCTAGTTTAGATGAGTGATGTGCAACTGGAGGATAAAGGACAGTTATCTGGATTGCTAGATGATGGAGGAAACCATGGAACTGTCCCTGGGAACTAGTGTTGAGTGAGGAGCTACAGTAGTAGTAGTTTCACCCAGGACCCAAGGGGACCATACTACATGTAATTATCAAGGCTGTAGAGCCACTTGGATTACCAAGTTAGATCCACATTTGGCTTGCATAATTCATAGCAACTGTGTCCCAGACAACCTGTTTTCACCATTGGATTGTGCAGTTTGTTATGATAATTTGTTTTTTAATTAATCAAGCTGCAGGAGATAAGAAGGAATTATTGAAGATCCAAATCAAAAATAGATAGAATAAGGCCTTGAAGAGTACATTTCTAAATGTAAAACACTGGAAAGATCCCAAGTTGGCAGAATGTTTAGAATTATGGGTGAAAGGTAAAAGACTTAAACCCCAATTAGACCAACCTGCTTCTGCTAAGAAAAGTAGGTTATTGGATGTTTTAGATAATGAAGCAGTAAGAAGATTACAAGAACCTCTACCTAGTCAGTCTGATTTTAGTGGATTCCAGGATCAGGATGAGGAAGTTGGCTCTAATCATAGTGTTCAGTCTCTAGAGCAGGGAGAACCTGTCGAGACTGACTTCATCTTCACCCCTCGAGAGTTGACATTTGTTTACTGCTCACCCTAGGGCAAGAGATGACGGTAGCAATGCGTGTGATGGAGGGTGGGGGAGGGGGGTTTTGAGAATTGCAATTAAATGCCAAGTAGCGACGTGTCCTCCTAATATTACGTATTTAAGTAATTATTAGATGTTTTAATTGCCTGTATGTTGGCCTGGCAAGTTAATGCTAAGCATTTACATAACTAGGTATAAAGCTAGATGTAGCATTCTTGACTATATCACAAAAACTGGTTTTTAGAAGAAAAAAATGTTTTTGTTTTTTACTGTATACGTAATTTTCTTAATTTTCTTTACAAAGTTGCATACACACTCAATCATACATACAGAATCTGAAAAAACATAACATCATAAGGTATAAGGCATTTTTTAACAGTGAAGAATTTCATGGTTCTTGATTGCACACCAATATTATAATAACCCCAAGCATTGAATCCTACAGTGATGAAAATACTATACAAGATGATAAATTCACACTAACCAATAAGTCGCGTGTGGTGCCATCATATGAATGAATAAGGCTTAGATTAGAGGAGAAGGCTTGGCCTGATGGTAATGTGACTGCTGCTTCTGCTGATCCTTCAATCATCCCTGAATGAGGAAGGTGATATTTTCCACTGATGACAACTTCACTCTCTAGAAGACGAAGACTACCATTAAAAGTTTTCTCCCTGGAAAGAAAGTTCAAGTAATATTATTTTATATTATACCAATGTTCCACTACCTCTATGAATACACAAATGGATATCATTAGTATTATGACAAAATCACTCTGAATAACTCCAACCTATTCAAGAACATGGCAGTTTGAAAGAGATGGTCCCCACTAGCTGCGATGTCTGCCTGGAACATCTCAAGCTCAGTTGATGTCTGCCTCTCTATGACTATCTGAAATTCCAAGATCATTTGAAACAATTAAAATATCTCGCTCGCTTTATAGATTAACAATGTATAACTGTTATCCAAATTACAACAGGTATGTATGGTTAAAATCAATACAGTACGTACATGACAAAGTTAAACAAGAGGTAAATTGTCTTAATGAGAACACGAGGAGCTCCGGACCATAACCTGCTAAGTGCCATATATCACCGAAATGTGTTATGTATTGCATTGTATTCCCCAACTTCTCATATGTCCCCTGGAAGTCAGAGAGCCAATTAGATTATTCAGCACCTTTGCGGGGTCATACAATATGACATACCGGACCAAGAAATCTAATAACACTCATCACGGCTTCTGTCGCAGGAATCGTTGCGGATGGTTTCGGAGCCAAGAGTGCAAAATATATTTTAGTGAGTGTACAATCAAAGACAAAAGTCGTGTCGTGGTTTTGTCCGAAGATTAAATATAGCTCGTGAAACATTACGAGAGCCCTACCACAAGGCAGAGCGCACCAAAGGTTTAGCCCTTCTGCATATGTTTTCATTGTACAGTCAGTTCTGCTACAACACGATAGTTGTGTTCTTATAAAACCTCACGTTGTAGAAATTCGCGTAATAGAAATAACAGGGCTTATGGAGAAAATAGGGTTAGGTGCAGATTACTCGAAATCGAAAAAAATTTAGTAGTTAGCCTAACACAAAGGATAGCACAGTTTAAATAAATGTTACATTCATATCTAATAATGAAATCATACAGTAAATGTAACACTTTACCTTGAAAAAATATGAATATAACTTGAAGGGGGAAAAGGGTGATTTTGATGTTGAGGAGTCATGCAGACAGGAGTTGAGAGTTGTCATCATCATCATCAGGTGCAGTTTTGGTTGCATGGGAGGGACGAAAAAAACGTCTAATTCCAGAAGTGGATGGCTGTGGTTCAGTGTCTTCAGTCTGCTTCTTCAAGGTTGACTTAAAAAAGACGTCTAATGTTTGCTGTTTTGCCGTCTTTCTTCTTTCACAAACAAGCTGTTCAGAAGGTGCCAAAAAAGATTTAACACCACGAACTGCAATCCTGCTCCTTTCTGCATTGTAGTCATTGTCTTCCAAGAGCTGCAACTGCTTATCAACTTCCCTCAGGATAGAAGACAAAAGAGAAGTGGGAAGCTCTTGTGGATCAATTGAACATGTGATGTCGAACGTGAGCTGTAAACACTGCATAAACCCGCGCCAAGCGACAGTACAGTACACTTAAAACGTTCGAGTGGAATCGCATTACAGCCAACGTGCGTTTGCGTTTTACAAATATCGTTCTTCTATTCATCAATTGCGTTATAGCCAATTCGCGTTGACAAAACACCCGTTGTAGCAGAAATGACTGTACCAGAAAAATTTTCTCAGAATTTTCCAGAAAATGTGTTCCCCGCAAAAGCATTTCCAAATCCGGAATTTCAATTCTGGTTATCAGAGAGTTCCGATTAAGAGAGATTCCAGCCAATGGAAATATTACTACTGTATTATTATTAAGGGAGGACACCCAACAACAGATAGATTATCAGCATCATGAAAAATATGGACTCCCTGAATAATGTGATCACGATGTGTCTTACCTGAAAGGCTGGGTCCCTATCATCAGGTCCACTCCGTGCCAAAAACTGAAGTAGGAAGTTTGGATGTGTCTGAAAATTAATATATACAATGAAAACAAAAAAATCTATACACTAGAGAAGTACCTATTACTAGTCAATAATAGTCTTGCAGAAGCAATCTTTTCATTATTATTATATATACCAGTATATATACCAGTATATATATATATATATATATATATATATATATATATATATATATATATATATATATATATATATATATATATATATATATATATATATATATATATATATATATATATATATATATATTAAAGTTTACAATATATAAGTACAGCATACCCTCAAAGGTACAGACCAGGTAATTTCAGAAGATTTGGACAAAATTTGGACATTCCAGGGGCTAAGAAGCCTCCCTAAGAAGCATTCTCAAAACAGAACGAAGATCATCTTAAGCCTGTGTAATTAAGGTGCCAGTGCGTGGGACACAGGTGCCCGAGGAGGCGGGAAACATAAACAGAGTTGTCAATTGTTGTTTGTGGGAATATTATTTCATTCACTCTAGTAATGATACAATGTTTCTTATTATGTTATTGTAGGTATATGTATGGTTTATATAATTTGTTTATCACTGTAATCGTCACCATTTTCAAATTCGACTACAATATATGTATTTCTCCACTACGTATTTCCGTTGTACACCTGGCAACGGGAGCAACTGACCACTAGTTAGTGCGTCGTCTATCGTCTACAGTTATGATTCTCCTCCCTCCCTGCCATATTCTACTGGATTTACTGTTATTACTAGTGTTTACTTATATAATAGTGCCTAACAGTGATTACTCATGGCATTTCAGCCAAGTTAGACTCATCACTGTTACCACCAGGCTACTGGGCCAAGCTGTGAGGTGTTATGGATATTTTTCAACTCGTATTTTTGGGTAGATATACGTAACTTTCTTCATTTATTTTTACTCGGTTACATGCACACACCGTGCAATTTTCATTAATTGTATTGTTTTTTGGGGGAAAAGAGGGTAAAAAGCCACACAAAAGATATGAAAAGGTCACACTGGGAAAGGTATCTCATTATTATTGCTTTATTTTATTGGTTATTAATGATCCACGATACAATGATTCACTTTACACTGCAATATTGGAGGACACATTACCATCGTTATTCGAGGCTTTACTCTACACGTACTATCGTGGACAAAAGTTCGCTCCCTGTAGTGAAACTGAGACACGGGAATGAGTCTCCGAACTGACTTACCCTGATTGTTATCTGGTGCGGGTGTGCTGTGCGGGTCAATACTGCTTCAGTTTGGGAAGGAGCGAACTTTTGTCCACGATAGTACAGTACATGTTTGCACTTAGGTCATTTATTTCTTTTATGTTTCTTTTCGTATGGTGTGCATGTAAATGAATACAAATAAATGAAGATATTTATGTAAATCTACCCAAAAATACAGTTAAAAAAACTTGTACATTATTAAAATGTACTAAACTTATGTACTAAAAATTCTATCTCATGTGCAAAATATATTATGATGTCTAGATTCAAATTATTCACTGTCTTGCAAGGATTCCAGCAATGCAAATTATATTCTCCTAACTTTAGTCGGTGATATTATATGAGATAAAAACTTAAAGCCTACTGTATAACCACCAAACCCTTGCTGGGATGGGGGGGGGGGTGAGGGCAGGAGGAAGGGGAGGTGACAGTGACATGTTTGACAGTTGTCCCCGAAGGTCTAGTGAAGTATTTATTTGTTTATTTATGTCCTTTAGATTGAGTTTTTGTTTTTTGCTTATAAAATGTCACAGAAGTGACCAGGGAAAATATAATTTACATATCTGGAATTCTTATAAGATAGTGATTAATTTGAATATAATCATGCTATAGTTTGCTCGAGACAAAAATCTTAGAAATCATTTAGCACATTATTTTGAGTACATGTACAGTACAGCTTTGCCCTTAGGACAGTGTGTGCTGTAAATGAGAAAAAATAAATTAATAAAGTTACATATATCGAGCCAAAAATATTACAGTAGTTGAAAAGCTTTATGTAGACAGATCTTGGGTGGGTAAATTTTAGAACGACCAATAATTTCAACATAAAAAATGCAAAAATATTCAAGAACTCAACTTTCTTGATATTTACTCCACTGGAAACGAATGTAAACATAGAATCGATTACTGTCTTGGCGGACTAGCCGATCAGCCTGGCAGTCACCGGGGACGGGCAGAACCTCCTATGCATCCTACGTGTTATGACATTCCGATATAGAATCAAATATCTCAAAATATTGCGAGTTATTGCACATCACTTTTTCATAGCAGTGACAATACAGGAAAACATTCAGGTAGTAACCATTGTAAAACTGAACTTTAGCCATCACATAGCAGTAACTGGTGTTAATAAAACTGATTGAGTGGTATAACGGTCACTGCCTGTAATACAAAAAACAAAACAATAAAAATTATGAAAAGGTGAGAAACAATAAAATGTAACTTCTAATTTTTCATATGTAAATCGTAACATGGAACAATTTGTTTTTTTTTTCACAACTTAGGACTTTCATAACCAGATCTTCATAAATCAGGGATTAAATCAATTACTCAGAGCACCATCCTCATATCTGAGGGTCAGCTACAGCAGTCCACAACTCTAAACGTTATTGGGCTGTGTTTACCAATCTTCCAAGGTTTTGTATCTCTCAGGGGACTCAGTTTTAAATTTTAATCATCCATCCCAGTCTCTGCTTTCCCCTGGCTCTCTTACCTTCAACTTCTGTTATTATCCCCCCATCCCTAATTATATGACTAAAGTATCTAATTTTTCGTTTTCTGTAAATTTTTCTAAATTTTTACTGACCTTAGTACTCCTTCATTTGTCCTCCTGTCAGTGTAGCTGACAGGATTACCTGTATATTTAAATTTTACACTATAATGTGTCTTACTTTATTTTACGACACACAGTTGTCTTAATCTTGTATCCACTTACTTCAAATGCAATTTCCAGGACTCCACTATTTTCAGATGTGAATTTCACCATCTTCTTACCGGTATCCAAGAAAGCTTCATGCTCAATACTGTAAGACCAGTCAAACCACTTGAGCTGTGAAGAATTTTTTTTTTTTGAAAAATTACCCAATGCCTGATGCCTTCATCCACAATATAGTGAAGTACATAGGTACATTAAGGAAAGTCAGTAGATATTCATAATAATACATTTTTTATCAGTAAATTCTTAATACAGTAAACTCTGAAAATTTATATGTCAACAAAGGGGATCTTTCCATTAGTCTGGTGTTTATAGAGCTGTCTGAGTCGACAAGTCCAACAAAGATAGTACTGTACACCTAATGACAAGGTGCTGGTGATGTGGGAAGGAAGTCATGTGCTGACTGAGAGTCTAAAAGAAACACTTCATTACATTACCAGTATATACACTATGAGAATGCCCCCAAAACATAAGTCAGTACTGTACTATAATCAAAGCTTTATTGCAACTGTACTGTGTTTCCGGAATAAGTCTTGAGGGCTTACACTGCTCTTAACTCTTAACACTTTTATAAACTTTGGGGGAGAGTAATAACTGAAAACTAAAGCTTCATACAGTATTTAGTATGTCCCCGAAAAGTCTGAAAATCCTTTAACTATATGAGAGATAATCCAGAGCAGAGAATTTACTATAATTTAAAAACTCATATCTACACCAACAACCTGTTGGAAATACTTTATAAGAAAATAAGTAATTTTCAACATCATGTGATATATGTCCATATGTAACAAAAAGAAATAATAACAGTATAATCTCACATTACTTCTGCCAGTGAAATTATGCCAGTCTTGATCAGACATAGTGTATAGTGACACTCCTGCTTGATGAATGTCAAAGGCACCATACAACTCCACACTTGCATTAAAGGGATGATCTCGACTGTAGTCCACCTCATAAAGAAACGCTGCAACTGCTGGTCCCACAGAACTACTCATCTGGTGACAACCAATATAAGACCTTGACATTATTATTACAATCAGTTCTCCTATAACGCAGTAGTTGTGTTCCTGAAAAACACAGCGTTATAGATAAATTGCATTGTATTAACCATTGATTCAGTGGGAACTAAGGGGTTGGGGGAAGTAGGTTCAAGAACATCAACATAACGAACATGGGGCCCACATTCACTTTCATGCCATAGTTAAGATTTGTGTGCTCTTTTATAATAACTGTGCCTTAGTTTAATAATATACTGAAATTCATGAATAGAATAAAAATATGAAAAGGGGGGGAAAACGTTTATTACAGTATGTTAGTGTACATTGCTATGCAATAGAAGACAGAGCCATGAAGATGGATGGAGAACGAATATGCTGAAATAATATGGAGTGGGTGGAGACATTCTGACAATGTAGGAGAGGGTTCATAAGTTCATACCACTTTATCAGAACTAATTTCTGTTCAAAAGTTACAGCTTTTCTTCTATTTACTTTGCTTTCACTACCACCACTACCAGAATGCTTCACACCCTTGCCATGCATTGTAATTAAAAGCAATAAAATTGATACAGTACAGCACAGTACAGTACTTGCACTAAGATAAAGCACAGTTGGCAATAACAGATGTCTGATGTGTATGGAAGATAAACAAAGACTGTGGGGATGGCACATTGACTTGTGTGATCTATAACTGCTTATTCCTACATGAGTCACATAGTTCCATTTACTTGCGTTATATCCAAATCGCATCTGTGTTACAGAAAATGAGTTCCCTAATAAATTCATCACATTATATTCAAATGGTGCTTTGAAGACATACATTATAGGAGAACCTAGTGTACCATACAGATCATATTCTGCATCATCAAAAGTTCCTACCGTGCAGAAGAGTATAATATACGAGTACAGCTCAGGTTATAACTCTCTGGTCTGGCAATCTGTGGCCCGCCAACTCACGTGGTCTGGCTTGTTTTGAATCTGGCGCCATTAGTTTGCAGAGTAGCCACTATTAGCAGCGCTAAGCCGCCAAGTATATTTGGTTATACACTCTTGTCTTCCTTATATTTTGCCTATATTTAAGCCCTGCAATATGCCTTCCAAGAGACCAGGAGGTGTGGAAAGTGGCATGATGAGCACTGCCACTAATTTTTCACTAAGGGACCATGACTGTGGTAAAATCACCAATAAAGAAAAACTTTACCAGCAAGAATGCCTTCTTCGACGTCTTGCTTTATACCTAGGTATGTTAATGCCTAGCAATAACACGCCAGGCCAATATACAGGCAATTAAAACATCTAATAATTACTTAATACGTAATATTAGGAGGACACTTCGCTACCTGGCATTTAATTGCAATTGATATCCATAATTTTAGACGAGCACAGACAAGTGATAAGCAAGGTGAGCTAAGAAGAGATGCCGGGTGGATTGGCTCGTACAAGAGCGATACCCAAGCATAAGGGTGATTCAGGGGGTCAGACACGTATATGAGTGGGGTCGCGTACTTTGGATACACGTACTCTGAGACATAGTATTTTCTTTATTCATAAGGCACTCTAGAACACTGAAATGACTTTTTCCCAAATTCTGTGGTTGCTTAACATATAACAATGGCATCAGCACTCAGTCATGTGAGAGGTAAGGGGTTCTCAGGGGGGCAATTTGTGTGTTTCAGCACTGGTCAGGTCCCAAGGGTGCCAGACTAGAGTTGCAACCTGTACTGTATTTAAATAGAAAGATCTATTATGCCATGAGAGATATGAAACTGCTATGTAACTTTAAATTTAGTCTTTACCAGGTGAGTCTCCTGTAACAATAAGTAATGTGATAATATCCATTTTGCCTCTTTGTTTATTAATCGTAAAATTTTTTAAACAAAATGCAGAGTTCTAAAAATTGCCCTTATTGTATATAACAACATTTTGGTACATTAATTGAATACATAACTGAGAACATGTACTCACAGAGATGACAGCACGGTCAGGTTGACTGAAGTCAATATTGTGTCCAAATTCTATAATAAAATCATTAAAGTGGAAGTGTAATCCAGCAAGTAAATGCAAAGGATCTGTTTCCATCAGGTACATCAGTAAAAATTTGGAATGGAGTATGGAGTTGAGTTTGACTTCTGCTTCAGCTTGGAGACCGTGATCTGATACCTAAAACAATAATGAAAGTAAAATCAATGAAAAAACACACACAAAGACTTCTTTCCTTTTCAAAATCTTTCTCTATGACTTGTTAGAAATGTTAGAATTTTATTTCCTCAATCTATTCTCTCCCTAGCTCTTACTTTTCCTCAACATTCAAGAGATGTTTATTTCTAAAACACAATTACACTCATATATGCATGTACATACACATTACAGTAACATGATAGATGACATCGTCTCAAAATTCAGTCCTGAAGAAAATATTCTATAATATCATCAACAAACTTAAGAGCGAAAGGCAGGTTAAGAACAATACTGTATACAGTGAGTTCTGCTATAACGCGTGTTTTGATAACGCGAATTTGCTCTAACGCGATTTATGAATTAGGAACGATATTTGTATAACGCAAACCCTTGTTTGCTGTAACGCGATTTTTGCTTACTATTTCTCCAATTTTGTGGTACAGTATTAACTGTGAATATAGTAAAGAAGAATATCAACAAGAAGCGTTCTGGTGATAGAATTCCCGGTGATGATCGTAAAAGAAAGGATATAACACTTGAAGAGAAGCTCGATTTTATCAACCTCAAAATCACCCTTCTCCCCCATCAAGTAAAGTGTTACATTTACTGTATGATTTCATTATTAGATATGAATGTAACATTTATTTAGACTGTGCTATCCTTTGTGTTAGGCTAACTACTAAATTTTTTCGATTTCGAGTAATCTGCACCTAACCCTATTTTCTCCATAAGCCCTGTTATTTCTATTTCGCGATTTTCTATAACACGATATTTTACAAGAACACAATTATCACATTATAGCAGAACTATCTGTACTAATAGAGTACAAACCTTATAAATAACTTGGCCAAGGTAATCCATGTTCATTTGTGGGCTAACAAAATTCACTGTCAAATGAGTGTCTTTGCTGTTCCCCTCAATTAAGTTCTTCACTATAAGTTGAGATGCTACCTGAGAACATGGTTAAAATTGTTAGTGTATATCATTCACATAAATACCTTAACATTTTGTTTTGTATTCAAATTAAGTTTAACATGAAAATGTGAAAAAATTCAGTTACAAATTCGCTTATAGAAACCACCTTAAAGAATTAGCTTCACCTGGATTGTCTGGACTGTAACATTGATGTTCACTTCAGCATGTCCTGGTTGATATTCAAAGTCCACCTCCACTTGACTTTCCGCCTGACTTGACTGCCAACAGAAGTAACACTCAAGTGAATTGGTTGCATTTTCCTCATTGAGTTCACAAATGACACTGGATGCATACACCACATAAGTCCAATATAATACATGCTTACCAGTCAAATAATAATTATATAATATATTCAGTATAAACCCACATTCATAACATTATATGACCTTAACCATACTATAAACTTTACTGGTATCATCACTGATATACATAATACACCTCACCTCCATTGATAAGGATCCCTTTCTCTTTTTCTTCCCTTGTTCCATCATTTGAGAAGAATCTAATGTCAGTAACACTGAGTGTGCCAGAATGGCATCTTTCCCATACTTGGATGATATTTGCATTCTTTGCTTCTCCCTGTTAAGAATGAGGTTTCCTGAACTAGAAACAAAGATCTTTCCAAAAGTCTTCATTCCATCATCACCGAGCCAGATTCCTTCAAGTTCCCAAGTAACTGTAGATAATACAGTTCACATTTAACATAAAAATATTCTGCAAAGATCAGTTACATATTACATATCATTTTGTATGAATTACTTTTAAGTGATTAAAATTTTTGTAAAATACAGTTCTTTAATTATATATATAATCTTCTCAAATGAAGTAAAGTTCAATCTTATTTATAAGATCAGAAGAGGTTCCTTACCTTCTAAACCTTCATGTTCTTCTTCTTTATTATAAACAATGTTTCCCCCCAGTGTCAAAACTTCCTTTCCTAAGGTAAGTGACATCTTTGGAATGTACTTATGTCCATATTTTCCTGTTTGATTCTGAAGTGATACTTCAAATTCCCCAACAACATTAGATTCCTCACGATACACAAGAGAGAGTTTTTTAGATGCGTAAGTGTTCTCATATTCTCCCTCAATACCATAACCCATTCCTCTGATGGCCATGTACACTCCTGCATCATTTGGTCTCACATTAAACAGGAAATGAACTTTTCGATCAATGGAAGATCCTGGAGAATCAAATAAAGCTTCAAGAACATTTTCCTGTTTTTTAACATATAATTTATAATAATTAAATGTATCTGTCTTGGTTATCTTAAAATCCATATTGTACGGTTCACTCACGATAGTTTCTCCATCAAGAGAGCGAGTTTTGTAACTGACACTGCTACACAGTTCAAGGCCAAGTCCTTTACTAAGACTGTCTGGTGAGCACTGTTGTTGTGACTCTTCACCTTCACCTTTGTGTTCTTCCCAATCCTTTCTGGAATTTTTGAAGAGTGAAACTTTTACAGATTTGCTCAGCTTCGTGATCTCAGGACTAGGAACATTAATTTGTACCTCTAAAATCTCTCCATTTTCAATTGCAATTTTACCCCCAATATGTGTGCGAGCAATCTGGGTAGTTGTTCTCCTGATACCACTGGAAGAAACATAGCCATCAACCATAAGTGTTTCATCAAGTGCAACAACAGCAGAAGGGGAAAGTTTTCCCTCTAAGATTATGTCCTGAGTGCCTCTCATCTGCAACTTTTCCTCCTTGTTAAAGATGACTGAACCAGTAGCATTGAGTAGTAGTTTAAGGGGAAAACCCAAAAGAGTTGGGCTTATATATTCTTGATCCACAACCTGAAAAATTTTAATTACTTCATTAGTCACTTTGAATATTAAATGTTTTAATACAAATCAATCATAATTCTATTTATTGTTTAATTCATTTTCCTGTACAGTGGAGTCTTGATTATTTGTGGGTTAGGTACCAGAAGACATTATGAACCATCAAATTGCAAATTATGGTTTAATTGATTTCAATGACTACAGTATATGTACAGTATACAGTGAACCCTCACTTTACGCGGTTAATTCAACCCACGGCGGCCCGCGTAAAGTGAACAACATAACATATGGGATTAATTGAAATAGAGACCGGGCCGACCCCCAAACTCCACTTTTTCAGACACAATACCTACGTTGTAGTAAAAATAACTTCTTAATTTTATGATGGTATGCACACACAATTAATAATTAAGAGAAATATCAATAATATTAGATTTTTTAACACTTACATTAGTAGAAAAGATGGCTGGGCACACAGGGATGGGGGGTTGGTTCCGAGGCAGAGGGCAGATTATTGGCCCTCACCTGTATCAATTGTATCACTATCCACCACAGAGGCTTGCAGGGCCTCTTTGTCAAACCCCTCAAAGTCCATATAAGTCCATATCCTCACTATCATTATCACTATCACTGACTTGGGCCAGCTGTGGTGGGGGGCGGGTGAAGAACTCTGTAATGTTTTGATGACTGGGTGACCTTGTGCGCACCCTGCTCGCGCCGCTCTCCGCGTAAAAGGGTACACACACCGCAGAAAGTGAGCATTCCGGTTTCGGCAGGATACCGCGTAAACGTGGAAACGCGTAAAGTGGCACCGCGTAAAGCGAGGGTTGACTGTAATTAGCTTGGTTTCAGAGGCCAAGATATATCCATAAATTGTTCCAAAACTAGTTTAATGAATACTAAACATTATACACAGTAGTGACAGTAACTAAAATTTTTTTTTAGATATGGTACAAAAGTACTCCTTTATTATTTCGTGTGGGATGTGCCAATACACTAACATGGAGACAGACAGGCGCTGGGCTGGCTGTGACCACACTATGTCAACAAGGAACCGGGAAATTAATACCACGCAATAATTAATTGAGGGTTGAGTGTGGGAATTTTTTGGGTGATATTTTATTACTTAAGGATAAAGTTTGATTAGCCTGGTACCAAAAGAACCTAACTACAGCATGCCCTTACAATTCGCGGCCTTTGATTATTTACGGATGACACTCTGGATGTACCCAAGAATGTCTGCAGGTAGTTTTAAAGTTGGCAGCATTTTCACGGCCGGGTCGGGGAGCCCGCGAGTTTTATGGTGACCTGCAAAGTGTCTCTCATCCCAGGTGGCTGGGCCATGTGTGCTCACTCTGCCTCAGTGACAGTCCGTCTTGCGTGTGTGCTACTCTGCTCTCTTAACAACTGTGCTCTCGATACTGCACACAGGAGGAATAAAAATGGCAAAAACAGGGCAGAGGGGAAAGAATTTAAAATGTTGATAAAGGCAGCTTCACTCCTCTGGTGTTCACAACCTCTGGCAGGATGGGACCAAGTGCAAGATACTTCTAAGCAAGACTGGTCGAGGTGTTATCCGAACAGAAGCAACAGCCCAGAAGTTATGTTGCAGCCTGGTTGAGAGATCAACTGTCCTTCTCTTTGCTTAGGTCTGCATTGCTTTGCCTCAGGGAAACAAGATCTTCGGCCCCAAAGCCGACAACGGTCGCATATATTAACTATGAGGCAACAGTCATTGAATGCCGCATAGATCTGCAGCTTAACTAACTCAACACAGCTCGGATAGCTATTTTTGTATTAGGATATTTCATTTTAAGGTAATAAAATAGCGGCGAAGGTGTGGCTATTGGCGGAGGCTGGAGGCCACGTTTAAAATTAAAGTTGTGGTGGTGTCGGGGATATGATTGTGGTGGTGCTGGAGAAGTGATTGTGGTGGTGTACTTAAGTGAGATATAAAAACATCTCAAAGGACACTACAGTACTCAGTCAAGTGTAATGGGTAATGGAAAGTTCCAAGGATCCAAGACTCCAGCTAACAGGGAGAGATTACTCTACTCGTACAATGCTTATGATTTAATAATAATAAAGTCAGGTTCATGTTCTGTCACACATCTTGTAGGTAGATGAGTGTAGGTGATTAAAAATGACTTACAGATTTTCAAGATGATAAGCTGCAATTCTGTTGAAAGTCATCTTAGTTAAGAAGGTAAATTATATCATGGAAAAAATATAATACAGTACAAGTACTGTATACTGTATCAAGCAATTAAAGTAAAGTACATTATGGGTGGTTATACAGTACACAGTTTATCATAAACAATTTTCCATATATTATTACAGGAGCACAAAATAAGAGACTCTTACCTGGAAAGATCTGGGGGTCGAGAAATCCTTTATAAATCGTTGAAGAAACTGCATTTTGTTTGACTTGATAAGATTTTCAAAGTACATAACCTCATTGCCAAAGACCCTGAGAAACACAGATGCTCTTGGTTCCTTGTCAGCTGACACATCAACCTCATTTACTGTCTCCGCTTCATCATATAACTTTTGGAATTCCTCAATTTTATCATCACGAATAATATTTCTCTTTGGTCTAAAACTTTTCAGTACATTTAAAATTTCTTCATTTCCAAAATATCCATCTTTTCCATATAGTCCTTCAATAATGTTTTCTATACCACTGAAGTCTCCTCCTAACTCAAAAACATTTAGAGACTGATCCAAAACATCAATAGTGAGGTTGACCGATGCTTGCCGAGGAATGTAAGAGTCTGGAGTAAAGATGACATTTCCACCAACACTTCCACCAAGGTTTACCTGTAAGATATTTCATATTTATGTTTAATATCAATATGCAGTGATATTTAATGTGATGACATACAATTACTTTATTTCATTCTTACTGATCATAAAATTTTATATCAATGTAATTTGTCATAAACAATGTCAGAAAAATGTTCTACACAGCTGTTTATATTCAAATTATTATAGTGAACACCAGGACACTTTTTAGTGTGTTGGTGATCAGGAATGATGTTTAAAATGTAGCTGACTGTTCCAGCCGGGACAAAATCAGCTTAACCTCGTTCATATCAGAGGATGTTCTTAACCCGGGGACTGCCTGTATTCTGGTAGGAAATATTACAAGCATTTTCAGGAGAGCAGAATATATACTTACAGTCTCAATGAACTGAGTATAGCGGTAGTTATGAGATGTATAAAAGGCATTCGCGTTGAACTTGGCTGGGAGAGTGTGTTGAGAAGCTAACTTAGCTAACTCACGGTCATAATCACTTGGGCCTGGATGTTCTACCAAATTGCGTACATGAGTCCAAATGTAGGAGGCAACTGAAAAAAGAAGAAGTTTAAATCACATTAAATAACTGTTGCTATGTACAGTAACAATGCAAATCAGTAAAAAGTAATAGTAATACCTACAAACATAAACCAATTGTTTCCATGTCAAGGGGGATGATATCCCAGTTAACCATGATTACGTGGTAGCAAGAGTTGAGTAAAGCCAGAACAGAATCCCGCAGGCATGAGCCCAGAAAATGCCGCAAAGATCAGGCAATGGGCAAAGCTATGGTGGTCAAGTTGCCATCAGGTATCTTGAAGTAAATTTTTATGGTTGGATGCCCTTCCTAATGCCAACCCATAAGGTTGGAACATGTGGTGTATGCTGTATACTCCCATCAATGTATATATTCAATTTCATAAACAATCTCTCAACATCAAATACCAAATTCTTCACCCATTTCCTATGTTGGGGAGTGATGGCCACAGTCAACACCTGAAACTTAACTTCTTCCAAAATGGTTTCAGGTGAAAGTACACAAGCTCAATAACATAACTAGGTACATAGTAGGAGAGTGGGTGTCATTGCTACACTGTAACATGTGGAACAGACATTTGATTACCGGTAGTACTGCTAAGACTTGCCAAGTGTGTCAGGTGAGCAACTAACACACTGGGACTGAAAATGGAATGTTTGGGAAAGCTAGGTTTAAATGTCAAGGTCATTGTGGAAATTAAAAATAAATTTCCTATAATAAAGAAAACACAAATGGGAACTCTACTTCTGGATGACAGTAAATTAAAATATAGTGCATAATTATTGATTACAGAAGAGAGTCCACCTTGTAGAAGACTGTGGTCCAATAATATTTATCACCAGCCCAATAACAGCAGACATGATGAACAAATGACAATGTTTGAAGATAAATTTTCTGAAGTAAAATCACCAATTTCATACTTTTCTTCCTATTCTTACATTCACTTACCATCTTCCTCACACATTAGCTGCTTCCACAATGACCACACATCCTGTACAGCAATCCTTCTATGATATGAACAAATGCCTAAGTGTGCCCAGAATCTTATAGCCGAGAGGGAAGTGAGTGACCATTGAGTCTGCTAGTGACCTTATAAATGATGAAGAATATGAGGAAAGTATACTTAACTGAGCAAGTAAGACACTATGATAATATGAATGTTTCAACTTCATTCATTTTATCTTACAATTTGTTATACAGTAAAACCTCATTATAGTATTTTGAACTAAAGGGGAAAAAGGTGGTTTGAAATACCAGATGTTTCAGAATAGGAGTGGGTTTCTTACTTACTGTTGTATAACTTTTATATACATTTCTAGTAATGAAGTATTTTACTTCAATCCTCCAACATTGATTGAGGTTTATTCTTAAAATTATTGAATATTGATTATTAAATAAAGAACAACTTTAATATATTTTGTACTTAAATACTGTATATATGTTAGGTTAAGGTTAGATGGGTTTCTTGGTACACTAATACTCAGTACTGTAGTCCCCTCTGTGATAAAATACTGTATACTAACTCCTCCTCCTGTGGCTACAAAGCCTCTGTTCAGATCACTAGCTTCACCCCTAAAATTAGCTTTACCTGTACACTGTGACATTAGAACTTGAAACTGTAAGCATATAATCAGAAATAATGAAGGCATATATATAGCTATAATTTTATACAATTTTCACTATTTTTTTTATAATTTTCGTCACTTATCAACTTACTAGCCGTTCGGGAGATTGAGCTACCCATTGTTAGTACTAGAGGAAACAGGGGACTGGGAGACCTTATGTGTGACCAGGCTGAGGCTCGAACCCTTGACATATTGGTGAGAGATACATGTGTTACCACTGTACTGCCAACTCCCCAATGAAAGCATAAAAAGAGCAAAAATGATACAAGATAATGTACTCAGTGTCACAGTCTCACCTTAGCAATGCAGCCCAGCTGGGACACTGCCTCACCACACGTTCGCCACAAGGCTTCACAGTGGAAACTCATAGACACTTAAAACTTTATACAGTAGTACCCCGCTTAACGCGGTCAATTGAACCCACAGGGTACCGCGTTAAGTGAAAACCGCGTTAAGTGAACAACAGAACATATGGGATTAATTCCAATAGAGACTGGCCCGACCCCCAAACTCCACTTTTTGACGACACACAACTATGTTGTAGTAAAAATTTTATCTTAACTTTATGATGGTATGCACACACAATTAATAATTAAGAGAAATATCAATAATATTAGGTTTTTTAACACTTGCATTAGTAGAAAAGATGGCTGGGCACACGGGGATGGGGGTTGGTTCCGAGGCAGAGGGCAGATTATTGGCCCTCACCTGTATCACTTGTATCAATTGTATCACTATCCACCACAGAGGCTTGCAGGGCCTCTTTGTCAAACCCCTCAAAGGCCATATAAGTCCATATCCTCACTATAATTATCACTATCACTGACTTGGGCCGGCTGTGGTGGGTGGCGGGTGAAGAACTCGGTAATGTTTTGATGACTGGGCGACCTTGTGCGCATCGTGCCCGCGCCGCTTCCCGCGTATATGATGAAAAATTCCGCGTTAAGTGAAAGTTCAGCTCTGGCGAGGCACCGCGTATATGATAAAACGCGTTAAGTGAAACCGCGTTAGGCGGGGTAATACTGTACTGTGGTAGGAAAAACTAGTGACAATATACAAATACACTGTAGTGGAAACAGGAATACCCCATTATTCACAACCCCGCTTATTCGCAATTGATATTTTAACACCCATATTCGATATTCACAAAGCATACCCCCACTTGCTCGCAAAGCAAACTAGAAAAAAAATAATGTCAGTGGAGATAGCACGATGCCATTGTTACATGTAATGGAACTGCAACAGTTGTGGAAAAATCCTTACAATACAATACTCGAATGTGACATACAGTATAGTCTGGGTTTACGTGGTCAATTAAACCCATGGAGGTCCGCGTATAACGCGAAACTCGTAAATAAAATAACAGAACATATGGGATTAATTGAAATAGAGACTGGGCCGACCGCCAGACTACCCTTTTTCCGACACAATACGTACGTTGTAGTAAAAATAACATCTTAATTTTATGATGGTATGCACACACAATTAATATTTAAGAGAAATATCAATAATATTAGGTTTTTTAACACTTACATTAGTAGAAAAGATGGCTGGGCACATGGGGATGGGGGGGTTGGTTCCGAGGCAGAGGGCAGATTATTGGCTCTCATCTATCACCTGTATCACTATCCACCACAGAGGCTTGCAGGGCCTCCTTGTCAAACCCCTCAAAGTCCATATCCTCACTATCACTGACTTGGGCTGGCTGTGGTGGGTGGCAGGTGAAGAACTCGGTAATGTTTTGTTGACTAGGCAAGCAAGGTTAAATAGACCAATCACAGTGCGCGGCGGAGGGGGTGTGTGGGTGGTAAGGATACGTGGCCCAATCACAGTCCGCGACGTCATCGGCATGAGTCTGACGTCAGCGGTGACGTCAGCGACCAGCTGCTTGCCCGCCGCTTGCCGCGTAACTAATAATTGGCGCGTCTGGACAGGTGCCGCGTAAATGGCCAAACGCGTATAAAATATCCGCGTAAACTCAGACTATACTGTATAAATAAAGAGAATATAATACAAAACTACAAAATAAGAAAAATTAAGAGCATGGGTGTGTATGAGTGGGAAATGAACATGTGTGTTGCCAAGTTAGACTGTCATTGTAGCTACACCTCCTGAGCCCAACCCCCAACCAGGCCAAGCTGTGAGCTGTGCTATTGTAGATATACGTAATTTTCTTAAATCTTTTTTACTCTGTTACTGAGTGGCAAAGAGGATAGAAGTAAAAATAACAATAACTAAGGCTCATCAATTGCCAGTTACTCTGTCTCACTCCATAGACTCAAAACTCACCACCCATGATGAGTACAAGGTTTTTATATGATTTTTATGGCTTCTACATTTTACTTCTTTAATTTCTTAAGAACAAATAATGGCTTTTTTAACTTTGATGTTTTTCTTCTTTTTTTGGCATTTGTGGATACCCTCAAATTCCCAATTGCCACAGTGATGGGGTTAAGTACACTATGCTGTTCAGAGACTTTTTTCTTCAAATTTGTTTTTCATTTCATTACCTTGGTTGACATCTTCGTGATCTAGGAGGCGTTTGATCCGTGTGAAGAAGCCCGGGGTGTGGGTGGCACAGGGGACAAGAGCCAGATAAGCTGCTATCCGGACATCAACCTTCTCATCAACATCCTCCAGAATCTTACAAAAAATATAAATTTTCATTATTTTAGGTCTCATCAGGTTAGAGTATGGTTAGGCCAGGTAGGGTGAGTTAGGTCAGGTCAGGCAAGTGATCACGAAGGAAAAGTATCGCATAATTGAGATATGCACCAACCAAATTAAAGTACAGTACAGCAATTATTAAGTGACACACACATCTGTAAGAAACAATGAACATCAAGTGTACTTGACCAACACTGGTACATGTTCAGGTACATCCAAGAGCCTGTACATGCCCAGTATTTGCTAACAGTGCATAACAGAAAAATGACTGACTGTCTGAGTGACTAGTAAGCTGACCAATGGCAAAGAAAACAAAGTAAGGCAAGATTCTGGAAAGCCATGAACTTTCAAATTGGTCCCCAAATTATTTCATAATACAACTGTTGAAGCAAGAACAAAGCCTAAAGTAGAATATCATGAAGAGTGGACAGACCCTTCACAAGCCAGTCTTCTTTCCCCCTACAATCCCATTTCCATTTATAGTGGTCAAGATATAAGCAAAGTTAAATAATGTCTCATAAAAAACGGTATTTACAGGTACTACTGCATAATGAATTTGACACAATGTACAAGTTCATAAAATTGTATCTGTTATCAGCTTACCTTCCAGGGAGCCTTAGAATTAAAACAGCCAATACGTCTATTAGTCTGGAGTGCAGCAACACGCAACTCTGGCACTACTGACTTGTCCTGTTGGGGAAAAACAACATGGAATAGTAACAACTAACATAACAACTCTACATAAACACAACTCAAACGATATAGAATAAAGAAAACCAACTTGTAAAAATACACATACTGATCTTATTCAAATACTAATTAAGTGCTTCTTAACACAAAATTTTTAATCAAACACAGTACTGTACAAAGATGTCATGGTTACTTAGGTAAATAGTGTCATGTACTGTACCTCCACTACAGTGAATGTTATATGTTTCATGAAGGGGCAAGTGCTATGTTTTAAAGAAGATTGTAGGATCTGTAAAAGGCTGCTTCCTGGTGATAATTTATGGCAATTTTGAAAAACTAAGCATTCTTAATAACATATTACCTTCATCATCTACATCTTATTAACACCATCTTGGTTGTGGGTTCTGTCAATCAGTACCTCCTTTGTCACAGTTGTTAATCCTGAGCTTCTACCCTTTGTTACCTCATTCTGTACTTGTTACTTCAATCTATATTTGTTACTTCAATCTGTATTTGTTATTTCAATCTGTACTTGTTACTTCAATCTGTACTTGTTACTTCAATCCGTACTTGTTACTTCAATCTATACTTGTTACTTCAATCTATACTTGTTACTTCAATTACTACTCCTACCCTCTATAATATTCAGTGTTCCTCACCATATAACATTTCTCAGGGAAGTTGTCATAAGGTAATACTCCAGCATTACCCAGGGCTCTCAATGCCAACTTGATATTGTCCTGATGTCCTCTGCTCCTCCCAACCCCACAAGAGTCCCCCACCTGTCCAGTCACATACTCCAGCAAAGGTCTGATGAAAGGGCAGAAAAATAAGACTAAAGTTATTACTCTACTTTTGTGTTGTATAGTACAAGTATTCTACTGTATAATTCACACAAATGGCAGCATGACTTACAACAACAAGCTTAGTTGTTGTATCCAAATACTAATCAGTGGCAGGTTACTCTCTTAGACCTGAGGTTGTTGCCATTACTGAATTACTAAAGAATAACAAAATGGGTGAGTTATGGGGCTAAAGAAAGGTGTTATAATCATGAAGCACTGGTGATGAAAACTAACAATCATAAAAGATGCTGACTTACTCTGAGTAGATGGTGCACATATGAGGATCTTGTTGACAGAGTTTATAAACCATGCTGGATGCTGCCATCACTGCTTGGTTAGCTACATATTGTTTAGACTGTGCCAGTTTCTATAAAAAATAAAAAATAAAATAAAATAAAAGTACCTACCGTATTTTACAGCATATAAGATGCACAGCCATATAAGACACACCCCCCAATTTTAGCAGCTAGCATTTTGGAAAAAACTTGTGTGTATATTTTCCTCCTGTATCCATTGTTTTCTTAAAACAATATATACAGTACGTACCAGCAAAAGTGCAGAATAAATAAAAATAATACCAATAAATAATTTACAATAAAAAATACTGTATTGCTAAACCAGTAAATAAAAGCCAAATGAAAGTTTAAAACAGTTACCATTAACATATACAGTACTGTACATCTGTACACCATGTTTACCATAATAACAGGACCACTACCTCCACCTTCCCTAGCAATGCTCCCCCCCACCACCCACTGCCCAGCCATCCTCCTGCTCCCCCACTAAGCCAGCTAACTCGTGTACAAAGAAATGTACATTCCTTTTATGTGTTTGCCCTTAGGACAATTATGTCTTTTACCTTTATCACAATATGTATGTAGGATGGTGTGTGCATGTATATCAGTAAAAATAAATGAAGAAAGTTACGTATATCTACCCGAAAATACGAGTTGAAAAACAACAGCTTTGTCCAGTAGCCTGGTGATGAGTCTAACCTGGCTACAAGGCTGCCAGTGATGTTAACAGATGTAAATGTGAAAAGAAAGTTATCTGTAAATCTTCATTTGTATCAAGTATTAGTAGATGGAAAAATAAATGTGTCAGGTATGGAATTAATAGATTGTTATGCTTGTAAGAGTTCAGAAATGGTTACTGCTTAGCTGCCTCTGAAGAGTTGGGTGTCTGCTGTATAGATGTTATTCGCCTCAGGTTATCGTCATCAGTACAGTACAGAGCAGTTATAGAGTGACCTTTTATATTTACAATAATTATTTTTTAATTAATTAAAAATAATATTAATGTGTTTATGTAAGCAATAACATATTTTTAATTCTGGTGATGGGTTAGGTAGAGCTTAGCCTACTGGAGACAGCAACTGGGGGATTCATTAGCTTACAGGAGACCACAAGATTTTTTGAGCCATTTTTCACACAAAAACGTGCGTACAGTATTATAAGCCATAAGGTGATTACTAAATACATTAGAACATAAAAAAAAATATTTCTAATGATATAATGCCTTTCCAACACTATGGTGCATTTTTTTCCCAGCTGAGAAGAGATGCCCCGCCCCGTCCTCAGTTACAGCTGATTCACAGTTGCAAACCTGTCCGATTTCATCCTGAAGTAATGATGTATTTCTAAATGAGTTTATTCATAATCGTTGGGATGACCGTTTCTGACGAGAAAGATACATACATTCATTATTTCAAACACGAGCACGTAAGAAGTTTATCAGAAATATTATACATATATTAACTGTTAAACTCTGGGAGTAAATTCACGTTTTCGGAGGACGCGTTTAATAAAGAGTTATTTTTACCCACAATAAGGCATACTAAGATAAATTATGTATCAGTATTATTACATCTCTCCGAATGGGGAGGTAGAAACTTGGTTAAATTCAATAGTAATAAAACTCAGCCTTTATCAATTACACTTTCCAAATTAGATGATCTCCCACCAATCACATTTCAGGAAGCAATCATTCTGCCAAATTCTAAAATAGATATGCTAGGCCTCACCATTTCCTCTAATATGTCATGGAAGCCACACATCCTCAACATTGCTAAAGCTGCCTCCCGAGAGCTGGGAATGCTGTACAGATGCTGTAACAACTTCACTCCTGAGCAGTTGCTCCAATTATATAAGGGACTCATTCATCCTAACTTGGAGTACTGCTCTCATATCTGGGGTGGCTCTTCTTCTGTTCAACTGTTAGATAGGGTGGAATCAAAGGCATTTCATCTTATTAACTCTCCTCCTTTAGTTGATAATCTCTCTTCCCTTTCTCTTTCCTGCAATGTTGCTTCACTCTCTCTCTTTTACAGGCAATGTTCGGTGAATATGGCATCCTGTGTACTGCCGGCAAGGCCATGGGCTCATAACACACGTCTTGCTCGCGGTGCCCACCATTTCTCTGTGGATGTCGGTCATACTAGAATAACCCGTTACAGTACATCCTTCTTTCTTCACACAGCCAAACTATGGAATGCTCTGCTTTTTTCTGTGTTTCCATACTCATACAATCTGTCTCACTTCAAAAACCTGGTTTTCCCGCATCTTCGTGGTGTAGATTAATATACCGGTAGTCCTTTCCTTTTCTATTTTCAATTTTTTTTTTCTTTTTTTCACCCCCTAGGCCCAGTTGTAGGTCGATGACCTGTGCCCGGGTGGGCTATTCCCCATAAAAAACATTATGCATATACAGGACTAACATTTTAAAAGATCAGAATCACATTGAAATATTACACGGCCATCAGCAGAGGCGGAAAACATGAAGTTGGTCGCAGTCATACCTCAGCCCCAGCTGGCTGGCGTGGAGGGGTGCGAGTCACTTACAGCAAACATCACGTCCTGTCAGCCCCCTCATGCATAATGTAATGGCAGGCAGTGTATACAGCTAAGCACAGTAAATATCTTCATTACAATTGAACAGAATTTACTCACTAAAGCAAAACTTGAAACAAAAGTCTTTGAGGCATTCTCAAATTCTGAAGACATTGATACAATAAATAATAACTACAAGTGCTACAAAAAACACTACTGTAATATTAATTCATTTGGTAAATATATTATCTTAAACTGTAAGGCATAATGCTGTAACTGACTCACCATAATGTATGTGATAGCCTGAGGGTCAACAGTGGTATGGAAGTGGATTCCTGTCAGCCAAACCAAGACACGTGATGAGAATGCTCCACTATCATCCTCCATGGCGAGGCGTGACACTTGACGAATACAGTGGCTACGCTCACAGAGCATGAGAGCATCCAGCAGGAATTCTCTGGATGGTACACATGTTCATTCATGAATACATATTTGCTTACATCAGTCAATACACACACACTACAACATTTCATTATTAGACTCAAATTAGCAAGAGGACCTTGTAAGTGACCTTGGAAAAGTGATGGACAGCAACTGACTCTCATGTAAAATTTCCACTTTGTCATCTATACCCCAACATATAATAAACTTCCTACACAGAACTTGATATTGCAAACCTCTGAGGATTCCTTCAGTGATGCATCCCTCTCAACACATTATCCCCCCATTCTCTGTGACCTTCAGCCTTCCTCTCTCATTGTTCCTTCACAGTGCCACTTACCTCATATTAACCATTTCTGGTAACACTCTATCTCCAGCACATTCATTCCTAACTAGTAGACCAATCATGGTCCAATATTGGTATTGGTTGGTGAGGCTGCAATCAGTTTACCAAAATATAGACAACATTGCTTTAGTAAATGGCAAGAGAGAAGAAGTCCTTACAAAATCCTATAGTACTGTATCTCTAATGACTATTCAACAAGCTCCAATAATTAATACAATTTCAAAAAGCAGTTATATTTTGTGTAAACTTGGGCTTAGTGGAACCAAAAGCTACCCAAACTACAAACAGTCATTAGGCCAACATTGGACCTGTTGTTAAAAAGATATGGGGTTAATGTCACTACTGACTTTGGCCCAACATTGGTCTAGCTTCAGATTGCTAGTTGGCTCCATCCAGTAATCCATCTTCTGCTTCATCAGACATCCTTAACATTACCAAACCTCTATTGTGAAAGTGGGTCCTGTAGCCTGACAGCTTGTTATGAGCAATGTGGATACATCATACAGCAGATTAAGCCTCCTTCAGTTCACAAAGAGGCTGCTTGGCCACCACTGCCAGAAACTGCCTTTATTTCCCTAACTCTAAAGTTAGGTACCCATTCCCAGCACAGAGGACTGGGGTAATGGAGGACAAACCAGCAACCCCTTTGACAGGAGATACTGTAAGCTGCTCCCCTAAGTCTCCTATCATTACTCCCATAATATCCATTCTATTCTTTCTTTCTTTAAATTTTAAAATAAATGCTTTGAAAATCTAATCTGCTTGTATAATATTAAAATATTGACAGATACAATCTCCACTTTTATTTGTACTCCTTATAAAAGGTTGCATCATCACTATCAACAGCTTTGTACTTTGTTGTGTTATAAATACTCGAGCATTTATTTCCCTCTCCAAATTTTCTGGAATTTCAACTTTTATTCCTTCATTCAAAATTCTAAATTTTGCAATCTCTTAACTGAACTAAACTTTGTATTCATAGTTTCCTTTTTGCAAACATGACCATTAATGCTTTTGTTTTTATTAATGTGTTTAATTAAAGGAAAGAATAGGAAAATAAGAGTAATTTAAGGATAGACATACTATAGTACTGTACATATGAAGATTTTTTTTTTACGCCAATTAAAGATGCCAGATAGTGTAATGTTCTCTCACTTTGCTCTGAAATCTTACTTGGTCGGTCTCTAAACCACTTTACTTGCCTGTATCCTTCCTTAGCATCATATGTGTCCCAAAGTTGATCCATTTCCTCTTCCAGTTCAGAATGTCCCAAGAGACTGACAAGGTTTGAGAACGCATGAGGTCGCTGTTCCTCCAAATCTGAATCACCTGCCATTGAAGCAAACAGGTTTTCAAGTGCTGAATCAATCTGGCAAGAAGATTGGATGAAATTTAAAGCACTGTAGTATTTTGGTGACAATGCCTTCCGGTCATTATCATTCAATACAAAATCATATGAAATTTACATTATTCAACACAAACAGTTTGGAGATTGATACTGTACATATTCTTGAAACTAAATTTTTTTCATACTCACTTGATCTCTGATGTTGACACCATCATGCTCCCTTGACCTCTCAGAGTGGACAGCTCCTTCAAGGTCCATTAAGAGGGGTTCTCTTCTCTGTAGACAATCACCTAAAAAAATACATTGTAAATAACCACTGTTGTATGACAACTTCATCATCCATAATCATTATGGTTAATTATTTTCATAGTACAGTACAATATCGATGCATAAACCACCAAGAGAAAATAGAAGCAACAATACAGGCCTTCCACTTGTTCAAGATGAGAAGACATATACGGTAAGTGGCAAAAGAATGGAATTCCCATCACTATATCACAAAGAAATATTTTGTTTAAGAATATCTGATTGGAAACGCTTGGTAGAGAATTTATTAAGGATCATTATGGTATCAAATTCATCTCCCTACCACAATTAGCCATGCTTGAGTGAGGAGGGGGGGATTGACCAAGTGACCCTACCCCCCAAGAAGGTTCACTTCCGTCAACACACCATCACCACCTACACATCACACATACACCCCTACATCACACACAAACACACACCCCAACAACACTCACACACCCCCAGCAAGGAAATTAAGACACACCTGCATGTGTGTGACTGCATGGGAGTGTGTTAAATATCAGCTGTTGAGGAGTGCTTGGCAACACTCATTTCCACTCCATCTCTCTAATCATCCACACCTTTCTGCTTTCTCACTCCATATTTTAAAATGTTATGTAATGTTGAAGGGATAAAACTTTGCTCATTTATACTTATACTTATCACAATCTCTCTAAAAATACTTTAGCTTTAGTGTTTATTCAAGACATCTTCAGGTCAGGAGACCCACTAATTCTCCACCAAAGAAAGGTGACCTGACATTCCATCAGAAGGTCAGTAATATGAAACCACTAATCCCCCACCCTACCTCCACCTGACATTGCATCAGATCAGATCAGTTACACAAAACCCACTAATCACCCACAGCTCAATGGGAGTGGAAAATAACAGTCTTTGCTGTAACACACAGCTTCATTCATGCCCATAACATTGGAATGGTTGAAGAAATGGCTGCTGAGATACAATGTCACGAAGTGTAAGAGGATGAACCTGGGACGTACCAACGGTAAGGAGGCGTATCATATGTCCTAATGGGATGAAGAAACTGCACTATTTGAGACTGAATGTGAGAAGGACCTAGGTATGTATGTTGACAATAAGCTGAAGTTCTCGGGCCATTGTGAGAAGAAGGTAAATCAGGCAAATAACTTATTGTGTCTCATAAGAAGGTCGTTCAGATATCTAGACCAGTGATTCTCAAACTGGGGTCCACGAAAAAATTTTCAGAAATACTGTAGTGCGTTTAATGTTTGTGAGAGATTTGGCGATTCCAATTTGCAGGATATTTTGGATTTGGGTTGAAATGAACAAATGCTTTGGCGTATGATTTATTCTTTGATTATTGACACTATTTGTATGCATCATGGTATACAAGGGGCCCTTGGTTGAAAAAGTTTGAGAACCCCTGATCTAGGCGGTCCGTCCCTCGTAACGATCTTCAGGAGTGAAGTGCTTCTCCATCTGGAGTACTGTCACCCCATCTGGTCCCCGAGATATACAAGGGACTGTCAATTGGTTGAAAATGTTCAAAGGAGGGCCACCAGACTGGTGTCTGCACTTCAGCACCTCAGCTACCCTGAGAGATTGGAGCACCTGAACTTGCCTAGCTTATACTACAGACGGGCAAGGTAGATTGTTCCAAGAGTTCACAACTATCACTCTGAAAAAGTTTGCCCTCACAGTTTTCTGGACTTGTGGCTTCTTCAATCTTGAGCTGTGACCCCGTGTGGGGCGATGGTCCGCCAGCTCCAAGTAATGACACTCGACTGAGTAGTGCCCTTTAAGATGTTTATACACCTCAATTAGGTCACCCCTTGCCCGTCTGTAGTATAAGCTAGGCAAGTTCAGGCGCTCCAATCTCTCAGGGTAGCTGAGGTGCCGAAGTGCAGGTACCAGTCTGGTGGCCCTCCTTTGAACATTTTCAACCAACTGACAGTCCCTAACATATCTCGGGGACCAGACGGGGTAACAGTACTCCAGATGGGGAAGCACTTCACTCCTGAAGATCGTTACGAGGGACGGACCGTCTAGATATCTGAACGACCTGCTTATAAGACCCAATAATTTATTTGCCTGGTTTACCTTCTTCTCACAGTGGCCTGAGAACTTAGCTAATTGTCAACATACACACCTAGGTTCCTTCTCACATTCAGTCTCATATAGTGCAGTTTCTTCATCCCGCTGGGACATATGATACGCCTCCTTACCGTTGGTATGCCCCAGGTACATCCTCTTACACTTAGTGACATTGAATCTCAGCAGCCATTTCTTCGACCATTCTTGGAGTTCACAGAGGTCCTTCTGCAGCTCTTCATAGTCCGCATGGTTCTTGATTTCCCGAAATAACTTGGCGTCATCGGCAAACATTTGTATGGAGGAGTGTACAACGTCAGGCATGTCGTTTATGAAACAAACAAACAATAGCGGGCCAAACACACTGCCCTGTGGTACCACGCTTGTGACAGGTACGGATGATGATTTCATGCCATTCATCACCACACACTGCTTGCGGTCATGTAGAAAATCTTCTATCCATGCTAGGGCATTTCCCCGAATTCTGTACCCTTCCAGTTTGATTTTCAGCCTTTCGTGGGATACACTGTCGAAAGCCTTGGCAAAATCTAGGTATATATTGTCGATATTACCACCCCGTTCCAGAATATGGGTCCAAATATCCAATACCTTAAGCAGGAGCACCCCGGCATAAAACCGTGTTTGCAATCCTTTACAAGGTTGTTTCGTGGTAGATGTTCCATCGTGGCATCTCTGATAATACTCTCAAGTGCTTTACATATTATGCTGGTCAGGCTCACCGGTCTATAGTTGTTCGTGGAGTGACGATCGCCCTTCTTGAAGATAGGACTCACATAAGCCACTTTCCATTCACTGGGGACCATTTGATTCGTGTGTTTTGTTTGTGAAGTGTTTTTACATAGGTACTCTGTAAATTTTGTCCTTTTTTGTTGCAAATTTAGCTGTTACCCATAAATAAAATATGAAAGGAATAAGTAAAAAGAAAGTTTCGCAGTGAGGACTAATAACGGTTTACACCAGCACTCTGTTTACATCAGTTGAATCGAGCGGTTTCTGTCGATTGCACCATATTTTCGCTATTTTCTCCAATTTTATTGTGTTAGCGATGAATACGGAAAGACAAGGTAAGAAGAATGTTTCCAAGAAGCGTTCTGGTGATCGAATTGCCGGTGGTGAACATAAAAGAAAGGCGATAACACTATTGCTGGAACATGCTTGAGTGCTAGCAAATCTGTGAAATCACGGCCAAAGTAATATGCACCTATCCCTATTTTCTCCATAAGCCCTGTTATTTTTATTGTATGAGTTACTACGGCGCGAGGTTTCACAAGAACGCAACTATCGCATTGTAGCAGAAATGACTGTATATTAACTTTTGAAGATTAAGCTGTGTAAACATAAAGACAAGTTCTGTTACCATATTTTACAGCATATAAAACACACTTTTTGTTTGAAAAATGGCTACAAAAATCAGCCTGTGTCCTATATGTGAAGCTGCAGTCTCCTGTAAGCTAATGAATCCCCCAGTTGGTGTCTCCAGTCGGCTTAATTCTACCTCACCCAACACCAAAATTAAAAATATGTTATTGCTTACTTAAACATTTTATTATTATTTTTAATTATTTAACAAAATAATCTTTATAAATATAAAAGCTCAATTCATAACTACTGTACTGATGACGATAACCTGAGACGATTAACGTCTATATGGCAGACACCCAACTCTTCAGAGGCAGCTAAGCAATAACCATTTCTGAACTCTTACAAACATTACAATTTACTAATGCTGTACCTGCAACATTTATTTTTAAATATACAAATACCTGATACAAATGAAGATTTACAGATAACTTTCATTTCACATTATATCTGTTAACATTACTGGCAGCATTGTAGCCAGGTTAAACTTGTCACTGTAACCACCAGGCTATTGGGTCAAGCTGTGAGGTGTTATGGTTGTTTTTCAACTCGTATTTTTGGGTAGATATACGTAACTTTCTTCATTTATTTTTACTAGTTACACACACACACACACCATCCTATTTACATATTGTAAAAAAAGTAAAATAAATTATTGTCACAAGGGAAAACACAAGGGAGTATACACTTCTTTGCACCTGAGTTAGCTGGCTTATGGGGTACGGGATATTTGGTTCACACTCAGGATGGGATGGAGAAAGGAAACTCACAATGTGCTCTCTGTATACATATTGTATTGGATGTACAGTGCAGCTTGGTGCTGGGAAGTGGCAGAGTGGTTACAAGCATGATGTAGAGAGAGCTGGTTGGTGAGGGTGCTCAGAGGAGGACCAGCTTGTGGGTCGCCATGCTCGCCGGCGGGAGCGAGGACCGCCAGGCAGGCGGAGGAGGAGGTGTTGCTGGCTGGTTGGTGTAGGTTGATAGAGCTGAGGTAGGTCACCACGAGGTCAGGTCTTATATAGCGGAGGTAGGCGTGGCTTAATAGTTGACCTCCGTCATGTAAGGTGGCACTGGTTGACCTAGACCACGAGGCATACACTGGGGAATTCGCGGGGTCGGCTACTCAGCGACAAACAGCGTTTGTAGGGGAGGAATCCACTACAGGCTCAGTGGGGGAGGGGAGGAGGACATGGAGTGTGAGAGGGGGGAGCATTGCTTGGGAATCAGCAGAGGTAGCATTCTAGCTGGTCTCTGTTGCTATGATGAACCAGGGAGCATATGCAAATGGCGACTGTTAATCTTTCATTTGGCTTTTATTTACTGGTTTGGCAATACAGTATTTTTTATACACACAAAAGTTTTTTTCCTAAATACTACCTGCTAAAATGCCCGTGCATCTTATATGCCGTAAAATACAGTACAATATAGGTATGTATTATATGATAAAAGTTAATTTGGAATTATTGCTCATACCCATATTGTATTCCCATTAAAATCAGTAAAAAAAAGTTACTGTAAAAGCAGCCTTACCTGTAGAAAAATCTCCTTGGGATGCTTCAGGTCCTGCTTCAAGCATGAGAGTGGCTGAGACCGTGACAGAAGCAAGAGAGATGTCCTCCCTGGATGCTGTGAAGGGCCCATCTACTCTCACCTCCTCTTTGCACTCCACTCTCTTCCACACACGATCACCATAGATCATCTGGCACGATTGGTCACGTCTGGGCTCCAGATATTAATAAATTACTGACTGACTACAAATTAATGGCTACCTACATATAAATGTGTTATAATTGTATATGTAGTACTCTGGTGTTATTATACTAATTTAATATAAGACCTAATAATGGTGAACCTCTGACACTGTTTTCAAACACGACAGTTCAAAGTATTATACTGAACTGTATTCCTTAACTCTGATTAAAAACTTGGAGCTCAATGAACAACCTTCTTAAGAACTTAATCTGGAATAACTAGAGTAGTTTACAATATAAGTACAGTATGTGTTAAAATTATCATGCACAGCATTTAGTCATTGTAGAAGCTAAAACAATTTGTAATCCAACATGTATTGCAACATACGACTCCACTATAACAAAGAAGACGCTAAAATTAAATGGTAGTGTTTGTAATTCGTTCGTCATTGTACACTGATAATGGGGTAGCTGTTATCTCCATGCCATTTTGGCCCAGTGAGGGTCTCAGGGTGGCCCACAACCATACTGTATTTACTTTTACTTTTATCCTCTTTGTCACTGATTGGCTCGTTGGGTGGTCAGTCACGTCTCTCATATGCACTGTTGACAAGTACTGGGCATGCACTGGCTCCTGAATGTATCTGAAAATGCTCCAGTGTTGGTCAAGTCTGGTCTTGAAAGAGCTCACACTCGGTGCTGTCACAACACTTTCTGGCAGATTGTTCCAAGAGTTCACAATTCTCATTCCGAAAAAGTTACCCCTCACAGTTTTCTGAACTTGTGGTTTCTTCAACCTTGAGCTGTGACCCCTAATGGGGCGCCCATCCGCCAACTCTAGGTATGTACACTGGACTGAGTAGTGCCCCCTCCCCCCAAGATGTTTAAACACCTTAATTAGTTCACCCCTTGCCCATCTGTAGTATAAGCTAGGCAGTTGCAAGCGCTCGAATCTGAATAACTGAAGTGCCGAAATGCAAGCACCAGTCTGGTGGCCATCCTTTGGACGTTTTCAATCAACCGGGTGCCAGTACTCCAGGCAATTAAACGCTTCACTCTTGAAGATCGTTACGAGAGACGCACAGTGTAGCTGTGACTCCAGTTTTTCTTACTTTTCTTTTAATGGGAGACTCAGGGAGGCATAGAATTTATAAAAAACATTCTGAGTTATTGAATTGCATTGAAATGATGACTCAGGGTAGTGGTCATACCAATTAAAATCTGCAATTATTATTAGTACATTATTAAAAATAATAGGTGGCCCCCAAAGAACCCTTATCAAGACTTACCTGAAGAAAGGCAGCTGCAGTTTAAAGTCTTGTGTGGAGTAGCGAGAGTGGGGCAGGTTGGGAAGGTAACCATTTGAACGACAATTGTGTTTGGTTTTCTCTACAAAAAAGTCTTCAGGGTTTACGGAGTACCTCGTTTCACATACTCCCGACACATCACCCTGACGCAAATTGTTTTAAGGTATTAATTATTTTGTTTTAATAACTAGGAAATCTCTTGTCGTCCATTCTAATTACACCAGTACAAAATATTTAGCTTTTCTTAAAAATACAGTACAGTACAGTACAGTACAGTAGTTATTATAACTTACCTCATCCACTACAACCTCTTTCAGGCTTGTTATATCAGTTATAGTTATGTGAAGGGCAGACAGAACTCCACGTTTAAAGTTTGTGGCAACAACATCTTCGTCTGGGTGAGGACACAAGTGGGCTATCCTTCCCTCCTGGTAGCTGTTAAGTACATAACAAACATAGTGTAAAGTACTGATATTTAAGATTCCATTCCAGAAAACCATTCACAACTTTATCCTTCACTAGCAGAAACGCGCTCATCCGCTAGGCCACGGTAGGACGCCACCCTCCGGGAGGCTCCACATTATCTCACTGTTCAGTCCCCAAAACTTCTTCTTCCATCAATAGTTCATTAACGGTGTATGTAAGTTCCACCTTGTTTTTTTAGCATTAAACTGTTATTATTTTATTGTCTAATCATCACTACATATAACACCACCCATCATCACTACATATAACATCGTCCATTCACACTACATATAACACCATCCATCATCACTACATATAACACCACCCATCATCACTACATATAACACCATCCATCATCACTACATATAACACCATCCATCATCATTACTACATATAACACCATCCATCATCACTACAAATAACACCATCCATCATCATTACTACATATAACACCATCCATCATCATTACTACATATAACACCATCCATCATCACTACATATAACACCATCCATCATCATTACTACATATAACACCATCCATCATCATTACTACATATAACACCATCCATCATCACTACAGATCAGTAAAGTAGTTTCGGAGATTCTCGTGCGGACACACAAACAAAAACACACACACACACACACAAACAAACAGACATACTTCTTTGTTTTATATATATATATATATATATATATATATATATATATATATATATATATATATATATATATATATATATATATATATATATATATATATATATATATATATATATATATATATATATATAGATTAACTGGAAGATGCCTGTAGTGCTTCTGTCACACCGGTTGCTGACAATAGTGACCCATTCAACTAATATCTAGGCCTCTTCACAGTGCTCCTGAAATAAAATCTTGATCTTTATGATAAAAAATAAATTATTATATCAAACACATAATATCTCATAACACATCAGTATGTACTTTACTCAAACACAGTGAAGTCTGTCCCATCTAATTTATGCTACAGGAACCTGAAGAAAAGACAGCTTCAAACAGCCAACCAGCCAGCAAAAGTAATACAATCCGATATACAGTAATACAGTATCTCCATTAGCCGGAATCCCTCAAGCCAGGAAATTTCCGATAGCCGGAATTGAAATTTGCTCGGAAAATCACTCCCAAACTATAAAATTCCGGCTTTGGGAACAAATTTTCAAAGGATGAAAATCGAGAGACTTTTCTGAAAATGTCTTGAATAAAGATGAAAGTTGAAAGTATTTTCTTTTCGGGGACCTAACCTGACTCGATGTCAGGTGGAGGTAGGGTGGGGGATTAGTGGTCTCATATTACTGACTTTTTGATGGAATGTCAGGTAACCTTTCTTGGGTGGAGGATTAGTGGGTCTCATGACCTGAAGATGTCTTGAATAAACACAGAACCTAAAGTATTTTTAGGGAAATTGTGATAAGTATAAGTATAAATGATCAAAGTTGTATCCCTTCAACATTACATAACATTTTAAAATATGGAGTGAGAAAGCAGAAAGGTGTGGATGATTAGAGAGATGGAGTGGTAACATGCACCAGTGTTGCCAAGCGATAAGCTCCTCAACAGCTGATCTTTTAATTCACCTCCATGCAGTCACACAGCAAGACCCTCACTGGATGCTTGTTGTCTTAATTCCCGTGTGTGTGTGTGTATGTAGTGTGTGTGGAGTGTGTGTATGTGGTTGTGTGTGTGTATGTGGTTGTGTGTGTGTATGTGGTTGTGTGTGTGTGTGTGTGTGGTTGTGTGTGTGTGGGTGTGTGTGTGTGTGTATAGTCAAATATACTAAGTTAATTACTAAAAATTTTTAATCTTATTGGAAACGTTTGGTAGAGAATGTATTAAGGATCATTATGGTATCAAATTCATCCCCCTATCACAATTAGGAGTGGGGAGGACTGACCACATGACTCTACCCCCCAAAATATAAGCTCTAATACCCACACATATCATCCCAAATATTGATGGATAATTGCTTTGGAAAAATCCCTAAATGGCAACTGGAAGCTGACGGAATCAGTCCTGTCCATATGGTAGGCGATACCGACTGCACCCCCCCTCCCCCCAGAGATCACTTCACGTATGTGTGTACGTGTATAGTTCTTACTGTAATAATTTATGCTTAATGTGTTTAATATTCTATATTAACCATGATAAAACATACACCATAAGAGGCTGATCATTGGTGAAAAGGGAAGCGCCAGCCTCCCTGCCTCCGTCCAACTCAGTGTCTCGCACAAAAGACTGTAAACTAGATGTTGTGTGTGTATGATGTGGTGTTGGGGTATTAATTAATGAATACTAAATAAACAATATTGTCTTGTTAATGACAGTACAGTAGTTTGATGAATAGTAGTGACAATTGTAGTACGCTACTATTCATCATACGACTGTCATTGACGATACAATATTGCTTATTTATTAATTATTGCCACATCATCACACCCAGACACCCACACACCCCTATATTGTATGACATTAATTTATGCATGGTTAACTACGTGGAGGTGAATTAAAAGATCAGCTGTTGAGGAGCTTAACGCTTGGCAACACTGGTGCATGTTACCACTCCTTTCCACTCCATCTCTCTAATCACCCACACCTTTCTCACTCTACATTCTAAAATCTTATGTAATGTAATGTTGAAGGGAAATAATGTGATAAGTGTAAGTATAAGAAATACTGTATTTTAGCTTTCATGTTTATTAAGACATCTTCAGGTCCTCAAACCCACTAATCCCCCACCTCACAATGAGTGACCTGACATTGTATCAGAAGGTCAGTAATATGAGACCACCAATACCCGACCCTACCTCCACCTGACATTGTGTCAGGTCAAGTCAGTTACACAAGACCCACGAATCTCCCACAGCTCCAAGGCAGTGGAAAATACCAGTCCTTGCTGTAACACAGCTTCATTCATGACCATATCATATAGATGTTTAGTTTAGACTTTTGGAAAACTCCCCAGCACACAGAAACATTCTGAGGATGTGGGCTAGTGTTTGTCTGTGCAAGATGCATAGTTTGGACACTGAAAGATTTTCCAGTAACCGAAAATATTTCCGGGGATGGGGTTTTTTCTGGGTTTGAGAAAGTCGTCTCGTTACCCAGAAATCTCTCATCCCCGGAAGTGCTCAGCACCGATTGTTTCGGCTAACGGGGATATCACTGTATTACTGTACTTTTCTGGACTAAAGTAAAACTTATACTATACAGTACATTGTAATGATTATCTAAATCACACAAAACAAAGTAGAATATATATTGCTTCAAACACAAGTCCATACTTAATTAAGGTGATGAACATACACAAGAGTTCAAAATGAAGATAACTGTACTGCAGAGGCCTACCCTGATAACTGACATATATAGGGACGGTTATCGAAGGATTTAAACCGTCCCTAAATATGTCAGTTATCAGGGTAGGCCTCTGCAGTACAGTTATCTTCATTTTGAACTCTTGTGTATGTTCATCACCTTAATTAAGTATGGACTTGTGTTTGAAGCACAAGGAATCAGAAGTGGTAGCAGACATAGTGGCACCTCTGAACAGCACTGACTGCCCGGGACCTTTAAACTTGGTAAGGAGTTTATAGATGTGTTTCTCACTGTTACCACACACACACACACACTATGTACACAGGAGGCAAAAAAAAAATAAATAAAAGAGAGAGAGAGAGAGAGAGAGAGACTCATCCATTTACGAGTTGCCAAGTCATATAAAATGAGTTATTCTTCTAATCTGGACTCAAAGGAGCCCTAGCAATGCCGCCTACAGAACCCTAGCTTAATGTGATATAAACTATGTCAGAGACCAAATAGTGTATGACATGGGATGACATAATTTACATCAGTTATACTTAAGAGGGTAATGGAAATAATGTGGATCAGTGGATATGAAGTCAAAGTCAAGTAAGTCACATCCATCATCGGTCTCATTGTGTTCACGTTTCAGGTATATTTATAGATTATCTTACTTATTTCATAAACAATTACAGTAATACCCCGCTTTACGAGGTTTCACTCTCCGCGATTTCGCATTTACGCGGTGCCTCGCCAGAACCGGACTTTCACTTTACGCGGTGCATCTACTCATATACGCGGGAAGCGGCGCTGGCAGGATGCGCACAAGGTCGCCCAGTCATCAAAACATTACCGAGTTCTTCACCCGCCACCCACCACAGCCGGCCCAAGTCAGTGATAGTGAGGATATGGACTTATATGGACTTTGAGGGGTTTGACAAAGAGGCCCTGCAAGCCTATGTGGTGGATAGTGATACAATTGATACAAGTGATACAGGTGAGGGCCAATAATCTGCCCTCTGCCTCGGAACCAACCCCCTATCCCTGTGTGCCCAGCCATCTTTTCTACTAATGTAAGTGTTAAAAAAACTAATATTATTGATATTTCTCTTAATTATTAATTGTGTGTGCATACCATCATAAAATTAAGATGTAATTTTTACTACAACGTAGGTATTGTGTCTGAAAAAGTGGAGTTTGGGGGTCGGGCCAGTCTGTATTGGAATTAATCCCATATGTTCTGTTGTTCACTTTACGCGGTTTTCACTTTCCGCGGTACCCCATGGGTTCAATTGACCGCGTAAATCGGGGTACTACTGTACTGTAATTATTTCTATGTTTAACTTTTTCTCTTATTTATATTATAATACATAATTAGTAATACACTGTACTATGTGTGTACTATACACAATGTATTGTTGTCCATACAGTACTATCTTGAGAGTAACCGAGTCAGAACACAAGATACAGCTGGAGCATTCATGTCATAGCAGATAACATGACTGCCTGTATTGATATTTATTGACAGTAGGAGAACACCATGTTGTCATCAGTGTATCGACTGTCTTCGTTTGATATTAATTTATTTAACCTTTAAAAACTTATTTAATGAAACAAACTGTTAATAATATTCAATGCTTCTTTAAGAAATGAAACATTAAAGATATATTTAATGTTTTTACACTAAAGGCAATAAGGATACACTCCAGTACCATAAGTACATTAGACAAATTACCAGTGAGGAATAGAAAACAGGCAGTCCCCAGGTTCCAAACGTCTGACTTACGAATGCCTGCCGATACGAATGAGTTCAACTTTAAATTTACAGTATTTTATTTACCTGAAGACTTATTTTTTACTTTTATTTTTAATGTATTTTGTCACTCTTATTTCACCTTTTCTCTTCAACTAAATGATTTTAGATGTATACAGTAGATGTATATAAGGAATTTGGCTATGATATAGTGGGATTTTAAAAAAAATTCTTTAAGTTCAGTATGCACATAGCATGTGTTTCGACTTACAGTATGTACATTTTCGACTTAAAAACGGCCCTATGAATGGAACTCATTCGTAACCCAGGGACTGCCTGAATAAAGTAAACAATTCTTAAGAAAATTTTTTCTTATGTCAACAAAAATTAAATCATTTCAAAACATTTGTTAACATATTAATGTTCAATAGACGCAACACAGTTTTATCCCTCCATAATTTCTTGAGAGTAACCGCGTTAGAACACGTGATATGGCCGCTGTGTCCAAGTGATCAGCTGGTGAATATTCTCAGCATTTTCTAAAAAAAAATGGCCAGTTAGATAATATCTATTTACTGTTCTCTCAAGGCGTTTGAAGTGAGCTTTTCTTTCCATCTACACGGAAAATCCTCATCCTCGGACTACCTTTTCCCCCAATTAGTCCGAATTGGTGAGAATTTACTATATAAGGATTTTACTCTCTGGCTCCTGTGGAAGAGACATTGTTTTTCCAGCACCTTTATCTTTGTACAAGGTATAATACTGCCCAGTCTACTTACTTGAAATGTAGGTCATGCTGCTCGACAGCTTCTCTGAACCACCGTGACTCTTCATCAGAAACATCCTCAACACCAAAGTTAACAACCTGGACAAAAAATAAAAATAAATAAAAATATACAGTTCAATTCTCTTTTAATACTACACAACTTCTCTCATAAAAAAGATGCATTGGTTCAGATATCCTGTTTCACACTCTTGTCATGGTCATGTACAGCCCCCTTCACTTGTGTGTTTACAGGGGCTTGTCATAAAAACATTCCACAAATCATTTTTATTGAGATATTTGTTTTAATGTTGTTTTACTTTTATTTCATAGTGTTTACTATTGCGATTTTCCTTCTGTCTAATGTAAACAAACACACGGCTGTCACACTGATAAGCCCCTGTAAATGCACTAGTGAATGGGCCTGTATAAATGAAAAAAAGAAAAAAAATCAAGAGTGAGAACTGATATATATATGTTGCATTATCAAAGTAAGAGAAAGAACCGAGACCCTACAATTGTGTGTAAATGAGGCAGAAAGTCAGATCAGCAACCTGGGACTTGGTCACAATTTTTGTGATGCCATATAGCAGCAGGGTCTACCATTAGACAACACATTATGCTTGCAATATCTTCCCAGGCGGTAGTACCTCCCTGTTTGATAGCTGGCTAATACATACTAATACGTACTGTAGTACCATAAGATGGGATGATTTTGGACAGTGCTTGAGGTGTTATAAGCTGCAATTTAAGTTTGAAGGCTAAAAGCATATGTTAAGTACACTATTGGTGTGTGAACTCGTGGGCTATCTATACGTATCAACAGAAAATTCAGCAAATATCATACTTTTCCTGTGAATTGAAGATTTATAGGTCCAAAGTCACCCCAGTAATATGGTGAGTTTGGACGGATCTGGGGTGGCCTCAGAGAACAGTGCTAATTCAATGGCTGTACCTATTAGAGCCTGGCCGGATAGTTTGGGGTTACTTTGGGCATCAATAAACTCAAAAAGGGGAGGGGGGCAAATAATCAGCAGCAACAAAATTACATACTGTAGAGGTCAAAAAGGGAAGAAGAGTCAAGACAAGGGAAAATGTTCCTGGAAAATTGTTTAACATGAAAATAACATACTACAGCACATGTTAAGGGTTCATTTTTTAAGATTACATATTAGAAGAAACAGCAAAACAAAGTCCTCATTGTAGCCTCACTTTTCTTAGTTGTTTGAATCCACGATTCATTTACCCCCATGGCTCGTCACACACTATGCGCTTGTCTTTTGAACACTTCAACTTTCTTTTCTAGACTCATTACATTCCTTGCCCTCTTCCTTTTCTTCTCACCTTTATCACTAACACTCATTGTACACTTAGGGCCCACAGTTAAAGGCACAATCAGATTATGGTAGAAAATACGTTTGCACGGTACAAGATCATAACACAGAGAAGGAGGGAAAACGACGCAATGCTAAACCATGGATACTCATAATTCAATACCCTGGTTGGTGAAATGGTAGAGAGAGTAAAAACCGTGGATACCCTAAATCCTCGGGTGGTAACCAGCGGTTGGAGGGAGACTACTGTATAGGATATAACGAGCATCCCAAAATTTTTCTAAATTTTCAAGATAGTTAGGGTTCTAATAACCAGTGTAAACTTATACAATATATGAAATAATCCAATAAATTCAAGTTTATATAATTATGATAAATCCTATCTTGATGCAAACTTCTATCAAACTACTGGAATTTATTAATTCTGTATTTTCAACTTTAAATGTCATGAACTCAAAACATAGCTGCCTTATATATTAAACAGAATACTGTATAGACGTGTTTGAACACCTTTTTAAAAGACAAAACAAACCAAAATACCAACACCTTGTCTTATTGTCTACAATGCAACTGTTGGCTATATAGTACAGTATAGTACTACTGTACAATATTCTGTAATAAATTTTTATGCACAATTTATTGCAACCAGGGTTCATTTAATGGAAGTACTATGCTGTACAGTAAAGCTGTCCAGATCACTCATAACTAAAAACTAAACTAAATCACTTTTACTCTTTCCCATGGATTTTCTGCACTGTTATTTAAATCTTTGGATCACCTGAAGATTAGGCATCCCAGCTTATTGTTCCCAAATGATGAAACACTTTAATGCTGTGTGGTAGAGAAGTTGGGTTAGGTTACATTAGTGTAGGTTAACTTTAGGGTGGTTAATCTTAAAAGTAAAATCAGCTGGGTGGCCTAATCTTCCGGTTACTGTATCGTGTATACCAGACAGGATCACTCTGAAACCCTGACAGCAGGTGTAAGCAAAGTGACAAGTCTAATAAACAAATAAACACCAATCACAGAAAGACTAGGGTCAATTAGGCCAAGGCCACAATTCTAATGGATAGGTTCAGTCAGATTGGGACCTATTAGTTACTGTAAACAAAAATCTTCCACAGTTATAATGACACACCTGTAGCTTGAGGTCACACAGTGTATTGGCGGTGATGATGACGTCAGCCTTAACAGACATACGTGAGTCATCGCTGTCAGTCACTAATGTCTTACTCATCACCTGGCCCTCATACTTGTACTTATACTGCATTCCCGGCTCATACTGCACACCTTGTCCATCACCTACAGTACAAAAAATAATAATTAGCATAAGTACAGAACAAAGAACTTAAATTCAGATTAAAACCCTCAATGGGTGCAGTTGTGAATATTACACTTACTAGTACAGTACTATATTAAAGGAAAACCTCATACACCATTCCCCAGGGTTACAGAAACGCTGGTTATGGAAATTCGCTCTTACGGATTTTGTAAATTATGACCAAGAAATTCGGGATACGGACAAAAAATTCGCCATTATGGAAATTGGGTAAATTTTTAAGTTTATTATTTTTTTCAATACTATTAGAAAAAAATCAGAAATTATATAACTGATTTCTTGTGGATTTCTTGGTGGTTGCTACAATACTGTACAGGGCGAGGCAGGAGCCAGTAGTGCCCCTCCGTCTCCCTCCCAGTAACTCTGATTGCACCACCTTACCTCACCACCTCACCTAACTTAGCACTCAACATCTTTTGTGGTAAGCTAAATTCAAGCATTCTGTATATTTATTATCATATTACATCATAAAATAATCAATGTATGAGTTAAAAAAAAAAATATTTCATTCATAAATGTGCTTGCAGAAACTGCATTAATAGAGAACGAATGTGAAAAGGATCTGGGTGTGTATGTTGACAAGGAACTTAAATTCTCAGGACATTGTGAAAAGATAAAACAAACAACTAAGCTAATATGTCTTATACGAAGGTAATTCAGATAACTAGACGGTTCGTCCCTCGTAACGATCTTCAAGAGTGAGGTGCTTCCCCACCTGGAGTACTGTCACCCTGTCTGGTCCTCAAGATTTGCTAGAGACTGCCAGTTGGTTGAAAATGTCCAAAAGAGGGCCACCAGAATGATGCCTGCTATACGGCACCTCAGTTACCCTGAGAGATTAGAATCCCTGCAACTGCCTAGCTTATACTAAAGATGGGTAAGGGTGGACCTAATTGAAGGGAAGGTAGGAAGGGGGGAGGGGTCGCACTCTTCATCAAGGATACATTAAAATGTTGTATTAATAATTCAATAAAGGGTGAAATAGGAACCGAGTCTGTATGGGTAGAAATCACGGAAGGAAGAGAAAAACTAATTATGGGAGTGATTTAGAGGCCCCCAAGTCTTGGGAAAGAAGCAGCTCAGCCCATATGGCAGGAAATGAGTAGGGCAGCAAAATATAACAACCTGTGCATTATGGGGATTTCAACTTCAGAAATATTGACTGGGACAACATTGTAGGTGACTATGAATCTGAAGACTTCCTAGACGCAGTACAGGAAAATTTTTTGAAACAACTAATTACAGAACCTACTAGAGGTGACAATATATTAGACCTAGTATTAACAAATAAAGAACATATTATCAGAGATAACACAGTAGGGGAAGAACTAGGTAACAGTGATCACAGAGAAATCAGGTTCACCCTAAATTGGGAAACGAAAAACAATGACAATATGGTCAGAGTCCCAAACTTTCGGTTGGCGGATTATCAGGGGATAAGAAGGTACCTAGGTGAGGTCACCTGGGAACAGTCACATCAGTCACCAGTAGGAAGGGGTGAGGTCATAGATGACACAACAATTGATCATGACTATAATATATTCACAAGTATACTACATAAAGCACAGGAACAAAATATACCATACAGAAAAATTAGGTGAAATAAGAATGAGCCACGGTGGATGACCAGCAAACTTAAACATGACATAGGAATAAAGAAAGGGATATATTAGAAATTAAAGGGAGGAGAGGAGCAGCTCAGAAATAGGTATAATGAACTATCTAGGAATGTTAAGAAAAATGTAAGGAAAGCAAAGAGAGACTATGAAATCAAAATAGCAAGAGAATCCAAGGCGAATCCCAAGGGATTTTTCCAGGTATATAGAACAAAGGTCAAGGACAAAGTTGGGCCTTTAAAGTCAGGGAGGGGAGAAGTGATAAATGGCAGTGAAGAAATAGCAAAGCATTGAACAGCTACTTCTTATCAGTTTTCACAGAAGAAATTTGCGATGAAATTCCAGAGATGGAACTGATATTTAAGGGAAAGGAAGAAGAGAAATTAAAGAATATCACTATCAGAAAAGGGGATGTTCTTAAGATAAATAAACTAAAGAAGACAAAATCCCCAGGGCCGGATGAAATTTTCCCTCAAGTCTTGAAAGAGTGTAGGGAACAGATTAGTGGACCCCTCGTAAACTTATTTACAAAATCATTCGACACCGGAGTTGTGCCAGACTTGTGGAAACAGGCAAATGTAGTACCCATATTCAAAAAGGGAGACAGAGCAACAGCGTCAAATTACCGGCCGATCAGTTTGACATCAGTAGTGGGGAAATTTCTTGAATCAATTATAGCAGATAACATCTGATCGCATTTAGAGATAAGCAAAAAAATCTATGACTCTCAACATGGGTTTACAAAGGGAAAATCTTGTCTAACAAATCTGCTGACGTTTTTTAGGAAAGTCTTCAAGGTAGTAGATAATGACGAAAATTAAGATGTTATTTACTTAGACTTTAGCAAAGCATTTGACAGAGTACCGCATCAGAGGCTTCTCAGAAAAATTAAGGCTCATGGTATCGAGGGGAAAGTTTTAAATTGGATAAAATCATGGCTCACCGATAGAATGCAGAGAGTCAGCGTAGATGGTGTTAAATCTGAGTGGGGTCGTGTAACCAGTGGGGTTCCCCAGGGGTCAGTACTAGGCCCACTCTTGTTCATAATCTACATAAACGATCTAGATACTGGGATCAGCAGTGACATAAGCAAGTTTGCGGATGACACCAAAATAGGGCGGCAGATTAATTCAGGGAAGGATGCAAATGCATTACAGGAAGATCTAAATAAACTGCAGGGTTGGTCTGAAAAATGGCAAATGAAATTCAACACCCGCAAGTGCAGCGTACTTAATACTGGAAGAACAAATACTGTCAACGTATACAGCCTTAACAACATCAACCTAGAGAAGTCGACTTGTGAAAGAGACCTAGGGGTACTTGTAAGCCCGGACCTACGGCCTAGAAAACAGTGAGTTAATGTTCGAAATAAGGCAAACAGAGTATTGGGTTTTATATCTAGAAGTGTAAGTAATAAGAGTGCAGAGGTCTTATTGCAACTATATCTTGCGCTAGTCAGGCCGCACCTCCATTATGCGGTTCAGTTCTGGTGCCCATATTATAGAATGGATATCAATTCACTGAAGTCGGTGCAGCGAAGAATGACGAAAATGATTCCAGGACTTAGAAACCTTCCATATCAAGATAGGTTAAAGAAACTAAACTTGCATTCCCTAGAAAGACAAAGAGGGCGGGGAGATATAATAGAAGTATTTAAGTGGGTGAAAGGAATCAATAAGGGGGATATAGATAAAGTTCTTATAATATTCGAGCAGGATAGGACTCGGAACAACGGATTTAAGTTGGATAAGTCTAGGTTTAGGATGGAGATAGGAAGGAACTGGTTTACAAATAGGGTGGTGGACGAGTGGAACAAGCTTAGCAACTTTGTAGTAAGTGCTGGAATGCTGGAAAGTTTCAAAAGGAGGCTGGATAGATTCATGGATGATAGAGAGTGGTAGTAACTCTCGACAGGAGCTGCCATGCACAGGCCAACCGGCCTATTGCAGACTCCTTATTTTCTTATGTTCTTATAAACATCTCAGGGGGGCACTACTCAGTTGAGTGTCCATACCTGCAGCTGTCAGACACCCGCCCCACAAGGGGTCACAGCTCAAGGTTAAAGAAGACAAACGTCCAGAAAACTGTGAGGGCAAATTTTTTCGGAGTGAGAATTGTGAACTCTTGGATCAATCTACCAGAAAGATTTGTGACAGCACCGAGTGTGAGGTCTTTCAAGACCAGACTTGACCAACACTGGAGCAGGTTCAGATGTATTCAGGAGCCAGTGCATGCCCAGTACTTGCCAGCCATGTTTAATAGACGTGACCAATTGCACAAGCGGCTAACGAGCTAATCAATAGTAAGGAGGATAAAAGAAAAGAAGGTCCATTTGCTTTTCCTGAGGTCTGGTTATGTAAATTAGGGTAAAGTTCTTTTTGATTGTTCAAATTAGGGTATTACTACTGTACAGTATTTTAATTTCGGTTATCCGGGGAATCTTAACAATTTAACTGCTGGAATCAGTAGTTTAGACATTTCTAAGGCACTTTTCTTCTATGACGTTTACCTCACAAACGACTTATGTATGCCATGGGGGGGGGGGCGGTGCCCCCCAGTTAGGTTAGGTCAGGTCATTTGCGAAGAAAATGTTATAGAAGGAAAGTGTCTGAGAATTGTCTAAATTACTGCCGATCAATGGCAAAAATATGAAAAGCAATCCAAAAAATAATGTGGCATGTGACAAATCTCCCCCTTCACCATTATAGAAATACTGCAGACAAACCTGTTGCACACCAGTTAACAATCTTATAATATTAATTTTTGGAGAACTCATGAAGATTAGGCTGATTTCACCCGATTTATTAAACACCTTAATGATAACCTAACCTAACCAAATCCTGGCTTATTTAATTTTATTAAACACCCTAATTTTAAATTCGCAAGTCAGTCGTCGGCGAGCCATGGGAGGAGGAAGGTGTTGTGTGCAGGTGGTCTGAATCACATTACCATGCTAAATAATACATATATTGTACATAAAAGGAAGACAAGTTTATGACAAAACATGAATAGATGTAGGGAATCAGAGGCTAAAACCCCATGACCACGAAGTTTGTTGACATGCAATTACTGCAGGGCGACGTCTGATGTACATTGTGTGGATCTGGGCTATACAGCACTTAGGATGGTGCAGAATGAGGTAAAGCTTGAAGGCTGTTGCTGGTACTGCCCTGACTGTATAACCAAAGTAAATGAGGCTATTGCAGATCACAAGGGAATGAGAAACTTGGAGACAAAAATAGGGGAAGCTAATTCTGTGTTGGTTGTCAAGCTGGAGCAGGTTGGGGAAGAGATCCTCACTAAGACTGAGGAAGTAGCTGACAGAACAGAGGAAGTTGTTAAGAAGAGCTATGCTCAGGTTGCAGCAGGGTCACAGAAGGTGACGGAGAGTAATGCAGAATCTGAGCAGGTCATCCAGCAGCTAGGGACTCTGCAGAAGTCTATTGAAGAGTTGACAACTGACAACCTGAAACCATTCCAGTGTTGGTCAAGTCTGGTCTTGAAAGAGCTCACACTCGGTGCCGTCACAACACTTTCTAGTAAATTGTTCCAAGACTTCACAACTCTCACTCCGAAAAAGTTTGCCCTCACAGTTTTCTGGACTTGCGGCTTCTTCAATCTTGAGCTGTGACCCCTTGTGGGGCGAGCGTCCGCCAGCTCCAAGTAAGGACACTCAACTGAGTAGTGCTCCATGAGATGCTTATAAAACTCAATTAGGTTGCCCCTAGCCCGTCTGTAGTATAAGCTAGGCAAGTTCAGGCTCTTCAATCTCTCATGGTAGCTGAGGTGCCAAAGTGCAGGCACAAGTCTGGTGGTCCTCCTTTGAACATTTTCAACCAACTGACAGTCCTTAGCGTATCTCGGGGACCAGATGGGGTGACAGTACTCCAGATGAGGAAGCACTTCACTCCTGAAGATCGTTACGAGGGACGGACCGTCTAGATATCTGAACGACCTTCTTATAAGACCCAATAATTTATTTGCCTGATTTACCTTCTTCTCGCAATGGCCCGAGAACTTCAGCTCATTGTCAACATACACACCTAGGTCCTTCACACATTCAGTCTCAAATAGTACAGTTTCTTCATCCTGTTGGGATATATGATACGCCTCCTTACCGTTGGTACGCCACAGGTGCATCCTCTTACACTTCGTGACATTGAATCTCAGCAGCCATTCCTTCGACTAAAAATCAAACTGGATGGGTACGGAATTCGGAGAAATGTCCTAGCATGGATAGAAGACTTTCTACATGACCGCAAGCAGTGTGTGGTGATTAATGGCACGAAATCGTCATCTGTTTCTGTCACAAGTGGGGTACCAAAGGTCAGTGTATTGGACCCGCTGTTGTTTGTTTGTTTCATAAATGACATGCCTGATGTTGTACACTCCTCCATACAAATGTTTGCCAATGACGCCAAGTTATTTCGGGAAATCAAGAACCAAGCAGACTGCGAAGAGCTGCAGAAGGACCTCTGTGGGCTCCAAGAATGGCCGAAGAAATGGCTGCTGAGATTCAATGTCACGAAGTGTAAGAGGATGCACCTGGGGCATACCAACGGTAAGGAGGCGTATCATATGTCCCAACGGGATGAAGAAACTGCACTAGTTGAGACTGTATGTGAGAGGGACCTAGGTGTGTATGTTGACAATGAGGTGAAGTTCTCGGGCCATTGCGAGAAGAAGGTAAATCAGGCAAATAAATTATTGAATCTTATAAGAAGGTCGTTCAGATATCTAGACGGTCCGTCCCTCGTAACGATCTTCAGGAGTGAAGTGCTTCCTTATCTGGAGTACTGTCACCCCATCTGGTACCCGAGATATGCTAGGGACTGTCAGTTGGTTGAAAATGTTCAAAGGAGGGCCACCAGACTGGTGCCTGCACTTTGGCACCTCAGCTACCATGAGAGATTGAAGAGCCTGAACTTGCCTAGCTTATACTACAGACGGGCAAGGGGGGGACCTAGTTGAGGTGTATAAGCATCTCAGAGGGCACTACTCAGTTGAGTGTCCTTACTTGGAGCTGGCGGGCGCTCACCCCACAAGGGGTCACAGCTCAAGATTGAAGAAGCCGCAAGTCCAGAAAACTGTGAGGGCAAACTTTTTCGGAGTGAGGTTGTAAAGTCTTGGAACAATCTACCAGAGAGTGTTGTGACGGCACTGAGTGTGAGCTCTTTCAAGACAAGACTTGACCAACACTGGAGCGGGTTCAGGTACATTCAGGAGCCGGTGCATGCCCAGTATTTGCCAACAGTGCGTGACAGAGACGTGACCAATCGCCCGGGCGGCTAGCGAGCCGATCTTTTGGTGAAAAAGATAAATGAAAAGGAAAAGTAATCAGAGACGTGACCGATCGCCCAAGCGGCTAACACGCCGATCAGTGGCGAAGAGGATAAAAAAAAAAAGTTATACTCTGGAAGTAAATTCATGCTTTTGGAGGACGCATTTAGTGTACAGTACTGTATACAGTCTCTCCTCGACTTACGACGGGGTTCCGTCCCGACGACCAGGCCGTAAGTCGAAAAGGCGAAAATTCTACCTGTACATAGAATTTATAAAATGGGTGTCTCCTTTTCTTATCAGCACCACGAGAACTCTCACTCTTACGCTTGCCAGCCATTTTAAAGGGAATTACAAACAAAAATTTTGTCAATAAACAGCGCGATCACTAACGTCGGGACTCGAAAATACATAGTGAAAAATATTTTATACGACCATGGCCGTCGTATGTCCGGGTTGTCGTAAGTCAAGGAGAGACTGTACTTATTTATAACCACAATAATGTATACTAAGACAAATTATGTACCAGTAATACTTCATAATGCTTTACCCGCGCCCGGGGCAGTTTGTTTTTCAACATGTCATGTGAAGGTTGTCGCGTAATTTGTGAATTTAGGGATAAAAACAACGAGACCATTTAATTGTTTAAAGATCACGGCATTGTTCCTTTACATAGATACTGTTTATTTTCTTACATTATTTTCATCAGCGAGTTCTGTTATGATAATTATTTATTGTGGAACCCGCCAACACAGTAAATCACTCCGCCGCCCGGGGTGCATAGTGCCGATGCGGCCATATCATCTCGTCCAGAAAATGCCTCAAATTTCACCATATCATAGTAAGAGTCTTCTGTTTAATATACCGGGAAGGTTAGCTAAGGTTAGGTAGGTTTGCTTGGTTAGGTTTGTTTTTCATAACCACAAATGTTAAGTAAAGTTTATTTGTAAAATATCCAATTTTTAACATATTTCCACAGACTACAATAGTGTCCACTATAATATAAGTGAAAATCCGGTGTTTTTATAATTGTTTTCAATCAATTTCACTCACTGGTTAGTCCTTTATAATTACCCAAGTTTCTTACACACTAGGCCTATGACTTAAGTTAGGTTAGGTTTTTCAGGTTTTGCATTTTCTTACTTAATACTTTTTACAATATCTCAACAACAGCTCAATTCTGACAGCATTGAAGTTGCTATTTGTATTTAACTCGATGATTTACACTATAAAAACCCATTTTCAAAAGTTAATTAGGTATTGCCAACTGTTTAATATTTACCGAAATCTCTCGCTTTTGAGAGAGCCCCTCGCCCGGTCCGACTAATTACTCAAATGAACCCAATTGTAGCCGCAATGAAGTCAAATGATGGTCCTACATGAATAAATCGGACTGCCAATCACTTCTTGACTAGTATTTGGTGTCACAAAGTCACAAAAAATTGGTAAACTTAATTTAATCTGAGTTGTGTTAGGTTAGGTTAGGTTAGGTTAGGTTAGGTTAGGTACATGCACTCGATCTATTAATTCAGATTAAATTAAGTTTACCAATTTTTTGTGACTTAGTGACACCAAATAATAATCGAGAAGTGATTCACAGCCCAATTTACGCTTGTACGACCATCATTTGACTTCATTACGGCTACATTTGGGTTCATTTGAGTAATTAGTCGGACCCCCCTCCCCGCCCCCCCTACTACCATATTGGTTGAAAATGCAACAGGATAAAAGTAAGTAATACCTTTATTTTTTTTACTTCAATCATCTCTTATCTATGATCATAAATGAAGGATGAAGGATATTGCGCGGTATAACATGCTGAAAACTTAATCATATAACACAATAAAAAAAAGTAATCTACGTGCTTTGTACTCGAGGAAATTAATTATTTACCATAAATATTCCTCGGAAAATATGCCGTTGTCGTACTGACCGACCTGCTGACCCGACCTACTGACCGACCTGCTGACCTACCTACTGACCGACCTGCTGACCTACCTACTGACCGACCTGCTGACCCACCTACTGACCGACCTGCTGACCCACCTACTGACCGACCTGCTGACCGACCTACTGACCCACCTACTGACCTACCTACTGACCCACCTGCTGACCTACCTGCTGACCGACCTGCTGAGTCCGAGTAACAGGGCCAATAGGTAACAAGAGCCACAAGTGGTTACCTACTACAATGACGGACTAAAGTATTTGACCAAGCTGTCCCTAAAACAGTCTGTGTATTGTACTGTACTGTAGATACTTTATCGTTGAAACACTATGTATTTAATCAATATTTAAAGCCAAAAAACAATCCAGAAAAATATGCAATTTGAAGGCCACTGTGCATTGTATCTTTGCGTCCCTTGTACTGTTATTTAAATTTTTACCTATATTCTGTGCCATTTTTGTATTGTAAAAAAAAGAAGAGTACTGTATTCCCATTTTCTAAATAACATTCGCCAAAATGTTAAACTTTCAAGAATAAGTTGGATGACTTACCGGCCGAGATACAGGTTAGTGCACACACAGGGTCATCTGGAAGTAAAAATATTGAATTATAATCATATTAATGAAAATTTTGTTTGTTAGTCAATAACAAATTTAGATGAAAACCTATTTGCAAAGTAAGTTAACTAAGATAGTACTGTATACGTTTTACTTAGTGATTTGTTACAGTATCTATGGCTGCTCCCCAAGATAACTTAGATAAGTGATAAGTAATTGCATACTTTTACTCTTATCCTCTTCACCACTAATCGGCTTGTTAGCCGCTTGGGCGATCGGTCACGTCTCTGTTACACACTGTTGGCAAGTGCTGGGCATGCACCGGCTCCTGAATGTACCTGAACCTGCTCCAGTGTTGGTCAAGTTGTAGTGGATTTCTCCCCTACAAACGCTGTTTGTCGCTGAGTAGCCGACCCCACCAATTCCCCAGTGTATGCCTCGTGGTCTAGGTCAACCAACGCCGCCATACATCACGGAGCGGGGGTCAACTACTAAGCCACGCCTACCCCCCGCTATTTAAGACCTGACCTCGTGGTGACCTGTCTCTTTCTACCTACACCAACCAACCAGCAACACCTCCTCCTCCGCCTGCCTGGCGGTCCTCTCTCCCGCCGGCGAGCATGGCGACCCACAAGCTGGTCCTCCTCTGAGCACCCTCACCAACCAGCTCTCTCTACATCACGCTTGTAACCATGCTGCCTTCCCAGCACCAAGCTGCACTGTACATCCAATACAACATGTATATAGAGAGCACATTGTGAGTTTCCTTTCTCCATCCCATCCTGAGTGTGAACCAAACATCTTGAACCCCACAAAGTCTTGTCTTGAAAGAACTCACACTCGGTGCCGTCACAACACTTTCTGGTAGATTGTTCCAAGAGTTCACAACTCTCACTCCGAAAAAGTTTGCCCTACAAAAAGTGTAGCAGGGTTATTCAAGTCATCTGGGGTGAGTTCGTTTCTCCAGTCGATGTCGCCATAGTTAAAGTTCCCCATGATAAGCAGGTGGCTAGGGTTGAGGATCGCTGCGTTGTCTATTAAGGCTCTTAAGTTCCTTTGATTTAGTGGTCCACAGTTTGGGGATCTGTAGATACACCCGACAATAAGTAATTTATTTTACACCACTTAGACTCTTCAAAAACATCCTCTCCCTGTACCCTCGCCTGGCTGGCTCTAAGGGCTTACCTAGCATAGATAACCACTTGCATGTTTGTTTTATCTATTAACTTCCATGTTCATTACATCATCTTAATAATGATATAGAAAACTCGTTTTCATTGTAAAACAATACAGTACTCTTTGACGATGGGTTGGAGCAGATTAATAACAAAATTTTAATACAACCAATGAGAATCACATTCTGGAAAATTTTAGAGGTGAGGATGTGAAGTAAGGACGCGAGACGCACTTGAGAGAGACCAAGTACTGATACTCAAGTATATATTATCAGCAGGCGAGGGATGAGTAGTGAGTAAACAAGCTTTATCACCCAACACTCCTCCAGTCCTTAACACAACCGCCACACACATCACCAACACCACCCCCTTTGTGTCTACACCTCTCTAACATATTCTGAAGTATCGTAAAGACCACCATTTGTATGTTTAGTAGATTCACACAGTCAGGTCACCAGTCAGTGAGTGGTGTAGTGCAGCATACATGAGGTGCTCTTTGCTTGGAGTTGACCCGGTGTATTCCTCAAGACGGTATCAAAATGGTCATTTCTTATCGTGTTTATCAGTCACTCCCCAGGGAACATACTAGAGTATACCTGAGTTCACTACACCTTGGATCTGTGTTAGTCAATGTGCATAAGTATCTATAAGTAAAAAGTTTTGTAAATTAATATTTTTCCCGTGTGTCTGTCTTGATATTCAATATATAGCCTCCCAGTTCTATTGACATATTAATCAGTGACGTCTTTAATTCGTCGATAGTAAAGTCAATCTCGCTGTGACATGAACGTACAGGTACAGAAGAGGTTTCATACTTCTACCCTCAACATTTACAGACATGATTCGAAAAATGTCCACACACAGACTCACAACGATACTTGCCCCACAAGGGGTCACAGCTCGAGATTGAAGAAGCGCCAGGTCCAGAAAACTGTGAGGGCAAACTTTTTCGGAGTGAGAGTTGTGAACTCTTGGAACAATCTGCCAGAGTGTTGTGCCGGCACCGAGTGTGAGCTCTTTCAAGACCAGACTTGACCAACACTGGAGCAGGTTCAGGTACATTCAGGAGCCGGTGCATGCCCAGTACCTGCCAACAGTGTGTAACAGGGAGGTGACCGATCGCCCAAGCGGCGAACGAGCCAGTCAGTGTTGAAGAGGATAAATATAAAAGTAAAAATATACCCTGTCACCATCACTACATTGTTTACACCCTGTCACCATCACTACATTGTTTACACCCTGTTACGATCACTACATTGTTTATACCCTGTCACCATCACTACATTGTTTACACCTTGTCACCCTCACTACATTGTTTACACCCTGTCACCATCACTACATTGTTTACACCCTGTCACCATCACTACATTGTTTACACCCGGTCACCATCATTACATTGTTTACACCCGGTCACCATCATTACGTTGTTTACACCCTGTCACCATCATTACATTGTTTACACCCGGTCACCATCATTACGTTGTTTACACCCTGTCACCATCACTACATTGTTTACACCCTGTTACCATCACTACATTGCTTTCACCCTGTCAATCCTGTCATCATAACTACATTGTTTATACCCCTGCCACTATCACTACATTGTTTATACCATATTTCACCATCACTACATTGTTTACACCCTGTTAACATCGCTATATTGTTTGTACCATTGCCATCACCACATTGTTTATACCCTGTGTCACTATTAGTACATTGTTTATGCCGTGTGTCACTATTAGTACAATGCTTAGGTCCTGTCAGCCTACAGTATATGTATTGTTATAATCATAAGTACACAAGATTTACATTTATACGTATAATAATAATGGTTGCCCCTCGTGTAACGAGGATGGCCGGCCCAAGGGCCACCTAGGCTTGAATTTGTTTAAGGTGTAGAAGCTGTCGCCAACACAACAACCACACTCTAGTTAACGAGCTGAATGACCCAGCGTCAAGGAACAGTTCGAGAAAACCTGAAAGCTCACCAACTGCACTGGTTAGCCATTACCCCTGAACACGTTCCGTAAATCGATTAACACCCAGGTTCCCAATTACTGCTGGGTAGATAGAGGCAAATGGCGGAAAGAAACTTGCCCATAGCTTCACCCTGCCCGGGGATATCTATACACACACATACATTTATTCATTCCGTTCTGAATGTCCTCTATCACATTTTTAAAATCACCACAGGACAAAAATTGATTTGTACTGATAACATAATCACCAGTTTCTAAGCATCATCTGATAAAGACTTTCACGCCTCTCATGAACGGGCCACAGGTGAGCATACTGTATGATATAAAAGAAACTGACAACTTCAATAAAATTTAATGAAGCCTCTCTCCATTGTCCTTTATCCCATAGTACAGATAACGGCACGTTGAACTGACCTGCACGGGCGAGGGCGGCCAGTATTAGTGTTAGGACAACAACCTTCATTATTCTGGTGTTGCCTCCCGTAAGGCTCCACAGCAATGGCGGTGTCCTGTCAGGCTCCACACCACCGGAGGTTCCTGTCAAGTTCAACAATACTGGGGGTGTCCTACCAGGCTCCACAACACAGATGTCCTGTCAGGCTGCTAAACACTAGACATATCCTGTCATGCTAACACTTAACGTGTCCTGCCAGGCTATGCAGCCCTTGACATGCCCTGCCGGGCTACACAACACCTGGTGTGTCCTGTCAGGATATGTAACACTTTGTATGTCCTGACAGATAATATAACACTTGAAACCTCCAGCCAGGTTACACAACACTTGACACGCCCTTCTCTTTGCACATCTACGTCTGTGTCGACACGGTAAGACAAGCGTAGTACATGTAACTAGTTGAACTTAGCTCACTAGATCAAACACACAGCGTCCTGTCCACCAGCGATACTGGGGTAGGAATGGACCCACTTGGGACAGTGGGGGCCTTAAATAGCCTACCACTGACCGAAGTCCACAGTTGAAAGACCTGGCGCCACTGACCTAGAAACAAGGAGTCTGTAAACGTACTCTTGAATGTTATCAGACCAGATTACCATCGTTCAAGTCGGCCTATATCAGAGACGAACATTATCTCCAGACGCCGGCTGAGAGTATACCTGAAGTGGTACCATCTTCGAACAACACCACACTCGATCATGCACCCACAATTTACATAACAAAATAGCTTTTATTATAATGAAAGTTAAGTCTTTGAGGAATTTGTCGACTGTCAGAGTTCAACCTGTGGAAGAACACTCAGCTTGTGGGCTGGAAATAGCGGAGGTAATCTGAATGAGGCTGCACCACCCACTCTGCACCCATAAAACTCACACATGTTATATGTTGTATAGCAGAGATTATAAACATTAAGTAGCATGATAAAACAGTAATCCCCTTTCAATATATTGAGGTAATATCATGAGGGTGATACCTTTTTTTTAACTATTTTATTTTTATCCTCTTCGCCACTGATCAGCTCGTTAACCGCTTGGGCGGTTGGTCACGTCTCTGATACGCACTGTTGACAAGTACTGGTCATGCACTGGCTCCTGAATGTATCTGATCCTGCTCCAGTATTGGTTAAGTCTGGTCTTGAAACAGCTCAAACTCGGTGCTGTCACAACACTCACTGGCAGATTGTTCCAAGAGTTCATAACTCTCACTGAAAAAGTTCGCCCCTACAGTTTTCTGGACTTGTGACTTCTTCAACCTTGAGCTGTTACTACTTGTGAGGCGGACGTCCGCCAGCTCCAGGAATGGACACTCGACTGAGTAGTGCCATTTGAGATGCTTATACACCTCAATGAGGTCACCCCTTGCCCGTCTAAAGTATAAGCTAGGCAGTTGCTAGTGCTCTAATCTCTCTGGTTAGCTGAGGTGCCGAAGTGCAGGCAGCAGTCTAGTGACCCTCTTCTGAGAACACAATGTGGGTCAGCGCTGTGTTAAACCGTCTGTCCTCAAACGCAGGAAGATTGTTCATATCCTCCCTTGTGAGCACCGAGGAAAAGAAACTATTCAAAGCTCCGCCTTGTCCTGATCAGAATCTGTGTAACTGCCATCTCCAAGCTTAAGGCCTGATACACCTACTCACGTTCTTAATTTCGACTTTGCATAACGGTAAAATGCCTTTGGGTTTGACTTGACCTCGATTGGATTTCGCCTCTGGAACTGTTTTTCAGCCCTTCTACACTCTGACTTTGCTTGGTTCCTGGATCTGGTGTACATCTTACTTTTACCTTTCTGTTATCCTCTTCTCCACTGATCGGCTCATTAGCCGCTTGGGGGATCGGTCACGTCTCTGATACGCATGGTTGGCAGATACTGGGCATGCACTGGCTCCTGAATATATCAGAACCTGCTCCAGTGTTGGTCAAATCTGGCCATGAAGGAATTGACACTCGGTGCCGTCACAACGCTCTCTGGCAGATTGTTCCAAGAGTTCACAATTCCTACTCTGAAAAAGTTTGCCTTCACAGTTTTCAGGACTTGTGGCTACTTCAACCTTGAGCTGTGACCCCCCTCCGTCTGCAGGATAAGCTATGTAGTCGCAGGCGCTCCAACCTCTCTGAGTAACTGAGGTTTCGTACAGCAAGCACCAGTCTGGTGGCCCTCCTTTGGACATTTTCAACCAATTGACAGTTTCTAGCATACCTTGGGTACCAAACGGGGTGACAGTACTCCAGACGGGGAAGCACCTCACACTTGAAGATCGTGACGCGCGACAGACCATCCAAATATCGAAAAGACCTTCTCGTAAGACGTACTAGGTTTGTTGCCTAATTCACCTTCTTCTCACATAGCCCAAAAACTTCAGCTCATTGTCAACATACACACCCAGGTCCTTTCCACGTTCGGTCTTCATTAATGCAGTTTCTTTTTCCCATAGGGACATATGATACGCCTCCTTACTGTTGGTAAGACCTAGGTGCATCCTCTTGCACTTTGTAACATTGAATCTTAGCAGCCATTTCTTTGACCACTCTTGAAGCTCATTGAGATCTTTCTGTAGCTCTTCACAGTCTGCTTGGTCCTTAATTTCCCTAAATAACTTAGCATCGTCCACAAACATTTGTATGGAGGAGTGTATAGGTTCTGGCATGTCATTTATGAAGCACACAAAGAACAGCGGGCCCAATACATGGCCCTGTGGTATCTCGCTAGTCGCAGGTACACATGACGACTTCATCTACTACGAAACAACCTTGTAAAGGATTGCCAACAAGGTTTTATGCCAGGGCGCCCCTGCTTAACACAATTGCTCAAGGTATTGGATATTTGGACCCAAATTCAGGAACGGGGTGGTAATATCGACAATATTTACCTAGATTTTGCCAAGGCTTTCGACAATGTACCCCACAAAAGGCTGAAAATCAAACTGGAAGGGTACGGAATTCGGGGAAATGTCCTCGCGTGGATAGAAGACTTTCTACATGACCGCAAGCAGTGTGTGGTGATTCTTGGCACGAAATCATCGTCCGTACCTATCACAAGCGGGTTACCACAGGGCAGTGTATTGGGCCTGCTGTCGTTTGTTTGTTTCATAAATGACATGCCTGACGTACACTCCTCCATGCAAATGTTTGCCGATGACGCCGAATTATTTCGGGAAATCAAGAACCAAGAGGACTGTGAAGAGCTGCAGAAGGACCTCTGTGGGCTCCAAGAATGGTCAAATAAATGGCTGCTGAGATTCAATGTCACGAAGTGTAAGAGGATGCACCTGGGACATACCAACGGTAAGGAGGCATATCATATGTCCCAACGGAATGAAGAAACTGCACTATTTGAGACTGATTGTGAGAAGGGCCTAGGTATGTGTTGACAATGAGCTGAAGTTCTCGGGCCATTGCGAGAAGAAGGTAAATCAGGCAAATAAATTATTGGGTCTTATAAGAGGGTCGTTCAGATATCTAGACGGTCCGTCCCTCGTAACTATCTTCAAGAGTGAAGTGCTTCCTCATCTGGAGTACTGTCACCCCGTCTAGTCCCCGAGATATGCTAGGGACTGTCAGTTGGTTGAATATGTTCAAAGGAGGGACACCAGACTGGTGTCTGCACTTCGGCACCTCAACTACCCTGAGAGATTGGAGCGCCTGAACTTGCCTAGCTTATACTACAGACGAGCAAGGGGGAACCTAATTGAGGTGTATAAGCATCTCAAGGGACACTACTCAGTCGAGTGTCCTTACTTGGAGCTGGCGGACGCTCACCCCACAAGGGGTCACAGCTCAAGACTGAAGAAGCCGCAAGTTCAGAAAACTGTGAGGGCAAACTTTTTCGGAGTGAGAGTTGTGAACTCTTGGAACAATCTACCAGAAAGTGTTGTGACGGCACCAAGTGTGAGCTCTTTCAAGACACGACTTGACCAACACTGGAGCGGGCTCAGGTACATTCAGGAGCCGGTGCATGCCCAGTACTTGCCAACAGTGCGTAATAGAGACGTGACCGATCGCCCAAGTGGCTAACGAGCCGATCTTTTGGTGAAGAGGATAAAGGAAAAGGAAAAGTAATCAGAGACGTGACCGATCGCCCAAGCGGCTTACGAGCCGATCAGTGGTGAAGAGGATAAAAGGAAAAAAAGGAAAAGGATAATAATAATACAGTAATAATAATAATGTTAACAATAACAGTAATAATATTAATAATAATAATAATTATAATAAATTTAGCTGTACAAGTAATTAAAAAAGCCTTTGTGTGTGTGTGTCAGTCAGCTAGCCCCATAGCTTCTAAAACATGACAGGAGCCATACAGAATGATGACATTTTCCTCACCATCAACAATTCCTACTGGAGTGTGGGGAATGACGTCCACCTAAAAGTGATATTGTAGAATGTAGATAATAGTGTGGATGATACTTTTCAAGAAATTAAAGCTTTTCTTAAGCAAATCTAGCCACTTGATGGTCTGACTAACGACCCTTCAGATAAGGAACAATTACAGGACAGATTTAATTGAAACATTCTAAATCCTGATCAAACATGGGGAAATACTTCTTCACATAGGGTGGTAAATCTATGGAACAGTCTACCAGCTAAAGCTGTGGAATGAAAAGCAGGACTGCGCTTCAAAATAGCTCTTGACAAAATGATCAAGAGCAATGGTTTCTTTCCCTCCACGAATAACTATAGATCAGTGAACCTGACCAGCATAGTATGTAAAGTTCTTGAGAGCATTATAAGAGATGCCATGATGGAACATGTACTATGAAACAACCTTGTAAAGGACTGCCAACACGGTTTTATGCCGGGGTGCTCCTGCTTAACACAATTACTCAAGGTACTGGATGTTTGGACCCATATTCTGGAACGGGGTGGTAATATCGACAATGTATACCTAGATTTTGCTAAGGCTTTCAACAGCATACCCTGTGAGAGGCTGAAAATTAAACTGGAAGGGTACGAGATTCGGGGAAATGTCCTAGCGTGGATCGAAGACTTTCTCCATGATCGCAAGCAGTGTGTGGTGATTAATGGCATGAAATCGCCATGTTTACCCGTCACAACCGGGGTACCACAGGGCAGTGTATTGGGCCCGCTGTTGTGTTTTTGCTTCATAAATGACATGCCTGACGCTGTACATTCCTCCATACAAATGTTTGCGGATGACGCCAAGTAATTTCGGGAAATCAAGAACCAAGCAGACTGTGAAGAGCTGCAGAAGGATCTCTGAGAGCTCTAAGAATGGTTGAAGAAATGGCTACTGAGATCCAATGTAACGTAGTGTAAAAAGATGCACCTGGAACGTACCAACGATAATGAGGTGTATCCCTATGTCCCAACGGGACGAAGAAACTGCATTATTTGAGACTGAATGTGAAGAGGACCGAGATGTGTATGTTGACAATAAGCTGAATTTCTTGGGCCATTGTGAGAAGGTGAATCAGGCAACTAAATTATTAGATCTCGTAACAATCTTCAAGAGTGATGTGCTTCCCTGTCTGGAGTACGGTACTGTCACCCTGTCTGATCCCGAGATATACTAGGGACTGTCAGGTGATTGAAAATTTCCAAAGCAGGGCCACCAGACTGGTGCCAACACTGTGGCACCTCAGCTACACTGAGAGATTAAAGTGACTGCAATTGCCTAGCTTATACTACAGTCGGGCAAGGGGGGGAACTAATTGAGGTGTATAAACATCTCAAAGGGCACTACTCTGTCGAGTGTCCTTACCTGGAGCTGGCGGATGCTCGCCCTACAAGGGGTCACAGCTCAAGGTTAAAGAAGCCGCAAGTCCAGAAAACTGTGAAGGCAAACTTTTTTGGAGTGTGAATTGTGAACTCTTGGAACAATCTGCCAAAGAGTGTTGTGACGGCACTGAGTGTGAGCTGTTTCAAGACCAGACTTGACCAACACTGGAGTGGGTTCAGATACATTCAGGAGCCAGTGCATGCCCAGTACTAGCCAACCGTGCGTAACAGAGACGTGACTAATCGCCAAAGCGGCTAACGAGCCGATCAGTGGTGAAAAGGATAAAAGTAAAGTACAAAGTTTCCTCGGCATGGACATCTCAAGTGGGTGGCTATTGGGTAAGGTAAAAGGTAAGAATTGCCTACTGTTTACTATTGTTGTATATATACTTGTACTGTCTAGGTACATTGGAAATTGTATACCTGCACATTCTATGGTCATTGTACTGTATGTATACTGTACCAGTGATTTCTGTATACTGTATACATGATGAGCTGTATACCTGCATTGTCTGTGTCAGACCAGTTATAAATTTCTAAGGTTGATTTTAATGATTAAATTATTATTATACTTCTGACAGTTTTCTGTAACGGTAGCTTTTTGAGATTGAGTTTGATACCTGTAATGATAAATGAAGTGGGATCATTTTCCAGTTAGATATTGTCTGGTGTGAATACATCTAGTATTACTTTATCCAGCACTGGTTAGAAATTAATTACTGTATCCTACTTTTACATCTGTGGTTAATGGAACACTGCCACCCAACTGACCAAAGATAACCATCACTTGTGCCACCGAATAGCCTCTCTTGATCAGGTTATGTGACCTCAGATGAAACTCAGGTGTCAACAGATCACGGGGAGGCTGGTCCACTTATCAAGTATTTCAGTGCATGATATTCCCATGTACAGTAGAAAACAAACACTGCATATAGTAACACTGAAATGGGTGAATAATACTGTACAGGCTGAGATAACCAGATTTTGTTCATTCAGGTGACAGGTGAAGCATAAATTAAACTACAGTACTGTATTATCCTGTACGTATTTAAATAAGCTATATTTCAGCACATCACATATACTGTACTACAAAGGAATTCAGTAACTGGCAATCATAGTTATATATTGAGATGTTACAACAAAACCTTCCTGACAAAGTTATCACAAAGATAGTTTGATAACAATTAAAAAATGTAACACTTTAAGAACTAAATATTTCTCTGACATGACAGAACCACAAAACAAACACACAATATTTGCTTGTGTTTGACCTATTGGTTATACAGTACAGTACATTACATAAATGTTGGTTAAAGCTTTAACAATAAAATATCATTTAAGCTTATCTTTATAATTTTTCAAAAACATATTTCAGTATTAATATCCTGTATATGACAAATATACTCTGCTGACAGGCTGTGCAGAAAGTACATATGACAATAGCATCTAAAATGAATTTAACATGTACTGAAAAAAGTTATCAATACAGGTAATTCCTTATACATAACTGAACATTAACAGACACAACAGTAAATGCCTCATGAAGGAAGTGTGTGTAATTTTACCAATGAAGATATTGTGAGTATATTTGTGAAGTAAATTGTTGACTTACAGTCCATGGGTTCTCAAACTGGGATTTCCAAATCCCCAAGGGAATGCAGGAGGATTTCCAGGGGACACCAGAGGGCTGGCAAAAATCAATATACAGTTAATGCTTCTCTGCTTAATAAAGTAATTACAGTTTCAAAATGTTTTCAATATCAGGTGTAGTACCATTCTATATTCAGTGTCTAAGTAATGAGGGTATGGGTCGATGGTCTGATAACTCAGGGGGTACCTGGTGAAAAAAGTTTGAGAACCCCTGACTTACACCATCATATGAAGTACATCAACAATATGTACTTGCTAAGGTTATGAACTGTGTTGTTTAGGTACAAATTACCACAAAAAAAAGTATCTACAGTACACTATGCATAAGATGCAAAATGGTATTTTTAATTGTGAAAAGTTATGTCACTTGGCATATAAGTAAAGAGTTTTGCATAAAATATAAATTAAAACAGCACTTCGTAAGAATATTAAAATTAACTTTGAGATCCAAGGTCTACCACTGAATGATAAAGTATCTTCTTGTTAGAACTGCTGATAAAATGCCTTTAACAAATACAGGGTGGTCATAAAATCCTTTTCTGGTTTTAAATGTTTATTATAACAAAACCAACAGAGATAGAATGATAATTCTTTTTGCATTATGTTCCTTAGCCAATCAATTTTGTTTTGTTTTGTTTTGTTTCACAGGTTCTATGGAATTAATGCCTACTGTGTTGTTAGAGAAGCTTAAAATAGGTGATGTTGTCAATAGAGGAGAAAGCACAATGTATCGTCTGGCTTGCAGAGTCCAAATCAGTGACAACTGTTCAAAGGAATTACCGCCAGCAGATCAGAAAGTTCCCTCAAAACCCAGTATTTGGGCTTGGTTTCACAAGTTCATGGAGAAAGGAAGTGTTTCCGACTTGTTTTGAAGTGGACGTCCAAGGATGTCTGCAAAGTCCATTGATTATGTTCATGAAGCATTCCAACGTAGTCCTAGAAAGTCTATTCAGCAATCATCGAGGGAACTGCAAGTACCAACCACAACTATGCATAAAATTCTGCATTAAAATTTGAAATTCCATGAGTATAAAGTGCAAATAGTCCAGGCTTTACAACCGAATAACAAGCTTCAGGGCTATGAGTTTGCATGTTCGATGCTGAAGTCGATCGCTGACGACAACGACTACTTACAAAGAGAGATGTTCACCGATGAAGTACTTTCTTGTGTGTGGACAAGTAAGCCATCATAATGTGTAAATAGAGTTGCATCCAAGTATCTTTTTTCAGTGTGATGTTGCACCTCCACACTGGAGTTTAATGGTGCATTGATTTCTCGATGAGAAATTCCCTTGCAATGGTCCAATCCCATGGCTTCCTTGCTCTCCTGATATTACACCTTTAGACTTCTTGTGGTATTATGTGAAAAATTATGTTGGTGACACTGAAACCCTTTGTACATGGATAACTGATGGCATTGGAAGAGTAACACCTGGTACGCTGGTGAACATGTGGCAAGAAGTGGAGTACAGTATCATTTGGATGTGCTGAGGGCCACAAAAGGAGCACATATTAAAGTGGATGATGATGTATGCAAAATTGGATTAACTAAGGAACATAATGCAAAACACTGTATCATTCTATCTCTGTTGGTTTTGTTGTAATAAACATTTAAAACCAGAAAAGGACTTTATGAACACTCCTGTACAATAACTTCATATCTTACATACAATAGAACCATAACATGATCAAACACAACTTTTAAAAACTTCCAACATTTTTAATAAGCCTACAGAAAGTCAACGATAATTATAGCAGCTACATAAATATATACGTATATTTTTTTATTTCTTAATTCCATTAGACGAAGAAGTTTATGTAATTTCTGTATTTAATTGTAGTTACACATGTAATTCCAATGAGCATGAACAACATAGGCATGTCTGACTTTCTCACTGAAATATTACAGTATACAGTACAGTACTGGAGATGTTTACTTCAGTGTCATTTTCACGTCAACCCAAAATTTCTACATCCCTTTACAGATAGGTTCTAGGTCATCTTTAATTTTATTCCCATAATATTTGCACAATATTGTCTTCTTCCACATCACAGTTCCCTCCTCTTGTTTGTGTCTGTCTCACATTTCTTGCATGATGTTGATCAACCATGAGTAACTGTTATTGTATCTCCCCACACTGCTTTGATTGTAGAAAAACCAGATCGTCTTTTAACCTGCAATGTAACGGGATGTAACAATCTGGTTCTGTACAACTACTGATTGTATAACATTTGATAATTGATATGGCTTTTATAATATGATATAAATAACTGTCATCATCCTAGTGCAGTATAACTGTGTGAGGTGGACCAACTATACAGTATATATTTACGGCCCTGTTTTCTTTTTCTTTTATCCTCTTCACCACTAATCGGCTTGTTAGCCTCTTGGGCGATCGGTCACGTCTCTGTTACACACTGTTGGCAAGTACTGGGCATGCACCGGCTCCTGAATGTACCTGAACCTGCTCCAGTGTTGAGGGGTACTTGGGCGATCCTTGATCAAACTGACTTACTGTTTATCACTGTTTGTATGCCTGTACTGTCTTTGTATATTGTTTATGTATACCTGCATTGCCTGTGAACATCATTTGTATACTTGCATTGTATGTATACCTGCACTGCCAGTATACATTATTTGAATACCTGCACTGTATGTACATTGTTTATATACCTATACTGTCTAGGTACAACATTTGTATACCTGCACTACCTGTACATTATATGTATACTGTCTATGTACAGTAGCTAAAACAACTATCTGTTCAAGTGGGGGTCGATATGCTCCAAAACTTTACGTGTTACTAGTGACAGCCCTCATATACCAATATTTATCGCCCATGGAGTCATATTGTTTCCCACAAAGTATGCTCAGATAAATGTTTTAGCTACTGTACAGTCCCCTTCACTAGTGCATTTACAGAAGCTCGTCAGGTTTTGTGCAGTGTGGCAGCGTTGTGTTTGTTTACATTCGACAGAAGGAAAATAGCAATAGTAAACATACTATTAAAACAATATTAAAACAAATATCTCAAAGATAATGATTTTGGAATATTTATATGATGAAGCCCTGTAAACTCACATTGTTTGTATATCTATACTTTCTACGTACATCATTTGTATACAGTACCTATACACTGGACCCTCGTTTTATGTGCATTCACTACATGCGAAATCACATTTTTGCGGCGACCCTATTTCTACCCACAATTCATTTTATGAGGAAAAGATTCCCTATTACGCATTCTGTAGAAGATATGATGGAGGGAGGGAGGGCTCCTCAGTTATCAGGCGGCTAAAGGACACAACTGCCACCATACACACATGCACCTCACTTTTCACCCACACACACACCCATGTTTTTTATTTTTTCTTATTATCTTTATTTTTAAGCCATATTAGAGTATTTTAATGATTTTTCTAAAACTTTTATAACATTAATGCTCCATAAATGGTTGTGAAACATAGCACAGTGTGTGTGTTTGTGTGTCTACTGCTCTGTATGTGACATCACGGGTTGTGATTGGAGTGGTGCGTCAGCCACTCCACACACTTTCACTTTCCACACAAACACTCATGCTCTTCATAGTTTTAGTTTATAGTCTTATATTATATTATCTTGGTATTTAACCCACATTAGAGTCTTGAAATAAGACTTCCACAACTTTTATAGCATTACTGTTGACTTTTAGTAGTTCTGGAACATATAATAATTTTCCCCATAAGATTAAGTACAGTATTCACGCGGATTCCCATTATGATGTGTTGTTGCATAAAGCGAGGGTCAGGTGTACATACTGCCTATGTACATTGTATACCTGCTCTGTCTATATGCATTGTTTGTTTATACCTGCACTGGCTATGTACAGTACAGTATCTCAAAAAAGTATCTGCCAGGAAGGGTCCAAAAATTTCCAAAATGCTACATGCACCTCCTGATGTCTCTGGAGGGTTGGTATGCGTGGCTGTGGCATACTGATCCTACTACAGTTGGTAAATGAACATCATATTAATTATGCTAAAATAAATAAACAGTGCATTAGTTATGTTAAACTATATACCAAAGCAAATACACATCCCCAATATCTATCATCTGTGGTCTCATAATTTTTCACACACAGAGTGAACAGATACTTTTTTTGAGATACTGTACATTGTTTATATATACCTGCACTGAATATATACATTGTTTGTATATTCCTGCAATATCTATGGACGTTGTTTGGATATACTGTACCTGCACTGTCTATGTGCATTGTTTGTATATACCTGCACTGTTTATGTACAGTCAACCAAAGATGCACTGACCCCAATCTGGTTCTCGTGCTCACAATTTTACCTGGCAATACTTGGTAAAGTAAGGCTGTATGTAAAGGTGATTGTGATTGGTGGATCTGTTTTCGGCTTTATTACTGTCAGGATAATTATTAAACACACCAAAAGTAGCATTTTTATAATAATAAAATATTCATCATTATTTTAGATCAGCAGAAGTTTCCAAATGTTCGTATATTTGCTTAAATGATGAAGAAAATTTAGTGTGAGATTTTTGTGGCATCTGTGGTTATAATTAAGTTGCCAGTTCATTAGTAAAATTTTCTTAATTTTTTAGGCAAATATACGAACATCTGGAAACTTCTCCTGATCTAAAATAATGATGAATATTTTATTATTATAAAAATGCTACTTTTGGTGTGTTTAATAATTATCCTGACAGTAATAAAGCCGAAAACAGATCCACCAATCACAATCACCTTTACATACAGCCTTACATTACCAAGTATTGCCAGGTAAAATTGTGAGCACGAGAACCAGATTGGGGTCGGTGCATCTTTGGTTGACTGTACATGCTGAATCTAATGTGAAATTGTATGACAAATTTATCAAATAAATACAATATCCATTTAACTATCTATCTGTCTATCTACCTACATAGCTCATTAACTGCAGCAGTAAGAATGACTGAATCTGCATACATGTATATTTCTTATTTACAGACACTAACGCTTAAAAATGTGAAGAAAAAGGTTTGATGAACATTACAAACATCGATTAGTGTGTTGTACTTCTTACAACTTTATATCATGATCATACTGTAAATCAAATGTAATTTCTAATATTTTCAGAGAGGCAATAAATGCACAAGACAATAGCTAGAAAGCTGATATATGGTGGATATGATGAATTAGAGCTTGGATAATTTTTTCACAAGTCAAGTAGACATTTACCTATAGTACGTACATGATTTACAAGCAGTGTGGCAGTGTGTGTGAAGGATTTGGTGGAGTGTTCTGTATTTCAATTTTATTATTGGAAAGTGCAATAATTAAATGTCACTTCCTTGTGCTAAATAACAAAAGTATTGTACATGTCAGTGATTATTCGGCTAGTTATTTATGCAAGTACTGAACTGTACTGCACTGATACAAATAGGTTCTAAGATAAAACATGCGAAACAGAGAAAGAACAAAAGGGAAATAAAACCAAGACTTAGAGGAAATATGCAAAATATAAGAAAAACTATGGAGGAGGTGATAGGGTGGGGTTTGTAAATATAAAAAAGACAATCAGATGGTGTTGACTTGTTTATATCTGAGCAAGCAATGAGAAAAGCACCAGTGGGGAACAGATATACTGCACTGTATAGTAGAACCTCCATTATTTGGAATAAAGTAAATCCCAGATTTTGGCATTGTATTTACATTCTTTATTATCTATATTTTTTATATTTATCATTTCATCACTTATTAGCTTACAAGCCATTCAGGCAGTTGGTTTGTTCTTTGTTACTTTGTTATGAATTTTATTGTCCACTGTTAGTACAGGAGGAAACTGGAGTACCTGGAGAAAACCTGCCATGTTTGGTAGTGTCACACTGTATAACATTTTCCTCACATCTGTCCCAGGCCAGGGATTGAACCCAGGACACAGTTGTGACAGATATGTGCATTGCTGCCTGTTTATTGCATGTCTCAGGTGGAAGAACAAAGTAACTTGGTACAGTACAATGGTTGGAAAACACTACCTACAGTACTGTATATATATGGGACACTCTTGTCTCTTAATAAAGAAATCAACTTCTGGGATTGAGGAACTCAACAAGCAGTGTTCTGTTTACAAATAACTGAGGCACAAACTATAGCTTAATACAGAACAGAATTTGTCCTGAATTAATAAACACTAATTACAAATTCATGATCTATTTACTGTATTTACTATGTTTATTTCTTTACCTTTTCCTGTGGAGTGGATAAAGGAAAATGGAAAAATTAGGGAAAGGAGGAAAATGATAAGGGTGAATAATATAAGATGAATAGTGTATAGAAAGCAACAGGGAATGGTTAAGACAACAATGAGATAAATGAGAAGTAAAACTTTATAAGGCTATATATGAGTACAGTGATATCTCCTTTAGCTGGAACAATTGGTGCAGAGCACTTCCAGGAACGAGAGATTTTCGGGTAACGAGACGACTCTCTCAAAGCTGAAAAAAATCCCTCATTCCCGGAATTTTCCGGGTAATGGAAAAATGTTCTCGGAAGTTCCAGAAATTGCCCATTACTCCATCTCTCGAACCTGGAAAATATCTCCCATTCCTGGAATTTTCCGGGTACCGGAAAAGTTTTCTCAGAATTTCTAGAAGATGCGCCTGATTTTCATCTCTCAAGCCCAGAAAAATACTCCCCCATCCCCGGAATTTTCCGGGTATCGGGATGATTTTCTTTAAATTTTCTGGAAAATGTGCCCCTCGGAAAATTGTTCCCAAAGCCGGAATTTTCCAGAAAACTTCGGCTTTGGGAAAGATTTTCCGAGAAAACTTAAATTACGGATATCGGAGAGTTCCGGGTTTGAGGGATTCCAGCAAATGGAGATATTACTTGTACATATAAAATTACTATTAGAATATTTCTTACTACAAATCATTTTCTGTGTAACAATAAATAACCTTCTCATACCTAAGGACAACTCTGGCAATAACACTAATAGCATAGCATAAACCCCCTGACACGTGAAGGCACACTATAATGACTCGTGGTCAAGAAAAAACATTTAGCTTACCTATCAGGCAGAGTAGTTTTTATGACTCATCATAACTGCCTACATCACTTTCATAATAATAATCATAATATCTTTCTTCGTCTTCACCCGCCTGTTCCTCTCCTCCATACATTTCTTCGTCTTCACCCGCTCGTTCCTCTACTCCACGTCTTTCTTCATATCCACCCGCTTGTTTCTCTTCTTCCTCCTCACTCTCATCTGATTCATCGCTGTGTGAGTCTTCATCAGACTCATCATCATCACTTCTCACCAGAGCAAATGCTGCATTGTCATCAACAAACTGTTCTATGAAATCTTTTTTAATATCTGCTTTGATGGTCAGGTTCTTCTGTAAAAGTAACATAGAGAAATAGTTTTAAAAGTGTTCAAAGTAGGACAACAACAGTGCATAAAGACATAAGTAAATCACAAAAAAATTAACTTCAACAATGAATAGTAGCAGACTTAATCAGTTGTATATCTCTCTGTTCCTCTTCCAGTGACTCCATCAAGAAAGGAGTTATAGGGTACTTTAATCTTCATCTATACAGTAATTTAAATAAGCTTCTCTGTTAACCTGTCGAATGTCTTTTACTTTTTACTTTTATCCACTGATCGGCTTGTTAGCCGCTTGGGCGATCAGTCACATCTCTGTTACGCACTGTTGGCAAGTACTGGGCATGTACTGGCTCCTGAATGTACCTGAACCTGCTCCAGTGTTGGTCAAGTCTGATCTTGAAAGAGCTCACACTCAGTGCCGCCACAACTCTCTCTGGCAGATTGTTCCAAGAGTTCACAACTCTCACTCCGAAAAAGTTACCCCTCACAGTTTTCTGGGTTTGTGGTTTCTTCAACCTTGAGCTGTGACCCCTTGTAGGGTGAGTGTCCGCCAGCTCTAGGCAAGGACACTCGACTGAGTAGTGCCCTTTGAGATGCTTATACACCTCAATTAGGTCGCCCCTTGCCCATCTGTAGTATAAGCTAGGCCAGTGTTTCTCAAACTGGGGGCCATGGCCCCCAAGGGGGTCAAGGCAAGATTTTAGGGCGGCCATGGCAGGCTAGTGTAAGTAGTGTATGTTTGAGAAAATGTGGAAACTCTGATACAACTTTTTTGTTACTTTGCCTTGTTAGGGGAGAAATTAATATTTTTTTGTCTTTTTTTTTTGTCATTATGTGTACTAATCATAATACCCATATGGTACAGTTTTGATATTTACATAGTATGGTGCAGCAGCTAGTTTTTAATTTCCAATGGATTCGCTCAGATTGCACAATTCTAGTTCCTGTTCAGACGAATTCCTTGATCTCAGAACAATTCTGCTGCCAGAGACCTCTATGAAGAAAAATCTCAGACTGTATTCTGGTGCTCAATGTATCAGTCATATCCAAAAGTTAGTGAGATCGCACTTCGAGTTCTCTTGCCATTTTCTACTACTTATTTATGTGAATTTGGTTTCTCAACCCTTCTTCAAATAGAGAATAAGAGCCGAAACCAGTTACATGTGGACCCAGACATGAGATGTGCTTTATCAGTGACTCAACCTCGAATCAGTCGACTGATTGAAAGGAAACAATGTCATCCATCCCATTGAACTGTAACAAAATATGCATTCTGTTTCATGATGGAAAACATTAAAATAAAAGAAGAGAACCAAAACAGTGTATTTTCATCAATATTTGTGAGGGGCTGGGGAGAGAGCTGAAGGGGGGCCTCGAGGATGTTGAGAGTTCCTTATGGGGGGAATGGAGTGAAAAAGTTTGAGAAACACTGAGCTAGGGTAATTCCAAGGTGGAGAGGTGGGAGAAAATAATACAAGTTTGCAATGAAGGGGATGTAAAAAGTACATCCAATGCCTGTTAAGCTTACAATACCTCTGAGCTGTGTGAAGATGGGAGGGAGAGACACCCAGAGAACTACCACTTGTTTCATACCAATCCAATGTTCAACATAAAAACTGGATTGGCAACCATTCATGTAAGCCACACATACTCTCAAATGGAATACTGCTGTCATCTGTGGGCTGAGTGTAGCGTTGGAACACTTTATCTCCTTGACCCCCCAAAAAGAAAGAAACTAATATAACAAATAACAGTAAAGACATTACCAGAAATGTCCAGAATTGCTCAGTTGTTGGGATATCACACTGTTATATAGATGCTTTTACAGTCACTGTACTTGTGAGCTACACTAACCAGTTCCATCACCCCACATCCTCTACAAGCCTATGAGGCCATCTGGCAGGGTTCATGCTTTTTCTGTTAATATTTCTTCTCGCAGAACCTCTGCCAACCAAAGCCCATTTACGCCCCAACCTCATACTAAGTGAAACTCTGTCACAAGATACTTTTCCAATATCATAAAACCTCCAACAGTTCAAAACATTCTGCTTCAATATATATTTCATCTCCATTACCTGCCTATATGGGACACAAGTTACTGCACGCTACTTACCTTTGTTACTTCTGTTACTTCCACTTCTGTCTTTTCCATTTCCTCCACCTGACTTTGTGGGACTTGTGGGAGATCTATAAAATCTGGGAAACCAGAACTATCTGAACACTTGCGGCAAGTGGCATCTGCTTCTGTGGTGCTGGTGATACATCGACACTCCTGACATTCAGGGGTAACAGTGTTGAAAGTTAATCGTTGATTTAATACTCGCAGGAATTTCTTCGCAGCTTCCTGTAAAGGAGATTTACATCATAAATGAAAACTTCCTAAACTTTATTATATATGGCCATATTAATCATTAATAGATGTTCATTTGAAATTAAATATTTATAGGAATAAAATTTTAGAAGGAACTATTAAGGAAATTATGATGCATCTTGACATGTAAACAATAATCAACACCAATTATACAAACTAGTGATTCTTAACCATAAGGGGATTTTAAATTTTTCAAAGGGGGGGGGTTGCAATATATATATATATATTTTTTTTACTTTTTATCCTCTTCGCCACTGATCGGCTTGTTAGCCGCTTGGGCGATCGGTCACGTCTCTTTTCCTTTATATTCTTCACCAAAAGGTCGGCTCGCTAGCCGCCCGGGCGATCGGTCACGTCTCTGTCACGCACTGTTGGCAAATACTGGGCATGCACCGGCTCCTGAATGTACCTGAACCCGCTCCAGTGTTGGTCAAGTCTTCTCTTGAAAGAGCTCACACTCGGTGCCGTCACAACACTCTCTGGTAGATTGTTCCAAGAGTTTACAACCCTCACTCCGAAAAAGTTTGCCCTCACGGTTTTCTGGACTTGCGGCTTCTTCAATCTTGAGCTGTGACCCCTTGTGGGGCGAGCGTCCGCCAGCTCCAAGTAAGGACACTCAACTGAGTAGTGCCCCCTGAGATGCTTATAAACCTCAACTAGGTCCCCCCTTGCCCGTCTGTAGTATAAGCTAGGCAAGTTCAGGCGCTCCAATCTCTCAGGGTAGCTGAGATGCCGAAGTGCAGGCACCAGTTTGGTGGCCCTCCTTTGAACATTTTCAACCAACTGACAGTCCCTAGCATATCTCGGGGACCAGATGGGGTGACAGTGCTCCAGATGGGGAAGCACTTCACTCCTGAAGATCGTCACGAGGGACGGACCGTCTAGATATCTGAACGACCTTCTTATAAGACCCAATAATTTATTTGCCTGATTTACCTTCTTCTCACAATGGCCCGAGAACTTCAGCTCATTGTCAACATACACACCTAGGTCCTTCTCACACACAGTCTCAACTAGTACATTTTCTTCATCCCGTTGGGACATACGGTACGCCTCCTTACCGTTGGTACGCCCCAGGTGCATCCTCTTACACTTCGTGACATTGAATCTCAGCAGCCATTCATTAATCTTAATCTTAATTTCATGTAGTATGCCAGAGATGTCATTTTATTTCAGGGTCCCATATGAGGATATGACATTTAATGTAAATGAAAAAAAAATAATAGAAAAACTACGACTGACATAAAAATGAAAAATGAGATGCAAAACCAATGACGGTGTTTGAACAAGTATCATAACTGTGGTTGTGCTTAACTGAGCTGGAACAGTGTTACTGTAGAGTGAGGGATCTCAATTTACAGTAAGTACTCATATAACGTCGTCCTGCTTAACGTTGTTTCGGTACTATGTCGCTAAACTTTAGAGGCCAAAAATTCGTTTTATGTCCCAGTGATTTGATACTACGTCGTTTTGCGTAATCACAGACCACATTTACTGTGCATCACCCTCTCTCGTCTGGCCGTACTATGCTCTCTCGGCTTGGCGCAGTCTCAGTGACTTACCAACCTCCTCCTCTCCCGCCCTCCTCCGCTCCCACCATACTCCTCCCCTCCAGCCATCCACCTCCTCTGCTTCACTCCACCACACACTCGCTCCACCACCTCTGCCCATCGGTGAGTACCAATACAAACTTAGTAGTTGTATATGTATGCACTATTTTCTATAGAAATGGCAATGATTTTCTGTATATGTAATGTATTTCATAGGGCAAAAGGATGCTCAGGAACGTAACTCCTGTATTTTATCTATTTCTTATGGGGAAAATTAATCCGCTTAACGTTGTTTCGTCTAACGTCGCGTTTTCAGGAACATAACCCCGACGTTAAGTTGAGGACGCCCTGTATTTCAAGCACTTCCAGAAGAGCTACAGATTTATATAGTGGTTGGTCAATTCAACCCCTGGTTAACCCATCCCCTATCACCTCAACCCCCTGTCAACCTATCAATTCAACCCCTGTTAATTTATTTGGATCTAGAAGGGCAATGAAGACAGTAAAACTGGAACTTGAAGAAATGTGTTTTTAGGTCCTTTGGGATCAAGGAAGGTAACATGGATTCAAGGCTGATCATTGGATAGAGCAACTCCAAAATGATCAAAAACCACTGATACAAAGGTTCAGATCAGTCAATCACTTTAAGTATCATCCTCCCTCTATAAATTTTCAGGCTTCCTTTACTAGTCCTCCCAGATTTTGTATCTCTGGAGACCACAGCTTCTAATTTAATTCCTCCATCACAGTCTCTGCCTTCCCTGGGCCTTTAATTTTGCTCATTAATGTTTCTATCAATATTCCTCACCCCTAATTTTTAGTATTTTTCTGGTTGTTTCTGCCAATTTTAATAGAATATTTCCTCATATGTTTTCCTATCAATATTACTTATTCTTAGGTCTTCTGAAAGTATCCACACTTCTGACCCAGACAGTAGTGCTCACCGTTAATTGTGCTTTAGCAGCCTTTTTCTCAAATTCAAATTAACATTCTTTTTTAGTAGATGTGTAAGATTACTGAATGCTGTTTTGCTGTATAGAGCACTAAAAATGCAACTCAAGTGCTCAAACAATGATATTTGAAAACAAAATTAAAATTTAATATGAAATTGCAGTTACCACCACAAACACTCCCATACACACCACGGCTTGATAATTTTCTAAAAATAATTTATTTGAGTGTCCAATAAGTTAATGACAATACCAGATAATCTTATATTAAACAAGAATATGTGATATATAATTGGGAAATATTACTGTTTTAACAATGATAATTAACTTACATTTTTTGTTGTGATCCATTTATTCATACTGAACACAGATCCTCCTGATGCCTGAGCAGCCTCAATACAGGAGCCATCAGGTTCCTGGAGAGCTGCACGCATCTTCACATTGCCACTGAATTTCTTAATGTCTGGCAGAGGTTGAAGAAGAAAAAATAATTCATATTATCTCTCAGAAAATACACTATGTTAGAATACATATTATAAGAACAGGAAATTCTCTTAGAAAACTGTCCATGATACAAACAAACAGTTAGATATTGTACAGCCTTAATGAATGAACAGTCTCACAGTGACACATTCAAATTTCAAAATAAAATACATTGTAGTGTGATTTCATATACAGTGAACCCTCACTTTACGCGGTCAATTGAACCCACGGCGGCCCGCATAAAGTGAGAAACGAGTAAAGTGAACAACATAACATATGGGATTAATTGAAATAAAGACTGGGCCAACCCCCAAACTCCACTTTTTCAGACACAATACCTACGTTGTAGTAAAAATAACTTCTTAATTTTATGATGGTATGCACACACAATTAATAATTAAGAGAAATATCAATAATATTAGGTTTTTTAACACTTACATTAGTAGAAAAGATGGCTGGGCACACGGGGATGGGGGGTTGGTTCCGAGGCAGAGGGCAGATTATTGGCCCTCACCTGTATCACTTGTATCAATTGTATCACTATCCACCACAGAGGCTTGCAGGGCCTCTTTGTCAAACCCCTCAAAGTCCATATAAGTCCATATCCTCACTATCATTATCACTATCACTGACTTGGGCCGGCTGTGGTGGGTGGCGGGTGAAGAACTCGGTAATGTTTTGATGACTGGGCGACCTTGTGCGCACCCTGCTCGCGCCGCTCTCCGCGTAAAAGGGTACACACACCGCAGAAAGTGAGCATTCCGCGTAAAGTGGGACCGCATAAAGCGAGGGTTGACTGTACATAGTTTAGAAATTTACTACAGAAGACCCTTGAGGGAGAGAATTCAGTGAACCAGGGAGTTGTTCTTTAGCAAAGTAAATTTCTCACAGGATTTCTTGCATACTGTATATAGGGTTACCAGGTGTCCCATATACAGTATATGGGATTGTCCCTTATTTCACTGTCTTATCCAGTTGTGCTGGACAGATGTGTTGGGGTGCATCATTGTCCTGTATGTGAGTGGCTGTGAACCAAAGCCAGAAGTGTATGATTACAGTGGACTGATCCATACACTGAGGACTGTTGGCTAATAGTGGCTACTTTTGCACCATGATTGATGTTTTAAATAAAAAATTTGATAGTAAAGGGGTAATGAGGTTGATTTTGTTTACATAGCACAAAAATTACTGTAAGCAATACTATATCTTCATGTAAAAGTATGTGACAAGGAGTTTCATGAAACACAGCTAAGCGTTTGTACTTTATTTGAGAACCGATGTGTTTGACTTTTGTCCCTGCTGTGAGTGAGGGGTTATTAAGTAGTATATTGGGATGTTTGTGATACACATTTATTTGTACTAGCAACCTTGTTATGGGGGACTTTAACTTTGGTGACATCTACTGGAGAAATGAAACCACGCCAAATGACTTTAATAATCCCGCTACTCTTTTTGTAGAAACTCTGAGAGACAATTTTCTGTTCCAACGTGTTAAAGATCCAACTCATTACAGAGGGGAGCAAATACCCAAGCCAACTGGACCTCATCATAACAAACAAGGAGGAATGATGAACAAGCTGGAAAACCTAGCACCCGTTGTCACCACCCACCATGTAATGTTGTCCTTCAGATTTAATTGTTATTTGGTTCACGACAAAACCAGGTCAAGGTGCAAATATTACAAGGGAAATTACAATGGGATGAGGATGGGATGAGGGAGGAGATGAGGGGTATACACTGGCCTGACTCAGGCACTGCACTGTATATCATAGCCAGTAAAGTGAACCATTTGATCGATAAATACAGGTACAGTATATACCCAAGACCAAACCCAGTGCCTCCAGGAATACAAGACCACTACACATGAACCAAGCGGTTGACAAAGTTACGAAGAAAATTCGAGATGTGGGTTAGGATAAATAATGAACAGGACAGGAGGATGTATGCCAGATCCAGAAACCAAGCAAAGTCAGAGTGTAGAAGGGCTGAAAATGAGTTCCAGAGGCAGATTGCGAGCGAGGTCGAGTAAAATGCAAAGGCATCTACACAAAGTCAAAATAAAAAACCCGAGTAGGCGTATTGGACCTGACGCTCGAAGATGGTAGTTACACTGATTCTGACCAGGACAAGGCGGAGGTGTAGAACAGTTTCTTTGCCTCGGTGTTCACAAAAGAGGAGGCAAACAATCTTCCTGCGCTTGAGGACAGACAGTTTAACACAGCACTGACCCACATTGTGTCCTGTACTCAGAAGAGGGTATAAGAAATAAACTGTCAAAGCTAAAGGTTCACAAGAGTCCCGGCCTTGACATGATGCATCCCAGAGTGTTAAGAGAGTTGTACAATGAGCTTACAGAGCCCCTGAAGATCCTGTTCCGTAAATGCCTGGATGAGCAAAAGGTTCCCAGTGATTGGAAAATGTCTTATGTGAGTCCTATATTCAAGAAGGGCGATCTTCACTCCACAAATAATTGTAGACCAGTGAGCCTGACCAGCATAGTGTGTAAAGTACTTGAGAGCATTATAAGAGATGCCATGATGGAACATCTACTACGAAATAACCTTGTAAAGGATTGCCAAAATGGTTTTATGCTGGGGCGCTCCTGCTTAACGCAATTACTCAAGGTACTGGATATTTGGACCCAAATTCTGGAACAAGGTGGTAATATCAACAATATATACCTAGACTTTGCCAAGGCTTTAAACAGCGTACCCCATGAAAGGCTGAGAATTAAACTGGAAGAGTAAAGGATTCAGGGAAATGTCCTAGCGAGGATCAGAGATTTTCTGCATGATCACAAGCAGTGTGTGGTGATTAATGGTATGAAATGGTCATGTGTACCCGTGACAAATGGGGTACCACAGGGCAGTGTATTGGCCCTGTTGTTGTTTGTTTGTTTCATAAATGACATGCCTGAAGCTGTACATTCCTCCATACAAATGGTTGTGGACGATGCCAAGTTATTCAGGGAACTAAGAACCGATCAAACTGCGAAGAGCTGCAGAAAGATCTCTGTGAGCTTCAAGAGTGGTTGAAGAAATGGCTGCTGAGATTCAATTTCACAAAGTGCAAGAGGTTGCACCTGGGTCGTACCAATGGTACGGAGGCGTATCATATGTCCCTATGAGATGAAGAAACTACATTAATGGAGACCGAATGTGAAAAGGACTTGGGTGTGTATGTTGATAATGAGCTGAAGTTTTTGGGCTATTGTGAAAAAAGATGAATCATGCAACTAAACTAGTAGGTCTTATAAGATCGTTCAGATATCTACATTGTGCGTCCCTCGTAACGCTCTTCAAGAGTGAGGTGCTTCCCTGCCTGGAGTACTGTCACCCTGTCTGGTCCCCAATATATGCTAGAGACTGTCAGTTGATTGAAAATGTCTAAAGGAGGGACACCAGACTGGTACCTCAGTTGTCCAGAGAGATTTGAGTGCCTGCAATCGCCTAGTTTTTACTAAAGACAGGCAAGGGGTGACCAAATTGAGGTGTATAAACATCTCAAAGGGCACTACTCAGTTGAGTGTCTATACCTGGAGCTGGCAGATGCCTGCTCCACAAGAGGTCACAGCTAAAGGGTGAAGAAGCCACATGTCCAAAAAATTGTGAGGGTGAACTTTTTTGGAGTGAGAATTGTGAACTCTTGGAACAATCTGCCAGAGAGTGTTGTGACGGCACCGAGTGTGAGCTCTTTCAAGGCCAGATTCAACTAACACTGGAGCAGGTTCAGGTACATTCAGGAGCCAGTGCAAGCCCAGTACTTTCCTAACAGTGTGTAACAGAAACGTCACTGATCGCCCAAGCCGCTAATAAACTGATCGATGGGAGAGAGGAGAAAAGTAAAAAAAAAAAGTAAGAGTATAACATTTGGACCAAGAATGTAAGAGAAATTAGTGAAGACGTAAATATAATTTAGAACAATTATAAAGGTGGTTTTTTTATCTTTACGTTAAACTTTTGTTTATATAATATTACTCATATTTCAAATAAAAAATAACATTGATCGTTTTATCTTTCACACCCCTCCAAAAAGTGTCCCATATTTTGAATAAAGAATCTGGCAACCCTATGCATATGTAACTCCAATAACATGTTTGTAATGGAAAAAAATATAGGATTATAAAGCTCTTAAAATAAATATCCCACATAAGCTACAACCCATACAAACAATAAAGCAATCTCGGTCCCTCCAGGACCCCACCGCAGTCTTCATTTGTTTTTGTCACACAGTACTGCATAATTTTATGTGACTAGAAACATTCTATTGTATCTTGTTCCCCATTTCTTGACCTAAATTAAATTATACGGACATTCAAATATGTACAGTAGAACTCCAGTTATCCGGCACCTACAGGGATTGAGAGGTGCCGGATAAAGAGATCAGCTGAACCTCACTCTTGGGATTCCCAATAAATCCTACACTGTAGTGCTACAGGCTAACCTTGTAAATTCGTGTCTCAGAAAAAACAGACTTTTACCACTTTTTCCACTTTACATAATTGCTGTGGCTCAGATATAAAGAAATTATAAAACTAAAAAATAAGAAAAATGAAGAGCATGAGTATGTCTGAGTGAGAGGTGAACGTTTGTGGAGGCAGTGGTCTATAACTGTGTGGCTACGCTCCCTCCTGATGTGATGTCTTGGCATACAGAGGCACAGCGAGGCAGCCACACGTCTGTAAGTCAGCTGGGTGGCTGCCTGGGTGAACTGTGTCATGTTGTCCAGAGAATGGTTTGTGTGTGGAAGGAGTTATTTTTTGTACATAAAATATGTGCTATTGTATTTTATGATATGCTATATAGTATATCAATTTTATAGTCTATCAGCTTAACAAATATGGCAACTCATCCCTGTTGCACGGAGTATTCAAATTTAAGATTTTAGGTAATTTTGAAGGAATTAAAATTTTTATTATTATTATTTGACTTTGGTGCCAGTTGAATCTACCAGTTACCCTGACTCCGAATAACCGTGGGTCTATCAAACATACTGTACGGAATATAATTTGAAAGATATTATAAACAGTGTGTATTGTTACCTCTTGGTGTAAACACATATTTCTCATCAAATCCTATCAGCTTGCTGGCCATAGTTGCACTCTTCTTCTTATTCGCTGCTGACATAAAGACCTTGAACTTGGTCACGATATGGAGAGTGACATCATTTGATTGTAGAGCCTGAAGAACTGCATCGCCTTCATTACAAGCACGACATGACAACTGGAGTATGGAACGAGAAACTCCAGGTCGCCACCTGTCACGTGAGATAATAAGATCATTCACAAGGTGAACTGAAGAAAGGAAACAAAAAAGGTAAGCTACTAATGACTCCATGTTTAAACAGCTCTGCCAGAATAATATACAGCACTGTAATGTACTGACTGTATTGTACTGTACTGTACTATACAGTACTGAACTGTACTGTACTGTACTGTACTGTACTGTATGTACTGTACTGTGCTGTACTGTACTGTACTGACTGTATTGTACTGTACTGTACTATACAGTACTGTATTGTACTGTACTGTACTGAACTGTACTGTACTGTACTGTACTGTACTGTACTGTACTGTATTGTATGTACTGTATGTACTGTACTGTGCTGTACTGTACTGTATGTACTGTACTGTACCATACTGTATGTACTGTACTGTACTGTACTGTACTGTATGTACTGTATGTACTGTACTGTACTGTACTGTACCATACTGTACTGTACTGTATGTACTGTACTGTATGTACTATGCTGCTGTTGTTGTGCTGTACTGTGTAATGTGTACTGTTGTACTGTACTGTATGTACTGTGCTGTACTGTAATGTACTGTATGTATTGTGATGTGCTGTACTGCTGTGCTTCACTGTACTACTCTTAATAACTGACTGTGTGCTGTGCTGTGCTATGCTTGTACTGCTATGTATACTATGCTGTTCATATTACTAATATGCTATGCTGTGTACTACTGGTATGTACTGTACTGTACTGTACTGTACTGTACTGTATGTACTGTACTGTGCTGTACTGTATGTACTGTACTGTACCGTACTGTATGTACTGTACTGTGTTGTACTGTATGTACTGTACTGTACTGTATGTACTGTACTGTACTGTACTGTACTGTACCATACTGTATGTACTGTACTGTGTTGTACTGTATGTACTGTACTGTACTGTATGTACTGTACTGTACTGTACTGTACTGTACCGTACTGTATGTACTGTACTGTGTTGTACTGTATGTACTGTACTGTACTGTACTGTATTGTACTGTACTGTATGTACTGTACTGTACTGTGCTGTACTGTATGTACTGTACTGTACCGTACTGTATGTACTGTACTGTGTTGTACTGTATGTACTGTACTGTATGTACTGTACTGTACTGTGCTGTACTGTATACACACATGAGAAATCTGCTAGAGGTTGTATTTGGCAAGGGAGTTTTGATTATGGAGTTAATATGTCTTTGAAAAGGATAGACATATATACCTGAGGTTCTTAGCTGTGGATATGACAGCTTCAGGTCCACCATGGTCAACTTTGGGCCCCTCCAAGACCAACGTACCAAGAAGAGCAGACATGTCTTTATCATTCATGAAGGCAGTGGGAAGTTCCACATTATCTCCTTTTACAGTTATCAATGTATATCGTACGTCCTCTGCAATAACAATAAATTTGTCATAGTACCATCACAGTATAATATTATTAAAACATGGACGGTATTTCGAGATAATGGCTGATATATTATTGTATATAACACATATTATTCTATTGATAAATTCCTTTGGATTACTCAGTGAAAAATGTGCTTCGGTATTTCTTACTATTTGTACAATGTAGTGTACAGTATTCTCAGCTAGTGAATGAATGCAAAAGAGCTAAAACATTTATTGCTGCCTCAAGAACTTACGAATGCCTGTTTTCCTGAGGTGTACATTAAGTAGTTTGAGGAGCATTTGCAAATTTTTGTCCTTGTTGCAGTTGGCCAATTCAACAATGAGAGCAATATCAGCAGAACCTTCAGTTTCTCCTTCGTAAATGTGTGACCAGCCATTTGGCACTGTTTCACCAGCCACAGTACAAGTACCAGTGCCAATGGGTGCCTGAGGGATTGCAGGTGCTACCATGCGCTGAACATCTGCAACTAATAATCATTAGTTGGTTTATTGTTTCTGAGAACAGTTCTCAAAGGAATTAATTTATTGTAACAAGAAGAATATGGTAGGATGGGGTGAAGGATACACTAGAAAGGAGGTGAATAGGTGTCTAAGAAACATTATATATATATATATATATATATATATATATATATATATATATATATATATATATATATATATATATATATATATATATATATATATATATATATATATATATATATATATATATATATATATATATATATATATATATATATATATATATATATATATATATATATATATAATATATATATATATATATATATATATATAATATAAAACTCCTCCTCGACTTACGACTGGGTTAGGGACCCAAATCCAGGTCGTAAGTCGAAAATGCTTAAATAATACATAGAAAATCTAAAATGGGTGTCTCTTTTTCTTCTCAATACCACAAAACTCCCACTTTTAAGAATGCCAGCCATTTTAAAGTGAATTACAAACAAAAATTTTCTCTGTGTACTGACATTGGGACTTGAAAATACGTAATTTGACAAAATTTTGGTATGACTGAGGCAGGTCGTAAGTGCGAGTGGTCGTAAGTCGAGTAAATCACTGTAGGTGCACGTGATCCAAGTATATGCTGATAACCACGTAGGAAACAAGAAGACGCGAAGTTCTCAAGCGCTTTCATGTAATTCACATCTTCAGGGGTGAGTACAGACTAAGGAGTAATTATTGACAATAATAATATATACAGTAAAGGAGAGTGAGATCATGTCCCTAGGGGACAGCAGGTGTCCGCCTTATTCAGGTCATAAGGTAGTGACCCAACCCTTTCACCTGGTTAAAAATCTTGTTAATCACAAAATTGTCCAATTTGTACATGCCATTACTCAAATTCATGTTGACAGATTCAGTATGTTTAATGAGACTAGATTCTATAATGTTGACCAATCTGTCAACATGAATTTGAGTACAGTGGTCCCTCGGTTAACGAGCACAATTCGTTCCAGAAGGTTGCTTGTTAACCAAAAAACTCGTTAACCGAAACCATTGTTTCAATGGGTTTTTGGGTAATTGGTTCCAGCTCACCGAAAATTGCCTAAAATCAACAAAAAAGGCAGTAAAGTACACTTACTTTGAGGTGTGTATGTAGAAGGCTCCTGAATGATGATGAAGATGAGAATTAGAATGGGGGTGGAGGAGAAGGGAGAAGAGAAGGCATTGGGGTGGAAGAGAAGTCACCCCATGGCGCCATTTCACCCTTAAAATTTTAGTTCTCTTGGTGTAAGTCAAGATTATTTTCTTTAAATCAAAACTGCACTGCATTATATATTGTCAATATGTAAAATAAATTTCAAATTGATCAATAATTTGCTTGGAAACACAGAAAAAAAGCATTTAGTTGAAGAGTCTCAAGCAAGATGTTACCTCCACTGAAAAGACACAGAGACTGACGCCTGTATGGTGTGTTGACAGGCTGTTTGGCGTGCAAAAAACTAGCTTCCTATACTTCAATTATGTTCAATAATTGTTAAAATGACTAAAAAAATTAATATAAAACTTTTAAAATTATTGAATAGTACAAACTTCTTGATATTTACTAAAATGGTAAGGAATTTATGCCCTAGAACCGATTACTGTATTGGTGAACTAATACTACAGCTGGTGGACCGCCAAATGCAAGCGAAAACATATGAAGGGGCGCTCGTTAAAAACTCGTTAATCGAGGGATTGCTCGTTAACCGAAGTTAAGAATCTTATGGAAGGTAATTCGTTAACCGAAATCTCGTTAACCGAGGCGCTCGTTAACCGAGGGATCACTGTAATGGCATGTACAGTAGCTAAAAAAAGTATCTGTATACTCTGTGTGAAACAATATACGATAGGTAATTTATGCATCCTCCGAAAGCGTGAATTTGCTACCAGAGTTTAACAGTTAATTCATGTATAATACTTCTAATAAACTTCCTACTTGCTTATGTTTGAAATAATGAATATATGTATCTTTATATAATTCAGCTAAATATCTTTCTCGTCAGGAACGGTCATTCCAACGTTTATGAATAAACTCATTTAGAAATACATTATTACTTCAGGACAAAATCGGACAGGTTTGCAACTGACAATCAGCTGTAACTTTTGAGGAGGGGGCGGGGCATCTTTTTTCAGCTGAGAAAACGCACTATAGTCGGGAATCTAACCCTGGAGATCTGCATGTGAACAGGGATTGCTACCACCCCGCCACAAGGATTGCTTTTGTTGTCCTTGTGGCACAGTGTACAGAGTTCCCTGTTCACACGCAGAGGCCCAGGGTTCGATTCCCGACGAGTGCGGTACATATATCTATAAACTAAAACCAATAAAATCATTCATCAGCTACAGCATATGGCTATAGTAAGTAACTATTACAAGTAACTCTTACACACACACACACACACACACACACACACACACACACACACACAACACTCAGGATGAAAATGTTAATTTTACAGAAAGAAATATAATTTCAAATATATTCAATATACTGTATAAGAGAATTGTATTCTTTAGTAACTACCACTAACTCACCTGTCACACACTTGTCAACTGATGGTACACTGATTCCATGGGTGAGGCATTGAGTACGGTATGTTGCCACCGCCTTACATGCTCCATTCTCAACCTCACCCTTATATTGAGGTCGATTATGATCATTAATACAATGCCAGAAGTATGGTTGTGGGTCAACATGATAAAAGCAGTCACTAAGGAGACTGTCTTGATGGAGGAAGATGTCTGTACAGTCAGCGACACCCTTAGCTACACTAAGTTCTTCCAGCTGAGTTGCATAGTTTACCTGTGTATTAATTTATATTAATAATAAAGGTGGCACCAAGGATAAGTTAAGGTAGGGTTAGATAAAATAAGGTAAGACATGAGATACAGTAAGGTAAGGTGAAGTTACTGATATGTTAGGTAAGGTAAGGTAAGGTTAGATTAAGGTAGGTTAGGTTAGGTTATTTAAGGTAAGGTATGATAAGGCAAGGTTATATTTGATTAGGTAAGGTAATATAGATCATAATATATGTTTTATAGCATAATTTTAATTCAGCTGTCATCAAAGTTCACTGACAACTATGGCTGATGGCCAAAATATAAAAATATTCATTATCTTTAATGTCAGGGGAGCAAGTGGAGAGAGGAGAGTACTGGGGGAGAGTTAGACCAGCGACAAGAGGGACAGACACAGTGAAAAGAGACCTGGAAAGAAGAGAGGATGATGGTGGCAGAGGAGTGGCCTAGACACAGGTGGACTTTGAAAGGTGGCAGAGAGCCAGGCTGACACCGACACAGAACAAGAACATGATAGTTTCCTAGAGCATTTATACTCATAAACATATAATCTATGTTTTATAAGGCTAACTTATAACATTTAATATGAGAAGCACAGAACCAAAGTAGGACAATCGCCTTAAATAAAAAAAAAATGCAGTTAAAGTTTGTGAACCTTCAAATTACCAACTTCGGAACCATTCAAGACATTGAAGTGAATCAAGTGGCAGATTGTAGCATTGTTAGTGCACATTTAAATGATACTAATGTAAGACATCAAAAATATTGTTTTGGGGCATAGGTACTTGTCCTACCTCAGTTCTGTGTTCCTCATATATGGATGAAGCCACTGCTATCATGGATGAGATAATTACCATCAGAGATAAGACATTCAGTACCACAGACAAGATCTTTGCCCTACAGATCAATAAATGGCATCGGATTACTTTTTAATGCAGGATCAATCAATGTTAAGGACAATATGTATGTGGTCTTCACTGTAGCTTTATCCTTATTAAAGTGAGAGTTGTCTTCACCTTCCACAACAATGTTGTAGATCAACTTGTTGTGTTACAACAATCTTAAACTCAGTGGCAGAGTAAATAATATGACGTTATATTTTAATAACTACTGTACGTACTCCAATTTCCATTTTTATTTATTTTTTTACTTTCCTTTATGCAGTAGTACTGTACTTTTCTTGTCATTTATTATTTGTAAAGGAAGGGCATACTGTTTGCTTCTCATGGTTGTGTCCGCTGGTTAAACCAGGTTTAGTCAAATTTCATGTGCTATACAGTATAGTACGTACTTGGAATTAGTACACTTGAAGGTGTGGGGATAACTAATGCTTAGGATAGTTTGAAAAAATTCTAGCTTTATTCCTGAAATAAGAACCCAAGTTATAGATGATAATCAAACAGATAACATCCTTGTTCAATTTCCAAATTCCCAAATTGTTATTACTGCATATGAGTTGTATTTCATATGAGTTGTATTTCATATTGTTAACCTCACTCACACACTAAAAGAACTTTCTTCACTTTTTGCTACATACCTGGTAGCAAGGTTTAGAGGAGACGGCCCATTTAGTGGCCATATCTGCAGCACTGTCAAGGTGAGATCCATCAGGGCCACGGAAGTCATCTGACGGTTCATAGTTGTAGTTACCCAAGAGACCTGCCAGTCTGGTCGTGCAGGCATGAGAAAAGCATAATATTGTAATTACAATAGCAAGAAATAAAGTCACTCTCATTTAAAAAAAATAACACTCATACAGTACACACTTAGCTGTTAAGCCGTCATTAATATTCAATTAAAATAAGCACATGTGTTTTCAGTACACCATTTTTTTCCACATAACTATAAAATAGCTGGAAGTTCATGAATTTTTACTTTACATCAGAAAACCAACACTTACCTGCCAAAATATTTGCCTGAGACAGTGAAGGAACATCCTTGTGACACTTTATTGCAGGTCACCATCAAACCCCCAATCTTCACACCAGACTGATGACCACTAGTGAAGGTCTGCCAAATATGCACATATTGTTATATCATCAAAGGGAGTACTGTACATCACAATAAATATTAACTCCTTCCTTACCAAGTGTTCTAATACATCCACTTAACTGTAAGGTCAGTTAAATACAATCAATACATTATAATGTGTTAATACAGCAATAAAGGCCCTCAAATGAGGGCTTCAAAAAAGCATCCTAATGATAAAGGTTTTTCTTCTATAGTTATACTTCCAATAGATTTTTTTCTTCTTTTATGGTCCCTATATATTGTTCACTATGTGCAGTACAAGAAGTGAGTAAGTTAACCCTTGTTTAGCCAGAGGCCACCATACCCACAAGTGGAGGAGAAGCAAAGTCTCATAATAATAAGTACTGTACTGTACAGTATGTGTTGAAAAAGGTGATTTACCTCAGCACCAGGACCAGTGACATCCACAGTACCATCCACATGAAGGGTAGCATTTGTGGCAGGACTCTGTACCTCCACTGATTCCAATCTCACCACTCCTGCTTCTGACTCATATACACCCACCACTGTGAAGTCTCCTCCAACAAAGTCCCTGAACAAGAGGTAGGAACACGGACCAAGGAACTGGTAGTGGCGTAGGTCGAAAGTGGTTACATGTTGACCTACAAGTGGAAAATCAGTCTTTATATTTTCTGAAATACAATGTCAAATATGATGATCAATTATAAAGAATATAAGAATATGAATTCATAATACTGTATGTATCAAAATTAATAGTACATCTATACACAAACTTCTGACACAGATGCTTCATGCAAAATGCATTCATGCATTAAAGATAGAGAAATCACAACTATCAGGATTCACATACTTGTCAAACTCATGTGTTAATAAATATTTTTATTTCTCCCAGCAAAACAAATAAAGAATCTCAGGGATCACATTCCATATTTTGTAACAATGACTAAAACCATCAGCACCATCATACAACTTCCTCATTACTAAGGAATTTCCTTTAAAGTTTGAACTTTACAAAATTTCTTTTTTCGTTCAATCCAGAATACATGCCTAGCTTATACCCTAGGTATGTTAAAGCCTAGCAATAACTCGCCAGGCTAACATACAGGCAATTAAAACATCTAATAATTACGGAATAAGTAATATTCAACCTACTCCAGTGTTGTTCAAGTCTGGTCTTGAAAGAGCTAACACTCGGTGATGTCACAACACTCTCTGGTAGATTGTTCCAAGAGTTCACAACTCTCACTCCGAAAAAGTTACCCTCACAGTTTTGTGGGCTTGCGACTTCTTCAATCTTGAGCTGTGACCCCTTGTGGGACGAGTGTCCGCCAGCTCCAAGTAAGGACACTCGACTGAGTAGTGCCCCTTGAGATGCTTATACACCTCAATTAGGTGCCCCCCTTGCCCGTCTGTAGTATAAGCTAGGCAATTTCAGGCGCTCTAATCCCTCAGGGTAGCTGAGGAGCTGTAGTGCAGGCACCAGTCTGGTGGCCCTCCCGTGGACATTTTCAATCAGCTGACAGTCCCTAGCATATCTCGGGGACCAGACGGGGTGACAGTACTCCAGACTGGGAAGCACTTCACTCTTGAAGATCATTATGAGGGATGGACTGTCTAGATATCTAAGACTGTCTAGATATCTAAACGACCTTCTTATAAGACCTAATAATTTAGTTGCCTGATTCATCTTCTTCTCGCAATGCCCCAAGAACTTCAGCTCATCGTCAACATACACACCTCGGTCCTTTTCACATTCAGTCTCAATTACTTCAGTTTCTTCATCCCGTTGGGACATATGATACACCTCCTTACCGTTGGTACGTCCCAGGTGCAGCCTCTTACACTTCGTGACATTAAATCTCAGCAGCCATTTCTTTGACCTTTCTTGGAGCCCACAGAGGTTCTTCTGCAGCTCTTCACAGTCCGCTTGGTTCTTGATTTCCCGAAATAACTTGGCGTCATCGGCAAACATTTGTTTGGAGGAGTGTACAACGTCAGGCATGTCATTTATGAAACAAACAAACAACAGCGGGCCCAATACACTGCCCTGTGGTACCCCGCCTGTGACGAGTACACATGATGATTTCGTGCCATTAATCACCACACACTGCTTGCGGTCATGGAGAAAGTCTCCGATCCACGCTAGGACATTTCCCCATATCACGTATCCTTCCAGTTTAATTTTCAGCCTTTCATGGGGTACACTGTCGAAAGCCTTGGCAAAATCTAGGTATATATTGTTGATGTTACCACCTTGTTCCAGAATATGGGTCCAAATAACCAGTATCTTGAGCAATTGTGGTAAGCAGGAGCGCCCTGTCATAAGACCGTGTTGGCAGTCCTTTACAAGTTGTTTCATAGTACATGTTCCATCATGGCATCTCTTATAATGCTCTCAAGAACTTTACACACTATGCTGGTCAGGCTCACCGGTCTATAGTTGTTCGTGGAGTGACGATTGTCCTGCTTGAATAGAGGACTCACATAAGCCATTTTCCAATCATTGGGGACCTTTTGTTCATCCAGGCATTTACAGAACAGGATCTTGAGGGCTCAGCAAGCTCGTTGCACAACTCTCTTATCACTCTGGGGTGCACCATGTCAGGGCCGGGACTCTTATGAACCTTTAGCTTTCTTTTTTTTTTCTTTTTTTCTTTGCTTTGATAGTTTATTTCTTATAACCTCTTCTGTGAACACAATGTGGGTCAGTGCTGTGTCGAACAATCTGTCCTCAAATGCAAGAAGATTGTTCACATCCTCTCTTTAAGAACACCGAGGAAAAGAAACTGTTCAATGCCTCAGCTTTGTCCTGGTCAGAATCTGCGTAACTTCCATCTTCAAGTCTCAGGTCCAATACTCCTACTCATGTTTTTAATTTTGACTTTGCATAGCAGTAAAACGCCTTTGGGTTTGACTTGACCTCGCTTGGAACCAGCCTCTGGAGCACCTTTTCAGCCCTTCTACACTCTGACTTAAGAGCTTACTGAAGAACTGGTATAGTCACAAAGATTACGAACTAATATTGGGAAAATAAACATGAGGGAGTTGGGTAAGAACAACCACCTGGAGAGAACAGAATAAATGAGTGGCTGCATGACCCAAACTATAATGGGTGTTATGACAGTATATTAACTCAAACACCTGTTCAGCCTGCAAGTGGGTACTTCTTTATGAAGGAAATGTAGTTTATTCTATGCAATTAACAAGTATGGCAGATAATTATCACAAAAACACAAACATTACATACCCATAATGGTGGCTGTACCAGTGAAGGGTGGGGTGAAGGCACCAGGGTAATGCAGAGCCTCCCACCCACTGGTGATGTCATCCATTCCTTCAGACAATATCCTCTGTGCCTCAGCCACAGGAGATTCCTGATAAAATGTATATAATACAGCAAATGCTTTCACCCATGCCAGCACTTTTTGTTTTTACCCATGTTTCTATCTTTATTAAGCTTGAGTTTATGTTTGGTTTACCATTTAATACAATTCTAAGCCAAGTTTGATCTCCTTTTTAATTTAGAGAAAAGTCAAAATACTGTACAATTATAATCTTAAATTTTGTCTGGTTTAATAAAAATACAGTACAAATTAGTTGCACACACGTTTTTTTCTTTTATAAAATTGTCAGAAATTCTTTTATTGAGCCTCAATAAACTGATTAGAATAACAATAAATTTTTTTACAATATATCTTTTATTATACTGTACAATACTATAATATGTTACATCCTAAAGTTAAAAACACAAAGAGAGTTAACTATTAAAGTACATGTACTGTAATACCTGTAGTACAAAAATATGGGCATCATTATCAGAGTCTGCTTGATGGTGCTAGTGTGGGAAGCCTCGCTTAAACTGCTCAAATAAACACCTTGTTACATTTATTACTTAGAAATGCAAAATCATTTTCAGGAACACTTTGATAAGTACAGTATATGCCATGTACAGGTTCTTAATTTCTGGAGTATACAGCCAAGACTGTGTACAAATTTTAAAATGGGATTAGTTTGGACTGCTTTTTCTTTGCAAAAAAAAAAAAGACTACGTTCAAGATGGAAATTATAAGTCTAAAATTATTAATAATGATGGACAGCGTTAGCCATATGCACATACTGTACTCAATGACAATAGGCATATATTGTAGTCACTGGCCATAGGCCCATACTGTACTGTACCTGTACTCAGATTAGGAGAGTTTTAGAACATCTACTCAAAACAATATGAAGAAGGTAACGATGTCTTCTCTGATCTAATACCTTTTCATGGTATTTATCCCTTTAAAACTTTATATTGTAGCTCATTCAAGGACCAAATCTGGTCATATAAGGGACAGATCAGAGGCATTAATTTGGATAATTCCAGATGACAGAAGCAACACATACCGTGTATGAGCCTGATGAGCAAACTTTAACTCACTGGGGCTTCCAAAATTTTTGGTCTATTGTGTAGAATTTTATTTCATGGAATATATCAGTAGGCTCTTATCTTTACAGGGCCTCAAGAAGACTGATTCATACAAAATTACTCACCTCCTTGAACATATTGGTAAGTCTGTACCATTGGGGAGCTTCAAGGAAACTTGCCCAAGGTACAGGAAGGTGTTGGTTATACATGATCTTGCCATTCACAACTGGTTCAAACACAAAGTCTCTGTAACAGATATTTATTTACATCAAAATCTCTTATTTTAACTTAGCCAGATAATAGTACTTGTACAATACCTCAGCCACAAAAATGTTGCTTGAAAGATTAATACAAGTTAGGAGATGTTATTTTATTGTTATTAAATTTATAACAAGTATATTACATAGTGAAAAAAGAACAGCATATCTGTTTCCTGTTTTAGACATGAAACTGAATCCAAACCTTTCATACACAGTTCTAAACATGTTCAAGTAATTCAACATATCTGTTTTAATTTCAATGAGATATCAACAGCTACTTTTGTGCATACAATGAGATAATTAATGAAGTGCTCTGTGCTGTCCGGAAAGTATCCAAAAAAGTATTCAGGAGATGTAGAGTCCCGCAAGAGACATAAAGTGAGAGGCGATATAATTGAGGTGTATAAATGGAAGTCAGGGTTGAACAAAGGGGACATAACAAAAGTACTGTACTTAAACAATCTAACCGGGGGTGAACTCATAGCTATGGTTTTAAATATGACAAATTTAGAGTTAGGTGTGAGATAGGTAAATACTGATTTGGGAATAGTGTAGTGGATAAATGGAAAAAAATCACCATATACCATCATTAACAGATATATGAGCAATATGAGTTTGGTGTAAACAGGGCTGCCTAGTATGGACCAATAGGCTCACTGCAGTTTCCTCTATTCTTATCTTTTTATGTAAGATTTGTGTTAGTTTTATCTTAAAAAAATTTGCTTAAGTTAGTGTGACTTCAATATCTTAATGGTTCACAGATCATTTGCCCGTTTACTCACTAATGGGGATTATAGACATGTATGGAAACATTTGTACATAAAAAAATGCACACAAACACACATATCTTCACTGCTAATAATAACGTACACAAGATAGAGACTTACTCTTCAAAGAAAAAGCTGTTCTCATTCAGTAGATCCTTTAAAGCATCGATTACAGCTAAGAGTTGACGTTCGAGAGTTTCCAGGTTATGACGCTGATCTTCCATCCTATTTTGCCACATCAGCAACACCTGACCGTGAATATACTCATGACATTATTTTTCCTTTAATAATTATTTATCATTTCACCACTCATTAACTTACTCACCACTCATGTGGGTGGTCTGGTCTTTGTTACTTTATTACAACATTTATTGTTCAGTATCTGTGCAAGAGGAAACCAGAGAACCCAGAAAACCTTCCATGTTTGGTAGGGTCTCATTAGGTAATATCCTTCTCATAGCTGCCTTGGGCCAGGGAGTCAACCCAAGACATGGTTATGAGATACACACATTATTGCTGTATCGTTGTAAATATTAAAATTTAGCTACTGTACAGCTGCTTAACAATTTATTGTTATCTTTACACAACATGACCCCAAGAATTTACTTCAGAATTCTTAAAAGCTTCTTGACGTTTAGTGTTTATGACTTAGTGAATGGTGTTTAAAGACCCCAGACACTGAAACACTTAACCACACAGCAGCAACAATAAACTTGTTCATAACGAGTTTCAGGGACATTAGATTCTACAGTACTTTCATAGTGTGTAAGACATACTGTATTGTAGTGTATGTACTGTACTGTACTGTACTGTACTGTACTGTACTGTACTGTACTGTACTGACCCATACTGCATGTACTGTACTGAACTGTACTGCATGTACGGTACTGCACTGTACAGAACTGTACTGAACTGTACTGTACTGTAATGTACTGTACTGAACTATACTGTACTGAACTGTACTGTATTGCAGTGTATGTACTGTACTGAACTGCACTGTACTGTACTGTATTGTACAGAACTGTACCAAACTGTAATGTACTGTACTGAACTATACTGTACTGAACTGTACTGTACTGTAGTGTATGTACTGTACTGTACTGTACTGTACAGAACTGTACTGAACTGTAATTAGTGTACTGTACTGCATTATAGTGTATGTAAAGAACTGTACTGAACTGAACTGTACTGTACTGTACTGTACTGTAATGTAGTGTACTGTACTGTATTGTAGTGTATGTACTGTACTGCACAGAACTGTACTGTACAGTAATGTACTGTACTGTATTGTAGTGTATGTACTGTGCTGTACTGTACAGAAGTATTGAACCGTACTGTAATGTACTGTACTGTACTGAATTGTACTGTATTGTGATGTGCTGTACCGAACTGTATTGTACTGTACTGTACTGTACCGAACTATACTGTAATGTACTGTGCTGTACTGTACTGAACTGTACTGTAATGTACTGTACTGAACTGTACTGTACCATAATGTACTGTACTGAACTATGTTGTACTGCAATGTACTGTATGTACTGTACTGTAATGTACTGTTATGTGCTGTATTGTACTGTACTGTACTGTACCGATCTGTACTGTAATGTACTGTGCTGTACTGTACTGTACTGAACTGTACTGTAATGTAATGTACTGTACTGAACTGTACTGTAATGTACTGTACTGAACTATGTTGTACTGCAATGTACTGTATGTACTGTACTGTAATGTACTGTTATGTGCTGTATTGTACTGTACTGTACTGTGCCAAACTGTATTGTAATGTACTGTACTGCACTGTACTGAACTGTACTGTAATGTACTGTACTGTAATGTACTGTACTGTACTGAACTGTACTGTAATGTACTGTACTGAACTATGTTGTACTGCAATGTACTGTATGTACTGTACTGTAATGTACTGTTATGTGCTGTATTGTACTGTGTTGTACTGCACTGAACTGTACTGTTTTTGTAATGAACTCTACTGTAATGTACTGTGCTGTACTTCACTGAACTTTACTATACTGAAATTTACTGTGCTGTATTATACTTTACTGAACTGTATTCTACTGTACTGTAATGAACTGTGCTGTACTGCACTGAACTGTGCTGTACTGTAATGTACTGTGCTGTATTGTACTTTACTGAACTGTACTATACTGTAATGAACTGTGCTGTACTGTATTGAACTGTTCTGTACTGTACTTTACTGAAATTTACTATGCTTTACTGTACTGTATTGTACTTTACTGAACTGTACTGTACTGTAATGAACTGTTTTGTACTACTACTACTTTGCTGTCGCTCGCAATCGAGTATAACGATCACCCAGCTATGATACAATGATATGAGCTTTTAAGGATGTCACCTTCGTTGGTGAGCTCTGAAGTGACTCGAGAGGCCATTACAGGACCGGCAAGGTCGTTCACATATGTTGCACGTGTGGAGGGCTACATTTAGTGCAGGAGGGGCGGCAGCAGCGTCTTTCCATTGCTGGCTTTTGTCTGCCTCAACTTGCAGTTGGGCGAACTCGAAAGTATTGACACCTTCTCGTGTGGTGCTCCTCCAAGCGTTAAGGTGTGGAGTAATCATCTCCCGGGTGAGGTGGTCAATTCGGCACTTTTTCAGGTTTGTCTTAACACTATCCTTCCACCTTTTCAATTGACTGCCACCGTTATGTTTACTATTCGTTATGTGACTGTAAAGTAACTGCTCTGGCAGTCTACTGTCGTCCATGTGGGTAACATGGCCAGACCAACGTGGTTGTTAATGGATAATGGTAGCCTTGATGCTCTTACAGTTGGTGGCAACGAGAATACTGGCATTTGTTCTCTTGTCATCCCAGTAAACCTGGAGGATGAAATGTAGACTACGTTGGTGAAAGTTTTCAAGTGCCTTGAGGTGCTTCCTGTATGTTACCCATGTTTTGCTGCCATATAGCAGGGTGGGGAGGACCATTGCTCAATACACATGCAACTTTGTAGATAATTTCAGCTCTCTACAGCTGAATACATGGGTACGGAGTCTACCAAAGGCTCGATATACACATATGATCCGATGCTGAATCTCTTCATCAATGTCAGCGGTGGTGGACAGGTGGGAGCAGAGATACTGAAAGTGAGTAACATTAGAGAGGGTAGTACTGTTAAGCTGGATGGATGGTGGAGGTGTGGCTGAACCAGGGGCAAGCTGAAAGAGAACCTGAGTATTACATGCATTCACCTCAAGTCTGAAGTGTGCATACGCATCTGTGTAGGTGCTCAGGATCTCCTGTAGGTCACGTTCAGTGTGAGCGACAAAGGTGAGGTCGTCTACATACTGAAGTTCAGTGATGGAAACGGCCGACACCTTTTTTCCTGCCTGGAATCATCTTATGTTGAAAAGTCCTTTCATCCGGTGCTGGATGTCCATCCCACTGGCTGAATTCACACTGGCATGAGTAAGGAAGGCAGCCAAGAAAATGGAAGAGAGAGTTGGTGCCAGTACACACCCTTGTTTAAACCCAGTTTGGATGGGGAAGAACTCAGACTGGGTGCCATTGTGCAGGACACTGCTGTTCATGCCATCGTGGAGTTGCCTCACAATAGAAATGAATTTTGGTGGGAAGCCAAAACGATATGCTTGGCCTCACTATTTCCTCTAATATGTTATGGAAGCCACACATCCTCAACATTGCTAAAGCTGCCTCCCGAAAGCTGGGAATGCTGTACAGATGCTGTAACTACTTCACTCCTGAGCAGTTGCTTCAAGTATATAAGGGATTCATTCATCCTAACTTGGAGTACTGCTCTCATATCTGGGGAGGCTCTTCTTCTGTCCAACTGTTAGATAGGGTGGAATCAAAGGCATTTCATCTTATTAACTCTCCTCCTTTAGTTGATAATCTTTCTTCCCTTTCTCTTGGCCACAATGTTGCTTCACTCTCTCTCTTTTACAGGTACTTTAACGGGCAATGTTGGGTGGATTTGGCATCTTGTGTACCGCCGGCAAGGCCGTGGGCTAGTAACACTTGTCTTGCCCGCGGTGCCCAGGGTTTCTCTGTGGATGTCGGTCACACTAGAATAACCCGTTATAGTACATCCTTCTTTCTCCACACAGCCAAACTGTGGAATGCTCTGCCTTCTTCTGTGTTTCCATACTCGTACAATCCGTCTCACTTCAAAAAGCTGGTTTTCCGGCATCTTCGTGGTGTAGATTAATATAATCTTTTTCTCTTTTATTTTTAATTTCTTTTTACTCTTATTTTTCACCCCCCAGACCCCATTGTGGGTCGATGACTTGTGCCCGGGTGAGCTATTCCCCTTAAAAAAGAAAAGAAAAAGTACAAGTCATGATACTGTTCTCTGTTCTCATGTCAGTGGTGCCATGTGATGATCTAAATCCTCAGTGAGATTCTGGGAGGAAGTTTTCCGCCTCAGGAAGAAGTCTGTTTAGGAGGACTCGGGCAATAGTCTTGCCAGCTACGGACAGCAGTGAGATCCCACGGTAGTTACCACAGTCTGACCGCTCTCCATTGTTCTTATAATGACGCCTCATCTTTAAGAGCTTGAGGGATTTCCTCCTTTTCCTATATATTCTCCAGGAGAGAGTGGAGACGGCTGGTAAGCAGAGGTCCTCCTGCTTTATACACCTCGGCTGGGATTCCATCAGGCCCTGAGGCTTTGTTATTTTTCATCTGTTTGATGGCAGTAGCTACCTCATCCAGGGATGGAGGATAGCTGAGGTGGGTCAGTTCTGGATGCTGAGGGACCTGCTGGGTAGTCAGGACATCCACATCGGTGTTTTGGTTGAGCAGAGAATAGTAGTGCTCTTTCCAGCGCTGATGGATGCCTTCTTCGCCTTTAATTAGGGAGTTGCCATCAGATGAGTGGAGGATAGCCACGCCATGAGTAGTTGGGCCATATAGTATATTGTTTCAGCTGAACTGAAAAATTCACACATTTTTTGTTGATTCCCAAATTTTTGCAGTACACACGCTATATTTTCCTACCATTTGTTCAATAGTTTGCGAAAATTGGGCTGGGCTGCCACTTTCTTCTCATGGAAGGTATCAGCTTTCGTCCAAGACAGAGGGTTGTTCTGCTAGTCAGTAAAAGCAGCACGTTTACTTTGACAAGTACCTGTACTTCGATTTCCGGGTTGCTTTCATACAACCAATTCTAGTGTTTTCTTTTGACAGCTTTGATGGGACCCCATTCGGCACAGGGATTTGGGATGTTTGTTGTCGGGTTGTTTATAAGCCCATGATCGAGCTGCTCTCTGAAAGCATGTGTTACCGCTGGATCCTCTAGTCGCTTGGTGTTAAGGCCTCTTATGGCGGCTTGTTGCCTTCACCGTTTTGGGGCGACGTGAAGTGAAAACTTGGCTCTGACGAGCTGATGATCAGTGTAGCAGTTGTCTGAGCTACGCATGGCTCAGGTAATGAGAAAATCTCGGCGATCTCTTTCTCTGACAATGATGTAATCAATGAGATGCCAGTGTTTGGACCGTGGGTGTTGCCAAGAACCCTTGAACTTGTCGGCCTGCCTAAACAAGGTGTTGGTGATAGTGAGGTTGTGTACAGTACAGTACAGTATTATATCAATAGTATTGACCTCCTTGTTGATGAGCAAGGTCTCCCACAAGTGAGGACAATATTACTGTTTGGCAGTATGAATGAATTTATTGAGACACCATGTAGTATATACAGTACTTTGCTTAAAGAGAAATAAATGGACTGCTCACCCGATCATAAACATTTCCTGCCACTACGTTGATGTAATTGAAGAAGATGTTCTCACCAGCAAATCTATGGAATCTTTCACTGTTCTCCCCCCACAGTTTGAGAACTTCCTCAGTTGCTGTGGAGACATACGGCCACAAACCTGACACTCCTTGCTCCATCTGTAAACAGTAGGTCAAGAGAGTTGATTACACTGCATTGTACTGTCCTATATGTTAAATATTTTCTTTAACAGTATGTATTAGTGTATTTTGGTACTGATAATTTAATCAAGCATTTGTAGGTTTAGATATGTGACTCTGTAACATGACCACTTTACATCTGTAAACTCTCTAAGAGTCTCTGGTTAGTTGTTGAAGCCCCAGAAACTCAAACTAGAGTACAGTACAAGCTAGATTAAGTGAGGTTACGGTAGGTTATGATGGGTAAGGTTGGGTGATATTTGGCGAGGTAAGGTTAGGTGATGTTAGGTTAAGTTAGGTTTGATGATGTGAGGTGAGGTTGGGTGATGTTAGATTAGGTGAGGTTAAGTGACGTGGGGTGAGGTGAGGTTGGGTGATAATAGGCGATACAGTATTAGATTTGGTGATATTAGGTTAGATTAGGTTAGGTTGGGTGATGTTGGGTGAGGTGAGGTGAAGCTAGGTTAGGCGAAGTGAGGTTGAGTGCAGACCACGTTCACTCCAGTCAATGCTGTACGGCAAGATTAATGCACATTTCAAGAATGGTTAAAAATTTCATGTACAGTACAACAATTCTAAACCTGAAATTTGTGTTTCAAACTTTATATGTACTGTAATCAATATACTCAAGAATAAATGATCTTCAACTAATCCATGCACCTGTAACTGCCTTCAGCTTCCTTAGCTGCCTTTTACTACACCAAAGAAAGGTGTCACATCTATTCCTTAATGGCCAACACTCACAGTCACGAAATATGACTTACGTACACCCATCAAAAAAGGTTTCACTACCCTTGGGTCCGATGGAAATCGTATTAAGCAAGTACAGACACAGATGTATCTGTTGGGTTGGCACTTCTGACTATATAGGAATAATATTCTTTATCCTGTAAAATTCTTTGATTTAGAATGCTGAAATAATGCTAAGCCTAATAAAGTATCCGGGTAAAATAAATGGTGAAGTGCTTTGTGATACCTTACTGATGAATGATTAGAGATGTAATTGTGGTAAACAGTAGGAGAGGGTGGTTTAAAACTTGAACGGAACAGTTGTTATTATCTAAATATTTTGTTTTTCCACTGGTGATGACCAACATCTCTACAGCAACTTAAACTGGTGATGGTCAATGTTTAGGGAAGCAATATATGCCAGAGAGACTCACCAAATCATACAGTGCAACAAATGATACTTCAGACAGAAAACTTTGGATCTGTTGCTGTGCTTCATGGAGAAACTGAAACATGGGAGACTCTTGTACAGTTGCTTGTAGGCCGTGAAATCCATCTAAGAGCGACAACAAATGAATTAATAAATGTTCTAAGTACAGTAACAACACTTCACTTTTGTTCTTATCATTAGGGAACCACACCCTATTTTTCCCATTTACTGTATTATGTCATTCACTCTCTAAAAAGTCATTATCCAAATGGTTTTCAAGGAACCAAACCCATTTGAATAGCTAAGGATGCCGGTACTGTATTCTGTTTCTGTATAGATGCAGTGCTTTACTCTAAACGAATTTTATTATTATCACTGTTTTGAATAATACCTGAAATAAATAAACTTTCAATGTGCTCAATTAATTCCAAAACTCTGATCAAAGTAAAACATTATTATGATTAAATTAATGTATCTTAAATTCAATACGAGGAATGAAGATGCATTTTGCTGGTACTCCTCTGCAAGTATCATCTTGAACGTAAAACAACCTATACAGTAGTGGTTACCTTCAACGATAGTAGAGGCATCTGTCACCCAAATCTTGACTTTATCTACGACTTGCAATAATCTGCTGTAATATTCCATTGGTTGCAAGAATTCCCACATAATGGCTGCAACATCACTGGCGTCCTGCAATAATTGATACACATAATGGCAACAAGTTATCATTCACTATTTATATAAGAAATCTAGTTAAGGACACACAGAAGAACAACCTTCATTGTTAGCTTATACAATACAAGAGTCATATATTAGCTTGAGGGAATGTATTGAGGTAAAAATTAGCAAAGTGTATTTCTTTTGTGATGCTGGACTTCCCTTGTGTTGAGTCTTACTATACAATGCTGTTGTACTCTATGTTTATGAAAAGAACGACCCTATGTCAACGACACTTACCACTGTCCACTAACACCAGAAGCCACCAACACTGTCCACCATCACCATCACTGTCCAACACCACCATCACCAACACTGTCCACCATCACCATCACTGTCCAACACCACCATCACCAACACTGTCCAACACCACCATCACCAACAATGTCCAACACCACCATCACCAACACTCATCACTGTCCAACACCACCATAACCATCACTTATCACTATTCATCACCACCATCACTTATCACTGTCTAACACCACCATCACCATCACTGTCCTCCACCACAGTCACCACAAGTCAAGTGTCTCACCTCTAGCACTGCTGCTCTCATCTCATCAACCATCTGCCGGGCCTTGTACCAGCACTGACCTCTAAGGACAGCCTCTAGCTCTTGTCCATATCTGAAAATTGATGATTTTTACATATAATTCTCGTTATAACACAGTAATAAAACTCAAAAAGACAAAGTTACTGTTCTATATAGTACTTATTAGTGCTAGTGATGTGTCACAATTTCTTTGAAGAGTGATGCTGGAGTATATGGCACACACCAATAAGGTTCTTCTATAAGAAACGTAGCTACACCTTCATTAAACTTAAAAAATTTCCATCTGTCATGAGGGGGCGTGAGGTGGGTACAAGGGAGGCGTGAGCCATCTGCCAAAATTTGCTATTTTTTGCTCAAAAAGAATATAATGAAGAAACACTTTCAGGAGTAACTCTCTCTCCGTTTGAATCTTCCACACATCCGTGCAAAACCAAAGTATAGCAGTCACCCTTATCCGTTTTCTATCATTTCATCTCTCTCTACTTACGCGTCTTGTACATGCAGGGGAGAGGGGGGGAGCGTGAGGACTTCGCAAAAAGCGAAAGGGGGCGTCATGGGGAACCACTGGTCTAGGCAGTACAGGTTCAACCTCGATATAAGAGCACTGGATTTACCGGCAGCTAGCATTTCACGGCAAAATGTATAAATCGTGGAATGTATTTTATTTATTTATTTATTTATTGGGGGGAGAGGCCCACCCGTAATTTCAACTAGTTCCCATACCCGCTTACCACAGGATCTGTCTTGGGCACTAGATAAGTTAATAATAATGAAGCGTATTTATTAGAACTTAATAAATATTATTGTAGCGTATAATGCATCTCCATATGCCCTGGTTTATTCACTGATCAGTTGTCTAAACGTAGCCAAATTGAGTCATCACATGACATCGATCAGCTGGGCAGTCACCAGTTGACTCCAAGACGTGTGTGTGTGCACACATTACACGGGTGGTGAAATGCATCTAGTGTGGCAGCATTATGTTAGTGTTAAGGTGCAATCACTGCTTGCTCCCTCTCGCTTTCAGCTGCCGCCGCTGGCTAGCACTCGTGGTGAACAGGGAAGCAACTTGCATAAGTCTTCCCCTGCCAGTAGACAGCCTCCTCGCCATCAAGACTCCTGCTGTGCCTCCTTGTGGCAATACATGGTAACTGCGTGCCTCATGGGCCCAGGCTAGATCACCAGGGGCTCTTGGAGTAGCAGTGGGCCCCAGAGGGACAGCACATAGGGTCACTGGCATGTGGACACGTCCGGGTGCCTACCAACCACCGTCCCGCTGCCTTGTGGATTAAACTTGGTAGTTATAAGGATACGGGAGTAAACCCCAAACAAAAAATCTGCGATGGGGCCCCGCATCAGGCAGACACGCTTACAGAGATTCAACAAGACCTCAACGGCGGTGTAGGCAGAAGAGGTGGAAGAGGTGACCACCATGGAAACCCCACCAGTGGATGAAGGCAATGCCTGATGGACAGGCTACCAAGGCGAAACCCCAAAAACTGGGCTATCGGCAGTCCATTGCAACTCTCCCTCTCCCTAGTCATTGCAACACTTGCACCACTGGATCAGGAAAAGGAAGAGCCAAGATGTGTGGTTACAGCCTGCGCTCCTGCCTCACCACATAAATCTACTCACACTCAGCCATCACCCAGCTCATCATGCCTCTCATCACCACCAAAACCCCTTCTGCCCCGCAAAAGTCCTATGGCGATGGACGAGTGGTGACGGGGACAGGCAGAGATGACTGCCGGGAGTCTCTAGTCACAACTCTGCACATCGGCGGCACAGATAAGATGGTCGTTTATGCACTGGGATCTAGGCAGCAGTGCAATCTGGTCCTGTCTGTGTGACTGAGCAGCCCTTACGAGGAGTCACTCTGCTCACCCCACACGGGGAAGGGGCTAGAAAAGGTGCCCTAAACATGGCCTGCCTAAAAAAACAACGTGACTGGGTAGGCTCACCCAATAAGGTCATCCTTATGTGGTTGAAAACACAATCAAAATCACAGATCCAAACAAAAACAAACCATACAACCTCTTATGGTCACTGCATGGAATGTCAGGACCCTTCTGGATACTGGTACAAATGAGCGTCCTGAAAGAAAAACTGCCCTTGTGGCAAGAGAGCTGGTTAGGTATAACATCGACATAGCAGCCATCAGTGAGTCCTGGCTCGCAGATGAGGGCCAACTCACAGAACGGGGGTCTGGTTACACATTCTTCTGGAAGGGTAAGCCTGATGTGGAGAGAAGCCGCATTAATGGAGTTGGCTTTGCCATCCGCCAGTGCATCCTACACAGGCTAACTGAAATGCCTATTGGGATCAACGAGCGCCTCATGACGCTTCGAGTCCCACTGAATCACTCACGTCATGCCTTCTTCATCAGTGCATACGCCCCAACACTGAATGCAGAGGATGATATCAAGGAGGCCTTTTATGCCAACCTTGACAGAGTGCTAACCTCTATCCCCAAAGAAGACAAGGTTGTGCTCCTTGGCGACTTCAATGCCAGAGTTGGCAGAGATGCTAACATTTGGCAGGGAACCATAGGGAGAAATGGACTAGGTAAGTGTAACCCCAACGGCCTACTCCTCCTCAGCAAGTGTGCTGCACACAACCTCACTATCACCAATACCTTGTTTAGGCAGACAGACAAGTTCAAGGGTTCGTGGCAACACCCACGATCCAAACACTGGCATCTCATTGACTACATCATTGTCAGAGAAAGAAATCGCCGAGATGTCCTCATCACTCGTGCCATGCGTGGTTCAGACCACTGTGATACTGATCATCGACTTGTCAGAGCCAAGCTCTCACTTCACGTTGCCCCAAAACGGCGAAGGCAGCAAGTCTCCTGAAGAGGGTTTAATACCAAGTGTCTGGAGGATCCAGCGGTAGCACATGCTTTCAGAGAGTAGCTCGAACATGGGTTTATAAACAACCCAACAGCAAACAAGGTGAATTCCAGTGCCGAATGGGATAATCTTAATACTGTTATGACAAATACCTGCAGAGAGACTCTCGGCCAGACCAAAAGAATACATCAGGACTGGTTTGGTGAAAATGACCCGGTGATCAAAGTACTCATCTATGATAAACGTGCTGCTTTTACTGACTGGCAGAACAACCCTTAGTCTCGGACCAAAGCTGATATCTTCCACAAGAAAAAAGCGGCAGCCCAACGCGAACTTTGCAATCTAAAGAACGACTGGCTTAAAAATAAAGTATGCGAAGCACAACAACGTGCAGATCAGGACAAGATGCACAAATTTTTCATTTCCATTAAAACATTTTATGGGCCAGTCACTCGTGGTGCAGCCGCTCTTTTGCTTATCTGACAGTAACCACATAATTAAAGACAACGAAGGCCTCCTTCAGCGCTGGAAAGAGCACTACCATTCATTGTTCAACCGAAGCACCCATGTGGATGTCCTGACTACCCAGCAGGTCCCTCAGCATCCAGAGCTGACCCACCTCAGCTATCCTCCATCCCTGGACGAGGTAGCTACTGCCATCAAACAGTTGAAAAATAACAAAGCCTCAGGGCCTGATGGAATCCCAGCTGAGGTGTATAAAGCAGAAGGACCTCTGCTTACCAGCTATCTCCACTTTCTCTTGGAGAATATATGGGAAAAGGAGGAAATCCCCCAAGCTCTTAAAGACGCCTCCATGGTCAATATTCATAAGAACAAGGGAGACCGGTCAGACTGTGGCAACTACCACGGGATCTCGCTGCTCTCCTTAGCTGGCAAAATTATCGCCTGAGTCCTCCGAAACAAACTTCTTCCTGAGGCGGAAAACTTCCTCCCAAAATCTCAATGTGGTTTTAGACCATCATGTGGCACCACTGACATGATCTTTGCTGCCTGCCAGATACAAGAAAAGTGCAGAGAACAGAGTTGTGACCTGTACATGGCTTTCATTGACCAACCAAGGCCTTTGACTAGGTCAACAGGGAAGCCCTCTGGTGGACCCTCAGCCATTTTGGCTGCCCACCAAAATTTATCGCCATTGTGAGGCAATTCCACGATGGCATGAACGGCAGTGTCCTGCACAACGGCACCCAGTCTGAGTTCTTCCCCATTCAAACAGGAGTTAAAAAAGGGTGTGTACTGGCACCAACTCTCTTTTCCATCTTCTTGGCTGCCTTCCTTACTCGTGCCAGTGCCAATTTAGCCAGGGGGTGGACATAGAGTACCGGATGAAGGGTCTTTTCAACATAAGACGACTCCAGGTAAGAACAAAGGTGTCAGCAGCTTCCATTACTGAGCTTTAGTATGTAGACGATCTCACCCTTGTTGCTCACATTGAACGCGACCTACAGGAGATCCTGAACACCTATGCAGATGCGTATGCACACTTCGGCCTTGAGGTGAATGTACATAAGACTCAGATTCTCTTTCAGTCTGCCCCTGGTTCAGACACATCTCCACCATCCATCCAGCTTAATGGTGCTACCCGCTCTAATGTTACCCACTAACGGTATCTTGGCTCCCACCTGTCCACCACCGCAAACATCGATGAAAAGATTTATCATCAGATTCAGATGTGCATCTCAAGCTTTGGGCGGACTCCGAAATCGTGTCTTCAGTTGTAGGGAGCTGAAATTATCCATAAAGTTGCACGTATATCGAGCAGTGGTCCTGCCCACCCTACTATATGGCAGTGAGACATGGGTCACATACAGGAGGCACCTCAAGGCACTTGAAAACTTCCACCAATGTAGTCTACGTTCCATCCTCCGAGTTCGCTGGGAAGACAAGAGAACAAATGCCAGTATTCTTTTTGACACCAACTGTAGGAGCACTGAGGCTACTATTATCCATGAACAACTACGGTGGACTGGCCATGTTACCCATGAGCGTAAAGAATAGTAAACGTAATGCCGGCGGGCAATTAAAAAGGTATAAGGATAGTCTTAAGACAAACCTGAAAAGGTGCCAAATCGACCCCCTCACCTGGGAGTCGATTACTCCACATTGTAATGCTTGGAGAAGCACCACACGAGAAGGTGTCAATACTTTCGAGTTAGCCCGATTTCAAAACGAGGCAGACAAGCGCCAACGTCGGAAAGACGCTGCCACCGCCCCTCCCACAGTAGATGGAGCCTTCCACATGTACAATGAATGTGGACGACGCTGCGGGTCCTGTATCGGCCTCTTTAGTCACCACAAAACTCACTAACTTAGGTGACATCTGTAATAACTCATATCATTGTATCATAACTGGATGATTGTCATACTCGATTCCGAGTGACAGGAAAGTAGTAGTAGTAGTAGCAAAACACTGATGATGCTGCAAGGAAGTTTGGAAACAAAATGCGTGTGGGAAAAGTGTCTTTGGCGGTAAGATCTCTCACAGAGGAATCCACCGGTGGGGTCCTGCCAATAAACAGAGAGACATTAAAACAACTGAAAGAAAAACATCCCTCTGCAAGTGATGACGAAGGCATCAGGTTTCAGGGTGCCTATACCCCACCAAATGCTGTCCTGTTCGAGAAAATAACAGGAGGGATGGTGTGGAAAAAGGCACTGAAGACTCAGGGAGGTGCCGGCCCTTCAGGTCTAGATGCAAACGGATGGAGAGACATCCTCAGCACTAACAAGTTTGGCCCCGCAGCAAGTGATCTCTGCACGGCCATTGCCGTCCTTGCAAGAAAGCTGGCATCCTCATGCTGCCATCACCTTCATGCTCTGACGGCCTGCCGCCTCATTCCCCTGGATAAGAATCCAGGATGTAGGCCAATAGGAGTGGGAGAAGTGCTGAGGCGAATCATCGGAAAATGCATAATGGAGGTGGTAAAGGACGATGTCAGGGCAGCAGCAGGGAACCTGCAAGTTTGTGCCGGCCAACAAGCTGGAGGGGAAGCTGCCATTCACACCATGAGAACGATATTTGAGCAATGTGATTGTGAGGCCGTTCTCCTGGTCGACGCTTCAAACGCATTCAACACACTTAACCGCAAGGCCGCACTGCACAACATCAAGATCAAGTGTCCAAGCTTTGCAATGTACGTTGAAAACTCCTATAGGAATCCATCAGACCTCTATATAGTAAACAACAAGGCCCTAAGAGGTGATACCGTCTTACAGTCAACCGAGGGAACAACACAGGGGGACCCTGTTGCAATGGCAATGTATGCAATAGGCCTATCAGTGCTCCAACAAGAAATAAAATTTGAAACAACTGGGGTCAAACAAGTGGCGTATGCTGACGTCTTTACAGGAGCAGGAAAAGTGGAGGGCATCAAAAAGTGGTAGGACTTGGTAACATCGCGAGGTCCACAAATAGAGTACCACCCAGACGCCAGCAAGTCCTTCCTCATAGTGAAGCCAGAACATTATGAATGGGCAAAGGAGGTTTTTGGCAGAAGTGAGGTCAAAATAACTAAGGACGGCCAAAGACATCTAGGCGCAGTAATTGGCACTACGGACTTCAAGACCGAGTACGTAGCGGGAAAGGTGAATGAGTGGGTTAGTGAAATCCAAGCTCTGTCTGAGATTGCTAACACAGAGCCACATGCGGCTTTCGCTGCATTCACCCATGGAGTCAAGCATCGTTGGAACTACCTGATGCGTACTATCCCTGATATCGGGCCCCTCCTCCACCCTCTGGAAGAAGCTATCAGTGTCAAGTTCATTCCCAAATTAGTGAAACACACTCACTTAACCCCAGAAGAAAGAGCACTTCTTGCACTTCCATCAAGACTGGGAGGGATGGGACTAACCAATACAGAGGAGATTGCAGCCACCGAACATCAAAATTCACTTAAGCTCATGGCAGCCCTCACGGACCACATAATAGCCCAGAACGCAACAGGGGAGGTCGAGACCAGTGAAGTAAACAAGATTCGTAGGTCCATTACGACAGATCGACAGCACTGCAAAAATGATAAGTTGCAGCAACTGTTGCTGCAGGTTCCAGAAAATTTGAAAAAAAAAGTAGCTATAGCGCAGGAGGTGGGCGCCTCGAACTGGTTAACTACGTTACCGATAAGGGCAAATGGTTTCAGTCTTAACAAACAAGAATTTACAGATGCCATTGCTCTAAGGTACGGTCGGCCAGTAGAAGGTTTACCCTCCCAATGCGTGTATGGCTCTTCCTATGATGGTGATCACGCCATGGTGTGCAAGAAAGGGGGCTTCATATGCATGAGGCATGACGAAGTAAGGGACCTTACAGCAAATATGTTGAAGGAAATCTGCCGGGATGTCATGGTAGAACCAACCCTCCTTCCACTGGATGGTGAGATCTTCCAACATAGGACTTCAAACACATCTAACGAAGCCCGTGTTGACGTCAGTGCTCGAGGATTCTGGACGCGAAGACAGCGAGCTTTCTTCGACATCAGGATTTTTGATCCCATGGCCGCATGACACCGTAACCTAGCTCTCGATGCTGCACATAGGAGGAACGAGAACGACAAGATAAGGGCATATGGGGAGAGAATCCAAAACGTTGATCAAGGTAGCTTCACTCCTCTAGTGTCCACAACCTCTGGTGGGATGGGACCAAGTGCAAGATGTTTCTACGCCAGACTTGCGGAGGTGATCTCCGAACAGAAGCAGCAGCCCAGAAGTTTCGTTACAGCCTGGATGAGATGTCGACTGTCTTTCTCTCTCCTTCGGTCGGCTTTGCTCTGCCTCAGGGGAACGAGAGCTTCTGCCCCAATTCCGACAACTGCTGCAGATATCGACTATGAGGCAACAGTCACTGAATGCCGCATAGATCTGCGGCTCAACTAATTCAACACAGATAGGATAGTTACATATGTATTAGGATATTTAATATTAAGGTAATTAAATGGTGGCGAAGGTGTGGCTATTGGGGAGGCTGGAGGCCACGTATTAAAAAAAAAAAAAAAGTAGTAATAGTAGTAGTGTGTGTGTGTGTGTGTGTGTGTGTGTGTGTGTGTGTGTGTGTGTGTGTGTGTGTGTGTGTGTGTGTGTGTGTGTGTGCGTGTGTGTGTGTGTGTGTGTGTGTGTGTGTGTGTGTGTGTGTGTGTGTGTGTGTGTGTGTGTGTGTGTGTGTGTGTGTGTGTGTGTGTGTGTGTGTCAGTGTTGTGAAGTTGTGACGTCACATCTGGAGGAGGAGCTGGGTGGGTGTAGACTGCTGACTGGTGAGTCAATTACAACTCAGTGCTCACTGCCTTCATGCATACATTCACTTCCCACACATATACACACCCATGCACTTCAGTTTTTTTATTTTATAGTTTTATATTATATTCTCTTTATTTCTAAGTCACATTAGAGTATTGTAATTTTTACTCTTTTGCTCTGCATTAACGAAAACTTACGGTTTTAATGTACAGTACTAGGGTAGAGTATAATATCCTGAGTGATTTACGTCTCATGGAAAGTATGTGTTTATGTGTTCATTTACATACTCAGACTTGAATTATATGTAGAGAAAACAATTAATTATTAACATTTATTAGTTTCTATTCCACAAAACTTACTCCATATAAATATCAATACCATCTCTGAAACATTACTCATTTCTAACGTAAAATATTTTGACAAATATGATAATCTTAGTAACTAGATGCAATGGTTTTATCAGCCCCCCCCCTCCCCCATACTTTGATTGGATTTAAGGCATGGACCAGGTCACGTCAATGCCGTTAAATTGAAGTTCAACCTGTACATTAATACTATGAGAAGATGAAAGAAAAATGTAGAAGTATTTTATATTCATATCAATTATTGTACTGATCTTGTACAGGCACCATCACTATGCTGGTTATGTATGGGCCACTAATACAGTATGAAATTTTTATAAGGTATGATTTTATAAACCTGAAATTATTAACAGAAATTTAAGTGGAACAGACAAAAAGAATTAAGAGAACTGCACAACACTAGATGAAAACCTAAAATGTAAAATACTGTAGTGGAAGGGGAAAGATAAAAGTTCCCTAAATTATTCTATTACAGTACAGTACATACACTAAGGTGATGTAACACACCTTATAAGAGTGTGGTGGAGGCGCTGGAGGGACGGCTGCAGGGCTCCCTCAATAATGAGCAAGCACTCGTGGATGGCACCTCTGGCTAGGTTCATGGTCCTCACTGTCTGATACATCATGTTATTGAAGGTTGCCACCCACCATGTGGTCATGCTAAAAGGAATAATTATTATGTTACAAGATTTTTCTATACTGTATTATAATCGAAGCAAAAAAGAACATTAATGTGAGGTAACATTAATGTTGTCTTTATCACCAATAAACATTATATGTAGGAGGGTCACTTTATTGTCATCCATTAGAGCAAAGTCTTGTATAAATCTGTCATGATGGCTGACATACCAAACTGACTCAGAAAAGCTTAATGCACAATATGACAAACTTCAGTATAATTTAAATACTGTACAAAGTACTGTACTGGTAACACTTAGTTCTAAAACAGCCACCAGCTGTGAGATATTTAATACTGTCAGTTCATTTTGCTTGTATTAAAGGGTTGAATTTTTAAATTGTACAAAAAATATCACTTGCATATGTCAAGGATGCGACAGGAATTGTCCATTGTTCAACAAAAATATATCTATATTGTTCTTGTTACATAACTTACTTGTTCCACCAAATGATGAACTGATCCTGAAGAGACGACAAATGTGAGACAACATCTAGCCACACTCCTGTCATTACCTCAGACATCCAGCCAAGCCCATCACTCAGGCAGGTCATAACATCTTGAAGGTACCACAGCAAGTCCTGGGTTCTGTGAGACAAATATATCTGTAGTTATTTGTGGTGTTATCTTGGTGTACAGAAATATTTAATCATATACAGCATACTTCAGTAAATTCTATCAGCTCTACCATTCAATAATTATGTACCTGTAGTACATTATACATACCCTGTACATGAACTGCAAATACCCTGTACGGTACATTATTTTTTTAACAATATTTTACTGGTGAAATTAATATGCCTATAACATACCAGAGACTCAGTGAATATAATGGACTCTGCACATGCACTTCCCTGTAACTTTATTCTGAGAAATAATTGTACTGTACTGTACTGTATTTATCGTATTAACTTGTGTACATATTGTGAAGTAAAACTATGTATATAAAATTAAGGTTTGGTCTCCTACACTGACAAAAGGATGATATGCACAGAATACATAGTTAGTTTACTTAATACACAAGAAAATGATTAAGAGATGCTGTACAATGGTGATAAATTGTGTATGCATATTAATAAAAGTGCTGAAGAAAGTCACTGATCTTCAATATACAAACACCTTAACTGAACTATCCTCTCACAAAACAATGTTCTTTGAGCAGATTAATCAAAACTTTCTCCAGTGATCACTCTCGTTGAGGTATTAAACAATATCATTTGAAGATCTTCTGTTCCCCCACACCTGTACAGTACTGCAATGTGATATTTACTGTCAACTTCTTGATAAATTTCCTTGACTATTAATGCTGTACCTCTCTCTTACACCACTGTCATGTCTACACCAGACCACACCATCTGTACCTGACCACACCATCTGTCCTTGACCACACCATCTATACCAGACCACACTATCTGTACCTGACCACACCATCTGTCCCTGACCACACCATCTGTCCTTGACCACACCATCTATACCAGACCACACTATCTGTACCTGACCACACCATCTGTACCTGACCACACCACCTATACCAGACCATACTATCTGTACCTGACCACACCATCTGTACCTGACCACACCATCTGTACATGACCACACTATCCATACCACACCATCGGTACCAGACCACACCATCTGTATCTGACCACACCACCCGTACCTGACCACACCATCTGTATCTGACCACACCATCCATCTGTACCTGACCACACCACCTATACCTGACCACACCACCTATACCTGACCACACCATCTATACCTGACCACACCACCTATACCTGACCACACCACCTATACGTGACCACACCACCTATACCTGACCACACCATCTATACCTGACCACACCATCTATACCGAACCACACCATGTATACTGAACCACACCATCTATGGTCTGAACCAGAGGTGTAGTGCTGTGGGAAAGTGTGAGAATGGCCCTCCCAAACTACTGTACAGTATTCAAAATACAGTACAACCCAAACTTACAAATCTCTAACATCATGAAATTTTAATTCCAACCCCTAGAAGAAATATGAGAATTAAGTATTTAATGTTTCTCGGTTTCTTTTCTATTAGTTTCAACTGAGGTAATGCGTACCTATAATCTCTGGGGCATTGTGATTTTGCGGCAATGTCACATTATTTAATTATAAAAAAAAAGCCGGTTCTCCGATTCAAGCCTAGAATCCAGACGACAATGTACACAAGTGGCCTAGGTGTCAATGTTCAGTAACTGATGCACAAACAAGAGAAGCCAAGTCCAAGGAGCTCCCTGTGGACCCAGTTTGGAAATTCTGTTAATAACTTCTCCAGGAATACAAAAGTTCAAGGTGAGCCTAAATAAACTATTTTTAAATTGTATTTAATAAATTGTATTTTTTTGAGACTGGAATCATGATATACTACACATCACCATTATTTACATTATTATGGGTATGATTATGTACGTACAGTGCCTGTATATGATTTGTTGCCCACAAAAATGTCAGTTGGTAAACAAGTTGAAAATGGCTGGGAACAAACCTCTGATCTAAACATTCACCATCTAATTACGATACAAACCCACTGTTTTGTTGCCTACTCCACCCATGTGTGTAGTGTAAGAGGTGTTAGCCTACTGAATAGCATACATCTGGTGAAACAGTCACCATGGTGTATCAGTTAACTGTTTTTAGTTAATCATTCCAGTTGTTAGCTATTTTTATTGATCGTACTGGATGTTATACAAAGTATATCTAATGTAATGACACTGGAAATATTGCCTCCTCAATATTGGAATATATTATATCCTAATATCCAGTGCATATGGCCTCAAAATACTGTACTGTATCAAAAACATTTCCTCGGGGCTTACAGTGTCCCCAGGACCCCAGCTGTATGGGCTCCCTGTGCTTACCATTTTCCCACCCACTTCTGAACAACACTTTGAAAATGCATTCCCTCACTTCTTTAGTTAGCACTACACTACTGACTAGACCACACCATCTGTACCAGACCACACTATGAATACAAGACCACACCATGTATACAAGATCACAGCATCTATACCAAACCACACCATTTGCACCAAACCACACCATCTGTACCACACCACACCACACCACACCATCTATACCAGAGTACCATCATCTTCCACACACACAGAAAGAGAGAGACAGAGAGAGAGATATCAGGGAAATAAAGGAAACACAAGGTTGTTTTTCTTGTAGTAAGATTGATTTTCCATTATGAGAACTTGTATTACATGATTTGTCTGTATCTATTTATCTATGTAACTTGTCATATATGATCCTTGACCTCTCACTTTATTATTTTAACCTCTTCTCTATCAAATACCCCTTCCCCTGCCAAGCTATTTATATCCCTGGATATAAAGGTTTATACTTTTAACTGTCTTTACCCCCCCCCCCCTTTTTTTTACTGTCTTACCCTTTCCCATCATAATGTAGTGCAGTTGAAACTATGAGAAAACACACAAGCAAACTCTCTTTTCATCTTCATTCAGTCATTCATATTTTTTCACCAAAATTATTCTTGCTAAGTAAACAAAAGAAAAAGTCCTACTTACAAGATAGTAATGAAGCTGTGAACAGCAGCCAGTGCAGGTTGCAGAGAGCTGTACCATATGGTTGTGATATTCTCACTAATGATGAGGAGATCATTGTGAATATTCCAAATGAAGTCATTGTAGTGATGAGTCTCACTGTCCAAAACTGCTTGTAGAGTCTGCTGATTAATTAGGACATCTATAGCTATGGGACCTTCTGCAGAAATCCACTGCTTGAAGGCAAATGCTGTCGAGGTCAGGTCATGCCACCAAGTATTCAGGATCTTATCTCCAGGTGAGGTCAAGTGGCGTAAGAAGCTGCTATCACTGTAGTCAAGAGACGGGTCAAACTCAAAGATGAACTGGAGTATGTCTGGTGTAATAAGCTTCAGGCCAACAGCACCATCTTGGCTCCACTCCCCAAATCGTTTATGATCTAAAACTGTCCCAAGTTCAACTGGATTATGCAACCCAATTCTCAGCCTCCCTTCTTCATAAGCTTCCTGATCTTTCTGTCCAATATCCAGATACACAAGTAGTTCAGGTAAATGTTTGTTTATTGTCGTTCCAAATTTCCAAAATTCTCCACAGTCGCTTGGGTTTCCTTGAATGTTAAACGTGGCCGAATTATCCCAAGAATGAACGTCCCCCTCGTAACTGTAGCCCCACTTTGCTTGAGACGAGAAAATATTTGCAGAAAAGTCATAGCCACTATTAGTTGTATTTACAGCAGTCAAGATATTCAAGTCTTCCCATATCTCCTTAGTTAAACTCCAATATTTAAACCTGTAATCTCCCCTGGTGAACACTGATCTTAAGACCAGAGCATCCATGGTCAGAGCAAATTCAGAGAAAGGCTGCGAGATGTTGACTTTTATGTTGTGTTCTCCATCTTGTGTAACAGGTTGTATGTCAAGCATCATTACAATATTCCTCTCTGGAGAGTTTCCATCTACAAGTTCTGCTGAACCATGTAATGGTGAGTTTTGGTCTTGCTTTATGTCACATTCAAGGTAAATGTCTTTAACATCAGGATGACTGAAAACTGCTTTTAAGTAATGCCTCATTTGTCCAAAGAAAGAATTGTCATTATAATTCACCTTGAAGGTAATTGGTGGCATTTCAGGATCTTGTTCATTCCATGTGAAGCTTGACAACATTTCTAACTCTCTTGAATTTGATGTTGCATTAGTTTTATAGTGCACAGTTTGAGCTGGCAGCAGCACATAGATGTCACCTGTGTGTACAGTACTGAAGAAACCTGGTTCTCTCTGGAACAAACTTTTATAACCCATTTTCTTATTGTTTAATTCAAATATTAAACTTTCATTGAAATGGAAAGAATTTGCTGAAAATGTTCCCTCCACATGAAACTGATTTTCTGAGGCTTCTCCTGACAGCGAGAGATGGCGCCCACCTTGAAGGATTTCTTGATGTATATGGAATCCATAATTATCCCAAGAGCCATCTTCTCTGAGTGAGACACCAACAAGAAGCTGGTAGTCATTACGCTCTTTGGTTGATGCTAAGTTTAGGACCAGGTAGGCTGGGTACCTCTTGGGTGTAGTGATTGCAAAAACTTTGTCTGAACCCCATGATACTTGGGCCTTCAGGAGCTCCTCTTGGTCAGTCCTTGCACAAAAGTAAATTCCTTCCAAAGGATTGTATTGGTATTCAATCATGAAGAAGTTAACACCCAATAGTTCTCTGGGGTGAAAATCAATATACATTTTCATTCTAAATGCACTTGGTCTCTGAAAAATTGATTGAATAAGGATCTTCATGCTGTAGTCATTAACTCGTGCTCGAAGATCTACAGTTTTCCCACTCATTCGTGCAGATAATGTAAGACCTACTTTGCCAACTCGAACATCTATTGCTCTATAACTGGAGACCGATTCAAATTTAAGGGACATTATTTCATATTTTTCAAATGGTAGATAAATGATGAACTGCATATCAGAGTTTAATTCTTGTAAGCTCAAACTTTTCAAAACAATGCCTGTCTTTAAACCTGGGTATTGAAGCAACACTCTAAAGATGTAATCCTTATAATTAAACTGAGGAGTTACAAATTCAAACTCTTCATATCCCTTGAAAGGAGTTTTGAGGAAGAAAGTGAAACTCCGTCCCATCACAGAGTCGGGCATACTGTATATGTACATAGCAGTTTCCTCGTCATTCTCACCAAGCAAGTAAAAACTCATAAGGTAGCCATCCTCATTGGCAGGCCATTCTATACCAATTTTAAAGTCTTGAAGGGCATCCAAAGACGTCTTACTGCTCAAGTGAGAGTTAAAGTTATTTTTTAGATTGTAAATGCCATTTATACTGTAATAGAAATAATCAGAAGTAGTGTACATTCTGAACTTTCCATTCTCAGCACCCATTTCAACTGAACTTTCAAAATGGTATCCATTATACCTTACTGTTATCTGTTGTGTATTTTTCCAATATTTGTTGTTAATGATTTCCATATGAAATGTTTTCAAGAGCGCATTATTTTGTGCCTCTATCACTATACGCCGTTTTACATCGTTATTATGAAAATGGAGAAGCAAAGAACTTTCTAACTCTGTAATAATACTTGTCACTCTATAAATTATTTTAAGATTAGTACCATCCAACTCAGAAGAGCCAGATAACTTAAACACTTCTTTTAAGTTTTGTCTCACAGAGACTAAGACTGTGGCGTTGTAGAGATCGGTGCTTGCAAGCTTCACTTGGGCAGAAATTTCATCAATACCTCTCTTGCCTGTGAGATGACCTTCAAATTGAATGTTTGAAGGTTCAAAATCATTGTTGATTGTTCCTGTCACAATTATATCTTCGTATGGGAGCCACGGCGAATGGCAAGTTAGATCTACAGTGTAGGCGGTGACATCTATTAGGAGTTTAATATTATGCTCTTTATCCAGACTGTTAAGTATAATATCTGCAGAAATGTTGCTCAACCACTGAATGTTTGCTTCTACTGAGTGTGTACCAACCCAGTCAGATGTGACTTGCACACTATACTTAATTTGACTAAGCTTCTTTATGTATTGGAACAGTCCTTTCACATCAATCTTTTTTGTACCATAAGATATTCCAGAATCCAGTGAAAAAGTAAATTTTCTTTGAGCCACAAAAGTCATATAAAATGTGATTTTATCTATGTATGGTGAGTCGAGTTCAACTCCAATGGTAAATTTCTCTAATCCAAAATCATCGGACCATGTGAAAAGAAGTGTGTGTTTTGTTGCTGGTTCTGGGTATGAGAAGGAAATACTCAAGGACTCCCCAGTGAACACAACCTGGGCATGAGCAGACCATTCAGGGAACTCCAGCACTATGTGTCGACTGACTGAGTCTTCATCTGAAAACATTGTCTCATAGGATAATTTAAACAGTTGTTCCTGCTCTTTAAATATAACAAATTCAATAATTCCTTCTTCTAAGAACACATTATATAATGGAAATTGGCACTTCACACTATATGGAACGTTGATACGGTCACTTTCAACTTTAAGTGTCAAAGACAACTGGTCCTCCATAACACTGGAAGTCAAAATCATATCATATTTTGAAGGTTGTTTGTCTCTAATCTTATAGAGCAAGTTCGATGAAGCCTTACTTAATCCTATTCCTTTATCATAAGAGCCAGTCATATTAAAGTTTAGTGACTCTAAGCTTAAGTTTGGAGATTCAAAGTTTATATCTAGACTTGCTGTTGTGTCATCTGGGTGGATGTGGTAGTTGAAGGATGCAGTCAGTGGAACAGCAGCCTCTGGGTAAACAAAGGCGACATGTGAGTACATCTCCATCCACATGTTGGTGGCTTCCAGAGAAAACATGAAATCACCAGCTACAGGAATATCGACCGTAAATTTACCACCAGTGACAGCATATATACACTCGATAAGAGTTTTTTTGTTGTTAGCATCAAATTTACCTTTGAATTGGTGATCTTGTGCTCCAAGGTTAAGTGCCAACTCTAAAGATTTGAAAGATTTAAAGGGAGTTTGTATTTCTATTTCACATTTAAATTCTTGGTCACTGAGTTGGTATTCAGCTCTGGCAAGTCCATTTTCTTCACTGTTCTTCTCGTATTTACTAAGAAGTTGGAATCGTACTGGAGAGTTGATGATGGTCGTTGTTACCTTTCTCTCATCCCACACTAGAGCTGCTATGAACATTAGCTCCTCACTTTCTGTTCTCAGTGAAGTCATGAAAGAGGCTTCTTGGAGAGGTTTCCATGGAGTGCTTAACTTTATTTCTAAGGTCCATAATTGCATCTCAACCTGCAATTTCACAGTATTGGTTTCTTGCCAGGTTAACTCAGCATGAGCATTAATTACACCATCTTCCAATCCAGCAGAGGTAACAAAGGTGAGACTCTCAAATCCTGTGACAGGTGTTTTGGCAGTTAAGGTCAAAGAAAATGATGGGGAAAGTGTATAGTCACACACAACATGCCACTCATTGCTATTATACTCAAGAGTAGATTCTATATGACCAGAGTTGAACTTCATGGAAATTGACAACTTTTCCAGTATTGGATATGGAGTTGTAAGAGAAAAGTGAAGGTCAAGATTTCTATTCTTGTGCTTGAAAAATCCAGTGAGAGTGATCTTCTGAGACCAGTCCACAAAGGCTGTGAATGTGAAGTCAACAACTGATCTCTTATGCAAGAACTCACCATCGAAGCCAAGGCGGAGCTTTGGCAGGGATTTAAACGGTGTAGATATCTCAATATTTACCTTGGCGCGATTTCTATGATGCATCCCTGTTACTTTAAGATGAATAGCATCTCCCCATTCAAAGGAAGCAGAAGCTAAATCCTCCATAGAGTTCATCCTACCTCTGAGGAAGGACTTCAAGTCATATGCCACCTTAACAATAACTGGTGTATGCGGATTTTCTGATGAGTCTAAATGAAATTCTAGAGTGGACTGCCTTTTTCGAGCATGTACTGTGGCATTCACTTTGTAAACCGTGTCGCCGAGTGTTATACGAGCATTTCCCTTATGGCCATCAGAATCAGAGTAGGTGAGCTGTATTGTCAATGGTTTTGTCACTGAACTATTTAATTCAAGCTCAAACTCATAACCATCATCTGCTGGGGTGAGATGAGCTCTCAAACTGAAGTAAGTGTAGTCCTCCCATGCAAATTTAATGGTTAATTGGGAGAAATTAAGATGTGCACTTAATAAAGTCACGTTGTTATATTTTACTGTTGACTGGATGTGTTGACTATCAAAAGTCAAGACTATATGGAATGGTTTGTAGCCAGTCATCTTACCTGACATTGTACTTTCATAGACATAATTAATTCTCCCAAATACCATTTCCAAAGATCCTTTACTTCCAAAAACTTCTATAAATCCAGAAAATTCTAACTTAATTTCAGAAGTACGATTTATAAAAGTGAATTCTGTTTTGAAGACATGGTGGTTTACAGTCAAGTTAGCTGAGGCATGCAGATGGTCAGACTCCGAGGAAGTAAACTGTCCTCTAAAATCAAATGTGGAAAACATTTCAAATGGCGCTTTCATCAATAATTCAAGTTGTTTTGAATTATGGGTGTCTTCAAGGGTCATCTTCAATTCTCCTGTATGTTTTCCAGAATCAAATGTTGCTTTGACATAAACTGAACTCTCATCATTGAAAGACCAGCTCAGTGCTGCCTTTATTGGCAAAACAAATGGTGATGTCACAGATGACGTTACTGAGCCAACTATCCCATAAGAACCAAGCTCCAAGTTAGCTTCAACAGTCGTTTGTTCAACAATTGCCACCAAACTGGCAATTATAGTGTCTTTTAACCCGTAGTTGAGGTCGAAGGTAAATGTTGAAATTCCTCGTACTGGAATGTTACCTGTTAGTGAGATTGTGCCAACCTTCCGTTTGAGTTTTGAATTAAACTTAATTTGGAATGTATCGAGGCCATACTGGTAAGAAGCTGCTACACTGAAAGCATTTAACTGGTATTCTGCCTTTATATGATGAGTCAAGGTGAAGGGTGACTCAAAGAATATGGTCAGCTTCCCACTCTCCCAGGACTTTCGTGCACCCTGGGGGTGAGCATCAAATATGACACTAAGTGCTATGGTTCCCTGGTGTTTCATGTCTATATTGATCTCAGCACTGTAAGTTTCAGCTCTCTTTCTTATGTTCCACATCCCGTCTACTGCTTCATAGCCTTCAATGTTTGTATTAATCTTAAAACTTCCTGACATCCCAGGAATTTTATTTCTTCCAAGTTCTAGTTCTGCCATTGCCTTCCAGCCCTCATACTGCCCATCAATCTTGAGAGAATTGTCTAGTTCATAACTCATCATATAATATGAGGCATTGTCCACTGAAGATTTCATTTGCATCAACACGAAACTGATGTTCGCATGTCTGAAGAATTCTCCAGTAGTAACTTTAGCAATAAGATCTAAATCTGTCTCACGGCGCTCGAATATAATCTCACCATTCTGTGAGAGAAGGAGAGGAATGTCAGCACTAAATAAGTATTTACCCAAGTCAAAACATTTTAAATCAAATGTTATACTGACAAATATATTTCTTTCTGTATAATGCCATGTACTTTCAATTCCCAAACTGCCTTGAGAGGCATTAAACTGCACTGCTACTTGGCCATCTATATCATACATGAAGGATGCAGAGACATTACTAAATTTATCTTTTGGAGATATGAATGTCACTTCTGTCTTTTGACTTCTCCAAGATTCTTGATGATTGTGGTTAATATTGATTCCATACAAACTTCCAGATAAAAGCATGTGAATATGAGCTAAGTAAGGTTTTTCTGGTGAATTTGGCTCAGGGTAACTAAACCCAATATCAAAATTCTCATATTCTTTGAATGGTGTCAGAAGATTAAGATTGATCATGGATGTGTCACCTTCCATGACTGATGAGACTTTAAGCTGGAATTCAATGTCATCTTGCACACTGATGACTTTAAAATGATGATTATCAGCTTCCTGCTCATGATCAAACTTAAAATAATATTCTCGGAATGAATGCAGGCTTGAGATCATATCTGCAGAGACAGAGAATAATTTTTCTGTTTCCTGTAGCACAACATTGCCTTCAGCATTACCTAGTGATGTTGATAGCTTAAAGTTCCCTTGCTTTTCTTCTTTCAGATTATATTCTATAAAAAGATCAGCCTGCTCAAATGTTTTATCAGTTGTGAGAAGCAGCTTCATGTTTCCCTCGTCTTCTTTCATGCTTATCTCTGCTGTGAATTTTACATTTAGTGATGATCCAAACAGGGAGTGAGAGTATGTGGCATCAATCATGGTCTCTTCTGGCTGCAGGTCATAGTTAGCATCAACTGAGAGTAATTTTCTTTGATTAAGTTCAAGGATGATTTCAGTAATTTTCAGTGAGGAGGAATATTTGAACTGGAAATGTGTTACATCAACATATAAGTCATAAGCTCGTATCATGAAAGACAGAGTTTCACGTGAGGTCCATATTAATTCCACACCAATAGAGTGTTGTGGGTAAACTTGTCCTTCCATCTTCAGGTTTCCTTCACCAAAAGTACCAACACTAATAATCTCAAATTTATATATTGAACCATAGTCTTGCATATGGCAATTACTTGATAAATCAAATGAATTTTTGTCTATGGCATAACTGAATTTAAATGCAAACATTGCTTCTCCTGTACAGTCTCTCTGAATGTTTATAGTAATTAATAAATTCTCCAGAGACTTATGAAGTGTACCCTCAAAATTAGCACAAAATTTTGGAGCCTGAACTGACACTTTTACTCCCCAGTTGTCTTCCACGTCAATGTTCACTGTTAGATCTATATTTTCAAATCCTTCATAAGGAATTTGAAGTCGAAGGTATGAGTCAGGCAGACTAGCTTTCACATTTACTGAAAACCAACCTTTTTGGTCATTCAGATCCATCACCAGATCAGATTCATACTTGTTTGGTGCAATGGAGAAGTTTATATTGGTGTCAGTTTTGAAGGGCAAATAAATATTATTTTCAGCCCTAATACTTATTCTGCCAGTGTTTTCTGCATCTTGAAAGATGTACCTTATGCTGCCAACAAAATTCTCTTCATTGACTCTGAAGTTTGCATTTGCTGCCAAGCCTTTCTTCTGTTGTAGGATGACCTGTCCCATGATTTTCTTAATTGAATCATAATCTGAACTCATATTAATGCTAAACTGCTTCTTTCGCCTCCTGATGTTCCAGTTTATGCTTCCTTGAAGAACTTGGAATTTTGAGCCATCGGAACTGGTTATTTGGGCATCTGTGGAAAATTTATGTCTGTTGACCTGGGCTGACATTTCATATTTCTTCGTGTTACCAGGAATAACATAACTTTCAAAAGCTTGTTCCTTTTTACTATAATATAAGAACAACGTCCACTGGGGATCATCAATCCCAACTTGAACTGTAAGTTTGCCCTGGAAGACTTCATCATTTGTAATAGTAAATGAAAAAGAAACTTCTTTTTGGTCAAGTTGATGTTCATCATAAGTTAGATCATAGAATGATGTATATTCCAAACTGATATCATGTCCCAACTCAAGCGAGCCAATTAATCTTGTTTTGTAATGCCAGTCATTGATGTGCAAAAGTCCATTAAAGTGAGCATCAATAGATGCAGACTGGATATTCACATCTGTATCTAATTCAGCCCAATAATTTTCAAAGCCCTCAAAGTCAGTTTCCAGTTTTAGTGTGCTGTTGAAGGCATAATCATGGATATTTGTCAAATCAGCCTTCATCCTCAACTGCCCATTCTTGGCCATATTGTTTCTCTCCATTAAAACACTCATGGTGAACAAGGCATCAAATTTGGGATAGACAGAACCAAACTTATTTGCAAAGGTAAAAACATTTACAGAGTTTCTAGCCAGTCTATAGTGCAAATCTGGAAAGTTGTTGTTTCCCATCTCATATTTCAACTCTGTTTCATACATTAACTCTGGGACACCAACTGTACCCTTGAAAACCAATCCGTCATAAACAGCTGATCCTATGGAGAAGACATAGTCATTCAACTTGGCTCTCAAATTTCCACTGAACTGTGAGTCAATATTCATTTCAGAAATCAAGTCAATTTGTGATCTGGGGTAATTAAATATGAGATTGTAGTCAAAGTGTGAAAATTCATGATCATACCACCCCTGGTTGTAAACCAAATTACCTGTACCTTTGAAATAGAAGTCATTGCCTTCTGAGGGGAAGTTTGCTCCATGGGTGATCTCTAAGAATACAAGATTTTCTGTTTCCAAATTATGCTCCCACTTAATATAACTTCTCTTGAAGAAAGAAGAAGTCACTTCTAATTCTAGATCTGCAAGGCACCAATGTACTGGGCCAGTAGACTGTAGTATCAATTTTATAATGGAATCATTATCATAAAATAATTTAAATTCAAAGTTTGTTAGAGAATCTGTCATTTGTAATGCAGCTTCGACTTTGGTATCTTTAGTCCAAGGGGAGACAAAGTAGATACTGGAGTTTACAGAAGAAAAGTCATATTGAGCATTGAGTGAGATTTCAACAGCAATAGCTTCTTCTTGATCTGGAAGCGTGACTTGCAACACATTCGACCATTCCAAAGGTCTCTTCAGATTAAGCTGGTGATCCACTCTATATATCAGCTCATCCCACAAACCAACCAATTCGGTTTTGAAAATTTTATGTTCTTTAGTTTGAGACAAAGTTATGTCGAATTGATGTTCAAACAAGTTGACAAAAGATAACTGTCCAGTTGTAGTTACTGGGACAAAGTCTCCATCCCACTTGGCATCAAACTGACCAGTAATTTTTGCTGAATTGACCGAGGCTTCAAAGTGATTATTCATACTTCTGTCAGCCAAACTGTGAGATAAATCCATATTAACCTGAAACTGATCATGTGACAGATAAAAGTGTGCCTTGATGTCATCGAGCACAGCATAAACAGCATTAAACTCAGCTGTCAGTGAATTGATTGGGTGCAAGAATGACCAGAAGTCAATTGTAACATTGAAGCAGTCATCGTTTTGAGTATTTGTGATATTGAGATGCACAGGTTCGGTCCAAGGAGAGTTAAAGTCTAAACCTACTAAGAACTTTCGAGTATTCATATTTTCAAACTCATTCTTTCCAGAGAATGTAAGTGTTACTTTTTCTTCCATCTCTGCCTGAACATGAAGAGCTAAATGATTCTCTGCAACCTTAGATGTTCCATGCAGCTGGAAAGGCACTGTTAACAAGGGAGACTGGAAACTTAGCTGAATTTCCACGGATTCTTCCATGCCAGACTGACCCAAATTGGTGATAACCTGAATTGACCAAGGAGCATGTGCTGCTGTCACACCTAAGGTTGCCCCGGTCAAGTACTGTAAGCCATCAAACTTGTGATATATGTGGATGTGAGAGTTACAAGTACCTCCATCTTCATACAGTAATTTTGCTTCTAGGTTGGTTGGGTCACTTAGCTGGGCTTCCCCACGAATCTGTTGAAAGAGATACTTGTGCAGTTTCTGTCTATCTCTCTGTTATGTTTATTTTTCTTCTATATGTTTATGGGTTAGATCAAGGAATGGAGAAAATAATAAAGGACAATGGTGGAAGGCAAATCAAGAAAATAATAGGGTAGGGCAAAGACAGCAAGTAGAAATATCCACACAAAATTATTCACTTCCTCAACTTGCTCAGGTAGAATATACAGTAAATCTTTTATAATGGATGTGATATTAAGCAAGTAAAATTACCTGTGCCCTGTATAATAATGAAGAGAATGTATGATGTGGACATGGGGAAAGGATTAATATACAAGAAATAATACATGAACAAGAAAGGTAAGAGGAATAAATCTTGGTGAAACTGATAATAATTTGAAAGGAAAATAAGTTCCTAGATGACAAAAGATAAACATGAGTGAGAAGGAGGATGATACAGAAAACAGAGGAGGGCGTATGTCGCTTTACTCATTTAGATAAAAGTTAAAGAGTACAGTGAGAGATGTAATACCAAGCTTAGAGATAATACAAAACTAAAGAAAAGATGAGGTACTGCACCTTCAGATCTTCCCATTCAACCTCAACAAAGTCCAGCAGTGAGGGATCTCCATGGCTCTCAAAGGTAAATCCAACATTGTGTAGATGTGCAAAAGGTGTTGTTAGAGAGAAGATGAAGCTGAGCGTGTCATCCATGAACCAACCATCATGATGTGCAAGAGTCATGTGACCTTCGATGATATCGTTGTTATAACGATGGGAAACCTGGAGGAAAAAAAAAAGAAATGAAGGAAGTCATCATAGTTACTGTTTGGTATTATGGGAAAATCAATTTGGCATCACTCTATCACATTTTCCAAGCACACATATAAAACAGGTAGCATGACTATAAATATGAAATGATCAGTCTATTTGGAAGGATTCAAGTGTAAAGATAATAAATCAATATTTTTCATAATAACCAAATAGTATACAGTAGACATGGCACTACAGTATCTGTCAAATTAGGTTTGCAAGCAAGTAGTCTGCTGGCCCCAAAGTAGGATCATTCATAATATTTGTGACTTGTTGTTTAAAAATTGATTTCAGTGAAACACTTATTTTTATTTATAATTTTAACATAATCTTAAGTAAAATCCCCACTAACCTTTACATCTCGTGTGATGCCATCGTAGGAGTGTGAAAAACTCAGGAAAGAATCAAAGGTCCGTTTTGAGGGTAATGTGACAGTAACTTGTGCTTTGCTTTCCATAAGATGTGGTTCAGGTTGGCTGTGTTCACCATACACCTGTATCTCACTCTCTAACAGTTTTATACTGCTCGTGAATGTATGGTGTCTAAGTGAGGAAAATGGAAAGGCCTTTATTTTATAGTCTCATATATCACATCTATTTACTCTACAGTATATTTCAAACACTGAAATATGTAGAGTAATATATATATATATATATATATATATATATATATATATATATATATATATATATATATATATATATATATATATATATATATATATATATATATATATATATATATATATATATATATATATATACCATTGGGGTATGCTATAACGAATCTAATTGGTTCTAGAACCTTGTTCGTTATAGCATTCGTTCATTATAGGATTAATTCGTTTCAGGCCCCCAAATACAACTACTTAACACTGAAAAATATAATATAAAATTGTAAAAATTGTAAAAAAGTGCATAAATATGCATCTAAACCCCTGAAATAAAGAATATCATTAATACTTGTAATAAAAAACAATAAATTAGTAAAAAAAAAAAAAAATTTTTTTTTTTTTTTAAATAATGTTCGTTGTAGGAGTTTCGTTCGCTATAGCATTCTCAGTTTTATAGGTAAAACCGTTCGTTATAAGAATATTCGTAGTAGGATCCGTTCGTTATAGCATACCCCACTCTAGTCCGGCATTCTGTGGTCCGGAAACTCCCGGAGAAAATTAATTTGAGTCTGGTACTTTTGATGTTTGGCTAAATTTTGCCTTATTTACCCTACTTTTTGGGCGAATTACTACCTGTAATAAAGCAACATCCTTATAAACCAACGAAAATAACAGATAAAAATAAATAAAAACTAAAAACAACAAAGAAAATTTGTTTATGTTCTACAGCTTCAGCTAGAGTTGAACCTGATGGCTTGGCAACTTCGTCATCCGAGTAAAAACACACACAACAACATTGGCTGTCCTTATGTTTTCAACTTTACCACCACTGGTGGGTAGAATTTTTGTTCTAAATTCAGAAACATTAATTAAAATATATATGAACAGTAAATAAGTGTTGCTTTCATATTTTTATGTAGAGTAATGGCAATATGTTTTCACATGTACGCACTTACATACAAGCAGTCTCACTTTTTTCTTTAACATTAAATAACATTACTTAAAACAACCATATTAATTTTTACATTAATTTTACTACAGCTACAACCTGGGTCTTATTTTCTTCAGTTTTATATGTAGAACCAGTCAGTCACTGCTTTTGTAAACATTAACGAAAACAATGCCGTCTCGTCTCCTCATGTGTTTTAATATTCTACGTATCATTAATGAATTGTATTGTTCATTTTGCACATATAAACATTAATTCAATCAAAAAGACATTCAGTAATAAACAATAATGAATCTTATGTACATAAGAAAAATGACGCTGTTTACACGATTGTGCACGTCTGAACATTGGCGGGCCGCTCAAACCCGTCAAAATTTGAGTTTCCGCCGTTGAAATTTGAAATTGTGTAGTGTTTTTTTTTGTGTCCAAATAACGGCGAATTAAAAACTCGCAAAATTTGAGAACCTGCTGTACAACATTTAACCCTTCAATATGTCTTCAAAGAGACCACGAAGCAGTGAACGTGGTGCTAGCGCTTCCAAGTGTAAGCACAAGTCACTATCTATCCAGGAAAAGGGTGAATTTCCATGGTCCGGAAATTTCCATGGTCCGGCACCAGTCAGGTCCTGAGGTTGCCGGACTAGAGAGGACTCTGAAATGCTCTGATCACCAGAAATAGTAAACAAAACAAAAAAATTAAGGAATGGGGAAGATAAATAAAAAAATCTTATAAAAAGAACCACACTTACTGAATACTGCACAGTGGTCTAATAAGATTTGCTATACCGTAGGCCTACTGAGAAGTAAGACACTTGAGTATGTAAGCAGGCTGGAGCTGATCAGGTGTTGCCACATTCATCAGGTTTATTTATTTATTGATTCAGTATTATATTTTCATATGATTGGCCTCTTATGGATTATGGTTCATCATGATTAAGTGACATCTCCATTAGCTGGAACAATTGGTGCAGAGCACTTCTGGGAATGAGAGATTTCCAGATAAAGATACGACTCTCACAAAGCCGGAAAAAAATCCCCCATCCCTAGAATTTTATGGGTAACGGAAAATTATTCTGGGAAGTTTCAGAAATTGCTCATTAGATTATCTCTCGAACCCGGAAATATATTCCCCATCCCCGGAATTTTCGGAAAATGACCCTGATTTTCATCTCTCAAACCCAGAATAAAAGTCCCCGTCCCTGGAATTTTCCTAAATTTTCTGGGTACCAGGAAAATTTTCTTGAAATTTTCCCCGAAAATGTGCGCCTCTGAAAATTGTTCCCAAAGCCGGAATTTTCTGGAAAAATCCAGTTTTGGGAATGATTTTACGAGCAAATTTCAATTCCGACATCAGACAATTTTGGGTTTGAGGGATTCTGGCTTAAGGAGATAAATACTGTATGACATCTTCTGTAATAGAGAAAAAATACAATACTGTATGTAACTGTAATATAACTTGAAAATATAAGGATAAGCTGTATCAGAAGGTTATTTACTCAAAATGCATTTGTGTGAGAGCTTTCAGCAGACCAGCTTACAACAAGGGTCACTATAACACACTGTACAGTATAGTATTTGATATGAAGATGCCTTCTTAAAAACGTTATTTACTACCTTTGAGTGTTGTATGATGGCTCAATTGGCTACTTGTACACTTAGACAAATGATTAATGAATAAACCAGGGTATATGCAGATAAATAATTCTGTACACTACAATATTACTTATTAAGTAATGATAAATACACTACAGTAGTATTTATTAAATTGTGATAAATACACTACAATAGTATCTAGTAAGTGATGATGAATACACTACAATAGTATTTATTAAATGGTGATAAATACACAACTGTACTGTACTGATTTACTAAGTGTTGAAGACAGACATTGTGGTAAGCTGATCAGCTGTTTGCCCTTTGTGAACAAATGACTCCTGGTATTCAGTGTGGGATTCTTTTTTCAGGAAAGCTGATGCTTTTAGGATAATATTTTATCAACCTGACACCAAATGATCCTAAATTATATGAGAATTGTACAGTATACAGTTTTCTATTTATTCAGAAGACAAATTCTGTGGTTACTTACATATAACACTTTACAATAAATAACAATCATCTTGGTGACAAGTTGACAACAGTTGTAGACAACCAGACTTACCCTCTATGTCTGATTTTCAACCCAGAGAGTTCTGTTTCATATTTTTTTATTGTTGATGTAATATTCTTTTAATAACCTTGTTATACACTTAAAGTTAAAAAGAAAACCCAGAAATTCAAGGCGTGGGTTAGGTCAAACAATGAGAAGGACAGGAGGATGTATACAAGAGCCAGGAACCAAGCAAAGTCAGAGTGTAGAAGGGCTGAAAAGGAGTTCCAGAGGCTGGTTGCAAGTGAGGTCAAGTCAAACCCAAAGGCATTTTACTGCTACGCAAAGTCGAAATTAAAAACGCGAGTAGGAGTATAGGACCTGAGGCTTGAAGACGGTAGTTACACAGATTCTGACCAGGAAAAAGCAGAGGCAATGAACAATTTCTTTTTCTTGGTGTTCACAAGAGAGGATGTGAACAATCTTCCTGCGTTTGAGAACAGACAGTTTGACACAGCACTGACCCACACTGTGTTCACAGATGAGGTTATAAGAAATAAATTGTCAAAGCTAAAGGTTTATAAGAATCCCGGCCCTGACATGGTGCATCCCAGAGTGCTAAGAGAGTTGTGAAATGAGCTTGCTGAGCCCCTGCAAATGCCTGGATGAACAAAAGGTCCCCAGTGATTGGAAAATGGCTTATGTGAGTCTTGTCTTCAAGAAGGGCGATCGTCACTCCAAGAACAACTATAGACCAGTGAGCCTGACCAGCATAGTGTGTAAAGTATTTGAGAGCATTATAAGAGATGCCGTGATGGAACATCTACTACGAAACAACCTTGAAAAGGATTGCCAACACAGATTTATGCTGGGGCGCTCCTGCTTAACGTAATTACTCAAGGTACCCAAATTCTGGAACAGGGTGGCAATATCAACAATATATACAGTACAGGTGCTCCTCTACTTACGAACGAGTTACGTTCCTGAGGCTTGTTTGTAAGTCCAACTTTACTCTTGTAGATACCAAACATATTGTAAAAAATGAAAAGATTATGGATATTTAGTACAACTATACCCTTTAATACAGCCTTAAAACCTGGCTCACTCTTCTCCTCTTAGGTAATGTTTGTTCTATTTGGAATTTTCTTCAAAATAATCCAGTCTCATCCACATTAAACACCTGTTCTTGCAGGTAACCCCCTCAGTGATGATGTTTCTATCTCTGAAAGTTTGTAAGTTGAATGTTCTTAAGTAGAGGAGCACCTGAAAATTAAACTGAAAGGGTACGGGATTCAGGGAAGTGTCCTAGCGTGGATCGGGGACTTTCTCCATGATCGCAAGCAGTGTGTGGTGATTAATGGCACGAAATCGTCATGTGTACCTGTCACAAGCGGGGTACCACAGGGCAGTGTATTGGGCCCGCTGTTATTTCTTTGCTTCATAAATGACATGCTAAAGGCTATACATTCCTCCAGACAAATGTTTGCAGATGACGCAAAGTTATTTCGGGAAATCAAGAACCAAGCAGATTGTGAAGAGAATCAGAAGGATCTCTGAGAGCTTCAAGACTGGTTGAAGAAATGGCTGCTAAAATTCAATGTCATGAAGTGCAAGAGGATGCACCTGGGGCGTAGCAACGGTAAGGAGGCGTATCATATGTCCCAACGGGATGAAGAAACTGCACTATTTGAGACTGAATGTGAAAAGGACAGAGATGTGTATGTTGACAATGAGCTGAAGTTCTCAGGCCATTGTGAGAAGAAGGTGAATCAGGCAACTAAATTATTAGATCTTATAAGAAGGTCGTTCAGATATCTAGACAGTCCGTCCCTCGTAACGATCTTCAAGAGTGAAGTGCTTCCCTGTCTGGAGTACTGTCACTCCTTCTGGTCCCCGAGATATGCTAGGGACTATCAGTTGATGAAAATGTCCAAAGCAGGGCCACCAGACCTCAGCTATCCTGAGAGATTAGAGAGCCTGCAATTGCCTAGCTTATACTACAGATGGGCAAGGGGGGACCTAATTGAGGTGTATACTCATCTCAAAGGGCACTACTCAGTCGAGTCCTCTTACTGTACTAGGAGTTGGCGGACACTTACCCCACAAGAGGTCACAGCTCAAGGTTTTCATGTATTAGGTAATAAATTACAGTAGCTGTGTACTATTTATCATTAGTTAGGCAGGTTTTGTTCTTGTTTGTTTAAATATTTCACGTTTTTCAGGAATAATATTGGGGTATTTTTGTCACGTCACTGGAAATCAAACCCTATTTTTTCCATAGGTTTCTTTTATTCGATACAAAAATTCACTTAATGAATTTATTTTAACCTAACCCATTCATAAATCGAGGGATACATTCATTTCAATGATGTGCTGGGAGTAAGAAAGGTGAGTATACAAGAGGTGTAGTGGTGTAAATGGCAGACTATAGGATGTTACTAAATTTAAGTGTTCCGTGTGTACAGGTAATCATCAAGGTTTAAAATGGATGTTAAAGCTCAATACTGAGGATATATCCCTGGAAAGTGTCAATGAGTTTTGTGAGTGATGTGATTTGTGCTGGAGTTGGTGCTGATGTTAGCTGAGCTGCAAGAGTTACAAGTGGCTGGAAGAAGTTGAAGGAGCAGTTGTCTTTACTGATGTCACGAGGATCTCATCTTCAATTTGAAAGTTAAGTTGTATGTAGTCAACATTAAAAAGTATTACTTTATGGCAGTGAAACATGGGCAGTTATGTAGAGTTTATTGAACTGAAATGAGAATGAAGAGATGGATGTGTAATATGATGTTGAGACAGGAAACCCTGTTCAGAACTAAGAGGGTTATGGTTACTGAGACAACTGTAGAGGTTTAGCACAGAGGTAATTTGAGATGGTTCAGGCAATGGAGAGAATGGGGGAGAATAATTGAGCTTAAATGTGGAGAGGAGGAGAGTTACGGTTAAACCAAGCATAACATGGGATGAGGTTCTAAGAAATGATCTTAAGGAGAAGCACTTCACCAGAAATATTACAGAATAACATGTTGCCTGAAGAATTGACATCAGGTTGTCAAAGCTAACTCACACAATAAATACTGAAACTGGGTTCGGTGAAGATAAACCAGACAGATATATTTGGGCTGTGTTGTGGCAGGGAACAGTACAGACAGAACCCATCTGTTATGGCAACCAGAGATTATGATGGTCACTGGATGGAGAAAGAGTCTGCATTTACTCTTGATTCAGGTTATTCTGCACTGTATCACAGTACAATAGAATAAGGCTTACCAGAGTGAAAAAAAAGCAAGGAACAACAGATGGAAGTGAAACAGTAAAAGGGAAAGTAAAAAAAAAAAGGTGGATGTCATTTATATCAAACCACAATCATCAACACTCACATAGAGTAAATAGAAGAGAAGTGGAAGAGGATGTCACTGCCCGTTTTCACGTAGGCCTCATATCCGGTGTTGTCGTCTGTCTGCTCTTGCTTCTTAATTGCTATCTTAAAACATCGAAACAATTCTTATGTATTAAATGGTCAGTGATGTGGAAGACTCAGAAATATACTTATTAATCCAAAAATGGAAATAGGATTCTAACAGCTTTTTTGGGCTACCCTTGGTTAGGTTGGCTTTCTGATTATCAGTACTGTACTGTACTGAACAATCACCCAAATAAATGATGTCACTACGTCCGGAAACTTTCAATCAGAAAGTGGTATCTGGCAAGTAATAGAAATGCATTATTTTTGCTTTTATCCTTTTGAGGTGGAATGCAATTTTCTGAAATAGTAACAGAAATTAGTTAATAAATGCTAAAACAGTTTTTCATAAGAATATTGTAGAAGCAAATCATGTACAGTAGTTAAATTATGAAAATAATTTTAAATGAAATACAGTAGGGTCAAGATATATCGCGACTTTGTATACAGGATATTGATTTTTTTATATCGCGGCTACCAAAATTATAAAAATTTTCCTAAACAACTGTATATAGCGATATTTTTTTTATTTCGCGAGGGAAACCGGGCAGGAAATTTTTCAAATGTACCGCCAAGGCAAACAAATGCGTTATTTACTCACCAGAGGCGCCACCGTGGCTGCTCAGTCACACATTCACACTTGCCCGCTCAGTCTTTCTGAGTGAGTGACGAGAAAGCAGCCGACTTTGCTGCAGATTACGACTTCTAAGGTGAGTGTAAATGGGTTGTTAGTGACGTGAAAAGTGAAGTGAGGATAATGGAAAGCTTAATGGAAATGATTTAATACTGTAAGTAATATTTTTGGTTTATTAGTTTATGATTGTTAAGTGAGGGTGGCAGTGTGTTGTCTGTTGTTCTCGGGGTGGCGCGTCAGCTGCCGAGTCTGGTGCAGATTTAAATTTCAAAAGTGAGAGTAAATGGGTTGCGAGTGACGTGAAAAGTGAAGTGAAGATAACGGAAAGCTTAATGGAAACGATTTAATACTGTAAGTAATATTTTTGGTATTCGTGTGGGATTGTTAAGTGAGGGAGGCAGTGTGGCGTCAGCTGCAGAGTCTGGTGTTCCTGGGATGATGCGTCAGCTGCCGAGTCTGGTGTTCCTTAATATTGATATTGAAACAGTCTGTTGTTCCCGAGTCTAGTGTTCAGTGGTGCTTTAGTTAGTAAGAAAATCAACTCGTTAAGTTAAGTTTAGTCACTTTTTTGGCCTCCAGAACCTAACCCTATTTTCCCCATTGATTACAAGTAATTATATATAACGATTTAGTATATAACGAACATCGTTGGACCCTATCTCGCGATATACCCCGTCCCTACTGTAATAAGACTATGGCATACAGATTATTGCTCTGAGACATTAAGGAATATTTTACAGGGTTAAAATTGGATGTCAAAATAAACAGGTATTCTGTACATTAACTGTGGTAAGTTGAAATATTTATCAAGTAAAAAATATAAATTTAATTAATATTCATATACTGAATATGTAAACAAATATTTTCCATATTAACCGCCTCTATTGACAATGATGAATGTTAGGCTGGAAAAAAAAATTGAGCTTCAGATAGGCTGCAATCTTAAATAAACGTTTATAAGAAACTTAATTGCCAATATGTTCTGATGGTATTGCATTTTTATCACCAAAGAATAAAATAAAAACATTAAAGATTTCCATTTCATGTCCACTTATTACTTCAGAAAAAAGATGAAAAATGGCTAAACTGCTAGCCTCTATGAATGCTTATTCAATTACCGGTAATAATTGTTTTAAAGCAACAAAACACCTTTTATATTGTTCTTAAAGTAAAATAACTTCTAAACAAGGACAACAGCAACAGACATAAGAGTAAATGCCTTGTGTTGCTATATAATCTTGGGCTGGTTGTCCTTTTTTTTCTACATGCATATTTTTTTTGTCCTTTAAAGCAATGAATTGGGATTTAGTGCTTTCACTTTCAATACACACCTGAAAAATTTTTACCTGCAAAATATAATGAAAGGCTAAGAAAAGGTTAGTCAGTGATATAGTCACTCCAGGAGTTCATCAATATACTAACTCCCTACAACAGCAGCCAGTTCATTGGGCACTAATAATGGAGTAGTAGCTTTCCATTCCCACTCACACATCACCCTTATGATGTAGTTGCCAGATTCTGCTGTTTGGATCAATCATACTGAAAACAGAGACATCACTTCCTAGGTCAATTATACAGTATACATGTATTTTGTATACGGTACATTCCTCGCCTGCTCAACCTTCTCTTATCCACAAACCTCCTTCTCCCTGTGCTTCTCCCACAGATCTCGTGTTACTCGACAGTTGTCGCCCATAGCGGCCGAGTGGTTCACACCCCCCGCCCGTTATGTCTCACATGTGAAATACAACCCTGCCGACAACAAGTTTCCTGCAGCACTAGGAGGGGAGGGGGAGTATTGTAGTGGATACTCTCCCCTACAACTGCCACTGTCGTTAGTCGCTGATCAGCCGATCCCGCGGCGAGTTTCTCTGCCAAGCCTAGCTGTCTGGACTGCGCGGGGGGTCAGCCACCAGTGACGCTTACTTCCGGTGGACTCGTATATAAGCCCACAGCCTCGCCGAGAAGTGCATTCTACTCAGTGCTCTCAAACAGACAAGACCTCCTCTCAACAAGCTCCGCACCACTTAGCAACTCCCAAGCACTGCATTGTATATAATACTGTATACTGTATATAGAAAACGCCATAGCTGAGTTCCCTTCTCACCTCCATCCTAGTGCGATCCTACATCACGTTAACCCCACACTGTTATTAATAAATTAGACATAAATAAGTGATAAATGTGATCAAATTATGTGAGAGGGAACAGTGAAGATATAAGTCCAGGAGTTGAGAACATAACTATGTTCCCCGTTGTGGGTAGTTCGACTTGTGCCCGGGTGGGCTAATTCCCGTAAAAAAAAAAAAAGTGTGTCAACACAATAAATTACACCAAGCAGCCCAAAGCCACATGTCCCGCACCAACCTCCTGGTGAGCACAACCCAAAATATTGTTATTCTCAGGCTTTATACTCCAAACTGTGCCCTTTAAGCCACCCAAATAATAATAATAAAATAATAACTTCTAGCTGACCAGGGCGGTAAATGTTAACATTCCATAACTCGACCAAGTACTGTATGGGTTCCGTTAAACCTTCAATAAGCTACACCATGTTAAACCACCACTAAGTTAAACCATCAGTAAGTTCAAATATCATTAAGTTAAGCCACCATTAGGTTAAATTATCATTAAGTCACATCATCATTAAACTAAACCATAATTAAGTAAAATCCATAACAAGGTTAAACCACCATTAAGTTAAACCATCTTTAGTTAAACCATCACTAAATTAAACCATTGCTAAGTTAAGACATCATTAAGTTAGCCAATCATTAAGTTAAAGCATTGCTAAGTTAAACCATCATTAAATTAAACCATCATTAAGTTAAACCATCACTAAGTTCAACCCTCATTAACATAGACCATCACTAAATTAAACCTTCATTAAGTTAAACCATTATGTTCAAACAGTTAATTATCTTCTTCACAGAGACAATTGTTCCACATAACAGTAGTACAGTACAGTACATAATACACCTGACATACCTGCAGGTCAGGGGAACTTTCCTCTGAGTTAGTGTGGATCTGTAGCTCGGCATAAGGGTTTGGTGAGGACTGTAAAATTAAATTGGAATATTAAATGCAACGAACTTGTAAAAAAATGAAAATGGAAATTAAGTTTAGTTAAGATGAGTCAATTTGGAAATATACTGTAATTAATTTGAGAAATGAATCATTAAGACTGACACTGTGACAAAAGATAAACATTGACTTGGATGACTGTCCTGAGAGATTCACCTTATGATCAAGTGTCTATACATAACAGTACTTGGAGATTGAATGTTGTAAGAAAGTAACAAAGAAAAGAATGAAAGCCTGAATGACTAGTAAGTTGAGAAGTGGGGGAAACAATAATTTAGAAATGAAAAAGATGTGAGAATATTATGTAGGTGTTAAATTTTGCATACATGTGCCCAAATGATCACAAAACCCTTAATGTATGTATCAAAAGAACTTTTAAACAAGACTGAAACAAACATTAAAGCATAATACTGTACATTGTACTTACTTTGAGTGTAGCTTCAACAGATGTCTCTCCACAGAAGAACTTCACTTGTTTCTTATCAGGGCTCCACAAGGCTTTGTGCTCAACGTTGTATGACCAGTCAAACCATTTAAGCTGCAAGCAATAGTTTTCCTTACCCAACATGTACATCTTCATACCTTACTATCACTATCATTATTACTATCAACCATTATGCCTGCCAATGCTCTCTTTCTTTCTATGACAAGGTTCCCTGACACATCCATTAGTAAAGGCTTCCAACTCATAGTATGATGGCTACTCAAACTGAATGATTGTGACACCATCTTGGCAAGTGTACAGCGCTACACTATACTCTGGCAACAGTATACTTTGGGGCTAGATGTGCCTTATGAATGAAGGGAGCAAAAAGTGCTGTATACCTTTGTTGAAATGACCACAGTCATACATGTTAGTTAACTTAAAATCAGATGATTCATATTACACTCAATAGCCCGTCAAATATGTAGCTATAACTTATTTCTTGAGTTCCCCACTGAGACGTCCATTATCTCTCGTGTGTTTCAGAATCTCTTAGTATCACATGTTTAAATGTGTATATTTAAATTTATGAAGGAATGCATAAATGTTACTGGTAAATATATATACCTGCTTACAGCTGAAACATTCAAGATCCAATGTGAGTGATGTTGAAAGCTTCAACTGTACAGTATTTACTTTTAGTAAAATTGTCAAGCAAGTCGGTGTGTTAGAGTTTGCAAAAGAGGCGAGACTCTGATTCCCGCAAAATGAGACATGAAAACTCTATTCGCCACTGAAGTCAGAATGTTTTGATTCACTATCATCAGAGAATCTGAAGACTGTATAGTATTGAAATTTTTGCCAGTTTTGTATTTAAGAAAGTCATAAATCATTTGAGAGAAACCTGTCAACTCCTCACTGCCTGAAATCTAATGGTGGGATATGAAAGCCCCTTGTTCCTCTTCCAACTGGCTCTGCCTAAAGTGAGAGCCAGTCTATGCATTTTTCAATTTAATTATTGCATTACAAGCTCGAACACAGATTAGAATGTAAGCGACAGCCTTAAGAAATTGATCTCACCCATAACATTGATTTTCGTAGCCCATTGTATACTGCAACTGAGTTAAATGAATATCTACGTAAGTTCCTGATGTGGCATCATGGCTATACAGTATAACAAGTGTGTGAGAGACGAGGAGTCACTTCTTGACTGGTCCTCATTGTCTCACAGGTATGTACGGTCCCCTTCACTGGTGTGTTTACAGGGGCTCGTCATATACACATTCAACAAATCACTATCTCTGAGATGTTCGTTTTAATTTTGTTTTAATTTGATTCAATAGATGTTTACTAATGAGAGTTTCCTTCCATTGAATGTAAACAAACACATGGCTGCCACACTACACAATACCTGACAAGCCCCTGTAAATGCAATAGTGAAGGGGACTGTACATAGTACCTAACACTGCCATAATAAGTTAATCTAACTCAGTTGAACTTTGTTGAATATTTTAGTGTTCATGTTTTAAAGTACAGGGTAGTTGAACATCTTATGTGCCAAATGATGCTGCAACATAACTAGGCGCCTTCTGTGTTGAATGATTCATGTGTTCCCTTGACAGATGTGTGTTGTGAGATTTTGTATTTTGATTTTACACTTCTTGACTCGTTCTCATTGTCTTGCAGGCACTGTGTGTGTTGTTGCCACTATCGAGTATCGGTAGCTGCCTGCAGGCAAGATGTCTGAGGCAGGATACCTTTAATACAGCCGGATTAATATCTGAGTGCAAGACGCGTCAGGGAGTGAGAGTGCGGGATCACTGATTTACTCTCGAGCACCGACTCCAGCCATGGCTCCGGAGTTAGCCGAGCAGCATTTATTTGAACATCAGCGCCACTGGTGTAAGCCTAGTCTAGTCATCCTGACTGTATGTGCCAATGATTTTTGTGTACATTATGTGGACGGTTAATTGGGAATACAACTGTCCCAGGTTGATTATTGAAACCATAAATATTACTATCACCAGAATTAGTGTATGATACAGTATACAGCTCCTCCCCGACTTACGACCTACTCGACTTATGACCACCCGCACTTACGACCTGCCTCAGTCGTACCAAAATTTGGTCAAATTACGTATTTTTGAGTCCCAACGTCAGTACACAGACAAAGTTTCGTTTGTAATTCACTTTAAAATGGCTGGCAAGCTTAAAAGTGAGAGTTTTGTGGGGCTGAGAAGAAAAAGAGACACCCATTTTAGATTTTCTAAAATTTAAAAATTTTTGACTTAAGACCATTTCGACTTTTACGGCATGAATTTGGGTCCCTAACCCTGTTGTAAGTCTTGGAGGAGCTGTACTCGCATATTATATGTGCGTGAACCAAATATACTCATAGCTGATGTTCTGGGAGATGTCTTCCATTCTGTGTTATTGACAAGTGTGTAGAATGACCATCATTATTGTCACTGATGTATAATAATACCCTTAAGAAGGTATAATTATTGAGTGTTGTAAATGATAACTGAAGATCTATTTTTGCTACTTATAAACTAAGACCTAGTGGCCAGTCTTATTTTGTATAATTGTTACAGCAAAGTAATCAGTAATTGAACCTAAGTTTTATTGTTGTGAGTGAAAGTTCAAATTGTCACAATATTCACATTTGATTTTAATAAATACTGTATTGATTTTGTATAATGTGTGTATCACCACTCATTCCTTCTAACAATGATCATCCCTAAAAATACCCTGATAACTCACATGCCTAACCTCTCGTGTCTACCAAGGCTCCCAACTTAATTGAAAGGTTCATTTTAAAAGTTATATTCTAAAGAAAAGCCTGGGTGGTGGCAGCTCTAAGATGTAAGTATGTACTGTACAGGTACAGACTGTACAGTATAGTAATTACACAAATGTGTAAGAATAGACAACAATGTGGTTCTCCCAGGTTAACCAACAGGACAGACTATAACTTAGGAAATATGAGAATATAAGTAAGAGGAAAAAACAAATAAGTAAGAGTATTGAAAGAAATACAATACATACTTTGAGAAAATGAATTAGAAAGTAAAGAAAATAAAAAGATACAGTATAGTCTCGGTTTACGCGGATTTTTTATACGCGGTTGGTTATTTACGCGGCACCTGTCCAGACGCGCCAATTATTAGTTACGCGGTATATTCCTGAATTTACGCGGGAAGCGGCGCGGACGAGCTGCGCGCTAGGTCGCTCTTACGTCACCGCTGACGTCAGATGAGTTTCGGACTGTGATTGGGCCATGCATCCTTACCACCCACGGATCCCCTCCGCCGTGAGATGTGATTGGTCTATTTAACCTTGCTTGCCCAGTCAACAAAACATTACCGAGTTCTTCACCTGCCACCCACCACAGCCAGCCCAAGTCAGTGAAAGTGATAGTGAGGATATGGACTTTGAGGGGTTTGACAAGGAGGCCCTGCTAGCCTCTGTGGTGGATAGTGATACAGGTGATACAAGTGATACAGGTGAGGGCCAATAATTTGCCCTCTGCCTCAGAACCAACCCCCCCATCCCCGTGTGCCCAGCCATCTCTTCTACTAACGTAAGTGTTAAAAAACCTAATATTATTGATATTTCTCTTAAATATTAATTGTGTGTGCATACCATCATAAAATTAAGATGTTATTTTTACTACAACATACGTATTGTGTCGGAAAAAGGGTGGTCTGGGGTCGGCCCAGTCTCTATTTCAATTAATCCCATATGTTCTGTTATTTCGTTTACGCGTTTTGCGTCATACGCGGGCTTCCATGGGTTTAATTGACCGCGTAAAACGAGACTATACTGTATAGCCAAGGTTATAGAAATAAAAATAAAGTAGCAATCCAAAACATTAAAATAGTTAGCATCTTACACTTGTGTAATCATAAACAGTGAAAAAAGTATCTTTGTTTATGAGAGAAATACTTTTGTGTAACATTAACAAGGAATGGGAGTATCATGAATTAATTAATTAAGAATTCCTTCTGAGTATCATTAATAAAGTATGAAAATACAGTACTATACAGTCTAATGGATGAAATTCTATGATAATTGTCAGGTAAAATAAATGTTCATAAATAGGAGCTTTAATATACAGTTGTGGTCAAAATTCCTCAACACTCTGCAATACAGTATCTGTGCATCTATTATGGATAGGATCCAGGAATATAAAAAAAGTGGGGGGGGGTCCAAGAAGTTTTGGGTGGGGGAACATGGAAATTCTGAAGCCATTTGCACTTGATATGAGTTATTCTGAGGTCAATAGTACAGTAATTACTTTTTACTACACAAAAATGTCTGAGTACAATACTGCATTAAAGAAATACAATACAGTAGACCCTTGCCATTCGCGAGGGATAGGTTCCAAGAAATGGCATGAATTGGCAAAACCACGAATAGCAACTCGTCTCCTCTTTTAACTTATCTAATACAGTAATTCAACTTTCTTTGTCATGGTCATTTCACTCCAGTAGCATCACTAGCACTGGCACTAGGCAGTCTTTTAGGGGCCATTTCACACAGAAACACTAAACTTTTGAGAGTACAACACAAGATGCTGCGTGGGGTGAATCGTTGTCCTGCGGGAAAAGGCCTACAAACTAGCCACCATAGCTACCATCTGCTTACCGCGAATTGTCGAAATCGCGAATCGCAAACCCGCGAATGGCAAGGGTCTACTGTACTACAATAGAGAAAAAGTATTGGAATTTTCTGATGAAAAGGGGAGGGGGCTGCATCTGCCCTTGACATATCAACATTTTATTATGGATATGAGAGTAGTGTTTAACCCATCTTCTAATACTAACTTTTGTTTTACCAGAGAAGTGTTGCCAGTCAGGGTCAGAGGAGGTGAGCAGAGAGAGCCCAGCCTGTTGTGTGTCATAGCCAGCGTAGGCCTCGAGCGAGGCATTGAAGGGTTTCTGAGGGTTGTACTCTGCCTCTAGGTGCAACACTCCAATTAATGGTCCAACGGTGCTGCTTATCTACAAGTTTTAAAAGTTTTGAAATACTGTAAATATTAAGTCAGCATACATATTAATATACTGCTGACATACGATAGAAATAAGATTATTTGTTTTACACACCGGCCACCTTGTGTAATCATTTAACCCTCTCATGGTCTTTTGGCGCACATTTTAATGCTAAGTTTTCTAGTGCTGATGGAGCCTCTCCTACTCAGCCATATCTCACACTAAGAGCACCCCTCCCATAAGCAGAAATGAGGGAACAGTGGACCACCTATGTTCCTTCCACTAGCTTCGTGGGCTGGCAGATGCATCTCTAGGGATGCAATTTGGCTCTGGATTGCTCTACCCAATGTTTATTAAATAGAAAAACCATTACTGTTACTGACACAACCTGTGTCTAAAGACTGCAAGGGGGTGAAATTGTAAATGATGCTAATTGCGTTGAAAGACCGTGAGGGGGTTGAGATTTCCGACCATGGCCTTGGAGAATGGAACACACTATCAATCATCACATACAGTAGATGGCACTGCAAATCCCATTTTTCTTTTTAAATTTTTTACTCCTATAAGGTGGCAAAAACCAAGAGGCAGCACAGGTCCTCCTCTTATTGGGATCTTTCATTCACTCTTACTAAAGTAGGTGGTGCATTCTACTATATTGTTCCCCTCTCATAACAAGGTCTTGTCACTTCAAACCAACCATCTTCATCCTTCACAAGCATATCCATTCCCAAGAAGTTTTAAACATTATACCCTCTGATAATTTACCAACATCCAAATTTAATAAACATACAGGCATCCCCCAGGTTACGGAAGGTATGTGTCCTTGAAAATTTGTCCGTAAAGTGAAATTTCGTGACGCGAAACCAATTTCCCCCATTGACTTCCATTATATAATTGGAGATGAGTTTGCAAGGAAATATTATCTGCAAAAGACGTAACACAAGCACATTTAAGAAGGAAAGTAATATTTTTTTTAACACATCGATTATTTTATGATACAATATGATCATAAATATGCAAAACACTTGAATTTAACTTACCACTAACGATGTTGAGTGCTACGTTAGGTGAGGTGGTGAGGTAAGGTGGTGCAATCAGATTTACTGAGAGGGAGACAGAGGGGCACTACTGGCTCCTGCCTCGCCTTGTACAGTATTGTAGCAACCACCAAGAAATCCACTCAAAATAAATTTTACCCAATTTCTGTAAGAGCGAATTTTTTGTCCGTATCCTGAATTTATTGGTCATAATTTACAAAATCCGTAGGAGTGAATTTCCGTAACCGAGTTTCCGTAACCCTGGGGATGCCTGTAGTACAGTATTGTAAAATGGAAATTTTGTTGTAATTATACTAATCAATCTCTTATATCAGAGAAAAAGATGATAGCAATACTCACCAGAATGACAACTTGGTCTGGCTTACTCAGGTCAATGTTGTATCCAGACTGAATTATAAAATCATTAATCTGAAAGTGGAATCCACTGAGCAAATGCAGTGGGTCATCCTCTTGTAAGGAAGTCAGTGCAAGCTTGAAGAACAGCAGTGATCCAAGATTGACCTCCGCCTCGACTAGTCCAGCTTGATTTGATACCTGAAAAATTTTCCTGTTAGTTTTAGAAAGAATGGGACTTATGCAAATTTTTGTACACAAAACTATTTTTGTTACATATAAATTTAAAAGAATAATGTATATACCATATCATGCAATATTTTTATTATGAATTAAATTTTGGTTTAGTTGTCTAGACCACAGCTGACCGACAATCTGCAGGGAAAACCCAACATTTCAATCACTTTGCATTTTTCCTCTTACAGCAAGATAAACTCATCAACCAACAGTCTATGATAAATCTTCACTTTATATATTTCCAATGTTCTTTACCTATTGCACACACGACCTCAGTGATAAGTAATATCCCGTTACCTGGAATAATTGGTGCAGAGCTGTTCCGGCAATGAGAAATTTCTGGGTATGGAGATAAATTTTCTTATCCCGGAAAAAATCACACATACCGAATTTTTCCAGGTACTGAGGAAAGTTTTCCTAGCGGCTAAATTACGCATCTCGCACAGACATACACAGAATTGTACATGAACTGCACATACATTGTACTGTACATGCACAATATATAGCATAGTCTCGATTTACGCGAATTTCCTTTACGCGGTTGGTCATTTACGCGGCACCTGGCCAGACGCGGCAATTATTAGTTAAGTGTTACATTCATCATTTACGCAAAGCGGCGCGGGCAGGGTGCGTGCTAGGTCGCCCAGTCAACAAAACATTACCGAGTTCTTCACCCGCTACCCACCACAGCCAGCCCAAGTCAGTGATAGTGATAGTGAGGATATGGACTTTGAGGGGTTTGACAAGGAGGCCCTGCTAGCCTCTGTGGTGGATAGTGATACAGGTGATACAAGTGATACAGGTGAGGGCCAATAATCTGCCCTCTGCCTCAGAACCAACCCCCCATCCCCGTGTGCCCAGCCATCTCCTCTACTAACGTAAGTGTTAAAAAACCTAATATTATTTATATTTCTCTTAAATATTAATTGTGTGTGTGGCTACCATCATAAAATTAAGATGTTATTTTTACTACAACGTACGTATTGTGTCGGAAAAAGGGTAGTCTGGAGTTCGGCCCAGTCTCTATTTCAATTAATCCCATATGTTCTGTTATTTCGCGTACGCGTTTCTCGTTTTACGTGGACCTCCACGGGTTTAATTGACCGCGTAAACTGAGACTATACTGTATTGTAAATAAATAAAATAATGTATACTAATAGTGAACTGTACACTATCTACAGTACTGTACTGCACTCACCAGTAGATGCTGTTGTCTTGAGCTTGTGATGAAGACAGGCCAAATGGTGATATGATAATACAGAATGACCTGCCTTTGTCCTGTACCATCTACTGTAGCACACTAGCATCCACTATCCACTCTGCTATGTACAATACTGTACATATGGTACTTTCATACTTATATGAATGTCTTAATTACCAATATTACACTAAAGATTTTCATACACAGATTTGCTTTAATCCTTGTAAGGCTCAGAGTACACATGTGACTTCACTTACCAGAAATGAAATAAAACTGGGATCTCAAGAAGATCAGGAACCCCAACTTATTCACCTGATGATTAAACAACCTAATGCTATCCTAACAAAACCTTACCTATCATAACCTAACAAAACCTTACCTATCATAACCTAACCTAATCTAAAATAACCTCAGTCAAGTATTCATACCTGTAGAACATCCTTCTTTCTTCACACAGCCAAACTGTGGAATGCTCGGCCTTCTTGTGTGTTTCCATACTCTTACAATCTGTCTCATTTCAAAAAGCAGGTTTTCCAGCATCTTCGTGGTGTATATTAATAAAAAAAAATTATTTTCTATTTTTAATTTATTTTTACTCTTATTTTTTCGCCCCCTAGGCTATGTTGTGTGGCGATGACCTGTGCCCTGGTGGGCTATTCCCCGTAAAAAAACACAAAAAACTAGCAAATGCCTGCCCCAGTAGAGGTCACAGCCTCAAGATGAAAAAGCCACAAGTTCAGAAAATTGTTTGGACAAACTTTTTTGGAATGAGAGCTGTGAGTTCTTGGAACAGTCTGGCAGAGAGTGCTGTGACGGCATCGAGTGTGTGCTCATTCAAGACCAGACTTGACTAACACTAGTGTAATACAGAATATTCTGCAGTCAGTACAGGTACACCACCGATTTTCTGGCACCCTTGGTTCCAAAGCCTTGCCGGATTATCCATTTTGCCGGATTGGTCCGAGGTCAGGTAATAATAATTCAACAATACACCTCTGATCCACTAATTATACACCTCCCGTGTCTCTAAAGCACCATGGGCTGCTAGAAACTTGAACTAAACAAATATTAAATGTAAATTAAACATGAAAAAGCCATAATTTTGAGCAACATTACTGTACACACTTTGTACTGAAATGTACTACACTAGACTAAAATTTTTATCTCTTGCGCAAACTATGTAATGTTTATACTCAAATTAATCACTATCTTACAAGGATTCCAGCAATGTAAGTTATATTTTGCTAAGTTTAGTCTGTGATAATTTATATGATAAAAACTTTAAGCCTAAAACTACCTTCACCCTGGCTGGGAGGAAGGAGGGGGAGGGGAGGTGTTGGGAGCAGATGGGAAAATTACTCAGTTTTTCACTTATGAAATGTCACTGAATTGACTTAGCAGAATGTAAGTTATATTGCTGGAATTCTTGCAAGATACAGGTAGTGATTAATTTGAGTAAAACTATCGCATAGTTTGCACAAGGCACAAATTTTCGTAATTCTTTAGTACGTACATTTGAGTACAGGTTTGCCCTTATGATAATTATTTCTTTTACTTTTTTCACAATATGTATTTAGGATGGTGTGTGCATGCAAATGAGTAAAAATAAATTAAGAAAGTTATGTACTGTATATCTTCCCAAAAATATGAGTTGAAAAACTTGTACAGGTACAGGTACTCAAATGTACTACACTAAAGGACTAAAAGTTTTATCTCTTGTGCAAACTATATGATGTTTATACTCATATTAATCACCATCTTACAAGGATTCCAGCAATGCAAGTTATTTTCTGCTAAGTCTAATCTGTGACATTTTATAAGATAAAAACTTTAAGCCCAAAACAACCTTCACCCAGTCTGGGAGGGAGGGAGGGAAGTTAAGTGCCCTCTCGTAATTTTGTCCGGACTACAGGAGGTGCTGGACCATCAGTTCCTGGTGGTGTGCCTGTACAGTATATGCCCAGTTTTTGCCAACAGTTCCTAAAAGAGACATCTCCAACCATCGAAGTGACTAGCAGGCCAATAACCTAATCCTTTGTCTAGCATTAAGGAGTTTAATTTTCAGGGGAAATAAGGGCATTATTATCATTTTGGTCATCCAGCAAGATTAGGTTTAGGTCAGATTAGATTGAAATTATGTTTTTACGATGGTTTTTGTTGTGTTTTGAACGATTCTGACCTTCATTTAAAAAAGGTGGATGATCGAAATGATAATTTTACAATATGTGGGGATTCCTAAAAATCATGAAGTAGTAAAATTAAAAAAAATTATGTAAAACTAACCTTGTATATAGCTTGACCCAGATAGTTGATGTTCAGTTGAGGACTGGCAAAGCTGACTGTCACTTGGAAGTCTCTCTTGTCTCCCTCCTTAATGTTCTTGAGCACCAGCTGAGAGCTCACCTGAGGAACACATAACTCTTAAATTAAGGAATAATGAAAACATAAGTGTAAGCAATGACTAAGCAACATTTAAGATGAGCATAAAGTGGATCTGTAAGTTTTGTTTAAACCTTCAGAAGGGATCAAACTGTTAACTTTTTTTTAATAAACATTCATCTGTTTCTATAATTTTGGGGTATATATTATTTTGGTTCCTGACAAACTGTCTACACAGGACAAACTTATTACACATTTGTAGAAATCTCATTGTGATACACTGCTCATCCATACATACAGTTACTTCCTAACTTTCTCACAAGCATACAAGACTTATTTGTACTGATAACTGACTTAATATAACAATTGCTAATCCAAATGTCAAGAATTTTTAAAGGAAAATTGATAAAGCTACAAAAAAAAAACATATTGAAGACTGAATAATTCACAGACAAGTACTGTACACAATACTGTACATATAGACTCGCATTTGTGGTGTTCTTGAGAGTATTTTCATCATGGACAAGGATGGCTCATAATTATCTACAAATGTTAGTTACTTTTCTTTTTCTTCTCTTATGGAATTACTGTACATTAACAATAAACATGTCAGGTAAAATTGACACAGTATACAATGATGCAAACTTAACTCCACAGTCAGGCAAGGTTGGGGATGTTATTAACTATGGTGAGCATGAAGTTAGTGCATGGTAGTTGTTCATTCATGTCAGGGGCCAGAGGTACCTTACCTGTTCTCACCTGGATGGTGCCTCCCTGGTGCACGTGTACAATAATATAAGTGGCTATTGTGATAATATACAGTATATAGTTTTAATAATCAAAAGTGGGGAGTATAGTATAATTCATGGATTAATAAGAAAGAATAAGTTTTACCTCAGTGTTGAAAACCGAGATGTTTGTGCTGGCTTCTGCATGTCCAGGTTGGTACTTGAAGTCCAGATCCACATAGGCTTCAGCTTGGCTTGACTGTCAATGTGACAAAAAGGTTACTAATAACTAAAGAAAGCCTTGAAGCTAATTGTTGTGTTGGTGATACAGTATACATTAGCACACTTGCCTCACCAATGTGTCCCATATTCAATCCTTACTGTGAAAAGGATATTATTCTGTGTGATACTCCCAAACACTGCAGGTTTTCTCCCACTGTACTAACACTGGACACTGAAGGTCATAACAAAACCTGAATGGCAAGTGAGTTGACAAGTGGTGGAATGACATATTCCTGTACACTATATTAAATCATACACTTCATCTTCACAGGACTGTAGCTTACCTGCATGGATAAGTAACCCCGAGTTGTTTTCTGCCCATTGTCCACCAGCTGTGATGAATCCAGTGTAAAAGACAGTGAGTGTGACTGACCAGGACCTGAGCCATATTCACATGTTGCCTGCAGCATCGTTTTCTCAGGACTTGTCAATAGAGTTGCATAAGTGCTGATAAACATTTGTCCAAGATTGAACCCAGCCTCAACCTTGTGCTGACCACCGCCTCGTTCCCATTTGGCTGCACACCAGATACAAACTCTTAGTACAGTACAGGGTATCACATTTTGTCTAATATTCCTATAATTTTACAATGAGTTATTTGTGTATGTGCATATTCAAGCATGTATTTCCGAGTTTGTTTTGATTTTGTCAACATTAACATGGACTATATTTGCACTTATTTCTGGCAACTTAACTATCCCTATAAAGTTCATCGCACTGATGAGAGTGTATTTCAGCGGACAAAAACAAGTCAGACCATGACTGAGAGTTTATGTACACAATTAATGGGAGAAACTATCTTATATACCGTACTGTGTTGTGTTGTGCTGTGTTGTGCTGTACACATCATTCTGTATTTAACATCAACAGGGTGGCAGGACAATTGAACCATGTATGTTTGGGTCATGGGCCACGACCTCAGAATGTTTGGGCCATGAAATTTTATTACGCATAATGATGGAGATTTACACCAACAAAAAAATGCGTACAGGTATTTATAAAATACTATCATAATGTTTAATAGAAGAGAAAAGTATTTATAAGAAAAACTACCATACTGTTAATAGATATGTAAATAAAAAAATAAAAAAAAAGAGAAACTGTATTCCAACCAGTATATTACGATCCCCGTTAATACCCCTGGGAACCTTCAGGTCATTACATCACATCACCAAGAAACATGTCAATATACAATATGGGTGATAATGTTCACTTATTTTAACTCCGGTTTCCCCTAGTCAACAATTTTATCTATTTTGTATTTCTTATTACTTGGACTTATGGCCCAAATGTCCTAACCATCATGGCCCAAAAGTCCTAACCATCATGGCCCAAACATCCTAACCATGGTGGCCCAAAGATCCTAACCATCGTGACCCAAAGTCCGTGGGGTCATGTCCCTTGGCCCAACATCCATGGCCCAATAATCCGTCCACCCATCAACAGCTGGGTGCTAATAAAGTTTATACCTATACTGTCATACAAGCAAACTGTATAAACACTAAATAACAGATGATGGTGAGACAAAAGAAAAATAGACAAACTTAAACATTTGATAAAGAAACTTACCAAAGATCCTCGCTGCTTCTGCCTGGAGACTTGTCATAATGCTTCCCTCAGCTCTGAAGACATCTGGACCCAACAACAGAGAGCCGTCTATGTCCACGTCAACGACATTTTTCACAGACAGGAATAACTTAGGAGCAAACTTGGTATTTATACCTTCTTTTGTTATTTGAAGAGATAATTCAAATTCTCCTTGAAGCTCTGAGTTTTTCTGATATTGAAGGCTGATCATTTTAAATGACCCAGTGTTCTCATACTGCCCCTCTACACCCCTCCCGGGTATCACAATATAACCCTCTGCACCATCTGGTCTAACGTCTACCTGAAAACTAACTCTTCTATCATAAGAAGAACCTGGGGTGTCAAAAAGAGCTTCAACAGTATTTCCTAGTTTCCTAAATGATAAAACGTAATAGTCAAAGTTATCACTTTTGGACACTGTAACTTGTGTTTCATACGGGGCACCAGGAACAACTCCTCCGTGTACACCATGACTGTGACTACTGCACACAGAAACACCCAGAGCATTACTCAAACTCTCTGGAAAGCAGTTTTCTTCTTTCTCCTCATCTGCTGTTTCAGATCTTTGTTCTTCCCAGTCCCTTTGTAAATTCTTGTAGAGGGAAACTTTTACGGATGAACTCACTGCTGCCAATTCTGATTTAGGCATGTCAATTCGTGCATCTACAATCTGTCCATCCTCAAGTGAAAATTTACCACCAATATCTAAGTGACTCAGATGTGTTGTTCTTCTCCTGATGCCACTAGAGCAAGTGTATCCATCTACCATGAGCATTTCATCCATGGCAACAACTGCTGAAGATGAGAGTTTGCCCTCCATGAGAATGTTCTGATAACCTCTCATTTCAAATGTGCCCGACCGGCTGAAAGTCACTGAGCCAGTAGCGTTGAGTTTTAGGCGAAGTGGGAAACCCAGCAATGTTGCTCTCAAGAACTCTTGGTTCACAACCTGAAATAAATAAATAAATTAATAAAAAAAAAGGAAAGTGAGAGTAATCTTTTCAATGATGCAACCAGATAACCAAACCCATCGAGCACTTGACATACCGGTATTTCAAAGCTGCATTAATACAAATAAAGCTGGTACACGTCTGCTAGGAGTTCATTACTGTCCTACAGCAAATTATGCAATACAACCAAACTTGAAAAGAGTAATGTTTTTGAGACAGTATAACATGAATGTAATAACATCAATCAATCAATCATAGTACAATATCGTTCTCATATCTGAGGGTTGGTGACCACAGTCCTCCACTTTTAACTTACTCTGGCTGTGTTTACCAATCCTATAAGGTTTTGTATCTCTGGGGACCCAGTTTTTAATTTCATTCATCCATCTCAGTCTCTGCCTTCCCCTGGCCCTCCCACCTTCAACTTTGTCCACTACTATTTCTGTTATTATCCCCTCATCCCAAATTATAAGATCAAAGTATCTAATTTTTCTTTATCTGTACATAGTGTACATTAAATATGATCACTTGATTACACAAGAAAGATTTGCTTTAGTGAAGTATAAGACAGAGGTTATTTTTCCCATTTTAAATATATAAATACAAATAACAGTAGTCTAACACTCACACACACTTAATGCATTAGGTAATAAGTCGACACAATCTTTAACCGTAACTAAACAAATTTACAGCAGAATTCCTAAGTTTCGTTATACAATTTCTGTTTAAACACAATTTAAACGTCTTGCAAAATATAATGTAAAATAAAATAAAAAATCTTACCTGGAACGACTTTGGAGATGTGAAGTCGTGGATCAACTGCTGCAGGAGCTGCAGTGGGTTAGTGTTAAGAACATTGTCCAGGTAGACCACCTCATTACCAAACATTCTCAGGTAGAGGGAGGCTCTTCGCTCCTCCTCGTCTCCTTGCTCAGTTTCCAACTCATTCTTTGTTCTTGCCTCATCGTACAGCCTCTGGAATTCTTCGACTTTTTCTTGGTGAACATCATTCTTTGGTTTAAGACTTCCCAACACTTTTTGAATTCCCTCATTTTCAAAGTAACCATTTTTACCAAATAATCTTTCGATGTAGTCTTCCAGGCCTCTGAAGTCACCGCCAAACTCAAAGATGTTGATAGACTTGTCCATCAGGTCAAGGGTCAGGTTGACGGCTGCTTGGCGGGGCAGGTATGACTCTGGTGTGTAGATCACATCAGTATCTACACTTCCACCCAGGTTCAGCTATAAAAAGTTACTTTAACTTAATGCTTATATAAAAAATAACTTGTTAACATGTGGAATATATGAAAAATTTAGAAATTACCCTTATGTAGTAATGTTAACTCAAGGTAAGAGGACATTCATTTCTGGAAGCACAGAAACACAAGGTAGGAGAGACATTATTTTATAACTACCCTGTAGGTTTATTTGTTCATCACTTTATATTTTTCATACATCACAACAACATAGGAGATACCATAAGATATCACTACTGTATACAGTATACTGTATATCTATATTAAAGATATACTGGTCTGTAAACTGCTGTCTTCTAACATTATTGAAAGAATTAAGACAGTGGTTTTGCACTCTGCCATTGTATATTATAATTACTAAAATATTCTGCAAATGCCATGAGGGTAATACATGAAATAAATTAGGTGTTTTTGTGTGAAACACACCATACTCACCATTTCACTAAACTGTGCATAGCGGTAGTTACGGGAGGTGCGGAAGGCATTGGTGTTAAACTTGTCATGCAAGTTGTGCTGGGCCATTAACTTGGCCAGCTGTTTGCTGTGTTCACTGTTGTCTGGCTGTTCTGCCAAGTTGCACATGTGAGTCCAGATGTAGGAACCAACTGTTGGTAAAGCCAGTGATACAGTCTTTAAATACTGGTATTAGTACTGTACTGTATTGTACATTATAACAAACTACCAGAACCTTCCTTGAATGATTACTTACATGTATAACCATCTATCTTTATACTTATAAAGGTTTGTATAAAATTAATACAGAAAATATTTAAATATTTAAAAAAGAATAAAAGCAAAGTACAGTATAAACCTAATATGAAATGTGTCATGCAAAAATGTGTTCTAAATTAGTTGTTATCAAATGTTTGAGAAAAATAATAAAAGCATCTCTAAAATAAAGTTTGCAGCATGCAATGGTATTTGTAGTAATGAGGTGTACAATATGTACACTATCCTAAAGGAGGATGATAGAGCACTCAGAAATATATTCTTGCAGTCTTTTCTCACCTTGATGATGCTGATGCTATACAGTAATGTGTTGCTGCACTTCAACTACTGCGTTCTTTAAGCACACAGGTTAGGTTATCAATTACACTAGTCATCAATACACTGTAATTAAAAATCACTATAAATACAACTCCTAACCTTGATTGACATCTTCCTTTTCCAAGAGGTTACTGATCCGCATGAAGAAGCCCGGGGTGTGGGTGGCACAGGGGACAAGAGCCAGGAAAGCTGCTATCCGGACATCCACCTTCTCATCAACATCCTCCAGAATCTACAAAAGAACACCAATGAGATAGTTACAAGATATAACAAGCACAGAAACTCTCTCTCTACGATTCTTGTGTGGGTGTAGTCCGTCTCTGTAAATATGATAAAGTTGATGTCTTAACAAAACTCTCATCCAACAAAGACACCGCTGAATACAATCTAGGATTGTCAAACAGAACCTTAAAAACTGTAATCAGGAAAGAAATTTTGATGAATATGAAACAAGCAGACAAGTGTAAACAGGCACTAGTCTATCCAGTGTCTACCATGATGAGATGTATCAAGTAAAACATGTGTATAGAACAAGTAACAAGATCACTAGATTACGAGATACCATACTGCATTGTAACCACTAGACCAGGGGTTCTCAACCAGGGGGGAATTCCCCCCAGGGGGGGAATTCAGGTTTTCAGGGGGGGAAACTGATTCGGGAGCAAGAGATATGTTCGATGAGAAATCAATCACAGAATTTTGGCCCTTGATGTGCGATTCCTACCCAAAAGTGGTAGAAAGAGCTATCCGTGCATTGCTTCCGTTTGTGTCGACATATCTTTGTGAGTCAGGCTTTTCAACTCTGTTGCAAATTAAAACGAAGCAACGTAGTAGATTAGAGGTAGAAAATGACCTGCGTTGTGCCCTTTCAAGCACTCCTCTGCGTATCCCAGAATTGGCGAAGAAAAAACAATCACAGGTTTCTCATTGACTGTAATCTTCATCTGAATAAAATTAATTACAAATTTACAATATCCTGGTATTCTATTGAACTTTTTGTTTATTGCATAATGCTTCAATTTGGTCTGTTAAGTAATTCATTATAAATAAAAAAAAACTATTTTACTTTTATTCAAGTTTTATAAATCCATCAACATTTTCAATTGGCATTTAATTTGTAAAACTCCACTATAAAAATAATCCATGTAAAATTGTAAATGTATATGTACTCATATGGAAAAAATAAAGGATTTTCAGTATTATATGCATATTATTTGGAATGCACTTTTTGAGGCAGACAATCTTGGAAAGGAGGGGGGAATGACATTCTGACATATGGTGAAAGGGGTGCATGGGGCAAACAAGGTTGAGAACCACTGCACTAGACCATGGTTAGGATATAAGGACCTCTGGCAGTATACCCCTCAATCACATGTGAATAACAATGTATGTAGCCAGGCATATTGCCTCACACTCCAACATTAAGAAAGAAATAAAACCTTTTAGAGACAGGTCCAAGCATACTGTGTATAAAATGGCACAATGATTTATCTTTTAGGGCAAGATAGCTGATACTGTTTACTAATTTGTATCAAAATTCCTCATCTAGTAGCTAATAAACTTCTAAGCACCAAACTAAACAAACAATGTACTGGAAATACTCTATAACACTCAATGCCACAATATCCTGACAATGGACGAGTTGTCGGTCAGAATTTTTTCGTAAGATGGCAGGGCTTTAAACTTTTATTACAAATTACATATACCGTATTACTCTACGAACGTGGCCGAGTGTACTGTATTTCTTGTGTTTACCCAGAACTGTCAACTCGTCCATTCTGGTGTCTGATAAGGGTGTGAAGGGTGTTATCTAGTGTGATCATACCAAACTTCACAGGTTTCTTGGTGTCCATTTTTCTCCTGTACTAAAACGTACTAGAACTAGATAGACCAATCACCCCAACGGCTAGTAAGCTAAGAATTGGTGAAAATTATAGATACAGTACATAAGTGATATCTCCATTAGCCAGAACAATTGGTGCAGAGCACTTCCAGGAATGAGAGATTTCTGGGACGAGACAACTCTCTCAAAGCCAGAAAAAAATCTCTCATCCCCAGAATTTTCCAAAATTTTCTGGGTAATAAAAAGATGATCTCAGAAGTTCAGAATGATGCATTATTTCATCTCTCAAAGCTGGAAAAAAATCCCTCATCCCCAGAATTTTCTGGGTAACGGAAATTCTTGGAAATTCCAGAAATTATGTATTACACCATTTCTGGAACTCGGAAAAGTATTCCCCATTCCCGGAATTTTCCGGCCGGAAAATTTATTGCTATCGGAGAGTTCCGGATTTGAGGGATTCCGGCTAACAGAGGTATTACTACTCTATACTGTACTCTATATGTTTGTACCTGTATTTATAGATATAAAAGTGAATCCTAGAAGATCCGGATTAAAAGGCGGGCCACCTGTTCCTAAAAAGCTGATTGTCTGAATCTTCCGGTGAATGTACTAAATATATAAAATTGACAAATAATTACTATAGTATATATATATTATATACAGTAAATAAATAGATACCCTTTGTTACCTTTGCTCTGTAATTCTTTTTTTCACTAGCACTCACAGGATGAGTATGGGGTACACAATAAACGAGCTGGTGTTTGCAGTAAAATAAAAAACAAATCAAATATGATGTTGACAGCTGTGTAACCTTCCCTCCTCAGAGTGAATTGTTGCTTACATGATGAAGGTCGCCTGAGGCTTTGTGTGGAAACTGTTTATGACAAAAGTGAAGATGGCTATCATACCGTCCAAGGAGCTTCAGTATCAGCACATCCACTGCGTCGGTAAGTCTGTAGGGCAGCAACACGCAGCTCTGGCACCAGCATCTTGTTCTGCGGCGAAGATCATAATACAGCATTAAATTTGGCTTATACAGGATTATATGACAACCGTATTATGTGAGCAACACACACAATCATATCTATCATTCATTCATGAACCAGTGAGCTCATTATCATACACGTACTTATTTACAGTGTAATATATCCTGACCTTCACCATTAATATTAATCTATAACATATACCGTACACTTTATATTAAAAGAAAAAGTAAACACATAACAGGAGTCATTGATTTGTTATGAATATTTACTTAGTGAAAAAATAAAATCTGAGAACAAAGCAAATAACATCGCAAGAACAAAAGCAAAAGTAAAAAGTAAAGAAAATAAAAATACGGCAAATGTACAGTACTGCAGGAAGAGGCAGCTACCAAACAGGGAGGTACTATCGCATGGGAAGATATTGGAAGCATTAATGTGTTGTCTAATGGTAGACCCTGCTGCCATATGTGACCAAGTCCCAGGTTGTTGATCCGACTTTCTGCCTCATTTACACACAATTGCAGGGTCTCGATTGTTTCTCTTACTTTGACAACACAACTTATATCTATCGTTTCTCACTATTAATATATTTTTTTCATTTATTTATGGTTCTTTATTATTATTATTATTATTATTATTATTATTATTATTATTATTATTATTATTATTATTATTATAATTATTTTTTTTAATTTGTATTTTAATACATTATTATTATTATTATTATTAATATTATTATCATTATTATTATTATTATTATTATTATTATTATTATTATTATTATTATTATATATTCACCTCCAGGCCCTGATGGGGGTCATTGGCCTGTGCTCTGGTGGGTAATCCGCTTAAAAAACAAAACATAAAACACATCTCACATCACTTACCATGTAGCACATCTCAGGGAAGCGGTGGTCAGGCAGCACTCCAGCATTTCCTAAAGCTCTCAACATCTGTTTGACTTGTTGTTGTCGTTCTCTTGATTCTCCCCAACCGCAAGAGTCGCCTATTTCCTCCCTCACATACTCCAGGAAAGGCCTACAGAGAGTCATACCTTATCAATAACCACAAGAGTCGCCCATCTCCTCCCTCACTTGATTACATCCCACATGCATAATTCTAATCTGAGAATCCTCTGTTTTATCTTACCTAACCTATCCTATCCTAATCTAACCTAACCTACCCTAATCTAAACTATCCTACTCTAACTTACTCATTCAAGTGGATACCCGAGGCAAGACTTCCTGGCCACACAAGACTACATCATGAAAGAACAATATTTTGAACCTTTCAATACTATGACTCCCATTTTATGAATGAACACTGACACCAGCATTGTAACGTGTCAGTTATCACATTAACCTATGCAACCATGGAAAATGGCCATAAACCAGTTATGACGATGATGATGATGACACTAACTGTTGACTTTATGTTACATGATAAAAAAAAATATCTTAAGTCATCTGTCACTGTTTTAAATTACTGTGGTCCCCTACAGTAAGTTGTATGTGATGTACAAGTGAGATCTGTGTCCTCAGCTTCTGTGATTATTAACTCAAGAGTTATTTATTTGCATAGGATCAAAATCCTGGTAAATATTGGTAACAGCACTTGGCTGCTTGATCAGGAAAATTAAAACAGGAACATGAAAAACAAAACCAAAACAGGCTGACAGACAAACTGTATAACTATTCCATATTATGTTCCTGTTAGTTTGGGATGAAGAGTTAATACAACTTACTGTGCGTGAGTGAGGCAGTTGGAAGAGTCTTGCTGACACATTCTGTAGACCATACTCGAGGCAGCCATCACTGCCTGAGGGGCCACATTCACCTGACTCTGGGCCACATCCTGCACAAAAAAACACACAAGTTGTTGAAGTGCCAGAATATGTGATAAACTGTACAACGTCAACACAAAATGCATAAATATTATAAGGTTATACACTCGACTGTAGTCCAAGAATGTAACCAAGGTATCTGTTGATATATTGTTGAATTTGTGTATAATCAGTAAAGTTCATCGTCTCATAAATAACGGTTATATTAATGAAACTTTGGGCGACTACATAGAACATTACCGTATACTGGTACTGTACAGAGGAAGAGTGAACTAACAACCCACCAAGACATGAGTGATGGCAAGAGGGTCAGTATGTGTGTGGAAGTGGAGTCCAGTGAGCCAGGTGGTGAGTCTGTTGGGTGTTAGAGCTAGGTGGTCCTCCTGCACCAGGCGGGACACCAGGTGGATGCAGGGGCCGCGCTCACACAGTAGTAGAGCATCCAACAACAGCTCCCTGTAAGGTTGATACAACAGTGAAAACACCACACAAAAAGTTTATATCAATATGTAGTAGAATACAGTAGTTCTGTATGAGTGAACAATGTTTGATGTATTACCAGAACCTTATATGAAAACAAAGTCTGGCTAGAAAGCTGACCAAGGACAAAGAGGATAAATCAAGTAACTGTGTTTTACATTACCAGAAAACACTGTACAACCACAGCTTCCTGCAACATCCTTGAACTGAATAAAGAGAATACTGTAGTGTACTGTCCTGTAATGGATGTAAGTGTCATCTAACATAAAGGATTTACTGACCTGTGGTCCTCCTCACTGCCGTAGGTGTCCCAAACATCGTCCAAATCCACCTCCTGCTTGAGTTGACCCAAAAGGCTCACCAGGTGGGAGAAGAAGTGGGGTCTCTGCTCCTCTATTTCAGAATTTGGTCTCATAGAAGTCAGAAGGTTGGTTAAAGTCTCTGCAACCTGGGATCAAATGGTGAAGAGCTTAAGTGAGATTACTTACATACTTCAGATAAAGCAAAGGATCAGCATTGTAAACATTCTCTACAATGCTGAGAATCAATAGTGACGATTGTTTATATGTGAGTATTGCAACATAAGATGGAAGGAGGGTGTTGTTGAGGAATATACATCAGCATAATAACACAGCAATGACTTAATCTGTGTTAAACTATCATGGATGTTACAGCTCAAATTATGTAGTTATTCTGCCAGCCAATGGAACCATAAATTTCTAAGAAGTTGTCATAAAGTTAGACAGCAAGACCACTAGCTTTATGGGGTGGTGTGGTGTCTCACCTGTTCTAGGATTTCAGAGGACTCTTGGTGTTGCCTGGCCTCATCAGCGTGCATGGCTCCTTCCAGGTCCATCCTCAGTGATTCTCTCCTTTGTCGTTGACTGCCTGGTAATACAGTACAGTATTTTCATTATTGTTTATTAATTTATTAATAATTTTGATAATTTTCTGTCCTGTGCTGCCGGGTGACCAGAGTCAATATGTATTCACATCTGAACATATATTATCATTGAAGAATACACAGATGAGATAAAAAAGCAAATGAATGAGATCTATAAATGCTGTTGCCCATATGCTAATGAACACTTGTTAAAAACACATACCTTGTAGGAAGGTGTCTTGGGCATCATAAGGTGTTGTGTGAAGGAGGAGGCTAGAGGAGACAGTGGTGGAGGCCAGGTAGGCGTGGCTACCAAAGTCCCAAGGAGCTTTGTCTACCGTAAGCTCCTGAGTACACTCCACACGCTCCCACACGCCACTGGTTAGGGTCATCTGGCATGACTGTTTATTCCTGCCAAGAGTAAATTACCCATTCCAGGATCATAATTGTCTTTATAATTCTTATATCCCTGCTCACTGTTCATGTGTCATTCCTACATAGGTAGATTATCCAGCATTATCTAAAAACACTATACTACAGTATTCTGAATAAATATAAACTTTAATGGCAATTATACAAAATTAATACAGTATCTATCTACCTGTACATCTAATTGGATTCTTTGGGCCACAGGTATGATTTTTTATCAATAAAGTCACAAGAACACTAGCACCACCCAGTAGACTCACCCGAAGAGAGGGACCTCACTGTTGTAGGTGTTGGAGGTGTGCTGGGAATAAGGGATGTAGGGAAAGTGGGTGTCGGCACGGCAGTTGTTCTTCGTCTTGTTCACCATCACCCTCGAATTTTCTTCATTGTCCAGCTGAATGACAGTGTACCTCGTCTCACACTCCCCAGACACGTCGCTCTGTTCAACAAATAGGAAAGAAAAACATGTATTCTCTATGGCTCTTACTCAAGTAAAGAATAGGATCACTTAAAGATTAGTGCCCCAGCTTATTTCACCTAAGTTAACCACCGTAATCTACTCTCCAGGTAACATTAGGGTGTTTAATCATCAGGTGAAATAAGCTAGGGGCTAATCTTATGATTCAATTCATTTATCATCTGTCTATGTTTAGTTATAATAAGAATATAATTACACAGTACAGGAGAGAGGAGGTAGGGCTACATTACCTCCTGCACAATGACTTGCTCCCGCTCTGCCAGGTTGGAGATGCTCATCTGCAATGATGACAATATTCCTCGCTTGAAGTTTGTGGCGACAGCGTTTTCATCATCGTGAGGACACAGGTGCTCTATCTTGCCTCCCTGGTAGCTGTACAAACAAGAGAAATGCAAACAGATGACTTGAGATCCTAATATTGCTTTATTAATTTATTATTTTAGAGAAAATGTGACTTTATACATTAGATTCTTTCTTTCTTTTTTTTTTTTTTATGGGAATTAGCCCACCCGGGCACAGGTCAAACGACCCACAATGGGGCCTGGGGGGCTAGTTAGTTCATGTACAGTATATCTGTTTTGGAAGAGGAAGGGTGTCTTCCATCATTAGTACTTACATGGCAACCAAAACCTGTAATACGTTACCTGAAGTGTAGGTCATGGTCCTGCACGGCCTCCCGGAACCATAGTGAGTCCTCATCAGCCACATCTGCTATTCTCATGTCCATCACCTGAGTGTAAAAATACCCACCGTCATGGAACAGCTGAGGTGTACTACGTATATCTTTGTCAGTCGATATATCAGCAAAATGGCATTAATTTTCATTTGCAGTCTTTAGTAATTCTTATACAGTAATACCTCTGTTAGCCAGAATCCCTCAAACCCTGAACTCTCCTATAGCCAGGATTGAAGTTTTATAGGAAAATCGTTCCCAAAGCTGGAATTTTCCGGAAAATTCTGGCTTTGGGAACAATTTTCCGAGGGGCACATTTTCCTGAAAATTCAGAGAAAATGTTTCCGAAACCCGGAAAATTCCGGGGATGGGGGATTTTTTTCCGGCAATGAGAGAGTCGTCTCGTTACCCGGAAATTTGTCATTCCCGGAGGTGATCTGCACCAAATGTTCCGGCAAACGGAGATATCATATTATTCAATGAAATTATTGCCGTAATATTTTTTAATACACACACACACACACACACACACAAATTTGTATAAATGTACAGTCAGCCAAATGGGAACTGCTACAAAATGTTCTGGTGTGTGGATACAAATGGAACCCCCTCCATGAGTTTATTATGGAGGGGGTTCCAGATGTCTCCACAGACCAGATTATTATGCCGTAATTTCCACTTGGTTGACTGTACAGTCACCTGCACTTATTCCTGGTACAGTGACTGGTGTGTGTTGAAATAACCCTAAGGAATCTTGTAATAGTAGCCAGACCAAGGATGTTAGATAACTATCCACATCACAAACTGAGCCAGCCAGTGTACCAGGTACAAGTGCAGGTGACTGAACACACACACACACACACACACACACACACACACACACACACACACACACACACACACACAACTTACTTACTAATTTGCTGTGACTCAAAATCGAGTATGATGATCATCCAGCTATGATACGAGTTATTAAGGGTGTCACCTTCGTTGGTGAGTTTTAAAGGGACTCAAGAGGCCGATATGGAACAGACAGGGCTGTCCACAGATGTTGCACGTGTGGGGGGCTACATCTCGTGTGGGAGGGGCGGAGGCAGCGTCTTTCCAGTGGTAGCACTTATCTACTTCGGTTTGCAGTTGGGCTAACTTGAAAGTATTGACACCTTTTCGTTTGGTGCTCCTCCAAGGGTTATGATGTAGAGTAATCGTCTTCCAGGTGAGGGGGTCCATTTGGCACTTTTTCAGGTTTGTCTTAAGGCTATCCTTACACTATTCAGTTGCCCGCCGACGTTACGTTTACTATTCGTTAGGTGACTGTAAAGTAGCTGCTTTGGCAGTCGACAGTCGTCCATGGGGGTAAAATGGCCAGTCCAGCGTAGTTGTTCATGGATAATGGTAGCCTCAGTGTTCCTACAGTTGGTGTCAGTGAGAATACTGTACTGGCATTTGTTCTCTTGTCTTCCCAGCAAACTCGGAGGATGGAACGTAGACTACGTTGGTGAAAGTTTTCAAGTGCCTTGAGGTGCCTCCTGTATGTGACCCATGTTTCACTGCCATACAGCAGGGTGGGAAGGACAACTGCTCGATACACGTGTAAGTAATTTTGTCTCACTAAGCTGAAGACACGGTTTCGGAGTCTGCCAAAGGCTTGAGATGCACATCTGATCCAATGTTAAATCTCTTCATCGATGTCCGCTGTGGTGGACAGCTGGGATCCAAGGTACTGGAAGTGGGTAACATTAGAGAGACTAGTACCGTTAAGCTGGATGGATGATTGAACCAAAGGCAGGCTGAAAGAGAATCTGAGTCTTAAGTGCATTTACCTCAAAGCTGCAGTGTGCATACGCATCTGCGTAGGTGTTCAGGATCTCCTGTAGGTCACATTCAGTGTGGGTGATGAGTGTGAGGGCGGTTGCATTCTGAAGTTCAGTAATGGAAGTGGCTGACACCTTTGTTTCTGCCTGGAGTCGTCTTATGTTGAAAAGTTCCCTCATCCGGTACCGGATGTCCACCCCGCTGTCTAATTTGGTACTGGCACAAGTAAGGAAGGCAGTCAAGAAGATGGAAAAGAGAGTTGGTGTCAATACACATCCTTGTTTTACTCCCATTCCCCCATTTGGATGGGGAAGAACTCAGATTGAGTGCCATTGTGCAGGACACTGCCATTCATGCCATCGTGGAGTTGCCTCATAATGGCACTGAATTTTGATGGGCAGCTAAAACCACTGAGGGTCTGCCAGAGGGCTTCCCTGTTGACTGAGCCAAAAGCCTTAATTAGGCCAATGAAGGCCATGTACAGGTCACGAAGCTGTTCTCTGCACTTTTCCTGTATCTGGCGGGCAGCATAGATCATGTCAGTGGTGCCACATGATGGTCTAAAGCTACATTGAGATTCTGAGAGGAAGTTTTCTGCCTCTGGAAGAAGTCTGTTTGGGAGGAGTTGGGCGATAATCTTGCCAGCTACGGACAGCAGTGAGATCCTGCGGTAGTTGCCACAGTCTGACTGGTCTCCCTTGTTCTTATAAATATTGATGACCGAGGTATCTTTAAGAGCTTGGGGGATTTCCTCCTTCTCCAATATATTCTCCAGGAGACAGTGGAGATGGATGGTAAGCAGAGGTCCTCCTACATTATACACCTCAGGTGGGATTCCATCAGCCGCCGTGGGCACGTTATTTTTCATCTGCTTGACGGCAACAGAAACCTCATTCAGGCATTTTGGGGCGACGTGAAGGGAAAGTTTGGCTCTGACGAGCCGATGATGTGTATCACAGTGGTCTGAACCACCCATGGCTTGGGTTATGAGGACATCTCGGCGATCTTTTTCTCTGACAATGATGTACTTAATAAGATGCCAGTGTTTGGTTTGTTGGTGTTGCCACGAACCCTTGAACTTATCGCCCTGCCTAAACAAGGCATTGGTGCTGAGGAGGAGTTGGCCACTGGGATTACACTTGCCTACTCCATTTCTCCCTATGGTTCCCTGCCATATGTCAGCATCTCTGCCAACTCTGGCACTGAAGTCACCAAGGAGCACAACCTTATTTTCTCTGGGGACAGTGGTTGGCATTCTGTCGAGGTTGGTGGAAAAAGCCTCCTTGATGTCAACCTCTGCATCCAGTGTTGGGGCGTATGTACTGATGAAAAAGGCATGACGTGAGTGATTAAGTGGGACTCAGAACATCATGGAGCACTCATTGATCCCAATAGGCATTTCAGTTAGCCTATGTAGGATGCATTGGCGAATGGCAAACCCAACTCCATAAAAGTGGTTTCTCTCCGCAGCAGGCTTACCCTTCAAGAAGGTGTAGCCAGACCCCCGTTCTGTGAGCCGGGACTCACTGATGGCTACTATGTCGATGTTATACCTAGCCAGCTCTTTTGCCACAAGGGCAGTTCTTCTTTCAGGACGCTCATTTGTGCCAGTATCTAGAAGGGTCCTAACATTCCATGCAGTGACAATAAGAGGTTGTATGGTTTGTTTTTGTTTGGATCTGTGATTTTGATTGTGTTTTCGACACATAAGGATGACCTTACTGGGTGAGGTTGCCCAGTCAGGTTGGTTCTTTAGGCAGGCTATGTTTAGGGCACCTTTTCTAGCCCCCTCTCCATGTGGGGTGAGCAGAGTGGTTCCTGGAAAGGGCTGCTCAGTCACACAGACAGGACCAGGTTGCACTGCTACCTAGATCCCAGTGCATAAACGACCATCTTATCTGTGCCGCCCATGTGCAGAGTTGTGACTAGAGACTCCCGGCAGTCATCTCTGCCTGTCCCCGTCGCCACTCGTCCGTCGCCATAGAACTTTTGGTGGTATAGGGGTTTTGATGATGATGAGAGGTATGATGAGCTGGGTGATGGCTGCACATGAGTTGATTTATGTGGTGAGGCAGGAGCACAGACTGCAACCACACATCTTGGCTCTACCTTTTCCTGAGCCAGTGGTGCAAGTGTTGCACCGATTGAGGAGAGGGAGAGTCGCAATGGACTGCCGATAGCCCAGTTTGTTGGGTTTCGCCTTAGTAGCCTGTCCATCATGCATTGCCTTCATCTGCCAGTGTAGTCTTTGGGTTACCATGTTGGTCAGCTCTTCCACCTATACCGCCATTGGAGCTCTGTAAGCATGTCTGCCTGATGTGGGGCTCCATTGCAGATTTTACTCCAGTAGCCTTATACCAAGTTACCGTGTTTCCACGAGGAGGCACAGCAGGAGCCTTGACGGTGAAGAGGCTGTGTACTGGCAGGGGAAGACTTATGCAAGTTGCTTCCCTGTTCACCACGAGTGCTAGCCAGAAGTGGTAGCTGAACGCGAGAGGAAGGAAGCAGTCCTTGCACCTTAACGCTAACATAATGCTGCCACACAAGACGCATTACACCATCAAGCACACACACACACACACACACACACACACACACACACACACACACACACACACACACCTTCAGCTTGAGGTCACAGAGGGTGTTGGCAGTGATGGAGACTGTAGCCGTGATGACCATACTTGACTCGGCCCCGTCAGTCTCCACAGAGGTACTGGTGACGTGGCCTCGATAACTATACTGGTACACCTTCCCCGGCGCCCACACTTCCTCTGCAACGTCACCTGGTATAAGGGGTCACACGGTTAAAGGAGAATGGTGATGTGGTAAGTAGTGGATGACGATGACTGAGAGGAGACAATGACAGGAGATGATGTGATATGATGATAGGTGACAATGAGTGTTATTTATGTTAGAAACTTTGGTATTACACAAGTCAACCTATCTTAACCAAACGTAATCTAACCCAACTTAAACTAATCTCACCTAACTTAACTTAATTTCACCCAATCTAAGCACACATAATCCATCCAGAATTAACTATACTGTACATAATTTAACCCAACCAAAATATAAGTTAACCAAACATTGCCCAACCAAAAACTAATTTAACAAAACATAACTTCATCCAACCTAATTCAACCTAACACAGAAATAACTTAACCTAGCCATATCTAACTTAAGCTAACTTAGTGAAATGCAACTTAACCAGGTATAATTTAAATGAGGATGACTTTTTCCAGCAGGATATAGACTTGGGTCGGACATGGTCCAGGGACGAGGATAATTATCAATACAACGAACTTACCATGCGGCCGACAGGTCCGTGCACACACAGGGCCGTGATCTGCCGAGAAAAATAAAATGAACAAAACATATGTCAATATACAATACTAAATCTCATATATTAGTCACAGCTATAAAACACATAACAGTACAGCTACGATATATACTGTAATGTATAAGTCACCTATTAAAAACATCATATATATATATATATATATATATATATATATATATATATATATATATATATATATATATATATATATATATATATATATATATATATATATATATATATATATATAGGGTCATGTATTGTAAGTAAGGGAGGATTGTGGGATTTTAACATTTATTTACTCAGATATTTCTTGGTGTTAGTGAGAGCTTTTCTTCGTGTTGTTATTCTGATGTAATGTAGAATAAGAATCAGCGTTCATCAGTTGTAAACTAATCACGTACTGTATATAACCCACACATACTGTATACCTATCACATAATCATACACTGTATATGACCCACAAGTAGTTACCAAGAGTGTCCAGGAAATGTTGTTCACAACAGCACTTACACCAAAGACACTGTACACGTTGTGGTCGCAAACACTAACCTTCAACGGGCTCGACCTCTTCATACGCAGTCGCTTCATTGATTGGATAGCTGTCGGGGTCAGTGTCTGGGCTTTCCCGTCCGGGACTCCCATATTCACGACTGTCAGAGCTTGATAATTCAGTTTTACTGCTTTCCTGGCGTGGACTGTCATAGCCTAGGCTCTCATATTGGCGGCTGTCATAGCTGGAGGAGCCAGCGTTAAGACTTTCCTGGCCCGACCTGTCATAACTAGGGCTCTCATATCTACGGCTGTTGTACCTAGAACTGTCATTGCCCTGGCCGTGGGCTCTACGGCTGTCATAGCTGGAACTGTCAGGGCCATGGCCTTGGGCCCTACGGCTGTCATAGCTGGAACTGTCAGGGCCTTGGCCTTGGGTTCTACGGCTGTCATAGCTGGAACTGTCAGGGCCTTGGCCTTGGGTTCTACGGCTGTCATAGCTGGAACTGTCAGGGCCTTGGCCTTGGGTTCTACGGCTGTCATAGCTGGAACTGTCAGGGCCTTGGCCTTGGGTTCTACGGCTGTCATAGCTGGAACTGTCAGGGCCTTGGCCTTGCCCCATGGCTGTCATAGCTGGAACTCAGGCCTTGTCACGGCTGTCATAGCTGAACTGTCAGGACCTTGGCCTTGGGCTCTATGGCTGTCAGTAGCTGAACTGTCAGGGACTTGGCCTTGAGCCTCACGGCTGTCATAGCTGGAACTGTCAGGCCTTGCCTTGGGCCTCTACGGCTGTCATAGCTGGAACTGTCAGAGCTAAACTCTGAGCCTATGGCTGTCATATGGAACTGTCAGGCCTTGCCCTTGAGCTCTACGGCTGTCATAGCTGGAACTGTCAGGGCTCTTGGCTCTGGCCCACGGCTGTCATAGTTGGAACTGTCAGAGCCTTGGCTCTGGCTCTATGGCTATCATAGCTGGAACTGCCCTGTCTCTTGGCTCTGGGTCTACGGCTGTCATAGATGTAACTGTCACGGCCGTGGCTCTGGGCTCTACGGGTGTCATAGCTGGAACTGTCACGGCCTTGGCTCTGGGCCCTCCTACGGCTGTCATAGCTGAACTGTTACGGCCGGCTCTGGGCTCCTACGGCTGTCATAGCTGAACTGTCACGGCCTTTGGCTCTGGGCTCTACGGCTGTCATAGCTGGAACTGTCACGGCCTTGGCTCTGGGCTCTACGGGTGTCATAGCTGGAACTGTCACGGCCTTGGCTCTGGGCTTCACGGGTGTCATAGCTGGAACTGTCACGGCTCTTGGCTCTGGGCTCTATGGCTGTCATGGCTGGAACTGTCACGGCCTTGGCTCTGGGCTCTACGGGTGTCATAGCTGGAACCGTCACGGCCTTGGCTCTGGGCTCTACGGGTGCCATAGCTGGAATAGCTGGAACTGTACGGCCTTGGCTCTGGGCTCTACGGCTGCCATAGCTGGAACTGCCATGCTGGAACTGCCATGTCCTTGGCTCTGGGCTCTACGGCTGTCCATAGCTGGAACTGCCATGTCCTTGGCTCTGGGCTCTACGGCTGCCATAGCTGGAACTGCCATGTCCTTGGCTCTGGGCTCTACGGCTGTCATAGCTGGAACTGCCATGTCCTTGGCTCTGGGCTCTACGGCTGCCATAGCTGGAACTGCCATGTCCTTGGCTCTGGGCTCTACGAGTGTCATAGCTGGAACTTCCTCGGGCTACACCGCCATAATTGAGGTTATCAGAGCTGGGATTTTCTTCCCTGACGCTACCATAGGTACGATTACTATGCCTACCATAGTTACGACGACTATAACTACGGTCGCTGTTGTAAGGTCTGTCGTAGTCTCGCACGTCAGAGTCACGGTCGTTGTATGCAGGGTGGTTATACAGGGAGTCGTACTCTTCAATGTCCTCTTGCTCCTGGGAGCAGACTGGAAGTGTGAGAGAAAGAAGGTAGTAGGTAGGAGGCAGCTACCAAACAGGGAGGTACTACCGCCTGGGAAGATATTGGAAACATAATGTGTTGTCTAATGGTAGACCTTGCTGCCATATGTGACCAAGTCCCAGGTTACTGCTCTGACTCTCTGCCTCATTTACACACATTTGCAGGGTCTCAATTGTTTCTCTTACTATTGACAACACAAAATACATAGGGGTATATTGTTTCTCACTATTGATCTCTTTCTTAATTTTTGTATTTATTTATGGTCCTTTATTATTATTATTATTATTATTATTATTATTATTATTATTATTATTATTATTAGTAGTAGTAGTAGTAGTAGTAGTAGTAGTAGTAGTAGAAGTAGTAGTAGTAGCAGAAAGAACACTTCTTGCACTTCCACCAAGACTGGGAGGGATGGGACAAACTAATCCAGAGGAGATTGCTGACACTGAACATCAAAATTCACTTAAGCTCACGGCAGCCCTCACTGACCACATAATAGCCCAGAATGCAACAGGGGAAGTGGACACCAGCGAAGTAAATAAGATCCGTAGGGCCATTACAACAGATCGGCAGCACTGCCAAAATGACATGTTGCAGCAACTATTGCTGCAGGTTCCAGAAAATTTGAAAAAAAAAGTAGCTATAGCGCAGGAGGTGGGCGCCTCGAACTGGTTAACTACGTTACCGATAAGGGCAAATGGTTTCAGCCTTAACAAACAAGAATTTACAGATGCCATTGCTCTAAGGTACGGTTGGCCAGTAGAAGGTTTGCCCTCCCAATGCATGTGTGGCTCTTCCTATGATGGCGATCACGCCATGGTCTGCAAGAAGGGGGGCTTCATATGCATGAGGCATGACGAGGTAAGGGATCTCACAGCAAATATGTTGAAGGAAATCTGCCGGGACGTCATGGTAGAACCGACCCTCCTTCCATTGGATGGCGAGAGCTTCCAACACAGGACTTCAAACACATCTAACGAAGCCCGTGTGGACGTCAGTACTCGAGGATTCTGGACGCGGGGACAGCGAGCTTTCTTCGACATCAGGATTTTTGATCCCATGGCCACTTGTCACCGTAACCTAGCTCTCGATGCTGCACATAGGAGGAACGAGAACGAAAAGAGAAGGGCATATGGGGAGAGAATTCAAAACGTTGATCAAGGCAGCTTCACTCCTCTAGTGTTCACAACCTCTGGTGGGATGGGACCAAGTGCAAGATGTTTCTACGCCAGACTCGCGGAGTTGATCTCCGAACAGAAGTAGCACCCCAGAAGTTATGTTACAGCCTGGATGAGATGTGGACTGTCCTTCTCTCTCCTTCAGTCGGCTTTGCTCTGCCTCAGGGGAACGAGAGCTTCTGCCCCTACTCCGACAACTGCTGCAGATATTGACTATGAGGCTACAGTCACTGAATGCCGCATAGATCTGCGGCTCAACTAATTTAACACAGATAGGATAGCTTATTATGTATTAGGATATTTAATATTAAGGTAAATAAATGGTGGCGAAGGTGTGGCTATTGGGGGAGGCTGGAGGCCACATTTAAAAAAAAAAAAAGTAGTAGTAGTAGTAGTAGTAGTAGTAGTATTATAATATTCTCATTTAACATTTATTCTATTTTTTATTACTTTTATCCTCTTCGCCACTGATCGGCTCGTTAGCCGCCCGGGCGATCGGTCACCTCCCTGTTACACACTGTTGGCAAGTACTGGGCATGCACCGGCTCCTGAATGTACCTGAACCCGCTCCAGTGTTGGTCAAGTCTGGTCTTGAAAGAGCTCACACTCGGTGCCGTCACAACACTTTCTGGTAGATTGTCCCTAGAGTTCACAACTCTCACACTGAAAAAGTTTGCCCTCACAGTTTTCTGGACTTACGGCTTCTTCAATCTCGAGCTGTGACCCCTTGTGGAGCAAGCGTCCGCCAGCTCCAAATAAGGACACTCAACTGAGTAGTGCCCCCTGTGATGCTTGGACACCTCAACTAGATTTAATAATAATAATAATAATAATAATAATAATAATAATAATATTATTATTATTATTATTATTATTATTATTATTATTATTATTATTATTATTATTATTATTATTATTATTATTATTATTATTATTATTATTATTTTTATTATTATTATTATTATTATTATATTTTCGCCCCCCAGGCCCTGGTGTGGGTCAGTGACCTGTGCCCTGGTGGGCTAATCCCGAGAAAAAAAGAGAGTATCATTAATTTTAAGTTTTGATGGTAAAATAACAGTGGTTATTGCAGTAAAATAGCAACCCCAGTGGTTCTTTGCACAGATTCTCAGAAATTTAAGATGAATAATCTGTAAAACTAAGTATATGAAAATGCACCCGACGTGATTGGTCTTGGCCAAACTACAAAAATAGTAGCTATTAGATATGTTCATTAACCAGGGGATTAAATCTATGGAAAATATTGTTCCAAACATTCTGCGAGCTGGTGCAAGGGGGACGTACGCTTACGGACAAAATTCCCTGGACACTTGGCGGTATCTGGCATGTGAACACTGGATGATCATTAGATGAGGGGATTGTAATTTAATGTATTTTCTCAGTTTTATCATTGTTTTAAAAAGTTTTATTTTTGTGGTTCCAATATAATATATTATGAAAAACAGCATTATCAGATATAAGCCACTCATATATATGACCCATAAGTAAACGCCAGATACAGTCTTGCCAAGGGTTCAGGGAATTTTGTCCGTAACTTTTGGGGTAGATTCTCAGTGGCAATTTGATGCTACTTTTGGACATATTCTTGTGTTGGGTTTTAAACCAACCATGAAGATACAGTGTTATGTCTACGGTTACAAAGAACATACCATCACATGGACCATTGATTGTATCTCAATCATTCCGGTCTCTTTTGTGGAATGATGCGACTGCATGTTCAGACCCACAAGGGGTCACAGCTCAAGGTTGAAGAAGCCGCAAGTCCAGAAAACTGTGAGGGGTAACTTTTTTGGAGTGAAAATTGTGAACTCTTAGAACAATCTGCCAGAAAGTGTTGTGACGGCACCGAGTGTGAATTCATTCAAAGCCAGACTTGACCAACACTGGAGCAGGTTCAGATACATTCAGGAGCCGGTGCATGCCCAGTACATGCCAACAGTGTGTAACGGAGACGTGACCGATCGTCCAAGCGGTAACAAGTCGATGAGTGGTGAAGAGGATAAAAAAAAAATCATGGTGACACCTAGCTTGACCATAGACAGATAGATGATAGATAGACAGATATATATATATATATATATATATATATATATATATATATATATATATATATATATATATATATATATATATATATATATATATATATATATATATATATATATATATATAAGATAGATGGACAGATATATGCAGTAGATAGCCAAGCATATAGAAAATAGAGAGAGAGAGAGAGAGAGATTCAACAACATGAAAGTATACATTGGTTCAACATGATAAACAGTAAGTCGATACAACACAACCAAAGAGAGACCAATGTTGTCATTAGCTGCCGTCTTCACTTACTGTACAGTAGGTTAGAAACACGACACAACATGACATGACACGATACGACACGATACATGACACGATACGACACAACACAATACAACACGATACGACAGGATATGACACGACACGACAGACAAGACATTAATTGGTCTAACCATTGACTGGAATTCATTGTATGCGAGGTATTGCCTACGTTCTATCTCTCTTGTGGTGTGAGGTGTGTGGTGGTGGTGTAGTGTGGTGGGTGGTGGTGGTGTAGTGGTGGTGGTGTAGTAGTGGTGGTGGTGGGTGTGACGTGGTGAAGGTGTAGTGAAGAGGTTGGGTGTGGTGGTGAGTGGTGGTGGTGAGTGTAGTGTAGTGGTGTGGTGTAGTGTGGTGGTGGTGGTGGTGTAGTGTAGTGGTGTAGTGATGGTGTGGGTGACAGTGTAGTGTAGTGGTGTAGTGGTGGGGTGTGGTGTAGTGATGGTGGTGTAGTGGTGGTGAGGGTGCAGTGTAGTGGTGTAGTGAAGGTGTGGGTGACAGTGTAGTGTAGTGGTTGTTGGGGTGTGGTGTAGTGGTGGGATGTGATGTAGTGGTGATGGTGAGGATGTAGTGTGGTGTGGTGATGGTGTGGGTGACAGTATGGTGTTGTGGTGGTGGTAGGGGTGTGGTGGTGACGGTGTTTTGTTATGGGGTGATGGTGTGGTGTTGTGGTGGTGGTGACGGTGTGTGTGTGTGATGGTGTGGTGTAGCTGTATGAGTGCACCCAGCGCAGGGTGGTAAAAATGCATTTAGTGTGGCAGCATTATGTTAGTGTTAAGGTGCAATCACTGCTTGTTCTTTCTCGCTCTCAGCTGCCGCCGCTGGCCAGCCCTCGTGGTGAACAGGGAAGCAACTTGCACAAGTCTTCCCCTGCCAGTACACAGCCTCTTCACCATCAAGACTCCTGCTGTGCCTCCTCGTGGCAACACACAGTAACTGGGTGCCTTGTGGCCCCAGGCTAGACCTGTAGGGGATCTCGGAGTAGCGGTGGGGCCCAGAGGGACGGAGCATAGGCCCACTGGCATGTGGACACCTCCTGGCGCCTACCAACCACCGCCCCGCTGCCTTGTGGATTAACCTTGGTAGGTATAAGGCTACGGGAGTAAACCCCAATTAAAAAATCTGCGGTGGAGCTCTGCATCAGGCAGACATGCTTACAGAGCTCCAACAAGACCCCAACGGTGGCATAGGCGGAAGAGGTGACCAACATGGGAACCCAACGACTACACCTCGGACGAAGGCAATGCGTGATGGACAGGCTACTAAGGCGAAACCCAACAAACTGGGCTATTGGCAGTCCAATGCAACTCTCCCTCTCGCCAGTCGTTGCAACACTTGCACCACTGGATCAGGAAAAGGTAGAGCCAAGATGTGCGGGTTGCAGTCTGCGCTCCTGCCTCACCATATAAATCAACTCACGTGCAGCCATCAT